TTGCCAGGAACATTTACAAGGGGATTGTAAACAGGAACCTCTTCCCCTTCATGATCCCCTTGATATTCATGGGCCTACTTAGGCAAGTGTGCGCATGCGTGCTCTGGGCGACCCTCCTCAGCCTGTGATCTTTCATGCACATGCACTTCTGCACCTCCATCGGCATCTGCATCTCAACGAGGCCAATCACGTGTCTCCGAATGGACAATGTAAAGAATGGAAATATTCGAGTATGGTATGGTTCGAAGTATGGTTCAAGAATCCGAACCCGCAATAATGGCAGAAATTGGGAGGCACATATACGCCATTTAGGCAAGATGTTATCGGTAGGATCGCATCCAACAGAAGAGCAGGCAGCTGCAGCCCTGTGCAAGTATGACAGGCCTTCCTCAACTTATTGCTGCAGAGAAGCATACGTGTATACACACTCGGTCTTCTTTTCTTGACATCGATCCATCATATGTCTGAAATCATGCTACTCAGTTCATCTCCTTGACGACCATATTGCCACAGGGCGCTGTACAAGGCAGGCCAGCCCTGTGATGGCCTGCCTGAGCTGTCAGAAGCCCAGAAGGCAGAATTGGATGCCATCTCCCTGGAGCAGCTGCTGGAAGGCTTCAAGGCAGCATCCAAGGTCTTCTCCACTGGATCGTCCTCCTACAGGGGGGTTTCTTGGGACAAAGCGGGAAGGAAATGGAAGGCACAAATTTCGGTTGACGGGAAAAGGAAAACGTTGGGGTTGTTCACGAGCGAAGAGGATGCGGCACGAGCCTATGACTGTGCTGCCTTGGCCAAGGACGGAAGGCATGCATACTCCCTGTCCTGCCTGCCTACACAGCCCAAAGCTGCACTCGCAATCACCGCAAATTCTGCTCCTTTGATAAAAAAAAGTGGATTTGCAAACACCTCGGCTGTGTTTTCTTGCGCAGGAAAGCAGTGATCAACTTCCCTGCAGAGCAGTACAATCTTGAGACCGATGCGTCCATAGTTGCACCCAATCTCACAGGTACTCTATGCTTTGTCCTGCCGTCCCTTCTAAGTTCAAGAGTCAGAGGTCTGTTCCTTGCAAAGGAGCTGTCTGGCGCTAACAATGGTGCAAGTTCCTTCAGGGTCTCACGAGGAGGCACCTTCCGCATCTGGGGTCTGCCAGGAGAAGTCGAGGTCAGAGTCTCCCAGTCAACCGCCTGGAGAAATCGTCTCCGAGACCACTGGTGTTCTAGAAGGTAAGACGTTGTGTTCGTCAGCAGGGTCTCAGAAGCTGCTGATGTCATTTGAGTAATGGCCCGTTCAGATAGCTTCCACAGTCATTAATGTGCGCAGTTCGGTTCGTCACAGGAGAGAGTGCAGATGAAACTCAGGGTAACCCCACCCCCAACCTCACATGGCTTTCAGAGTCCTGCAAAGCACACATCCCATCAGTGCCTTCTCTATAAATTTGCAGCAAACACTGATTATGTCAAGGTCACAGCCTCCTCTGATAGCAGCATCACACCATTTGCAGATTGCCACTGTGTGCTTCATGCACCATGCATGCAGAAGAGGTGCTGCAATGAATGAGCACGCTGTTCTTGAACATCCCCGAACGGAAGGGATGCATTCAACAGGAATACCTGAGTTATGAACATCTTCAGCAACGCTTGTAGATCTCTATGCACCGGACTGGGAGCACTGGGGCAGTGAAGATGCATGGACAGGAGTGTGCGAGTCTGTGGAGGACAGCCATGAGAATATTTGGGCGGCTGCATTCACAGAAGAGGACGAGGGCTTTGAGGAGATTCCAGGCATCCCCGAATGGCTGACTTCATCCCTGACTTGCCTGACCAAGCACACATGCTTTGATTACACGTTCAGACTGACCCATCTGAAGCATTGCAGATCCTGTCCCGGCAGTCATAGATTGTCATGCATGCACCAACTTTTCAATTGGGACCTCCTTGCAAATCACAATCTTTCATATGCACTGCATAAAAAGTTGATCATGGATGCGCTTCCCTGTACAACAACCTGCCGTTCTCTCCTCACATCATCCTGGACAGCATGCATGCATGATTGCTTTTGGGGTGTTATGACGAAGTCCAGTGACAATATTGCTCAGGCATGACGGAGCAGGACATGGAGGAGTACCTGGCCAGCGGGCGCCTGGAGCCCAACTTGCACATCTTCTCCAACCCCCTCTACCCAGCCTACGACAGCGACCTGGACAAGGCAAAGCACGAGTCCTGGATGGCCTTCAACGCCGCCAAAGACAGCACCGACCCAGAGGTCTGGCACAGGGCGGATCTGGCCGGCGAAAATCTGCTGCGCGCCTACGCTGAGGCAGACAGCTCTGATGATGATGAAGCAGCTGATGATGGGGTGCGTCTGATGATCCGTGTCAAGTGTTTCTATTGGCGCTGCAGCAATGGTCACAGGTGTCTTTTAAGATCTGTTCATGGAACGGCCAGTTGAGAGGTTTGTCAACTGGTTACTGTAAGTACCATGCCTGCTGCCCTGCGAAAGGGCTGCATGAGACGAGTGGCAGTGCTTGTTTGTGCGAAGCCTTAAAGTGAAAGGACGGAAATGTGTGCATGTGGGATTCAGCTGATGGCAATTATTGGTGAAACAGGAGAGTGAGGATGGTCCATCGGGGGCACAGGCATTTGCTGACACCGAAACTGTCAAGCTGAAGCCCGGCAGTGGCTGGCAATCGTGAGCATCCCTGTCCTTATCAATTGCTCCTTCAGCCATGCGTCTTCATGACGATATTTAAGAAATTTCTTGCATTTTTCAATGAAAGCGTAACCATTCACTTCCCAGGAAGAGTGTTTTAACTGCTGCAGGATCAATGGCCACTGGATCCGCAGAGTGGCCCTGCCAGAGGACGAGGAGTTTCTGGGATTCGGGCCGGATCCTGCCACATATACATCCAGCAACGGCAGTGTTGAGCCTGGAAACGGTAGGCAGTGGGCAACTGCGCTTCATCATAAAGTGCACCTTCTCCTTTCATGCCACCTGTAGTATTCCGGGTTTAAGCGGAACAACATGTGGCCACACCAAAGCTGAAAATGAGACACTTGTTTCTCTGAAAAGCACCATGAGGCAGCTGCAAAGGCATAGTGCCCGAAAATGTGCATGAATATTAAGAGCAACCCATGCATGACCATGACCAGCAATTTACCAGTCCTAATCCAATTGAAAGTCCCCTAGTGTGCTGCCCGCAGACGAGCAGCCATGCAAGAAGATGAAGACAGGCAAGGAAAACACCAATGACATGGAAGGAGAAGGCCTTGCTACAGGTCAGCAATAGCCCAGGCTTCCTCCTCAGGCAACTATTGGAAAACTGTACTTGTTGCTTCCGGAACTCACCGCAGACTTGCACTGATGTGGAATTTTTTTAAGTGCGTGCAGGTCGGATGGTGGCAAAGGTGGTGGAGCTGACCAAGCGGCTGGAAGGCATTGTGGTGAGAAACGTCCATGGCCTGGATTCTTCCGAAATGGTGCACTGCATTTCTCAATTTGTAGACTTGAAATTCTTATTTCTGTGTAAGGAAATACCCCCCTGCTGGCCACCGCGGAGGCGCTCTCATGAGCAGCGCCACGGCATCCGACCTGCATGCATGTATTTCAAGGTAGCATGCAGTGTTTGGTAGAGTAATTAGGATGACTGACGCAGGAGCGCTACAAGAATGGAGACCTGCCTTTCTGGGCAGTGGATGCTGAGGGTGCCCAGATTCAAGCTGACTTCGATGCCTTCATGGGCCGGTGTGTTCCTTGACTTCTTCATCCTTTGCTGGATGCTGGTGCTGCATGCATGCATGTACTGTTCATCATAGCTGATGCATGGAGAATGCGCACGTCCAAAAGTCCAGGAATGAGCTTGCATGCACACAGCCTGATGTGGTTCAGTAGCACTGGATTTAGTTAGGCTTGCTCTGCATGCAGGCCACTGCACGATCCCAGCAAGCCGCCATCCTACAGCGCTGGACATGTGTCCAAGGTACCATACCTGAGCTCAGATTGATACAGGTTGCAGCATCAGAGGTCTGGTATGAAAGAGGGTCCTGCTGCCTTGTTTGTGCCGCTTTGCTCTCTGCAGAATAAAACGTTATGTCTGGGCATGGTGCTATTACGCAGGAAGAATTGCTGGAGCTAGAGCGCAGGGAGGAAGCTGCAAGAGACCCAGACGCTGTCATCACCCAGGCAGGCAAATACAGCATCCGTACTGCCACCAACGGCGAATCTACGATCATGCTGTGAGACACTCCAGGCAATCTAGTACTCCCAAGGTTCCACATTTCTGTGTCTGAGTAATATGATGTTTCAGATTCATGCTGTGTGACACCTCGGGCTATTTTGTACTCCCAACATTCCAATACTCTGTGTCTCAGCAGTTTGATGTGTCAGAATCACGCTGTGAGACACTTCAGGCAATTTAGTACTCGCAAGGTTACTATTTCTGTGTCTTGAGCAACTGAAATTTGATCTGTCAGAAGTCCCGACTCAGAATGCTGTGAAGTGCATGCTGTCTTGCATTTGATTGATTGGTAGGAATAAGTTTCAGTGCTTTGATTAACAATTTGGTGGCACAGTAGGGCCCTCACAGGCCTTACGCCCCTTGCTGTCAGCAGCATCTCAGATGCACTGGTACTATGTCAGGCTTTATCGCAGCATTGACAACTCATGTAGAATGTTTTTTGTAGTGTGAGTTTGTCTTACACGAGTTCCATATACAAATGCGGCAATGTTTCATCGAGATTCATGGCAGTGTGCCAAGCTGGATGCCGGGAAAGCAGATGACTAAAGTCACACATGCAAAGCTATGCAGCATACTTGGGATCCCGCTTCATATGCAACACAGCACATGTATTAGCCGACTTCAATTTGCAATGGGCATGCCAGATACATGTTGCCAATGCGCTTGCAAGAAGATTTCAATGTGCTTCTGCCTCAGGACTGTCTTATCAGTGCTTGTGCTCAAAGCACCAAAGCAATCCACTGATGCCCCTCGCGATCGCTTGTCCTCACTCCTCGTGTGAGATCTGCACAACCACCTTGCCCCTGGAATGCGCCGTCTCCGCATGCTTGTGCGCTTCCCTGCGCCCAGATCAACACCTATTTGTGAATAGGGATGTTTAATCACCGTGCACGCTGGTCTTGCCAGAGGCAAGGTCTGCAGACAAGCTGCAGGTAACAGCTACCAGAATCCCCACCCCTTGATGGACTCAAATAAGGCTTGATTAGGCTTTAATGTGCCCTCACCTTCAACATTGAATTGTTTTGGAAAGCAGCATTTGCGTCCATGCAAAAGTGCCTACCTGATCTCCTTCAGCCAGAAGATCTTGTCCACAACCAGCTTGATGTCAGCCTGCAACGCTCAGCAGCATCAGCGCCATGCCAGTGCCGTTCCCTACAACCCCATCAGATATTCTGCACACGAGGGACATCTGGTATATGAGACTCACGTTCTCAAGGTACTCAGAGATGATGCTGAGCTGCGCGCCATTTGGTTTCACCTGTGAAGATTCACATGCAGCTTCAGCAGAGCCACATAATCATTTCACTTCTGCTTGCCAGCTTGGCAAAATCCGGAGAGCTGCAGAGATGGGCAGATGCTTACCAGGATGAGAATATACTTGCGATCCTTCCACTCTTTCCCGGCCTTGATCTTCTGCTCATTTGTGTTGCTGCATGCACATGATCGAACTGTAAAGTACCACCAAAGAGAAGTGCATCTGGGGTCTTGAGCAGCAAAGTACTCTACCAGGCTGCTGCTGATGAAGAAAGATATGAGGTGAGCATTGGAGAGAAGTGTGGCGCACTTGTTCATGATGTGGGTGTAGGTGCCATGGGGTGCAAGCACTGTGTAGCTCTTGTCCTCCACAGTACCTGGTAGAAAAGCAAATCAATTGACTAATAGGGTCAGTCCCCTCGGGACGATCTTCAAGATTAAGCTTATGCATGCGCTCCTATTTTACGAAAGGGAAGTAAGCGCAAGTATAAATGGGCAGCAGGGCAGCAAAACACCATGCTTGCAGCTGCAGCATCAGAAGAAGTGCCCACCTCCAATGGCGTCAATGACCAGGTCAAAGGGCTTATCCTTGTACTTCTCAGCAAAGTCCTCCTCCTTGTAGTTGAGCACCTCGTCAGCACCCAGCTCCTGCACAGCACCATGCCTCACACTGCCACAGCCACTCCAAAGGCTCCACTATGTTACCAGCATGCATGCCACATGCATGTATCCTAGCCCCCACAAGTTTGTCGCTGGAAAGTGGAGAATGCCAGCGTTGATGTCACTGCAATAGTTGCTACTAATCGTTGCTGCCGATTCCTGGGCCCCGGCTGGCGGAATTTGTGAGTACCGTGCCCACGATTGATTGAGCTTCGCTGGAAATAGCGAGTTCACCAAGGGGTAGCAAACACAGCCTGTGCCTGCAGCTTATCTGCAGACAAAACATGCCTGTTGGCAAGAACAGCGATTGTCAAGGACAAAAATGATGATGCTGCACTGGCATACCTCCTTGATGAAGGTCTGGTTGGCGGGGCCGGCTGTGGTAACCACGTATGCCTTGAAGCGCACCTTGGCCAGCTGGATTGCCATGTGGCCCACACCCCCAGCACCCCCATGCACCAGCACCCTCGCACCAGGCTTCAGGTTGCCAGACTCCAGGGCCTGCCATAAACAGCGCTCCTTTCAGATAGCTCTGCAATGCCTGACCTGAGACTACGCTGCATTGCTGCAGATGTAGCTTATGTACATTCCAAAAAGACACTGCATCAAGCAGAGGACAGCTCCGGCTTGGACAGCCAACATACAGGGTGTTTCCCTTCTTTCAAACGGCAGCCCTTCTGCCCACTTGCCACTCGCACTGCCCTGTAGGTCTTGCATTTCAATTCTTCTAAGTGGGGCAAATCATTACAGGATATACAAGTGGTGAACATAGACTCCAGGCATGAAAGGCAAGGCACCTGAAGGGCAGTCAGGGCCACCAAGGGAATGCCGCCGAGGATGTTGAGCAGGATGCCATAGGGAGCCTTGGCCAGCCACTCCTCCTTGCTGGCTGTGTAGTCTGCATAGGTGCCTGCATGCACACCACCACATCATGCACATGCATGTCCGGTGCTATCAATATGTGGAGCACAGCAGGCTAACGCTGTGTATACAGGTGACAGGCGTCTCCTCACCATACTTGTTCTCCTCATTCTCCCAAAGGAAACCCTTTGTCAATGCCAGCACCCGGTCTCCCTTCTTCCACTGCAAATGGAAAGGTGACAATCAGTGTGTGCCGCGTGTGGTCTGCATGATAGGTGCCATCAATGGATTATTTTGTTCTGGAACAGTGGACTTATTGCGCTCACCTTTGATGATTTGGACTCCTCAACAAAGCCTGCCAAGTCTCCTCCCAACACCTAGCAGAGTATTAGACTTTCAGCGGCATAGAAAAGACTGGTGAGAGTGGGTCACTCTTGCTCTCCCCAATTCAGATAATGCAACCCAACAAGACTTGGGTAATCAGCCACATTGACATGATTGGCTCTAAGCGCAATACTCTTACATTCTCAAAACTTTGCTAAGCCCTGATGTCTGTGTTGACGGTGCCTTCAGCTGACTCTAGATGCTATACTGACTCTAGATGCTATAGTGACTGGTAGAATGGCATCTGTCGTTGGATGCCATTCCTCAGATGCGACAGCACAGCAAGGTTGCGAAGCAGATCTGCACTTCTGCAATTTAGTATTTCTTATACCTATCATCTACCACCAGTTGATCGGCTGGCCCCTCGCAAGCCTGCATCTACCACACTATAGCATCTGGAGTCAGCCAAGGCACAGACAACGTAGAGCGCTCAGCACCTTCTAGACTCCTCCGTTATGGGTGTGTACACATATCTACAATTTGAGATACACCCTATTGGAAGGACTGGGCCCCCTTAGGCAATAGGGAATGCTCCTTCTCCCTTGCCTTTGGCAGTTTCTTCGGCGGAAGAGACCCGTCTCGGGTCTTGTAATCCACAGGATTGACGCTCGTGCTCACCTGACGGACAAGAACCTGCATGACATTCCAGAATCCTGGTGAAATCCCTTTCTAACTACAGTGCGGCATCCCGCAACGACTTGGTATACGGGAATATGCGTGACGAGACAGATCTGAGAGATGCACAATTAGAAAAGTGTCCGTTGAGTGTAATCTATCAATATCGAGCATCGTCATAAGTATTTACTGGGGTTTTCAGTGACGAGGTGTCGACAATGGTCGGATTATGCAAAGCAGAAGCAAGCGATACAGGCTCAGTCTGTGCAACTGGTCTTGAACATGATTACGAATTATTTTTGTCACCTCGCCGTCATTTATTGTGGGCTTTTCGTAATCGTCCACCAGTTCCAAGACGTCTGGCGGGCCGGTCTTGCGGATCAAAACTGCGTGCACCATGGTGGCGCAAAGTGGGCGGCTACGTCACAGTGGCGGTGTGCAACAGACTTTTATTCAATCGGGTGATACCTTTGATCTCATATTCAGAGCAGGATCCAAGAGATGATTTGAGTACCTTTAATTGACGTGCTGCTTTGTACGGATGCACGTGCACGCACATGCGTTGGTCTAGGCTAGAAGGGCAATGCATCCTGTGTTTTGTGGAAAAATCAACGATTTCCTACTCCTCGCTGTCTTCGAAAATCACACATGTCCAACAGCCACGGGATGACCTGCTCTCAGTGCATGCTTATCACAGATATTGTCCTGCCAGAGGCAAGGTGTGTCTAGAATAATTGCAGAGACAGGCTGCCTCATATTCTATCCTGTAATGGATTCGCCAGATCTTAGTAAAACCCAATCGATCGTGGGCACGGTGCTCAATACTTCACTTGCCCCTCGCCAGCCGGGGCCCAACCAGTGCATGCCATATGGTTAATTCTACAGTGCTGGCACCAGCCTGACAGTCGGGCCCCAATCGAGAACTGGTTGCAAATCTGTACCAGAAAGAAAAGCTACTACAATTCTTAGTGTCTGAGGTTTACTGATGACCCACAGCGTCAACCACAATTAATACTGGAGTTGAATGTGGAACGCATGTCCATAACTTCAGTACAGCAAACATTCAAGTCAGCACTGATGGTCTCGCGGGAGCAGGTTCACTCTTTGGAGATCTGCACCACAATCTTCCCCCTTCCTTGCTTGTTTTCAGCGTATTCATGTGCTTCCCTGCACACGTCCAAACACACCTCCATGGCATATCATCAGCAGCTAGAACTCTGCATAAGAAGGCCAGCTTCTGAAACAATTACCTCTCAACAGACCAGCAATCTGAGACGCACCTGATCTGCTCCAACGGGAAGATCTTGTCCACAACCAGCTTCACAGATCCCTGTGTCGAAGACGCCACACTTGGAGATTGATCAATATAGCTTACACGAGGTCAATCATGTGGCTGGCAGGATGCTGTTTCATCATGCATATTTGTTGAACAAACATGGCTGCGCTAATGCATGTGGAGGAGCTGGAAATATCCTGGGCAACACACCTGCTCCAAGTAGCCCGCGACGATCTGCAGCTGCTCACCATTTGGAACAACCTACGCAGCGCACAGAATGACGGTGACTAAGACAGTGCTCCGCAATGCTGCTTCCATCTACAGCAAACGTATGGCAGCTCATTTCCGCAGGCAAGATCTGCAGTCGACGCACCAGAGTTGTCTCATACTTGCGGCCGGTCCAGGCTTTCCCGGCCTCAATCTTCTTTGGGTCAGTGTGGCTGCATGCAAAAGGCAATCTTGTCAGACGTTTCCATGCAGAGCGTTCTTGAGCCGTGGGACACATCACTTTTGATGCAGAATCAACAACAGGAAGCGTGGGTGTGTCCGCTCACGTGCTGAAGATGTGCAGATAAGTGCCTGTCTCTGTAAGCACAGTGTAGCTCCTGTCTTCCACATCACCTGCACAAAGTCATGGTCAGTCAACTGCTGCTTTACACATGCAGCTCTACTAAAGCAGGACAAGCAAAGCCCGCTGATGCAAAAAAGGCTGCGCAGGGGGATGCATGTCACTTTACGCTGCTCAAACCATCACTTGCAGGAATTACAGCACACCTCCTACTGCGTCAATGACCAGGTCAAAGGGCTTGTCCTTGTACTTCGCTGCAAAGTCCTCTGTCTGGTAGTCGACAACCTCATCCGCACCCAGCTCCTGCAGCAGGCATGCCATACGCTGATATTCACAAAGATAGCGCACATTGCAGATTTGTGGCAAGATCAAGCCCGGCGGGAATGTGCATGCATCCTGAGGGCAGCTATTCCTGATCGAGCAGCCAATTTTATGGCTGACACGTGTGCTCATGTGAAGATTGAGGTGTACCTTGAGGAACTCCTGGTTCTTGGTGGATCCTGTGGTGACCACAAAAGCCTTCCAGTGCGCCTTGGCCAGCTGGATTGCAAAGTGGCCCACGCCGCCAGCTCCAGCATGCACCAGCACCCGCCCCTTCCCTGGCTGCAGCCCACCAGATTCCAGAGCCTGTGGACAGTAAACAGGCCTCACAAGACGAGAAGGCTGCTGAAGAAAGGTCACTGAGCCAGTTGCCAGGGGTTGATTGTAGCAAGTAGGAGTAGCTATCAGCCAGTGATATGGCCATAAGTGATCTCCCTAAGGTTTACATTTAATGGTAGCCCGCTTGTGGCTAATCAATCAATTGGTGTTGTTTTCAGGACACTTTGCTGACTGAGCAGCATGCCAACAGCGTTGAAGGCTCAACTGATAGGCCCTACAACCGGCCCAGATTATCTCCAAATATGGCTCACCTGGAATGCAGTCAGGGCTACCAAAGGTACACCCCCTGCAATGTCTAGCGCAAGAGTGGATGGGACAAGCGCCAGCCAGTCTTCGTGGCTGGCAGTGTACTCTGCATATGACCCTGCACCGAAATACAGGGGGACCTTACAATGTTGCATGCATGGCACCATTTGACAGCATCTGCACAGACAAATGACCTACAATGATTGCCGCTTTCGTATGAATTTCTCTTCATCAAAAAAGCTGGCTGCGCACCATATTCATCTGTGTCCCAGCGGAACCCAGGGGTCAATGCAAAGACACGATCGCCCTCCTTCCACTGCACGAACAGACAATGTTATGGGCATGCATGGCTTTTTAAGGAACCAATGGATGTCACATACAAGCATACTGCCAGTGGATTGCAGCTAATCGAAAGTAAGGTGCAATATTGTTGGATAAACAGGACTGGAGCACCAAACCTTGGATGAAAGTGACTCTGCTATGATCCCTGCTGCATCGCCACCCAACACCTGGATACGAATGCCTTCTCAATCACCTGAATTTTTAACTTCCATAATTTTGCGTTCTTTCCTGTGAGGTAGACTGGAAAGCACCAATGCAGGCACACATTTGAAGGGTTGCTTTACCTTTGGCAGTTTTTCGGCGCGCCCAGACCGTACTTTGTAATCAACTGGATTTACGGAAGTACTTATCTGTCGGATGAGGACCTGCAAGCACGCAGCAAATCTGCATGTCTGAACGTGCAATGGCAGCAACGGCATGGGCATCTCGTGTGAGGCTGAAACGTCTGTAAAGGTGTCCGTCCAAGAACATTTTGGGCGTTTCCTACGTACTGTGAGAGTAATTGTCCATGATACAAATGTAAAATGGAGGAATTCATGGATATTACGAGAGGGGATCGACCGGGTCGTTGGCGGGTGATCCTTTACACACTGGAGAGTGGGCACAGTCAAATACCTGTCCACTGACGATTTTTGGCTTCTTGTAGTCGTTTGTAAGCTTTAAAACATCGGGAGGTCCGGTTTTGTGAATTTCTACAGCGCGCACCATCCTGAGATCAGCCAACTTTATTGGCAATGTTGATGAGAACAGCTGCTTGCACAATGAAGTGGCACTGATCAACGGTCTTACCATGACCTTTCACCGCTTCAGAATGGAAAGGTCCTTCTCAAATCGCGATCCTATAATTTGCCCCACCCACGTGGCCTCCAGGGCACGTGCCGGCATGTGCTGCATTGTGCTTGCGCACAAGGCAAGGTAGGACATCACGAGACTCAGAATGACCTTGAATTTTCTTACGGTAGTAAAATGAGCCATGAGAGTTCTCTTCTTGTTAATATGCAATCGCTGCTTCAGTCAAGATTATGCCAATTTTATTGGCTGCAGCAATCACAACGGTTGCCTCGGGCTTGCATGCCATGTCAGTGACACATGTGCGTTGCCTGATGCTTGCTGTACCAATAATTGATAGCCAAGAGAATTTGCCGCTGCTATGCTTGAGCCAGCCTCTGTTTGCAGAAAAATCCAGAACAGAAGTCACATGGATCCATGGGCTGATGCCATCAGCCCGGCTAGGGCCTAGGCCTGGGCATGCAGCCACTTCAAGATTTAATCTTGAATATTCGGATCTATGTCATGTGCACAGACGTACATAGCCGTGTAACGTGATGTCTAAACATTGGTAAAGTGCCCTCATGTCACAACAGCCTTTGCCAACTGCTGCCTGTGACAGGGCACAGAGACAGTCCCGTACTCCAGAAGATCTGCATGGCAACGACAACTTGTTGAACCTTAAGGCAGGTGATGATTGACAGTCATCGACATAGTGAACATGCCAATTTCAGCGATGCCAGGTGTACACAATCCTATTAAATAACTTGAAATCTACAGACAAGGTTGCAGGCAGTTTCCCGAAGGTTTGCAGTGTGCACTGTAAAAAGCTTTCGTCCCTACCTTGTTGTACAGGCTGGTTGCCAAGGTCCCGTCCCCCAAATACAGTCCAGCAGTGCTGCAGAGACCATCCACTGACACATACTTGGGCTGTAATGCCCATGAGAATTTCTCGCCAGTGATGACGTCAATCTCATTCCTGCAGATGTACGGATTTCTGAGAATCACTCGATATCATAAGATGTCAAGAAAGCGGTATGGATGCCCTCCAAGCCAAAACACAGAGGCAAGAAATCACCTTGTGTTTATATCTCTGTCCACACCCAAAGCTGATGTATGCTCAGATTGCCATCGTTGCCTCTTCAAGCGCAAGTCCACCAGCTCTGGTGTCTGCACGCAGAAGATGCCTGCACATGCAGAACTTGGGTAATTGGTTTGAACACTCTGACACCCTCTGCAGATCAGTGAATGAGCAATTGCTCATGTACTGCTGCTGCTGCTGCCGCACAGACAGCTGACTGCGTGTACAAACAGGGCACAGGGACAACCTTCATCAAGATGAAGCGGTGGCAGGCTTGCAGCCTCTGCGAATCCGCGCTTCCTGGTCATGGTTGAGGAAGACTGGATAGGTGTCAGCAGGCCCAGCTTTCTGCCAGCGGCCTCTATGTCACTGTCTGACCAGTGCTTGCAGTCCCGCAGTGGGGCGATCAGGTCGCCGCTGGACGCATCTGTGAAAGCCTCAACCGGCCTGACACCCCCCAGAGTCCTGTAGTAGTGCAGCCCATATGCGCCCTACATACACAAAACCGCTCTCGACACCTTGGCAGGTTCCTTTACTATCATGCATCTGACTTAGGAAGACGCCCCCAAAGTTGACCATGGTGACCAGAGTTTGGCATCCTCCAGCAGGTGAAGGTCTTGAGACAGGCAATAAAGTTGGCCTTGTGTAAAACTCGGAAGAGCTCGAGGGCTTACGGTGAATACGGCTTGCGCGTGTTTGGCAGCATCTAAATGCGCTCCTTGGGCCTCGCTCTGAGCGCTGTTGGGCAAGCCTGCTGCCCTCTGATCCTGCAGCATTGCCTGATACACGCAGTCACAAAATCGTCAGCGGAGTCTTGCACCCTCTGAAGTGATCATTTCCTGCTCATCCCCAGACAATCGATCGCCGACAAGCCAAGAGAATGTCCAAAGAGAAGGGGGTGTTGCACACAATTTGCCCTGCACACCTTGAGGAAGCTTCCTCTCTGCTTCCCTCAGGATGGAGATCAGGCCACAAGTGTCCCTGGTCTATCGAGATTGAGCAAAACACCGAATCTGGCTTCAGAATGTTGAGCGTGGAATGCGCTGTACTCACTGCACTGATGGCACGCACAGCTTCTGCCAGCTCCTTGAACTTGGCTCTGCGCGCTCCAGGGCTGCCCTCACCTTCCCTCGCCTTGCATGCCACCTCACACAGAGCCACAACCTGGGCACACATTTCACGACCTCTTAACCATCAACTCAAGGTCATAGAATCCCGCCAGCATCTTGCACGGAGACAGCTCATGCCATAGCACACTCATCCGAAGTTCCAAGCACAGGCTTCACTGTAACATTCCATCTTTCATTCATTGTATCATTGAAGCACAGGCTTTTTGTAACAGGCTTTCATCCAGGGTGAACATTGAATATTGTAGGGATCTGAGCCGCACGTCGCACAGGTTCCTTGCAAAGTAGCCGTCTGGGAGCAGCCGTACGCATGGCAGAGCATCTGCGCGCGAGAGCTTGTCAGCTTCCGTGCCAGCTTCTTGCCTGGCCAGCACCCACCTGCGCACATGCACTTTGTCACCTGTCTTGTCTTCCCGTTAGCAGAGGGACATCTTGTATACAGGACTTTAATAATCTATTTTGTCGCTAGTAGGCTTGTCTGTGTGTTTGCTTGTCTGTGTACTTGCTTGCCAGCTTGTGCAGGCACTGACAGTAGGTACACTAGTGATCTCCTCCCTGCTACACGTGTTTCAGGCAGGCTTCCACATATTTGTACAGTTTAGAAATTTTCTCAGACCCCTGAATCCCCAAATGGAATAGGGACTCAACCAAAAGGATCGGCTGTATGTGGGAGTTTTTGGGGAGAGGATCAAAAATGGAATTCGGTCAGGATTACCTGCGCATGCAGCCCAGCAGGAAGGGCACAAAAGCCTCCACCCATGCCATCCATGGCTCCAGCGCAGCTGCATCCTCTGCTGCTATCTGCGTGCACATCAGACAGATGTCAACACATTAAGAGGGAAGGAAGGATCCTGCGACTGTCACGTTCAAAAATTGCCCATAGTGTCAGCTGGAGAATCTCAAAGTCAGTTCCTCTGTACCAAGAGCTGTGCAGACTTGACAATACATGTGCAAGGAATGGAAGCAAGCATGCAAGCAGGGTCTCTTGATTGAGGTAGGCTGGCGGCCTCAGGAAAGTAAAGATCAATAGTGAGAGATAAGTAGAGAGAGCCGGGGGCATCACCAGCACGGGGCCCTGCTGAGACTCAGGGGCGCCCCTATCGGGTCGGCACATCAGCTTCATCTGACCCGCCAGATTCTGCAGGTATGATTTGGCCCAAATGTCCTGCAAGCACCATGCACATTGCCATTTGATTTGCTGGAAGAGCTGCAGATCTTACTTGTCATCCATGAGACATCAACACCTGAATGCGGCGAGTCTGGAATGCAGGATTAAACAAGTAGGAGCATTCCCGAGGTGCATTTGTATGCATCTGTTCCGCACCATGCATATGGACTTTGCAGTGGGGTCTGTCATGCCCGCCAGCAGCTGGAGCTTGAAGGTGTTCAGTGCCATTCCATAAGCCGGCCGCTGTGTGTACCGTTCTGCATGGAGGGCCGTGTCCAAGCGAGCCAGTAGCTCGGATGCAAGATTTGGCTGCTCTCTGCCGCGCACCGCCAGTTGCCTCAGCACGTCCCACGTGCTCGTCCTTCTCACAAAGCTCCAGCACACCCTGCATACCGTCATCCAACTGTCCAGGCATTCGAAATTGAAGAAGTGGAAGGACACTTACAGATGGTAGGGCCTGCTGCATGAATATCTGCAACAGCTTTGATACGAGTAAGAACAGTTCCTTGAAACGATTTCGCACCGCTCCAAGAACAGTTCCAAGGGATGAAATACTCGTCTGTCACATGAAGGGTGTAAATGTAGCAGTGAATCTTACCTGAGTGCCAGGGCGTCTGCAGATTCTGTTGAAGTGGGGCTGCTTGCGGGCAGGTCATGTATGAGCAGCCTGCAGCCCCTGCCGCTCACTCCTGGGTGAGCTGTGACAGCGCAGCACATGTTGGGAGATGCAGCCAGGCTGGTGCACTCCCCTGGCAAGGATGCCTCAATTAGCACCTGCACCATCCCAATCATGTCCTGAGTTCCATACAAAGGAATATACACTCAACCTGAGCTTCATAAAGTAGAGATACCAACGGTGCTTTCTGCATCCACGGATAGCCGGCAGGCACAGCCTAACAATGCATGCAAAACTTGTTCCTTTGCCAGGATTACGGCACATGGGGAACTCAAGGGAAAGCATCCGGCAGCGCACCTCCAAGCTGTGGCTGTCAAGTATGCACAGCTGCGCGCGTCCCCCTGTGCTCGGGTGAGAGAGGAGTAGACTGGCGCCATCGTGCGAGAGGCACATGCGCACCATGTGCTCAGGGCTTTCATGCGCCTGGATGGTGCGTGAGGCAGCCTGTGACCATGTGCCGCTTGGGGCATCCTCTCTGAAGCTTGCCAGCACAATGCTGCCCTGTGCCTCTGAGATCAATATAGCAGAGGTGCCTGCAGTAGGGCATGGACACGGTTGTAGGCTTTCTCATGTCATCTGTAGAGTATACAGCCTTGTGTTTGACACCAAAGACTGGAAATGGACGGCCACAAGTGCTCACCTGCAGAGTCCGGCTGGAACAATGCTGAAGTAATTGAATGGCCACTAGCTGAAGGGATCAGTGTCGCTGTCTGTTCACAGCGTAGCACCTCATATGGCGTTCCTGGACAGACACAAATTGTCACTCTATGCAGCACACCTCTTCAAGACCCATACAGAAGGGCAGCACACAGGGATGGAAGCACATTTATCAGGTTCCATACCGTCTGGTCGGAATGCTGTGGGGTCGCCTGATATCTTCAGAAGAGTAGCCCTGCTTGGCTCCAGTTGGCTCACAATCAATAGTCTGAGCAATCCAGAAGTAGCCACCGCCACATCAGCTGCAAGCACATCCCCGGACACCGGCAGAGGGAGCGGTTCGCTCTGGTGCCACTTGAATGTAACATCTGCAGCGCCGCGAGCCCACCAAGCAACCTGTGGCACATGTCACCTTCTGAGAGCAGCAAAATTGGTACTAGCCATGATGAGAATTGAGCATGTTCCACACGCCCCATGCTCAACAACTGTACTTGCCACAGGCTAAAGCTCCCCATTTGCTCAAGTTTGTCAGGGCTATGATCACAGAAGCATGTGGCTCATACTGCACCTGGAAGGTGGCATTCTGCATGACGGCAGCGCAGGCCACGGTGCCCGGCCGGAACCAAGGCAGCTGCTGCTGTGCAACTGTGTGGGGCCCAAAGGGAGACTCAATGCCCTGAGATTGCGCTTTGCCCTGCAGTGAATCACTCCTGGGCCATCTCCATGGGGAGGGCGCCTCCAGCCACCTGAGTGTGACTGCATGGCACAATTTGAACAATAGACCCTCGCAGTCTCACTTTGAGAAGACACAGCGCACAAGATGACACGTGCAGAGACACAAGAAGTGAGATGTCTCACCAGGTTGAGAATGGGTCTGAAAGGTCTGATCGCAGTGCCAGGCACTTTCGGTGAGTATAGGGTCTGTCAAATGGCTTGGAGAGTTGCTGTTGAAGCCCTGTGACCATATCATGCATGTCCCACTCTTTGTAGCGGCCATGAGCTGGTTCTTCTGCTCCAGTGGAGACCATTGCAAGCTGACGAGCTGGGAGTCCACCTCAATCGCCTCTGATGGAGGGAGTATTGCATGTTGCTGCATCCACCACGCTACGATCAGTCACTTTAGGACTTCATCAGTGCCTGAAAACAGGCCAGTCAATACGTGTTTGGCTCGTCAGAGTGGTTTGTTACTTCTTGAGATTTACCTTGAGTGTCGATGGATTGAGTATGCAGATGGCGATCTTCTTAGATCGCTCATTGCTCACAGTCATCGCGATGAGGTTGCTGCCTGGATCCCAAGCTATAAGCGAACCCTGTGCAAAGCCTTCAACTTCCATCCCAGCGATGTTTTCCGGCGCCAATCCCATCGTCTTGTAGAGTTGGCTTGTTTTGAGTATTCCAGAGCGACCTTAATGTTCAATGTGTCCATCAGGACATGTTCACTGACTTCAGCTGATGGGCAGATAGAAGTCTCAGAAACACCTCAATAGACGCATCAAGTGGAGTCTCACATAGGAGCGACAATCAAAGATTTCCAAGTACAAAGTGAGGATGATAGCGTTCCAGGCCCTGATCTGAGATGGCAGCTTCGCACAGCTTCACCTATGCTGATGATTGTCCAAAGTTTCATTCAAGTTCATGAACCGTGGACAACATATTGCCAACAGTGATGCGGATGAATGTGTGCAAAAAATGTGCCTGAATGTTATTCGACTCTTTCAACAGGAACATGTTACATAACAGGAACATGTATACACCATGATGCTTACACTGCTGAGATCTCTAGAGACTTGAAGTTAGCAGACTTTGCAGATCTAAGACACTGCTCTAGAAACGAAATACCAATGACTTAAGCCCAGATATGGAGTTCCAGCACTGGTCAAAAAAAATGCATATGTCCCAAACCAGCCCGCCAGGGCTCTCATGGTTATCACACTGTGACAGAACCCTCAGTCCTTGTACCGCATCTCGCTCTTCTCAAAGCCAATGGTGGGGAAGTCCTTGGCAAACTCCTCGACGGCAGACTTGAGCTCCTTGATCTCTGGGACCTCGTTGGAGTCCACGTAGGCCTTGAAATCCTTCAGCTTGGGGCCCGCGCCCTCCTTGTTCTTCAGGTCAACGGTGATCTGCACCGCCCTGCAGAGCAATGACACCTTTGTGAGCCCCACCTTATGATATCCCTTTAGCAGGTCACCCTCATTGACCCAATTCAACCCTGTGGCGACTGATCTACCTGCCATTTCTGCATAGGCCTCAGCACTCTGGAAAACTGTGGAGCAATAGAGATTATAGTCATGCTAACAAATCAGTCAGTCGTTTGCAGCAGACAGCCAATTATATTGAATCGGCCGGGCTCATTCAGTGTCCAATCATTCTCGAGCCAAGCTAAACTTACCGTGACAACCCCAGCATCTAATGTTTGCAATGTCCATCCAGCCACAACAAATGTCCAGGGGATGCTGCAGATTTGCTCATCTCACCTGTCCACGAACTCGGCGACCTTGTCAAAGTCGGCCTCGGTGAAGCCGCGAGAGGTCAGAGCAGGGGCGCCCATGCGCAGGCCGCCGGGGACGAGCGCGGACTTGTCGCCGGGGACGGTGTTCTTGTTGGCAGCAATGTGGGCCAACTCCAACACGCGCTCCACCCTGCTGCCGTCCACTCCCTTGGGCCGCAGGTCCGCCAGCACCAAGTGGTTCTCAGTGCCTGCACACGCCAGATCCCAGGCTAAGCACCATTACCCACATCCAAGGGTCTCTGCAGGCCTTTTGTGAAGCTGGGAGTGAATTGGATTTCAACAATGAAGCACGGGAGGACACCACTGCAAAGTAGGAGTGTGCTGACAGTCTCCATCAATATTCTGAGGAGAACATCAATAGCACTGACCTGGAGCATAAGCTCCAAGTACCCCCTTCTGAAAGTAAAATCACCTTATGGCCTGCTGTGTCTCAAAGACAGCATTGACAAGCGTTTTTCCCACTCGAAGGTGGTCAACTTTTTCATTGCGAGCCTGGCATGCAAAGACAAGAATGGCTGCGCTTGGGAGCAGAGCAGGGAGCGCACCGCCGGACACGAGCTTGAAGCCGCGCTTCTGCAGGCCGTCGGCCAGGGCCTTGGAGTTCTTGAGCACCTGCTCCTGGTAGGCCTTGAACTCAGGGCCTGCCGCCTGCTTCAGAGCGCAGGCCAGCCCAGAAATGGTGTGGTTGTGGGGGCCTCCCTACAATCCATCACAAAAGCCCTTGCATCAGCCCATGCACACAATTTTAACTGAAAATCGCCACAACCATACATGATCCCCTGCATGGATGGCTGTCACACCCTCGACACATGCACAGACTCCTCTGGAGCAACAATGCCCTTGCAACCACCCGAATCCCCAAATTGGCATGCTACCTTCCTGCTCAAATCCACCATTGCAGTCACAGGCAATAGTACTCCAGCACCCTTTTGACGCTGTGTCAGGGCTGGTCTGTCTGCTTTGGCACAATCAGCTCACTCCTTCAGAGCTGTTTAGGGTAGAAGAGTCAGCCCACCTGCAGGCCGGGAAAGACAGAGAAGTTGATCTTGTCCTCCATGTCGTACATGATCTCCTTGCCCTTCTTGTCCACGCTGCGCACGCCCTTCCGGAAGAAGATCATGGCTCCGCGCGGCCCCCGCAGCGACTTGTGCGTCGTCGTGGTCACCACATCCGCGTAGTCGAACGGCGACGGCACCACGCCTGCATGCACATGCGCCTCAGACACATGCACCATGTGCCACAAATATACTTTTTAATATCTACTTTTACATACAATCCAGTCCCCAATAAGTCTCCTGTCAAGAAAGTACTTGCCAGCACTGCCGCATGCGCATTTTCTTGAGTACTTCCAGGTGGAACCACTGGAAAAGGCAAGCACCTGGCGCCGGGCATGCGGCTACAAGAAGTTTGAAATAAAAAAAAACTATTTGTGCAGCTGCATGCTAACGCACAAATAATGCTGAGAGCCACATTCTTTTCATTGCTAGAGGCAGGAAACAAGGCTCACCGGCGGCGACGAGGCCGGAGATGTGGGCCATGTCGGCAAGCAGGAAGGCCTTGTGCTTGTCAGCAATGGCGCGCATGCGAGGGTAGTCGTAGTGACGCGCGTACGCGGAGGCACCCGCCACGATCAGCTTGGGCCTGAACAGCGCTGCGTTCTCCTCCAGACGGTCGTAGTCGATGATGCCCGTCTCCTCGTCCAGTCTGTAGGCCATCGTCTGCGCAGCATGCAATGCATTCAGATCAGCACGATACGGAATTTGCACTCAGGGCAAGGTGCAAGTTCATTCTTGGAGAGGTTCTTGTGAAACCTCTCATGCGCGATACCTCGAAGGCAATTGCTGCCTGCTGCTGTTTGAGCATCTATCTACCCTGCACGAGACAGCTTCAAGAAGATATGCTCCCATCGTGTAAGAAACACGGCTCCAATCTAATGATTACTATTGGACTTAAGGGTAGATTGTCTGAGCAATTCGGCACAAAAGTCAAGGCCAGCAATTTCGGTAAGTGTGAGAGGGAAGAGACGCACCTCAAAGAAGATGGAGACGGCTGAGATGCGCTTGGTGTCGGTCTGGTAGCCGTGGCTCAGATGGCCGCCGTGGGGCAGGTCCAGGCCCATGATGCGGTCGTGCGGGTTCAGCAGCGCAGTGTACACCTACACGTCGGCCACATTGTAAGTTTCTTCCAGTGCTTGGGCATCTTGGCAGGATCAGACTGGACCTGACTGGAAGCCTTGGGTTTTCTAAAAGATCAAGACTGGAGCTGACTAGAGGGTGCTTCTGCTCTGCTACTGCTACAGATTGACCTCCTCCTCCCTCTCCAACTATTCTCAGGTCCCTTGCTGTTTTGCAAGTGCATGTACATTCATGACGAGTGCCAGGGAGATATGCTGATCCTCTGCATGCGTTTCACGACACTGAGAGCAACACTACAAATGTGTTTATCTGCCACGATATTTTTAGAAGTCTATTTCAAGATTCCACGCGTCTGCGCACCTGGAAGTTGGCTGGCGAGCCGGACAGCGACTGGACGTTGACGCCCCACTTCTCAGGGTCCAGCCTGAACGCCTTCAGCGCCCGCTCCTGCACAGTCACAGGGCACCCTTTCGAGACTGTATGGTGAAGTGGCATTAATCTGCAAGGTCACATGGCACACCCTCTCGACACTGCTGTCAAAGACAAGGTTCAACATTGGGACTGACACTTTGTAAGAGAGAGTAAATTCTTGCAGCCTGTGCTTGTCTTGCTTCTCAGCTGCTTCCTCGTTGAGACACTTCACACCTACTTTGTAGGAAACAGGCCATTTGTGCTCTGGGCACAATAAAGTATTCCGATGATTCAAGTAAAAAAAAAGTGGGTTGCACATACCTGGCACAATCTCTCTGCTTGGTCGATGAACTCATTGCCACCGTAGTAGCGAGCGCCTGGGTAGCCCTCGCTGTACTTGTTGGTCATCACCGACCCCACAGCCTCCATCACTGACGAAGACACAAAGTTCTCCGAGGGAATCAGCTCCAAGCCCTGTTGCAAATCAGCCACACTCAGACGTGCAAATGGAGGCATTTGCACAGGTACAGCGGCTAGCTTTCTGCATTTGGCGCTCGAAGCATGGGCGGGAACTTTGTAGATTGGTGTGTTATGGATCGATACACGCAAATGGCAACAGGCTCTTCACATTACAAGGGCCATACCAGCAAGCCCTCAATGTTGCAGAATTATAGGGGATAAAATGTGATTGCAGACAGGGTGCAGCACAAGCAGGCAGGAGTTGCAGCATGCACAGCGGCGCACCTTCCATTGTCTGTTCTTCTCGTGCTCTATGATGTCCTCCAGCTCTGGGTCAACCTCAGACAAAGGCGCATTGAGCAACTTTGGCCACTGCGCAGACAGCACAATTACAGACTCAATCTCAAATCGATCAGCTTATGCAGAGCTGCTGGCTGACTCTAAACGCAGGGTGTGCTGAACGGCCTTCGGGCAACTCACCGTGACCTTTGCCTTTGCAGGGTCAGCCGCTAAATGCTTGTAAGACTCCTCGTTTGTTGCCGGGGTCTGCAAGGAATGCACAGGACCGTCAGCATCCTGGGTGCTACCTTCTGGAGGAAAATTCAGCAGGCAACTGGACTGGCGAAAAGTAGAAAGGGACATAAGCTGGCGCAGATCGCACCTCATTGGCAAAACAACGCACTGCTCCCACCTGCAAGCAGTTGAACACCGTCGATCGAGGGTACCAAGAGATGGGGCACAAACACTGCCAGTTTATGTGGTCATCATCTTATGAATTGCTCGTAACATACGCATAGGACCACGAGAATTGCGTAGTACAATGTGAATAACTAAGGAACATGCTCAGATGCAATACAAAACGAGTGTCGTGTTGCCACACCACTGCGCTGAAAAGTCTATCTCAAACGTGAGGCCAACACAACGAGTTCAACCGGTTCGACGTTGTTGCACGAGACTGCCACACAATTGGCCAGATGCAACGTCGATGATAGAACGAGCAAGCAATCAAGCCACAAGATCCTCAGACTGGACCCGCAGCAAGCGAAGGGGCGCCACTCACATTAGAGCGCCACGCAGAGGGACATTGCCGCACTGCGGCCCCAGCGCGTCTCAGCAGCACTCCTGCCATCGAGGGCGATGACAGACGCGTTGCAAGCCCACTAACAGACGACGATGGTGAAGAAAGACAGCCCCGCGATCCCCACGAGTGCATGCAGCAACCTGCAGCTCCGACACCCATCCAGGTCACGTGCAACGTCACCGACAGCTTTTTGAAGCGTCCAGGTCCAGGCAGGCACCGATGGAAGCAGCACCACCTGCTCGATCACCTTGCTAAGCCCAAGAAGAGCCTTGCTTTGCATGCATGGGAGAGCTCAAAATTGCAAAGTTTCCTGCTCTGAAACTGCGATTTACTCTTTTCAGCAGCCAGCAGATACCAATGTGAAGCGAGCTGCAACCGGCTTGTCTGATTTGCAAGCGAGACGCTGATCACGGTGTCTCGTGATTTTTGATTCGTAGTCTACACCAGAAACCCAGTAAAGGTGCAGAGCGGAATGGCCCGCAGTCGACTCCCTTGCAGCTAGTCCATGCGTCCCGCAAAAGCGCTGCTCCTTCTCGAATAGTAGAAAGACATCTACTAATGACACTCAGACTCCTATCTAAATTATGAAAAGCATCGGACGTACCTGTCACTTTGCGGCAGCAGCAGGAAGCCACTCCCAGGAGGACGAGTCAATTGCTGGGCGCTTCCTCTCGGTGCTTGGTTGTGACTGACAAAGCACTTTTATGGGAATAGTGATTGTCGATGATCGCAGCAAAATTTGGTGTACAGTAGGTTGTAAACACTGTTACGTTGAAGTTCAGGGTCCTCGGCGAAATCAAATGCGCGTGGCATAACAGACGCTGGCAATTTCATTACTCATGATCACCAAATAAACCGTGCTTTTGACACGATATTTTCCTGTGTAGAGTCCAGGTCAGACACTGCCTTGATGCAGCCTACATAGCATGATGGATCCCGGTGCAGACACAGGTAGCCTAGCTTGCCAAGAAATGAAGAAGATATTACATCCATGATTCTAGGTCACATGTGTACAGCACCTGTGTAGGTATATACCGGTAGTACCGGTGCTATACTCCGAGTACTAAGTCAGTAGGCTATAGCTTATAAGGCTGCTCATCGAAGGACTGGTGTACAACTCATAGCACGCACTTCTTGCCACTGGATGGCACCCGTGATACAGCAGTGCACGTGACAAATAATCATTCATGCCCCTTCGCATTTCACCCAACTTTGAAAGTGCACTTGCTTGCGCGGATCCCAGGATTCCTTAACACAAAGTTCAGCGAAAATATTCAAGTAAACTCAATGAGACACGCTGCAAGTTCCTTGCATTACTCTCACTGGAACAATTGCAGGTTCCAATATGATCACTGTGAAGCATCTGGCCAGCCAATAGCTACCACAGCTACTCCTGTTGCTACCCCAAAAAGAATACAATCCTTCGCTGTCTCGAAGAGACTCTTGCGCAAGGTATGCCCTGAGAGTCTGGATCCAAGCCTGACTGTTGTTTATCGACCCCCGCAACTTTTGATTCACGCAAGCGCACGTGACAGCCAATGCTGTGAGGACTCTTCTGCAAATGTATGTCCAATTATTTAAACTACAGGATTCCACGATTCCATGCTCTGGTCTAGCTTGCCTCCTGAGCACCTGGTATCACTAAATCGTTGCAGGCAAAGCCTGACAATTGTCATCAGCTAGGTGCTCCCGAGACCAAACTATGCAGGCAGGGGACTTCTTACCAGCCAAAACAAATGTCCACAAATCTGCAGACTGCATCCTCTACTCCTTGTGACCCTTACTGCGCCCAGAGCAAAATCATTGTGGCTAAAGTATAACCGAAAGCAATGCCCAGATATAAGACGTTGACACTACCTGACATGAGCGCTCACATATAACTTCTTACATTCATTGGGACTTCCACATGCCAGAACAGATGAGACCACACACATTTCTGGCTTGCCTGCCAACAAACTGGTCAAGAGGATGCCGATGAAAACTTGCGGGGGTTGTCAAGAATGGTGGCCGACAGGTCTTGCTCTGCAGGCAACACACACTGGCAGCAGTCAGTCCAGACACATGGATGATCGTATCCTAGGGGTAGTTCAATTACTGGTAGTGAAATTACCCCCAATCGTTTTGCATGTTGCGCAAATTCACTTGTGGGGGCTGATTGAGCATGGCAGGATCAGAGACAGTGCTTCTCAGATATGAAGCTACAATCTACACATTCCTGGGGACCTGCCAACCTCTGATGACCTTCAATTGGGACGCCCAATCACATGACATGCAAAGCAGGGATGCCTGATGATACTTCTGCCGTGATCTATGCTGCACCCAGGATGGACTGGTGATGCCAACAGCATCACTTACCCTGGGAGTCCTGTGTTTCATGGGAGTTTGAGGCAGTGCGCAGGGGCGGGGGCACTGATGAGACCATGCGGAAGGCCGAGTCAACAGGCATCAGGCTGCCATTATTGCGCTGGCCCATCAGGCTTGCCATAAACGAGCCCTGGCTCTGCTCGCCCTCCTGCAGCAGCCACACCCCAAACTTCAGATCACCGTGCAAATATGGATCAAATCACTACACACCGTTCTGCGTCTCTTTTCCTCGCAAAGAGGCCTGTACCACTGCTCCTGGTCTACACCCAAGACAACAGTTATCGAAAATTGTTCCAGGGTAAAGTACAATGCTTACCTCGGCAGCGATGGTCTCAATAATCCCAAACACGTCCTGCATGTAGGGATATGCCTCGATTGTGGACCGCGCAGCTTGGAGCGGTGTCAGAATCTGCAACCAATGGACAACGCTGCATCAGGTTTTAGTCTTCACCCTGACAATGTATGAAAAAGAACGAAACACACGTGACCTCATGTAACAAAAGGATCCTGACTGGCAACTATAGCACCAGCAGATTGCTTTGTTTGGGAAGGATCAGCAAGCTTACATCGCTTGCGTGGAAGGCGGACACAAATTGGCTGACTTCTTTGTGCTCCAGCTCCAAACTCTCCTTCAATTCATCCGAGGCTTGGAGCGCCTGGGATGGCAATGCACCACGAACCCTTCATCTCGATGTCAGGGGTCAGTAATACTGACATAGCACGCACTCCACGGTATTACAACACAAAACATTGGGTTGCTTTGGTTTTAAACAGATAGGGCAGGAGCTGTACCTTGGAGAAAGCTGCATGATGTGCGGGCCCAGCACAGACTGAGTCACGAGTGGGCATCGATGCCTGCATTATCCACATGTCTTCAGCACACCCATTGAGCAGTCACAGATAATAACTGTATCCAGCCTTGCAAGGGTTCTTCATCAGCACCAGTGCGTGAACAATAAGAAATGCCACAAAATGAGCAGGGAGCCCAGAACGGGTGATAACTCTTCACCTCCAGATGTGTTATTATTCGCCTGCGCTGCTCAATGATGCTCTCCATGCGCTCGAAGAGCTCATTCCTTAGCCCCACCAGCCTCCTCTTCTGCTCCTTGTCCAGCTTCATCACATCCTGCGCGCACCACTCATCCTCGGTGAAATACAACACAATTGTGACGCCCTTGTGAACCGACCCTGCTGGGACAAAGATTTCTCTGGTGCGTGCAACTTCAGCATGATTGATGACAGCATGTGGAAAAGCACTGGACAATATTGGAGAAAGACTAGGAGATCAAGCTTACCACACATTTCCTCCAGAGCTCCTGGCTTTTGGGAGGCGTCCGCTTCTTGAGCTCCTGGGTCAGCTTTGTGATGTGTTTGGGGTCCTGCCGGGTCAGCTGAAGCACTGCGTTTTGCTGCAGTAAAAAAGACAATCCCTGTCAGCTCCTATGATTACTGAATTTCCACAGCGTCACTAGCGCAAATCAGATTAAGACATACATGAATTGACATGTTGTCCTAGAGTGCGCTCTAGCAAGCGCTGCTGAGGCCTGATCTTTGCATGATCTGGGGGACAAAAGCACATGAGCAGAGTGGGAGGGGGTCAAGTCACTCACATGGCCCCTGACAAGCTGTTCCATGCGTTGGAAGCCCTCAGAAGATGGATCATCCGCGTAAGCTGACAGCATGCACTGCATCAGCTCATTTGCGTAGGCCTGCAAGCATGCATCAACCCCCACCGCTTGTCAGCAACCTCTGTCCTTCATCAGCCAGCGATGCTTTCAGTTTGAGGTTGATCTTGAACAGCTTGTGCAAAGCTTGAAGTGCACCAACTTCATGCAGCTCTGCTAAGAGTTCAATTCCTAGAGGCGTTGAAATGCTGACTGCAGCGCAGTCAAGAGAGGGTATGTTTAAACGCACATTGTAGAGCTGAAGGACGTAGGTGTGATCTGAAAAGCTGATGTCTTCCGGCGCTATTGGCGGATCCCGGACGCGCACAATGTTATGGAAGTCTGAGAGTGCTCGGCACAGGGCCAGCTGCTCTGGGCTCATGGTCCCCTGGGCAGTCACAATACATTTCAGCTGCGCAGAAGTCCTTCCCTTGGAAAAAAATTCTGCGCAGTTACCTACCTAAGGCTGTGTAGTGAACACCTCCTGCCATGTTTCACAACGGCAGCAAACCCCACATGATCAGAGCAGCGTCTCACGATGAGCTGATCTAAAATCATGGCTCTCATGGTTCTAGTGCGTTGCTTGATTGCATGCATACCTGTCACTGCTCGCCTTGTGTTTGCCTTGCGATGCACAACCCCTGCCATACAGGGACCTGAGAGACATCGCTATACCAGCATTGCTTGCATTGGAATGTGAAGGGACCAATTAGAGGGCAGTATGCTTACCTCACGGCCATCGGTGTGCTGCTGCTGCTCATCTTTAAGCTGAACCACTCGTTCCAAGAGGCTGTTGCGAGTCTCCAGAGAAGCCTTCTCGCGCATCAGCATCGACACCTGCTCGCTCAGCTGCTCCACCTGCTTCTCAAAATCATGCATCTTCTCCTTCTGCAGCACAGAAGCGATGCACATGAGATAGACGAGCTACATTACATCACACAGGCCGTCACACCCATGCGTGAATACTCCAAATTAAGCAAAACGCATGCATCCTGCAGTCGCTCACCTGTCTCTCCCGATATCGCTTCTGTGCAGTCCTGTTACAGCACCACAGAAGTTGTTGGGACAGGAGTCACCAGAGAAAAATGCAAAGCTTGATCAAGCCACTTGACTTCTGTTCTAATTCGATAACATCAAAAGCAGTAAGAGCCTATTGGAGCAGCAGGAGCACCTGTTCTTCTCAGCCAGGCGCTTCTGCCGCTTGACTTGGCCCACAGGCTCGTTGTGGGGAGGGGCGTAGTCGTCTTCGCTGCTGCCGCGGCTGCGCTGTGGTGTCAGCATGGATATGTTCTCTGGCTGCAGCAGCGCCTCAGGAGGCTGGTGCAGCTGCTGCAGCCTGAACCCGGCCATGCCATTGGACGCCTGGGGGATGGCGCGCAGAGGAGGCGCGCTGCGTGATGCAGCCAGTAGCTCCTGTTGGAAGCGGCCGTCTGATGGTAGGGAGAGCGATGAGCTCAGCAGCTCGTGGCCAAAGGAGGTTTGCACGCCTGTTCCATATCCTGCGTGCCACCAACCATATACAGAGTATCTGGGGGCAGATGCTGCAAGGCATGCTGCATGCTCTGCATGCTGTGCTTGAAAGAGGTGCCGGAAGGGCTCTGCTCTGTGATAAGGAGCCTTCTGTGATGCGAACACTGCAAAAACGACTAGGACATGGTGCACCTGAGGATGTCATGAAGCTGTCAGGAGGGAGGATCTGGTCGTCATAGTTGCAGCTCGGTGTGCTTTGAAATTCTGCCAGTATTTTCTCCAAGCCACTGTCAGCACCGTTCAATTGCTCGCCCCTCCCTGACCCGTCTGGAAAGAACATTAGTGTCCTGCAAGATTGCAGAGGTAGATTGATGCACCATGAGTAAAGTCGAACGATGCCCCACAGGGGGTCACACAAGTCCTGTGGTTTCGCTAAGCGGCATCAAATAACATCGATATTGATGTGATGTTCTAGCTCCGGCACTGCCATCAAGCAAGCACACCACTGACCAAGAAACAATCACAAGAACCTTCAGGAAGCTACTGCTGTCGGCCCAAGATAAGAGGGGAGTGGGGTACTTCTTCGATCCCATAGACGCAAAAGGGCACATATTGATGGCAAAAGACTACACCTCTTCAAAGAATCAGCATTGAGCCTGTCCATGTTAGAGAAGGCTTGGTGTCCATGCCCACAACGGATGTGCCGTACAGAGGGTAAGGGCGACCACCCAATATCTTCGTAACACCCAAAAAGCACAAGTGAACGTCACCTGTCAATAAAAGATGGAGGCAGACACCACCAACGACGACTCCCCGCGCAGATCTCCAACGCCTCAAACTACGTAATACCCCAAAACAGGGGTCCACCGCAGCCTCGCAATTTGCAGTCTTGCAACGCTGCGCTGCCTCTGTGCGCACTCAGCTCACATTTGAGCCGTCTGAGGCCGCCTTGGGAAGTTGGAAACTGATAGAAGTCCCGTTTCTCTGGCTTAGGCTCACGTCATCGGCTCTATACACCCATTTTACAGGGGTGAATCATGAGGCCGGAGCCAATCAACAGCAGCGCTCCATCGGGGTCCCCTTACGCGTAAGCGGACATGAACCATGCTGAGCCAGATGAACGGGCGCGCCCCACAACTCGCAATCGTCAGGAAGAAAAGTTGCACTTGTTTGTCCCAGATCAGGTCCATGTCTGCACAAGTGAGGCGGATATATTCATGATTTGTGTCTTGTTCGTCCTTCTGTAGACGTGAGTGAGTGGCTTTGGGCACCACAATGCTTCTGCCTAGATTGCATCGAGGCACGCACGATCTCGAGCTTGCATCCGATATTGAGGCTCCAACGCTCAGGTGCGGATTGTACATGTTAGATCGGCTGGGAGTGGGGAGTTCCAGCAACGCGGTGCCTCGATGCCAATGGTTTCATACTGTCCTTGGACTACCTTTTGGGCATTAGGCCACATCCACTTAAGCTTTTGAATCAAATTTGAGTTGTGGGTAATATCGTCACGTCTCTGTTTGCACGATCATGCTAATGAAACACAGACTTCAACGTGGCTCCCGTCTAGCCACTTCCTGAAATGTAGGGCGGCAGTGCTTTGTCACCGCTGCTTCCTTTGAAAAAGTCGACTTGGACCATCAAGTCTTGTCTTCTTACCGATACAATCATCATAAGACTGATTGGCAGACTTTCGTCCAGGCAAAAATACAGCATGGAGCCCAACAATGGAGCTGATATCAGGCTGTCGCTTGGCAAGGTCATGCCCACATCGCGGAATTCGTCTCATGATAGCCTGGAGTCCACGTCAGGCTTTGAGAATGGTGGCATGCGCATCACCTTCAAGGCAAGCGAATTTTCACCTTCCACCAAAAGCGAAATTGGACGCATGCTATGCAAGCGTGTTGGCTTGGGGAACATGCAACATCATCCAACCAACCATTTACATCTGGGTGTGCAGGAGCTGACATACACAGTGAAGAGTCACCATGATAAGAAGGTGGAGGTTGCCCTCTTGAAGCGAGTTTCTGGTTTCTTCAACCCTGGAGAGATGTCAGCCCTGATGGGCCCATCTGGCAGTGGCAAGACCACCTTGCTGGGTCAGTCTCCTCTGCTCAGCTGAGCCTGCCGTGGCACACAGTGTTTGCAACACTCTTCAGCCCATCCTCCCTGCCAGCAGAGAGGCAAAATATTAATATCCTTGGTGCGTGCAGATGTTTTGGCTGGGCGGAAGACGACTGGGAAAACTGAGGGCACGGTGCTGTTTGGGGGCGTCAAGCCCACATCCGGGTTCCTGAGGAGGTACACTGGCTACGTCGAGCAGTTTGGTGCGTGGAGTGCCCTTTTTCCCCACACCTGTGCTGCAGTGACCCAGATCTGACATTGTGCTCTTCGTATAGTATGACCAGACCACGTTGACGCCAATGCTTTCAAAATTAGTGCATATCTTTCATTTTGCAGCCACACATGCATCAAGCTGCTCCCAAGGGGCGTTGCAGAGGGCATTGAGGCATGACCAGGCATGCCCTCTACGCAGAAGGGGGCATGATTGATAATATAGGAAGTGGAGATGCAGCGTGATGAGTTCTGCGGGCGGACCTGACGGTCAGGTGTTCGCAATACAGCAATGATACACCCAAACGTCATGTTGCCCTTACTGATGGGGTGGAGACGCCCCTGCAGACACGCTGGTGGACGTGCTGACAGTGGAGGAGATGCTGCTGTACACTGCGCAGCTCAAGCGGCCGCTGAAGGAAAGCACCTGCTCCAAACGCGCTGCAGTGGACGCACTCATAAGAGATCTGGGCTTGGAAGGCTGCCGCAACACTCGCATTGGGAATGCCATGCACCGCGGCATCTCTGGGGGCCAGGCGCGCTTTTTGCACATGCCACACAGGGGTATTTGCTGTGTGTAGATAAGCAGAGGACATCCTCCAATCACTGCCTAAGTACATGCATGAACATTCTGGCAAAGAGGCGCTTCACGGCGTCCAAAGATGTATCACCACTGTTTCATACACAATTCCTATTCACGGGGAACCCCACACGTCTGCGTTCTGACCCAATTAGATGGCGGTGGCCCCTTTTATGAAATGATGCATGCATTGCCAATTCTTGGGTATGGCACAGGGGGTGCCTCTCAATTGCATTACTTGAGCCTGATATTGGTCCTCACTGTGCACGCAGGCAAAGCGCACCAATATTGGCATCGCCATGATCACCAACCCCCGGGTACTGTTCCTGGACGAGCCCACCTCTGGCCTGGACTCCTACACATCCAACGAGGTGAGATTGGCAGACGCTCATCATCGTGACCCTTGTAGCCAATTCAACTTTGCCATCTCTTGAAGCACCTCAGTAGTGAGTAGCATGCTGCAGACAAGAAAGACAAGCACACACCAGCTGATAACACGTGCAGCTACATTAAATGTCAATAGAAATGTGCGTCCCTCCGTCGTGATCAAAGCTGCAGCTCAGATCACAGATAATGAACGTGCATGTGCATGCAGGTGATGACGGTTGTGAAGCAGCTGGTGAAGTCCGGCATCACAATCTGTGCCACCATCCACTCACCCACCCCTTACGGTACACCCCTTGCTGTGCTCAATAGTGTATCAAAGATTACGTGATCCTTTATTTGTCCGCAGCACTCATCAATACTATCGTTCTTTTTTTAGCCTTGTTTACATTGCATACATCTGCTGGACAGCCAAGCCTTCTGTCTATCACACGGCAGAGAGAGCCCATCGTGAAATGCACGCAGCTTGCTTGAGCATTCTTCATCTTTGCCTACAGCCTTCTGTCTGTCATATAGCAGAGGTCACCATGAGGTGCAAGCAAACATCTCCAATCCTACTGCGCGAGTACACTTTAATTTCAATTTTACTGCGTGAGGACCTGAGGTTTGTGCCCCTTTTGCCTGTGCAGCGTTCCGGTTATTCGACCGCATGATGCTGCTGCTGCGGGGGCGGGTGGTGTACTTTGGGGCAAGGGGCGAGGAGGCCACAAACTACTTCAAGGCTGTGCCGCTGCCAGAGGGGCAGATGATGACGTCCCTGGGAGAAGGCTCCAATGAGGCAGAGTGGATTGTGGACATCACCACTCAGGCTGACCGCCAGGAGAGGTATATCCTCTTGCCAGCCTGCTGTGTCACATATTCCTGATGATTGCATGCGCATGGAGTTGTGCATGCAACACCACGAGAAGTTTCTTTTCTAATCCGCAAATCTGAGGGTCACAAGGACAATTGCACTTGCTCATTGCATTTCTCTGCTGCATCATGCCCCTTGATCTGCACGGTCTTCAGCAAGCAAAGGAGGGAAGCATGCATATTGCCCCGCAGAGCCCCAGCCTGCGCACATGGGCATCTTGTGCCAGAATGCACCGCGCATCTCATGTGCTGTTTTCAGAAGGAATGCTTTACCCCCCAGCGATGTCCTTCTTGAGGCTTGCAGTTTGCACCAAGGTATACGCTCTGCGTTTCCTTCCTGACACTTAGAGCAGCATTTCTGCATGGCAGGGGTGGGATGTTTGCGGATCTGTATGAGTCCAGCGAGATCAAGGCGGCCAATGATGCAGAGCTGGATGGGCTGCTGCAGCAGCATTCAACCGTCAGCCCCCAGCGACTCAAGGAGCTGTCTGTCAAGCGCGCCACTGTCACACCCTCCTGGTGGGCGCTATGGATCCTGTTCAGGGTGAGCCTCTCTGTTTTTCCTTCCCTGTCAATTACCTTGCTATGCTGTTCAGGGTGAGCCTCCCTGTTATTCCTTCCCTTTTAAGTACCTTGCTTTGCTGTACCAACGCACAGACAGTGTAATACATTATGGGGGCGTTCCTTATGATGGGTCATCTGCTCAGGATAGTTTGTGTCTCTGCGCTGCGCAACTTGGAAGTTGTCTTGCCAGCTCAGCTGAACCAGAGAGGTTCTGCTGTGTCATGACAAGAAGATTTACTTCTGTGTCATGGCAAGAAGACTTACTTAAAAGACAAGGATTGACCATGGGGTTGTGTTCTGTGTGCAGTTCCGCACCCTGAAGAACTACAAGGATGGGGCGTTCCTGGGCCCGCGCATTGGCGACAAGCTCATCTTCTCCCTGCTTATTTTCAGGCAAGTACCCTTCACATTGCCTGGCGTGTACATTTCCACCTGTCCACCCCTCATGAAAAAAAGAAAATTGCATGCGCAAGTGGGGTATTTGAAAGTTGCACTGAGCGATTTGTGCTGTGCTGCAGCCTGTATTTTGCTGTGGGCAACGACTTCTACGCAGACAACATCATCAACATTGCGGCAGTGCTGTTCATGTGGAGCACGCTGCCAGCCTTTGGGGCGGCCGCCTATGTCCCCTCCATTGTGCTTGAGCGACCCCTTTTCACCAGGCAAGCCCTTCTGCAGCTCTGCCTCTCCGCACCTACTGCAGGGAACTTCTCAGTGCAGGACCCTTGCCTGTACCTCCATTGAAAGCAGTTCCCAGCTGGACTGCAACAAAAATGGCACAAGGGGCTTGCCGCTTTGTGTCTGGAAATGATTGTGTAATCTGGCAACCATGGAGGTCATGAACCAAGTCTTGCACAGGAGAGTGATGCGGCCCTGCAACTTGAAATCAGAGTCAAGACATCAGGCCTGCTTTGACTGGGAGCGATGTGTTGTGACTGACTGTCTGGCTATGACTGACTGTGCAGGGAGCGGAATGATGGTCTCTACAGGGTGATCACGTACCTCGTGTCCAAGATGCTGGAGGAGCTGATGCTGGCGTTCCTGGCGTCCCTGGTGTTCTCCTGCATTGTGTTCTATGGAGTCAAGCTGCAAGGCGAGTGGGTGCTCTTTTGGCTCGTCTACCTCGTCACCCTCTCCTGCGGCATTGGTGAGGCCTTCGAGCCATCTTATAGCCATGTAGCCTTGGAAGGAAAATATGATGTGGCGTTCCTGGTGTTCTGCTCATTACTTCAATAATTATTACTACATTATAGAGACCTTTTGGGAGCCACCTCAGGCTCATCGGTCTTATAGGCAGTCTGTCACTGCCCATCTACATATCACGAACTTCTCGAGTGTCTGCATTCCGTCAAAAGTTCTGTAAACCACTGTTTGCATGTCTGCCTGAGAAGTTCCAGTAAACTCACGGTAGGTTCACTGTGCATCCGCCCTTGCTGCATGTGCCCTGGGCAAGCTAAAGACTCTATTTCACACGAGTGCATGTACTGGCTGTCAGCAAGCCAATATGGAGGTCATGGAAATGAAAAAACATATGATGCTGTGCAGTGCTGGCGTACACTGTGGCGGCCTGTGCTCCCAACATGGATGTCGCCAATGCGGTGAGTCACACGAATTGTGACCCTTGCAACATAATCTTTTATATGCATGAAGGCAACGCCCTCCATAGTCTTCCTTTGGCAGCCCTACTGCCCTGCTTTGCTTTGCTTTGGCCATCAGAGGAGCCAGGTCTTCACTACTCTCCTCTGTTGTGCATGTAAGGGTGGCCTCTCGCAGGGCTTCACAGTCTTACACGTCAGTGACCCCACCCCCTGAAACAGCCCCCCCCCTGCCCCCTGCCACAGTGTGACACTGTGATCACCTTCCACGCTGCACAGCTGCCACCCTGTCACACTTTGGTGACTATACCCTCCTAAACATCTTCTCTTGTGGTGTACAGGCGCTGCCGGCGTATGTGGTGACGCTGCTCTTTTTCAGCGGCTTCCTGATCCGCTCCAGCAGCATGCCCCGCTACTGGTTCTGGTACCAGTACATCAACTTCATCCGCTACGCGTGGCACGCGCAGATGAGCAACCAGTTTGACGCGCACGCGGACGTGCTGCTCAATGGAAAGCCGGTCCTGGAGTTCTACGATGTCACGGACAGCAAGTGGGCCAACCTGGGCTTCGAGTCCTGCTTCTTCGTCGGCTTTTTCTTCTTTGCCTGGCTGGTGCGCGCATCGTAACCCCTTCCCCTGTCTCCCTGCGCCCCCGCTGTGATCTGATCCCAGGGGTTCTGAAGACTAGTGTCTAACGCCTGTTTGGTCAAAATGCTGAGGTGTGGTAGCTGATCTGTCAGGTACATCAGGGGTGTTCTTGCCATGCCTGCATTTCAATGAAGCAGCGCTTGTGCAGCCTGGATGCGACTGTAGTATAGAGAATGTCAGCAAGAGATATCAAGTGCAATAGGATAGACATTCGTGCGCCGGAGAAATGTCAAGAGGATTGTGGGCGTGCAGGCTCTGTCATTCTGCAAGCACTCCAAGCGTTGAAGGAGGCTACCATGAGCATCAGAACGTTTGCACAGCAGAAGGCCACCAATGGCTGTGGCTTGATTTCCGGCTGTCTTCATCAATTTGAAAGCTGCGTCACAGCTTGCATCTCTGCTAAAAGTGAGGAGCACGCCATGCGCACTGATGAATGATGATTATGGACATGGACATGAAGTATCGGGCACCGATGTGTCATTCGATGCTGATGCTCTACTGGTCATCAACCTAATTGCTGTCATTTACTGGCCTTTGTCTATAGGCTCAGGTGCCTGGAAGCATCCTGCCCAACGTATGGAGAATTAGGAAGTGCCAATTGCCTTCACGTCTTTGCTAGATTGCTACCCACCTCAAGAGGTGGAAGTGCCAATAAATATTGGCAATGGCTTGATTTTTTTCAATGGCACGCCTGAACTTGTACAGACAAGATCACGTGCAGCTGTCGTTTGTGCTTAAGCTTCGTCCTTTCAGGGGTGAAGGGACCATCTTTGGACCAGAAGCTTTGAACCACATGGAACGTTGAAGAGCTGTAAATTTAGTGTTGCTATGTTTTGGGTGTGCCTAGGGGAGCCTGAATTCTTTTGGCAAGTGACGAACTTGAGCTCGCATGCCTAGCAATGACAATGTATGCAGGATGCTAGAAGGTGTATCATCAACTGAATGGAGTATGTGTTGTGTAGATCCAAATTACTTTGTCGGCAGATGCAGTCGCTTCCACTGCAGCTGCTCCCAAAGTAGAGGACTGATACCATCGAAATATGGTAGGGAATGACCCAGGAGGTGTGGCAATTACGTCAGGTCAGATGCTCTTAGGCCACTGTGACATGGTCCCACATTCTCGCGCTTGCGTTGACAATTGTAAGAAGGGGTAACATTAGACTGACCCTGTTCTGGCGCGTTAGCTGTGATCTCGTGAGTCCAGTTTGTGACATGATTATGCATGTCTGCCAAACTCTGGTGTGCGCCCTGCACGCTCCAGTTTGACAGATATGGAGGTGATATCGAAATATGACCATCATCAGGATGATCACCGTGACTGCATGTAGCGCTGGCCGGCCGGCATATCTGCGCATGCGCAAGCCCATGCAATTAATCGCTAGCAGAATTCCATGGATTTAAATGGAAATTCCCACCACTCTCGCGAAATATAAATGATTTGTTGATCACACGTTGTGGAATGGATGTCAACATCAACGTCGAGGATCGCATGGGGGGTTTCCCAGGACTCGAAGAGCAGCTTCCGCAGATCGAACCGCAGCTTCGCGAGCGCGTAGGCTGCAGAGAGCCGTTTCAGCCAAGGCACGCCAGGAGGCATTTTGTGCCTTTCGAAAATTACGATCCGAACAGGTAAATTGCCAAATAAATATATGAAAGCTGCAATGGGTCGTGACTTAGCACCCTCCTTATGCTAACTGTGGCTCTTAGCTGTTGAACAGACCTGAATTCGGCAGCGGGACATCGGGTTCATGTCGCCGCTGTTCCCCTCTGCAGCTCATCCTGCGATGTCCAGGGTGGTTGTACTTTCCAAAAATGGATGGAATGCCTACTGCCGTGCTCTCGACCAGCGACCCATCGTCACAAAGTGAGAGGGCCGTCCTAGAAGCTAGCTGTTATAATTACTTACTTCCTCCTTATCTTGCACCATCCAATGCTGTAGTGTAGTATTCAAGATTATATCCTTACATGATTTGTACCGTACTCCCAATCCCCTCGATATGATTCCTTATTTTGAAGTCAGTGGCTCCTTCTCCACGACTTCACTTGCACCAGGCAGGCAATCAAGTTGACCTCGAGCCAAACAATCGCGAGGAACTCCCTATGGATCCTGGAACTTATATAAATTCACATACGGTGCCAACAAACAAATGCTTTGGCAACCCCTGTGTGAGGTGCACTATGGTTGTGTGCTGAGCAGCGCCTTTCTGCACCCCTGTCACAGGTCCCTGACTGCAGCGGCAGGATTTGCACTTGGCGATATAATTGCACAGCACAGCACAAAACATCCTGGAGAGCGCTACAATTACCTGAGAACTGCTCGGATGACCGCATTCGGTCTATTCTTTGCAGGACCCCTGCAGGGTCATTACTGGTATGGCTGGCTGGATAAGGTGAGCCTCAGGCTGGAGCACTGTCAAGGAAAGGACATTCAAGCAAAATTTCTGATGTGCTTTCTCATCCTCCTGTATGAAGCACTCATGTTTGTGAGCTGAGATTCCTCTATTATCAGTACCTGACGGGCGTAGAGAATGGCTGAGATCCATGTGACTAAAGCTCGTGGTGTGCTGCGCAGACAATTCTACCACTCAGGCCCAAAAGGTGCATTGCTTATCCGATCACTTCATGAGCAATTTTCACATCTCTTGTGCGTCCAAATTTCTGACTCCAAGATGCCTTATGCTCTGTGTTGCATACAGCTTGGGAGCAGTTGTCAGCAAGATCGGCATAGACCAAACGATAATGGCACCGCTTGGCACAGTGGCCTTCTTTTCTACAATGAAGACCATGGAGCTCAAGCCCAGCGAGAGCCTCCAAGTAGTGAAGGTGTGCTCTGCACATATCCTCTGATCGATCAAACAAAAGGGGCAGCACATGTCTACACATGCAAGCAGCAGCCCTTCAGATCACTAGAGGAGGTGATGTGCTTGCGTAGCTGTAGATGCATGGGCACCTGTAACAGGTGCACTTCGTTTGCTGGTGCAGGAAAAGACATGGCCCACTGTGGCAGCTGGCTGGCAGCTGTGGATTCCTGCGCATGCCATCAACTTTGGCTTCATTGCCCCCTCCATGAGAGTGCTCTATGTGAATGTGGTTGCGGTGAGACTCACATTCACCCATCATGTCTGATAGCCTTGCTTGATTGTGCACCTTGCACGTTGCAATGCCACATGGCATGCATACTGCATACTGATATCAATGTGGAGTAAATTGGTGATTCTGGGCTGATTACATATATTTGTGTCTTTGTGTGGTATACAGATTGCATGGACGTATATTCTGTCCAAAGCAGCTGCAGGAGGCAATGAAGAAAGAGTGGAGGCACAGGTCACTGCATGATGAAGTGTTGAAGAGGCTTGAGAGTGCGAGACATATTGATTCTGTGAAGTGCGCAGCACTACTGAAAGAGGTAGACCATTGCAATGGTATGTGGCTTTTTGAGGAAAGAATCCAGGATTGCAGCGTCTCTCTTCAAGGTCTGAATGCTTCAGATCTGGGATTTTTTCTGCGCCGTACCCTGGCAGCAGCAGCAGGAGCCGTATATTGGGCAGCATGGATCATGAAGTGCCTCTTGGTCGGAAGCAGGTAAATCTGGCCGAAAGGTGATATCAAGGTTCTTGGTATGCGAGCACTTTACGGTGCACAAACGATCACTGATGGATTATAACCTTGATACAAAGACCTACAGAACGCTCTCTCAAAGTTGGATCATACTGAGTGTGGCAGGCATGCCTTGTTTTTACAACAGCCAAAGTGCGGGCACAGATGCAGTGATGTGCATTTGAAAGAGGCTTACTTGATAGTAGCCCTGAACGCTTGCTCCCAGCAGATAGAAGAACGCCCTGCATCCGTTGTGGCAGCACTTCTGACTGCCATACGCATTGTCTGATAGTAATATAATTGGCTCCACGTGTTTGTTATGGCCTGATAGATATCTACGCGCGCTGAAGTATGTGCAGCTGCTAGATCTTTAAGATCTTTCGTAGTCAGAGGGACGAAACAGCAGAGGCCAACTTAAAATCAGAATTCTGGCACAAATTATTATTGTTCCTTGTTCATAATCGAAAGTTCTGCAAGCGTTCATGAGCACCACTGCCAGCAGTTAGCCAGACTTGGAGTTGGCACAGGTGTCTCTTTCTGGCTGCACATTTATTTTCTCAGCAAGCTCACGAGAAAAGTTGTATAGAAAGCAGTGGCTGCTTCATGTTATCGCGGCTCGCGATGCTGACGAATGATGCTGCTAATCAGCCTCCATTGTTCATGCATTCATCAATATTGTGGCGTCTGTGCTGGTCTCAGATGGGTGCTCCTTGCAGCTGGACAGGCCTTCCAGAAATTGCTTCACCTCTTGGACATAGCTTCCTTGCTGCATCACGTGATCTGCAAACAGTGTCCTGTCCATGCATGGCAGCAGCAAGTTGTTCAGAATGAAACGGATCTCAGTGCCGGACCAGGACTTCAATTGCTGCAGTCATCGACATAGCATGCAAGACTGATGAAGTCACTTACCGCTGCTTGCTCTGGAGCGCTACTGCATCAGTGAGTTGCTCGGTTAAGCCCTTGTGAAGATTCAACAACTCCTCTTGATGCTGCACCTCTTCCTTGATGGCCTTATGTGCCACCTGCAGATTGCAGAATCGTTGCATATTGCCTGTGATGGGTATGTAAAGCTCCAAAACTGCATCTGTATTGTGCTGCCTGGGTGTCACTGCGGACTGTAATGGAAAAGTTTTACCATTATGCGCTTCATTTCGTCTTTGCTCCTGCTCTCCTGGGCTGCCTTTTTCTGCTGAAACCTCGACACATCTGCAGCAAAAGCTTGTGAGAGTGAGATTGCAGCTGTGCTGCACACAGAAAGATCTGATAATTGTTTCAGCAGAGCAGACGTGTGGGCTACCTTCATTGAGACTCTTGTGCCTAGCTTGAAGGGCGTCCACAGCTGCCTGGCGCTCATTCACATCCAGCTGAAGCTCCAACATTTCGTTCTCAGCATCTGCAATTTGAACCAAGGCGTCATCGACATTGTGGAGCTATCGTCTGTGTAGGCAAGCAGAAGGCTAGTGCAGGTGTGCGCACCATTGATCTGTGACCTTGCTTGGCGCCAGACTTCCCTATCTGCTGAAGTGGTGGCCACAAAGGATCCCATCTTGTTGATCAGGAAAGACGAATTGGGAATTTGGAGGAGGCATGAGAAAACGACAGGGATTGAACGAAACCTTGGAAACTTTGCGTAGATCCGTAAACGGGCTGAGACCGAGGAAAATGCTCTCGCGTTTTCCACATGAAATAACAAGTCAGCACGCACATCATAACTCACACTTTGGGGCAAATACTTGCAGATCGTCATCGCCTGCGCAAATTGTCAATCGGTGAAGAGACTGAAGGAGTGATTGCCTTGCAACTGTCTACAATCGCAGCCGGAATTTTCACAATACAGGCCCTGGTTTGAACAACTTAAGGAGTTTTATTGAAATATTTCACCGATATCACAGAGCCTGCAAAAATGGGGCATGAATCCCGATTAATGCCAGACACTTTCCACAAGGTCTTCATGGTCAGCAACACCCTCATATACATGCTTTGCAAGCCAGTTTTGAGGGTTCTGGCAGGTAACACATCCATATACTCCACTTCGATCATTGCAAAAGGAAAAGGGAGATGCTTATCAGGCCTTTTGAGTTTTGTCTAGCTGGTGTGAAGCTGAAGGGATGCCCTGCCTGCGCAGTTCCATACGAGGCCATCGTGCCGGAACACACACAGTATGCACTGTTCCAGCTCTATTGCGACCTGAGGGCCAACCCCATCAAGGATCGACACTGGCTGGAAGTGCATGCCAAGCGTCTGAAACCCCAAACGTTCCCTGGATGGATTGTGAGGCTCCCTCCTCCCTGTTGGGCTGCAGTAATCCTGCACTTACCAATCCGCTGCCTTGTAAACGCACGTTTCATGATCCTGCTTTATTTGACTCCTGCAGGCTCTGGCTTCCGCTCTCCTGTACGTCTCAGCAGGCACTGCTGGCCTGCTGTGTGCGCTGTTGAGCATCATGGCTGCCACCCTCTATGTTCTGGTGTTCGTTCTGGCATCTGCAGGTGAGCTACATGTCGAAAAGATGGTACAATCTTGCTTGTATCTCTAGAAGAGATAGAGAAGGGATGGCTCTGACCGTTCAACCGCATGATGTTGTGCAGGAGTCATTGCTGGGGTGATCACTGGACTCCTGGCGTTCAGCTTCTTCGGCCTGGCCTGCATTGCCAGCTTTGCCGCAACGAGTGCTGGCATCGGTGCGACTTTCCCCGGCATGCATGACATATGTCCTCATGGCAACTGAACAAAACTTCATTTTCTCAATCTCAACTTCCTCTGCCGGAAGCATGTATTGACGCCAGTCTTTGAATCGTCTTCATACATGCGATGCATGGATAATTCTGCATGGATGAGTCTGCATGGATTATGCATGGAAAAGGCAACAGGGCATCTTGGTGTGATTGCAGGCTATGGGAGCCTGGCATCAGCGCAGGCAGTGCTGCGCTTCTTCAGCGCCCACCTGCTCCCCAAGCCGCAGGACCCCTTTGACATGCCCGAGCTCAATTTGCGCCCAGTGGCAACGCCGCGCGCGCCGGTGGCCCCCGACCCGGCGCCGGCCGTCAGCCCCTCTTCCACGCAAGCCTCCCTGCCGTGCCCTGTCACTCCTGGATCTGTCAGCGTGGCCCAGGTCTACACTCCGGTGCGTGTCTATACTCCCGAGACTCCTACTCTGTCAAAGCCTCCACAATGCTTCAGAGCATGATGTCTCTGGGTTGAGGTGAAACACCAAGACCTTGGTCTTTTTCGGCAGAAAGACGAAGCCATCAGGGGAGTCTGGTACCAATTTACTGGTTCTCACAGCACATGATGGCATGCATTACCGCACTTCCAGTTGGAACATGGCAATGAACAAGTTTTCAGCTGGCAAAGGGCTGTGGGAGGTCTGTTCTCTGCTGAGTGACAAAGTGGGCGTTGCTGAGTGGGCGGTGACTGTGGCGCAGGATGCTCTGGACCCCATCGTGGAGGATGCCCAGCTGGAGGCCGCCGTGCAGGAGCAGATCGCCAATGCCCAGGCTGTCATTGGTGCGTGCATGGCCCCATATCCTTGCAGCACCATGAAGCACTGCCCCTTATGTGCCCTGCCATCCTGCTTCTTGGGTATTGCTTGAACTTGAGGTGGCTTGCGCCGGGTTCATCATATGTAATTCTATGTTCTTTTCTGGGTATTTGCTGCTGTTGTCGAGCTGCCCCACTTGTTTTCTGCGACTTGGATTTGGGCAGGCCATATCCTGGCGCCCTTCCTACTGGCGAGCACCTCCCCAGGCATGGGCGGACTGAATACAATTACCTGATTAATTTATATATCTTTATCAGGAGATGCAGAGGAGAATGGTGAAGTGGCCGAAGCAAAGCCAGTGCTGCCCACGATCCTGGCCTCGGACGAGCAGTCTCTGCGCAGCATCCACGCTCCTGTCAAGGCGAACGGCACCCACAAGACCTCCAAGCACCACCAAGCGCACAGCAACGTCAAGGGGATCTCGGCAAAGGCTGGCGGCTGATCACACTGTACTCCTGCCGAACGGATGCGCCCACCAAGATGGAAACGCTCCTGCAAAAGGGGGACAAACGGCAGAAGGCAGTAAGAGTTGAATGTCAGATTGAAGTGGGCGGCGGCTTGATGTCATGATAGTGCACTCGGGCCTTCTTGTGCACCCCTGTTCCTCCGCAGAGCTCCTGGAACGTGCTTGTAGCTACTAGGACATTTTATCTGCTTCTTTTGTTTATTCCTTCGGCTTTTCTCTATTTAAAATGTGTTCATATAAGGCATGACACCCACTTTCAAGAGGAGCTTTGCACGGGTGCGTCCTGAAATAGGAGCAAGCACCTGAGTTTTGTCTGCGATTACATTATGTTGTTCCAGGGTTCCCCGACTACTAGAGGGCCTTCCCACAGCGTATCTCTGCGCTATCTTCTACTGCCTTGAAATGCTTTAATGTTCGATACAGAATAGACAGAGTTACTGAATGATTAGGTGTCCTCATTTGCAGACCCGGTTTTCTACTGCAGAGTATTGCAGTTTTGGATGTATGTGTTTACCTCACTGTTGGCATTTTGTACAGTGCGACAAAACAAACCTTGTCAGGGGAATGGTAAGAACGATAGAAGTACTAGTACTCAGGTGTGCATTGCTGACTACAATACCGTAGTTGCCTACTTATATTAGGAGACGGACATGTGTGTAACAGCTGTCAAATCCTTTCCATGAGACTAATTTGTGGTGAGGCATATGCTTATCAATATCGCAAAGTGTTGCACACATGTACTGTAATTCGATATGTCAGTCATGGTGAGATTGCCATCTGTGTTGAAGCTCCAAATGCTCTTCCCTCTCAATTTTACAGCTGCCACTACACCAAGCTTGTGGCTTACCAACCTTGAGGCCGTGCGTCTTTGGCTTTTCCTTCACATTCAGTGATCATTGCCAACTTGGTCATATCCCTATCACTGCCACATCTGCCAATTGCCTCATTTTGAGCGTTGTACATGTGCATTCCTTGCTGCAAGGGCTCCTTAACATCCCATGTATCTTGAGAAGATCAGAATATGAAAACAGGACAAAGCATTGGGGGCCTGGGATTATCACAAGCACGGCCAGGCTAGGAGATTGGCGTGGCAGCATTTGGCCGCTCCCATTGCACCTTCTTGGTGGCCTTGTGCCAGAAATAGGTGCGCCCCTGCGCATCCTTGGCCGCCCCCCAGCCTTCTGGCAAAGGAGCCTCCACCGGTGGCGGTGTCGCGACTGGAACTGCATCCCACATCAACACTCAGATTGCATAATTGCCTGATCAGGCATTGCATGTCAGAGGCACCAGATATGTCATTTGTTGGTCTCTTCTCACACACCCCCTCTTCAACAGATGGTGACAGCAGGCATATCTGGAGCCAGGTGTCTACAGGAAAGGAGTGACATTTGCTGGTGGTCAGATGAAGCGATGGAGCCTGACAGGAGGCTAAGGGAACGAAGTATACCTGGAGCAGCTGGGGATGGAGCGGACGCTGCGGCGTCTGGTGCCGTTTTCACCGCCACTGGCGTAGCTGCTGGAACAGGCGGAGCGCCATTTGCATGCGTCTGCACAACCAGGCCAGTGTTCGCTAGGACTGAGAGCTTCTCCGTGCACAGCAGATGGATGCTCCCTCTTGTAAACACAGAGACATCTTTTGAGATGCCATGATGTCTTGTAAACAAAGCTGTGCTGGGAGATAGAGACAGTGCAGCACACACCTTTGCCCACTCCTGTGCCTGCTTCTCAAGAGCTGTGAAGTCCACCTTTTTCTCCTTCATCATGCGGTATATGTCTGAAGGGTAGATGGGTTCCTTTAGCCTGAACGCCTCGTCACCATAAATCTGCCTCCAATTTATGGTACCATTCGTGCAGTTTGCTGCTTGATGACCCAACTGTGCACACACATTGGGGGACTCAGCACCGTTGTCACAAATTGGTGGCACTACGGAATGTAAATTGACAAAGAAAAACGTCCCATCGTCGGATACCCAGACAAGCACAGCCAAAGAACAATGTGTTTGGGGAGCAGGAAAGGAAGCTTGATTTTAATGTCTAGTCTCTCACGCACCTGGCCACAGATATTGCAGCCACTGGGATGCCAAGAAGGATCTCTGCGAAGCTTATGATGGAGTTCCATGGGACCTCAACAGGTATAACAGATCAGTTCTCGACCAGAAATTGCTTTTTGTCCAGATCCGCCTCTGCGAGTCCTCCTTATTCTCCAAAATGGCTCCGAAAAGTAACTGCAAAATACTTAAGCACTTCTGTATCAAGGCCAGTGGAGAAAGGACCCCGAGCAGAGAGAGCCGTGGGACGAATATAAGAAATCCCTCGCATGCCAAGGGAATAGATGTATCGAGAACACCTTTTTGTTCGTATGATACGAACCGTATCAATTCAACACAAGAGGAATTGGACATTAAACCAGAAAGTTGTGCATTCGTTGCTATGCAAAGACTCTTGATTGCAGAATTTTGACTTCCATTGAGCTTCAGCTGTGTACTTGTACTTGTAAGCGCAAAGGTGGCTATGAATCTGAACAGATGTTAACCGAATCAGATACCATTACCAGGAGAGCAGTAGGAAATGTACAAATTTAAAGCTTAAATGTCATCAGAGCGTGACCATCTACGAAACACGCTCGATTCAGCGATCTGCTCTGATGGCGACATCGTGCAAAGAGCAAGTTGATCTGAGCCTTCTGGGAATCGAGAATCAGAGCCACGTATGAGCGCTGGGGGCGCTTTTGGTGGCGCAAGAGGTTATCAGCCCAAGCCGCCAGATAAAGGCGTATTCCCTTTGGACCACTTTGGAGAATGCAAGCAGGTACCCAGGAGTCAGCCTCGTTGTTGGGGATGGTATTGCTGCAGAATTTGAGAAAGAACCCGAAATTCAGATCCTTGCATTTTGCTTTGCAGATCAAGGAGGAGTACATGCAATGCCTCCACCACAACGGCAGTCAGGCAGAACAGTGCAGGGCCCTTGCAAAGTCTTACTTAGAGTGCCGGATGGAGAGGTAACTCATCATCATCCATTCAAAGGGCTTCTATCTCTTCACCTCCCAACAGTGTTCACAACTTGGTCCTTGCCTACCGCTATCCCATGACTCATTGGACTGAGTGTGCAGGAATCTCATGGTCAAGCAAGACCTCAGCGAGCTGGGCTTCAAAGCTGTGAAAGAGAAAGATGATGGATCAGGAACCGGCGCTGATGGCAAGCAAGTACCTCAAAGTGCTGCCACAGGACCGGCAGCACCAGCCGACAAGAAGAAGCAGGGCTTCATTGCAGGCATTCGATAGTGCTTCGAGTGCTATGATCTCTTCGCGCTTTGTTGTAAGTGGCGTGCACGTTAAACACCATGAATTCGAGTGACATCCCTTCAGCTGGTGATGGAGCCTAATAGAAGCACTAACAGCTCTCGCAGCGATTGACCTCAATTAATTTGTCATACAAATACTTACAAAATGATGCTTTACGCATGTCGTAATGATGGAACATCTGAAATGCAACACGCTAAAATCAAACTGTCAGTCAAACACTTAAAAAAATGAGGACTTGAATGACTCGCAGTCAATGACAACCTGAATGAAAAGACATAGTAAGCACACAGGGCATGCTGTGCTAAATGCTAAGCATGTAGAAAGTGGCCAGCCTCTGAGAGCACATCAACACCCTACAGGCCATGCATCGATTGACTTGTTTTGCAAGGACACACAGATCAAATTTGAGACAAATGCAGTTGAATGTGCTTAATGCTGAGTCAATCTCGAATGCATGAGAGACTCGTTCTGCAGCTTTATTCAGGCCGATTGCTTGATTCTCCTGCATGCATGGCAGGGCATCGCAAATCAGCCGATGCCTCATCTTTCATGCTGCGATCGCCGATGGCTCATTTCTATGCAGCGACATTGGCGCAGTTGGGGCTGCCCAGCAGCAGCGCCATTTGCCTGATCTGCTGCACGGCGTCGGCCAGGCTATGATTCGCAGGAGCCGGCTCCGCGGGGGGGCTGGCCCGGCCGTGCTCGTTCCTGGCATCCTTACACCGCATCAGCGCCCCCAGCAGCCGCGCATCCTGCTCCACATCCACGCCATGATCCTTGCCGTGAGCACTCAGGGTGTGGCCTGCAGCGTAGCGTGCAACCTCAAGGCAACCTCTTACACTGCTGCTGTCCAGCTACCCAGCACTGCTCCTATTTCCACTGTGTTGATCCAGCACTGCTCCTACATGCAATACTGCTACCCGGTACTGCTGCTACTAAAGACACTGCATGGACCCAGCACCAGCTCCATGTACATTTGCCCACATGGATATGGCACCTAGAGGGGTGCCGTCACCCTACCTGTGGTAGCGCTGACAGCCTGTCGCTTGGGGCACGGGAATTCCAGGGGGCAGACGGCGCCGGAGGCGGGAGTGGACTTGACGACCTTTACGGGGCGGCCGCGTTTGCGGACCCTGCTCGCGCCCGAGCCGCCCGGGCTGCCGACGGCCGGCCCACGCGCCACCACGCTGCCGCTGTTGTTACTTGCCCTTTCATGCGCGCTGCTGGAATCGGCCGGCGCCGCGACGCTGTTTCCCGGGCCCGACGCGCGCTCCTTGCCGCTGCTGCCAGGATCTTGGTCCGGCGCCGACTGCTGCGGCTGCGGCTGCGGCTGGCCCGGCGGCGGCGGCGGGGCTCGCTCGGGGGAGGGCTGCGGGGATTGCTCTGCCCAGGAGGGCTGGTCGTGGCAGGTCTGGCCGGAGCAGGTGCTGGCCTTATTGGGGCTGTTGTCCACGGGCCCATTGCCGCTGCCTTTGTAGGCTGCCGCCTCCCCCGCGGCTGCCTCACCTGCCGCATTCGAGTGCTGATCCACATTGTGCTGCTCTCCCAGGTCCTGCTCCTCCTCCTCCTCCTCGCCCTGAGACCCCAGAAAGATCCACCCGCCAGTCAGCAGCTCGTCAAAGTGTCCATCATCACAATTCCTGTCATATCCCATCAGTAGCTAGCTAACAAGTGATCGCACATGCTAGAGAAGGAACAAGGCAGCGTAGGAGTCAGAATCACAGGAATAGGAGTGGCAGATTCGCACCAGGTCATCAGCAGGGTACATGTCGAGGGCAGTGTACACCTCCTTCTCAATCGCCGCACGCATCTCCAGTGCAACCTGCTCCCTGATGGCCTCCACATCCGCCTGTCCCAGTCACAAAGTCGAGGTCAGCAAACCAGATAAACTGCAGGCGGCATTGCCGGCCGGAATATCTATTGCCATGCCGCCGCATGATACCTGTCAGAGCAACTGTGTTGGAAGAGGCACTTGTGAGGGCAATCACCTTATCCAATCGGCAGCGTACGGGGCAACAAACACTGAATTGCATGTCAACCTCCATGCAGAGTGCCTGTCAGCATGTCTCACCTCGTAGGTGGCTTGGATCTCTGCCTTTGCGCGCTGGATGGCCTGCTGGGCCTCCTGCAGCTGGGCTGCGTGGCTGGCCCTCAGCGCTGCCAGCTCACTACTGCTCTGCCTTGCAGCCTCCTCCTTGGCAGCCGCCGCTGCTGCCGCCGCCGCCACTGCCAGGCCCAGCTTGGACTCTACCTCTGCCACCTGTTGCAATGTTTCGAGTGGGTTGTCAGACAAGATTCGCACCCTTGGTGGACACTCTTTCCACAATGGTATCGCCAGAGAGCGCGCACGGTTGGACGGACAGGTGGGCCTTTTAAATGCCCACTCACATGACACATTGACAAGTATTCAAGTGGATGTGCAAAAAATCTTCCCTATGCCAATTGACATGAGGACAGATCCTTGGAATATTTTCAAAGGTGTGGGGAAGGTAGGGGGGCAGACCTGGGATTTGAGGGCCTCCTCTTGGCGCTTGGCTTGCTGCACAGCTGTCTTGTGTCTTGTGGCCGCATCAGATGCCTCGGCCTGCATGTTGGCCTCCTTGCGCAGTGACTCAGCCAGCTCCTTCTGCAGCCGCAGGCTCTCCTCCTGCGCATCACATCCTCACCCTTGGCGCAAGGGTACATCGGAAACTGCTGCGCCTGATTCATGATGGTGGCAACGAATAAAATTTTGCACGGGTCATCTGACAGGCAGGTGTTTTACAGGGAAGGTTAGATGCACAAGGCAAGATGCTGCATGTAGAGACAGGTTGTCTTTAGCAATGGTGCGCACATGTGTTTCCCTGTGCAAATTTGTGGTGTTGTTGTACTTGAGCTGCAGGTTCTGCAAGTGTGTCTTGAGCCGTGCGATCTCCTCAGCAGCCGCTTTGGCCTTGTGAGCCTCATCAGCTGCAGACACAACCGCACATACATTATTAGAATACGTTGAGTGCATTGCATTGGACTAGTCGACATGGGGGTGGATGCCCAATGACAAGCCCAAGACTGTGACGCTGTAATATTGGCACATGAGGCAACATAGATATGTACGATAAGAGGCAGACATGCATATAAAATCACCTGCCCTAGCTGCAGCTGCGGCCAGCTTTCCGTCAGCTTCCTTGCTCTGCCGTTCCAGCTGCGCCTTGGCTTCCGCCTCGCGCTTCTTTGCTCCCTCCAGCTGCGCCTTGAGGCCCATGGTATCCGCATTTGTGGAAGCCTTCTCCTTGTAGGCCGCTAGCTTGGAAGCTTCCAGCTCCCTGGTAGCTGCCACCTGCTTCTCCTTGGCTGCATCGCGCTCCCTGCGCGCCTCCTCTGCCTCCTTCACAGCAGCCTCCAGCTGCCGCTTGGCTTCTGCCTCGCGCTCGTTGGCAGCCTCCAGCTGCCCCTTGGCTTCCGCCTCGCCCTCCTTGGCAGCTTCCAGCTGTCGCGTGGCTTCTGCCTCGCGCTCCCTGGCAGCTTCCAGATCCTTGACAAGTGCATCCTGCTTCTCCATGGCTGCCTGTACCTCCTTGCCAGCAGCCTCCTTCGCCGCCGCTGCCTCCTTCTGCACAACCACATGCGGGCACCCACACTTCACCACTCTGCTCCAATTAGAACACCATGCAGCAACAAGGCTCCATTGCCCAAATCTGTATGTTAAGTCCTTTAAATTGTGCCTGCTTTCACACAGTGCTCGTCAAGGTCCTGTGCACAAGCTCCAGTGCTCTTGCATGGCTGGGCATGTGGAGTGGGCCTCCATTCTTGCTCAGAGCTTATTGCTGCTCGCAATAATTTTTCTGTGCATTCTAGGGATTGCTTTTGCATACCTTGGCAGTCTCCAGCTGGACGCGGACGTTCTGGGAGGAGGTGCGGATGGTCTCATTGAGGGACTTCACATGCGCCAGCTCGCCCTTCATCTTGTTGTTCTCCTCGGTCAGTGTCTTCTCGGTCTTCTTGGTGGAGGTGCGGATGGAGAAGAGCTCCCCCCTGGTCGCCAGCGCCTGCTTCTTGTGCGTGGCTGCAGCTTCCTCTGCAGCCATCAGCTGCGCCTGCAGCTCCGCCAGCTGCTTCTCCTTGGCTTCGACGCCCTCCTTCGCTGCCTGCAATGCCGGCAGCAAATTTGCTTCCAAGCCCTGCGGGCCTGCAATTTGCCCTGGGCATTCTTGCCACAAATGATCTATCTTTGACAAGAATACCAAGACAAGCATGGGGTTGCTCTTGTCAAAGCAACTTGACATGGATCGGAACAGATGCATCTCCCCGAGGCCTCCTAATGCATTGGTCACGGAATGGAATTCTTCAGCATGCATGCGTGTTTATCAGGAAGTGATGCATCGCGTCAGCGCACCTTGGCAGAGGAATTCGCGCTGTCGCGCTCGTTCTCCACAGCGCGCATGGTTGCCCTGACAGCAGCCAGCTCCCTCTGCGCAGCAAGCTTGTCTGCCACCGCAGTCTTCCTGGCGGCAGCCTCGGACTTGAGCCGCTTCGAGAAGACGCCCAGGGCCTCAGTTGGCAGGTTGGCCTGCGAGATGGAAGGCACAGAAGCAGGTCAGGATGCTGCATCGAGTGGTGCTCTCTGACATGTGGTAATGCTGCAGACAAGTTCATTTGACATGTCAGACATGATTCAATCCGTAGCTCATGAAGCATTTTGAACGCATCAGCAGGAGCATTGTCCGCGCTTCAATTAGAAGCCATGAAATAGCGAAGGGATGCGCACAGCTGTGCTGGAGCGCTTCAGGCGGCAGAGCTTGGCTGGGTCTGTGCTGTCCTGCATGGCAGCATCCCCACTGCCTGCTTTGTTCATCGCGCCCGCAATAGGCGCCACCTTGGGTGTGTGCACTGCAGGGCCGGCTGCCTCCGCTCCGTTGTCAGCTCCAGTTGCACCCTGCAAGCATCACAGAAATGTCAGATGCAACTACTCTGCACCCGCTTATCCTCAGATGAATGTCGTCCGCACAATCAGCATTGTGAGCCATGCCATCAAAGCAACACACCTGGTTGTCAGCTCCGCCGGCCTTTTCCGCTTGGGGCGCCCTTTCCTGGCCCATGCTTGCAGCGTCTATTCCCTGAGCGCTTGCACCGACTGGGCCCCCAACAGGAACCGGCTGCGCAGCTGGCGAGTCGCCGGCCACAGGAGCATCTGACCTGCAATTGTCTGGAACTACCGGCACAGATGCGCTGCCCGGCTTGACGGTGGCTGTTGTCGGAGATGGGGCGGCCTTGGCGGGGGCAGACTGCGGCTGTCCAGGCTGCCGCATAGGGGAGGACACAGCCGGAGCAGCCGCCTGCGGGGGCTCCTGGCTCGCACCCGTGCTGTGCTCCTGAGCCTCGCTGACTAGGCCGTCCACCATGGCCAGCGCGCCCTGCAGAGCCGGCCCAGACACAGCGCTGTGTGCCGCTGCGGCCGTCTGCCCACCGCCGGTACCAGCACGTGCGCCGGGCTCTGCCGGTGGTGCGGGAGGGGCGTTGGCAGCAAATTGCTGCCCCGGATGCGCGGCGGCTGCGACCCACGACCAGGGGTTGTTACACCCCGCGGCAGCGCCGTTGTCTTGGTGGATCTGCGGGGTGGTTTGTGGCAGTGCGCGCACTTGAGCAGGGCTGGCTGCCTCCACGGTCGCTGCTGCAGGGGCAGGGGCGGCAGGCGGCATGGGCTGCTGGAGAGCCTCCTGCATCATCTGCAGCGGCGAGCAATCAAAGACCTCCGGCAGGGGTATGTTGGCCCACGGCTCCTGCGCGGCTGGGCTGGGCTCGGCCGGAGCCTCCTGTGGCGCGGGGGGCGCCATTGGAGCGGCACCCACCGGCTGTGGGGGCGGCTCTGTGGTTAGCGGTTCCCTTTCTGGCTGCTGCTGGTTCTGCTTCTGACTGAGTGGGTTGGCCACCTGCGCCCGAGGCACCGCTGCCGGGGAGCGTGCTGCCCGCGAGGCAGCTGGGGACCGCTGTCCGCAGGGCAAGCCCAGGATGCGGGGCCGGGTGGGTGCGGCGGGAGCGTCAGAGATTTTGGTGGGTGTGCCGGAGAGGAGATTGAGCGAGCCCTGCTTCCGGCGTGGGCTGCGCAGTTTGCCGCCAGGGCCCAAGGCTGCCTGGTCGAACGGCTGGTGGCCCCCCTTTGCCATTGCTGTGTCGTCACCACGCCCCTACGCACGGAAAGAGTTGTCATACCCTCATTCCAGGGCATGCCACATGGTGCAAAATTTATTGCGCAACTGAAAGCATTCAATCCATCTGAAACTTCCGAGACATGGTGCTCTCAATGCGCGTGTGGATTTCTTCTGTGTTCAGTCATGTGTAACACATACATGATGAGGTGCGCAGCTTGCCTGTGCAATGCTAACGTTGGGCGTCCGGGTATTTGTGTGAAGCACTTCGCTGCTGTCTTCGTCTCTTTCCTCATCATCAGACCCCAAGGCCCTGATGCTGGCAGTCACACCTCCTTCACTCTGCAGAAACACAATGGCTTCCTTCATCCCTGTATGAGTTGCAACAGCCAGTGCTAACTAGCATGTGTTTTGGCAGGATGGGCTGCCAGGTCATGCTGCCAGCTGATGCAGACCTGATCATTGCCACTTGCTTTGTCCACTCCACTCTCGCCTGCTTCTCTGGATGCCTCAGCATGTGCAGTTGTGTTCATCTGTGCACATGCATCAACTTGAGCCTGCATTAAACGACAATATTAACAAGCTGATTCAGCACACTTAATGCACAGGGCAGAAAGAAGAACCAAGGAAATGAGTTGCCCAAGGCAGGTCACCTGTGCAATGCGTTTGGTCTTCAGGCTCACTAGGAAGCGGCCCATCTCTCCAGACAGCTGCATAGAGGCATATAATAATCTCAGACGCTTGGCAAGTCTCACCTAGATTTTACTTTCCACAAGCAAGCCTCACTGCAGAAGTGAACGTATGTCTCAATCGGTTCAGGCAATGATGTGAATTTAGGCACGGCGTACCCGTGGTCTTTCCCATCCGCACTGATGTGCGTTCTTCGACAGATCGTCCAGCAGTTCTTTCGTCAACCCCTTTGTGGCCAGCCAATCGTTCATTGTCAGGCCTGCCTCACGCTGCAGACAGAATAGGGCGTTCAAACTGGCATGTCCGTGAGCAATATTTGCATCCACGTACATCATCATGCTACATGGCAAGTGTGGCAATTTTAAGCATGCTGGCAAGGTAAAAGCAGGCTTTTGTGTGAGTGTGTGACATTGATGAGGCAGGTGTTGAATGGGAACTTTTAGCATCAGTGGCTTACCCCCACAGCTGCCACCGAGACATGATGCTTCCACGTCTGGTGAGACTTGCCACATGCTGTAGTAAACTTTGCCACGGGATGCTCATGCCAGTTGCGGTCTACCACAGTCTTAGTCCGCACCACGAAGTGCCCAAAATTGTTGTTGCAGACAACGTGGATGACCTCTGGGACATCTGGAGGTAGAGCCATTAGCTGCGCCCCCTGATGGCAGGCAGGCAAACAATTCAGAAATGATTTGGGGATGCGCTCCAGTGCTGGATCTCTAGGACTAGATGTCATTCTGATTGTTCCGGGCACATCCTTGCCTATCTGATTCACTCCTACTAGTCGACTTGCAGAGTGAGCGTGCAATACATTTCCTCACTCCTTCAACTCCGTCTTTCCATGATTCTTCATCGCTGCACATGCAAGCATTAGGTAGCCCCGCTGTGTTTGTGGCGATAGCTGGCGTACCTCAATTTTTTTCTTCGGTGCCATGGAGAGTGCCTCGAGAGCGTTGTCGGCTGCCGCCACCCAATCGTGCCGATCTGATGAATGGGAATCCTCGGAGGATTCACTTGAGCTCTCTGAGGGCAGGAAAGTCGGTGCCGTTTTGGGTGAAGGAAGGCAACACGTTTGTGTTGCCTTGATCTAAGCCTGCCTCTTCTGTCGGACAACTAGGTGCGCCGCCGATCGTGATGCCTCCAAACTTCAGGATATCTTTGCTTTTTTTCCCTGGCAATCAAGACATCTCAAAATATCAATTCTAATGCTATCTGGGCACACTGTGTGGTGATGATGATCAGTTGACCAGTAAAACAAAAGAATTGATTATTGAATTGCTGATCGCGGCACACAAAGTGAATCAGCCAACTCTCCCCACTGACTTTAGAGGTCTAATCCTTGGCCCTTGATGAGGAAACGCACAGCTCAGCTCGTTCCCGCGAATTTGGCGCACAGGCACTTCCTGTTTAGGCGCCCCCTGAAAGATTTGCCATAAATAATAATAATAATAATCTTTATGAGTGGCGAACCCAGAGCCCAATGCCTCCATGACTGCCAAACCGTACGGTTTCCCCAAAATTTGTCGGCATAAGTTTAGCTTGATTGCAAAATCTTACAAATGCCCATTCAGATCTGCCCAGCTGGGGCAAGGTCACCCACGGTGGGCTGCATGTGCAGTGGCAGCCTGACACATCTAGTAGATCCACTGGCAAGCATCTAGAAGGTCCATTAACAAAGTACATAGTTAAGAGGAGGTCATTGTGAAATCGGCATAGCCACTATCAATTAGAAGATAACAATGATATGATTCATCTGCAGATCAGCTGATCATCCAAGATTCACTGGCAGGCGGCCCTGTGAACTCACGCGACCTGCGCTGTGCACTGATAACTTCTACAATCACTGAAATAAGACAGCATGCAGAAAGGCTGACGAGTTCTGCCATTACCAGAGCGATCCTGGTATGCAGCTTGCAACTGCATAATGCAAGCCACTCAGATTTCTGACGCCACAGCCTTTGTCAGGCTGCCTGAATGTTGGGCTGTCAGCTGCGGGGTACTCAGCTGGGACTATCCGCTTATCTTGAGCCCGGGTTGAGGCCAAGCAGCATATTTGAGCCGCCTCCTGGCAGGTACATGATGTTGCCAGATTTGGACAGCGTGCTGGCAATGTCCTTGGCCGCCTCAATGCGCCGCAGCTCGATCAAGCCGGGGCCAGCGCTCTTGGTGGCCTCTGAGATCAGGCGCGCTGACTCACTCTCTCCCTCGGCCCTGATGACCGCCGCAATCCGCTCCTGCAGATTCGCCGACATGCAGAGTAAACAACTGCTGTTCCCCAGTGTCTAGTAATTATTCCACACACAGACAAGAAACAAATACGAAAACAATTCTAGGAGTCCAAGAACAGACATCAACGATAACCTGCGAATTTTAGATACAGGGCGCTGCGGAGCCCAGCTGGTGAGTAGAATCCTGACATCAAGCAGGCTGTATATTTCCGCACCTGGTCGGCCTTCAGCACAACAAAGCGGGCGCGCTCTGCGTCCTGCTGCGCCACTTGCTTCGATTCAACTGCCTTTGTGAACTGCACAGACAATACCATAAGCTTAGTGAGACGTCCAAATGTACACAGACAAGTAATTGCCATACACAGGCAAGTTTTATCAATGGAACTGACACAGGTCAACAATGAATGCACATAAGGAAGGTGAAATCAGGTCTGTGCAGAACTTACCTCAGTGCCAAAGGAGAGGTGGGTGATAGCGATGTCGTCTACGAGGATGTTGAATTCCTTCGCACGGGTCATTAAGTTTTCCCTCACCTGCACACCGAAAGGAATTACCATTGAGTACCACTTATTCTGCTCTTGTCATCCACTTAAGTCAAACAGCGTTGAGGAAGACTTGCCCATGCAAAAGCAAAGCAGAGCGTAGGAAGCAGTGTCTCACCGCCCGCGAGACCCGGTCACGCTGTGTCAAGAGCTGCTCGGCGTTGTATTGGGCCACAACTGCCTTGAGGACCTCATTGCCAATGGAGGGCAGCACCCTCTCATCCCAGTCCAGGCCCAGGCTCCTGTAGATCTGGGTCAGCACTGACGAATCCGGCTTGGACAGCACCCTGAGCGAGATGTTGACCATCTGCAGATCTGCAGCACACATGCACATCTAGCTCAGCACTGCCTCTAGTGAGCAGTAATCATATTAGATGTATATCATGAGGGTACCCTTCAGCTGCCACTGCAAACTGGTTCTGGAAGCAAGCACAATACACATTGTTGTGCCTGCTTCAGGAACGCTGCATGACATGGGCAACTGATGGCATGCAGCTGGAGAGTCACACCCTTGGTTCCCGTGACTGAGCTGATGGTGCGAGGGCGGGTGCGGATGTCCATCACATTGGGTGACTGCAACCAGGGCACACGGAAGTGTGTCCCTTCGCCAACAGGCTGATCCAGAACTCCCCTGATCCTGTCATAGATCACCGCCCTCTCTCCTCCATCCACTGCAGGCGCACGCCAAATGTTCGGTAAATCTATCGGGAGGCAATTATTTAGAAGTCTCAGGAAGCTATTCAGGTGAGCAAAAGTCCCAAGACCAGGAACATCCTGAGCATGAATAGTTACATGCGCAGCGTATGTGAAAATAACAAGAACAGATACAAGGCATAAAGCAGTAATTGACTAACTATTCCTTCGGTGGTGCAGTACAAGGACTATTTCAGAAGGACGGCTTCGAAATGTGATAAGACGCTGATGCAGAGCAGGACACATAGCAGACTTCCGTCCAATTGGGAGTACCTGTGTACAAAGACGACTGCGCGATGCCTCCACCAATTCCAACAACTACAGCAAACCTGCCCACACGTCCAAGCAGGTTTGCGATCGCAGTCGCGGCTTGCTGCTGAGGAGATCCCATGTGTGACTATTCAGACAGCAAAGGATTCCTTCAAACAGAAGCCTGATGAATCCTTCTGAAGGGCTGTGGCTTGTGGGATTCCTGCTACGTTCAGCCGCTGAAAAGCCCTCAGCCACGTCATCAGAAACCCTGCTTGACCAAGCACTAGCAGTTGCGTCCTTTCAGAATGCTTAGAAATTCAATTGATCATTTAGTTGATCTAAAAGGTGTTTCGAGATGCTTGAAACAATCTCATATACATAATTTTTTCATGGAGGTTCTGTGGGAGTTGCCACTTTGATCTGAGCGTTGGTAGTGTTCCGCTTTTTCATTTTTGACGTGCAAAGTATATTTAAAACATCTGCTGTATAATTTAATCAAATATCAACGCATCAGCCATTGGCTCTGCTTCAGATGGTTGAGCGTTCCCCAGAGCAAGTAGTCCAAGCACAACCGTCCACGAGCTCTGCTGCCGATGGCGTGCTGCCTCGGCGATTTGTGGGAAGGAAGGGGGCCGTGTCACGCGCGAGTGACGGAGCCATTGTTCCAAGCTCTAACAGTGCAGTTCCTAGATTTGTGAGGCAGCAGGTATTGGCTGCCACCAATCTTACTAGGCTTCATACACCGTGTTGACCTTTAATGAGGATGGTATCTAAATTAGCTGAGGCTACTTTGAGGGTGATGCTCATACGATCATGCCTGTGGCAGGTCCCAGATGAGATCTTACATGATGAGGCCCTCAATGCAGCCATTGGGGTGCTTCCTGCAAACTACAGCTTCGAGGTGAGAGCAATGATTCATTCTTGCATGCGCACTGGTTGCAAGGAATTGCTAAGCAGAGATCTGATGTGTGTCTTGGACTGCACAGATACACAAGACGGTGTGGCGCATAAAGCAGATGGGAGCCAAGCGCGTGGCTCTTCAGTTTCCAGAGGGTCTCTTGATATATGCTTGTGTCATCGCTGACATCCTGGAGAGGTACCGCTCCTTTATACTTTCACCACCCAATGCTGACCCATAAGCACTTTGAAGAATCACATACTGGCCCAGTACATCTGATGTGCCTCTCAGATTCCTGCATGCGTGCTAGTCACTAGAATCACTTAGATCAAGCATGTCGCGTGCAGCTTTGCCGGCGCGGATCATGTGTTCATACTGGGCGATGTGACATATGGGGCCTGCTGCGTGGATGACTTCAGTGCAAGGGCGCTGAAGGCTGATCTGCTGGTCCATTATGGCCACTCCTGCCTGGTCCCTGTCGACGTCACCACCATCCCCTGCCTATACATCTTTGTGGACATCAAGATCGACGTCCAGCATTTCGTCGACAGTGTCATGTGCGTGCCTTCCCTCCTCCATGCTTCTTTCCGCTCCAGCGAAGTCCTTTCTGCAATTTTCGGGGCCAAGTTAAGCGATAGGCGTGATCACACCTGGAGCATGGTTGCCATCATGAGGATGTTGGGACCAGAGGCTTCCTCGTAGGGATTTGTCATGTATCAGGTGCATTCATGTTGCCTTGTTGGTGGGAGGAGAGTCGTCCCTGTTCGTGTCATAATCCACTTTGATGCTCGTTCTGGGGTACATTGGCACCCCAAAAGCTGAGACTTACCTTCAAAAATTCTCTGCTGCTGCAGGCTGAACTTTGAGCCTGGGGCTCGGCTGGTGCTGGCGGGGACCATCCAGTTTGCAGCCTCCATCCAGACAGCCAGAGAGCAGCTGGCGCCACACTTTCCCAGCCTCGCCATTCCTCAGAGCCGGCCGCTGTCTCCTGGTGACTCCCACATTCCACCCATTATAGCTCATTACGCAGACCGTGATCCTGCAAACCCTCTGCTCTTTGTTGCTAGGTATTGTGCATAAGGCTGCATGCAATGTAGTTATTAAGTGCTCTTGGGCCCAGGGAACATTCTACCCTTTGCTGCTCAATGTCAAGTTGGGAGGCAGCCCCTCCTCTCACAGCTGGCGGTCATTGTGCCTGAATGTGAACCGTTTTCTTTGTCTAAAAGGCTGAGCTCTCGGATTTTAATTGTGCAGGGGAGGTGCTTGGGTGCACGGCGCCAGTTCTGAAGGAGGAGGCGGATGCGATTGTGTTTGTAGCTGACGGGCGCTTCCACCTGGAGGCCATCATGATCGCCAACCCTGCCATCCCCGCCTACAGGTGCGCCTCCATGCATGCAACTCTTGCCCCGCCTGAGTCTTGCGAACCCATGCCATACAAGGCATGCAGAGATGTGCAATCATTGTGTTGATGGCCTGCCCCCTTGACAGTCTCCAAGGACATCCTCATTGTAACAGGCTGCAGGCTCTCTTGCACTTTTCCAAGTAAAGCATTCTTTTCGTCACGCATTGTTTTGTGTTATTTTTCGGCTAAGTGCTGGCCATAGCAATGGGTGTTGATTCTCAAAGAGTTTTAGAGTAGCACTTGGTCAGGGGTGGCTGCCCTTTTCAAAAATTGCCATTGCAGATTAGAAATCTGTAGTTTGCGGAGTATATATTTCGGGGGCACCTAGTCATATATTTGTCGCACTGCTGAGTCACACTGATTAGTCCTGGATTCGTAAAACTGGTGCAGGTACGATCCATACGGGCGCGTGCTGACGCTGGAGCGCTACGACCAGGCCGGCATGCGCGCGGTGCGCCGGCGCGCGGTCGAGGCGGCCGCCGGGGCGGCCAGTTTTGGCCTTGTGCTGGGCACGCTCGGCCGCCAGGGCAACCCCCGCATCCTTGACCACCTCCAGTCCCTCCTCTCTCGCAGGGGGATTCCCTACACCAATGTGCGCACTGCTTTTCTTTAACAGGCGGTTCCTTACATCAATGCCCGCGCCGCAAAAATTCGTTCCTCGAGATGTCCACATCCCTGCACACGTCTTACCTCTTCGTCTATGTGGACCCAATGTTGACGTCCCTGCACATGCTTTACCTGTGGTATAGTATCTTCTTTGATTACCTGCAGGCAAGCATGCCAGGAACAGACTGAGGCATTATGTCTCGTTTCTTTTTCTATTGCAAGCTAGGATGACAAGCAATACAGTTGTTCTGAGATGAAGAACTTCGACCTTTGACAAAGGGGTCGTGCTTATTTTTGCAGGTGCTGCTGTCAGAGGTGGCGCCCTGGAAGCTGGACATGATGCACGGGGTGGACGCATGGGTGCAGATAGCCTGCCCGCGCCTGTCCATAGACTGGGGAGAGGGGTTCTCCAAGCCCACCCTGACCCCCTACGAAGCCCTGGTGGCCCTCGGAGAGGTGGGAGGCCTGGCTTTAGCATCTCTCAAACTGTCCCTATTATCATGATTACTCTTCTTTGACGCTCTTCCTGCCAGAGGCAAGCTGCCCCTGCAGACTATCTGCAATAAGGGGCAGGCTTCCCAACAATGGGTGCTTGTTAGCGAAGAGAGTGTAGGACAAGCAAGGCAGTGCGAGCGCCGTGTAGGGAGAACAAGCTGCATCACAATACTGCATGTTTATATTGAATGTCAAGTGAGCCCTATTCATGTTCAATGACATCCGCATAATGTTCAGTTGGCTTGGGTGCTGCGCAGGTGCCGCCTTGGTGGGAAGGCCCACAAGCAGAGCAGCAGAAGGGCCAAGAAGCATACCCAATGGACTACTATGCAAAGGATGGTGGTGTGTGGAACAGCAGCTATCACAAGACGCCTGCGCGGGTGAAATCCCAAGCGCAAGCAGTGCGCTGAGAATCCAGTGTGCTGTCTGGGTTTGCCGTTGCTGCAAGTAGAAGCCTCCTGTGCCTTGGGTGAGAGAGCGCGAGGACAAGGCATTATGGCTTATATTGTTTGAATATGAGTGTGATGACGAGTTGTTCAAGCAAATATGTCGCGGTCGTACATGCACTGTTGGCGTTGTACAAGCCATTGTCAATTTGGACTACATCGGAGGGTGCTCAGTTCTGTAAGATACAATCGAATATTACTTGCCGTTAGTTTGCTGCTTGCCAAAGTCTTCTCAGCACTTGCACACGCAAACACATGAACTGCTGCCAGGGGGCCTATAAAAAAATGGACCACTTCATCCTGCTCTTGCATTCAAGTTGATTATCATACACACTGAGATCATTTGCAATGTTGCAAATATATATACTACAGTCTGTCCAGCAAGCCAATCTACCTTCAGCTGGACACAAGACACCATGAGCATTTAGACTTGCAATATCAGACCTCATGATACAGGAAATGGCCTTAAAAATCTCATCGAGGCTGCTGCTGCATGCAAGACAGCACGCTCCTCCTGAGCAGGACTGCGCATAACAATTGCAATCCCTGGCACACTGTGTACATGTGCAAAGATGACATCTGCAAAATAGTCCACTTGTGCTTCTCTGCCCTGCAAAATATTCCTGCATGTAGCTGAGACATCCAGAAATGTACATCAATACGACAAAAGGACTGTCATTGTGTTCCTGCAATTTCAATCTTCACTGTATGCGCAGGTGAGCATGCCAGCTCGGTACTTCTTCATGCGGCAGCGCTGGTATGCTTTAGGTGTGCAAGCAAGGGAATTTGTGCCCTGTGAACCCGCTTGAAGCTTAAAAACTTCAAAGATGCCCTTCACTCCTCCTTGCGCAAGGCAGGGGTGACAAACACGCCAGTCTTGGGCTTCAGCAGGAGCTTGCATTCGGTCTCCAGAGGGACCTGGCCCGGGCTGAGCTTGAAGGTGAACCTGCATGAGCAGCACTCTGAGTCACTGTGAGTAATTTGATTTACAAATTCCTCTCACCCCAGCTTCGCCTTCAAATATCTCTATACAGACCTAGGTATAAGCATTCATTGCAGTGGGATCCAACACAGCAGCACAGGCAAAGTGCGATGTGTGCACGGCGCAGAGCCCGGCGTGACGCAGCCTTGGCATACAGCGGCACGTCTCCATTTGTACATATTTATGAGAATTGACTGCAGTAAACCGGCATGTGGGGGGAGAGAGGGCAAAGCAGTGACATGTAGGCATGGGAGGGATCACGGGTAATTGATTGTACAACAACTCTGACACCTCTGGACCCTGGCATCCAAATGAGCCCTACATCCCCAGCACGCCACCAAGAAAAGGCATGCAAAAGACAACCTGCATTCTCAATTCCCACAGCAATATATTGCAGACTTCTGCCTTCATACAGCTGTCCAAGCCAGGAGACCAGATCCTTGGTGAAGAACTACCCGCTCTACAATGTCAGCATAACGGCTTATGTATTCTTAATAGTCTTCTTCACGATGATGCCAGGAGGAATGGCGCGCACTTGCGGACCGCTCTACAATGCTGGCATACCGGCTCATGCCTTTGTGGTGATTCCTTCTTGATGATCTTTTTCATGGCGATGCATGGGAGGGAGCGTGCATACTTGCGGAAGACATGCGCGAGGGCGATCTTGGCCTCGATGAGGGCGAGGCGCTGGCCTACGCAGACGCGCGTCCCCTCCCCAAAGGGCATCCACTTGCCCGGCACATGCTTGTCTGCGGCGTACTCGCGCGTTCCCTCCACCCAGCGCTCCGGCTTGTACTCCTCCGGATCCGCGTAGATCTCCGGGTCGCGGTGGATCGCATAGATCGGCACCTGCGCACACATGCACACACCAACAGGTCCTCAGATACATGGAAACTTTCAAGCCCTGAAGTCTAGGCCTGTCTGACTGATCAGGGGCAGAGCGAAGCGCAGCTGAAGCCTTTTATCTGCCACTGAAATGATGAACATCTCTCCTGTCTGTCGTCTCTCAGGAGAGCTATCACGTCAGATGTCATGTTGTTGATGAGGCCTCTAGCTGCATCTGGAGTACTGATGCTCAGAGATGAGGCCTGTCTACAGCGGGCTTCCCAGTGGGGCCAGGCAAACGCAAAAGGCCAGTCACAGTCCCAGATATACCGTACTAATTTTTATGCGTAAATTGACATAATAGGGGTTGTGAAAGTCGCACCATGACGCCGGTGCCCTTGGGGACGGTGTGGCCCTTGATGAGGGTGGCCTCGCCCAGCTGGCGGCCCAGCAGAGTGGCCGGCGAGTACAGCCGCAGCGCCTCCTTCACGCACGCCTCCACGTAGGGCATGCGCAACAGGTGCTCTGCCGTCACATCGCCCTCCGGCGCCTCCCTGTCAATCTCCTGCACCACCGGGATACTTCGACTCAGGAAAGGGCCTGAAGCCCCTCAAACGATGCACGCAACACTGCGTGCCGACCTGATGCCACCACAACATTTCCTAACACGATTCCAATGGATGCTTGGGCAATCGTCACCTCGCATGTAAATAAAATCAGGCACGGGGTCTTCTCATTAGGTATTGGCAAAGGCAATATCCCCTAAGCTCAGGCCCGTGTGAATGCACTTACCTCGACAAGCTTGGCTGCCTTGTCTGGATTGGCGGCAAGAGAGAACGTGGTGAAGGCCAGCGTGTTTGCCGTCGTCTCGTACCCTGCACATGGGTAAAATGAAAGACATCAGCTTGATCAGCATCAGACGCAATCACAAAGGGCTGGTAGTGGACATGCCGCAAGAAACTAGCCTGTGAGAATTGCACACTCATTCATAAAGACAATATGAATACGGAAAAGGTCATCCAGTGCTTGGGGGATGGACGCAACGAGGCAGAGCACGCACCTGCCAGGAGGAAGACGAAGGCCTGTGCGATGATCTCGATGTCTGTGAAGGGGCTGCCGTCCGCGGTGTGGCTGGAGCTCATGAGCAGGTGCATGAAGCTGCCGGGCTTCACTGCGCGCGCCTGCTTGCGAGCTTCCAAGCTCATCGGCGCGCCCGCCGCCCCTGTGGCACTGGCCGCCGCCACCTCCACCCTCTGCTGGGCATCCTTGCCATCTGCAACCGGGCCGTAACAAACTTTAGCACCATGTTTGAAAATTTGCTGGCCAAGGTTGATGACAGAACGTTGTACAAGGAAGGGCAGGTTGTCATTGTGACATGAGGCATTCCCTGCATCTGCAGGGAAATGAGTTCTTGGACAAGAGTCTCGGAAGGCATCAGAAGCGCACCTTGTGCAACCTGCTTGCGAGCTGTTTCCAGCAGCTCTGTTGAAGTCTTGTACAGGAGCTGGCGTGCTGCGGCCATCTGCAAGATGTCATCTCCACATCTTTGAGTATAATTGTATCCAGCCAGGATGGAAGAACGTATACACTTCTGAGTAAGATACTGTTGACAAAATTCCCCTGGATATGAGACAGAGGAGAGAAGGGCACACCTTGCGCATCTCTGCATCCGGGAAGTATCTTGCTATGGGCTTCAAGATTGGCACCGCAAAAGGAAACAGCAGCAATATTGCTGAGTATATGTTTCCTCCAAAGGCTGCAGACCACACAAAACCAGTCGGGACATATATCAGATGCACTATAATAGCACTGGTGAATGCCCTGACCTCATGCTAAGATTGGAAGCAAGGTAGACCCTCACGATTCTGCTCGAAGAGTGTCTGGGCTGATGATATGAGCCTCTTTGCTGCTTCAGAGTTATTGCTATTATCAGCATCCTGTGTGTGCAGGTCCACGCCAAACGCCACAGTTCCCACAACGCCCATAGTGAGCCGCCCTGCATACAGAAGTAAATGGCATCATAGATGCCCACTGCAAATAATTTTCGTCCAATTTAAAGGAGCACAAGAGCAAAATAGTCCGCCACTCGTTCTAGCCTGCTAAACTGCAAAAACAGCCTCTGAGGAGCTCCAAACAACAGCAACTTTTACACTTAGAATAGATTAATAACCACAAACTCCTCAAGCAAGCGCCTACGTGCTGACAACTCTACTAGTAGTTGATTTGCCTTTCAAGACAGCCAAATATGCTAGAGTCCCACTATTGCAGGCTGGCTGTTTGGTGTGTACCATATTCGCGCCAGATATTTGCCTCGCTGCCTTCTGCCGCATACTCTGCCAGGTTGGAGCACAGCTGCTCAGCACAGTTGTTGATGAGGCCACACGACACGTCCAAACTGCACACACCACATGCAGACAAAGTCGTGCCACTTTTCTTGCCATGGGAAGCAATGCATCACAGCATGCGCACGCATCTATATAAAAAGTGGTACAGTATCATTGATACCTTGCCTCGCATGCATAATATACCAGTGCAAACATATATTCGAGCACCCTGCTCACCTTGCACTGTTGAACATGGGCAGCCAGGCACTCTTGATGTCCCGATGCTGTGCCTTGCTGCAGCACACTTCCATGCATCAATTTCCCTTTTCTGGCATAATTGTTCAGTAGCATTGCAGGAGGCTTTGCGTGCGACATCACACAGAAACAAGGTGCTAGTGTCAGGAAGCAAGCATGCAGAGGGATAAGCCTCACTCTTTGACGGCTGCCAGGTTGGCGATCTGTATCTTGTGATCTCGCCCAGTCATCAGATCAGGTGCACCCCTCAGCGCCAGTCGCTCCACATTCCGCAGGATTAACAGCCTGCAGAATTGAGCAGGAGGACAAAAGTATGTTGGCAATATCTTGAAACAGCCCATCTTGCCGTGACATCAGATCTTGATGAAGAAAATGGAAAGGCCGGGGGGCCAGTACTACATATGAAAGGGGCCTTGCCTGCCCAGCTTGGGCTCGGTGACGACCACAATAGGAGCAGCGCCAAACCAGATCTGCAAGGGAAACCCACATTGCTCTTCAATGCCTTGTCTGCAGCATGCTCTGAGACAATACAACCGACACATCGGGCCAAACAGTTCCCAGCAAGCTCTGGCAGACAGGTACGGGAGTCCAAGGACTCACCTTGAATAGTGAGCCATGTTGCTTTGCCCAGTCCGCAAAGACCAGATGCATGCCACGCCCACCAAGGAAGGCATCGAAGTTGCCAATGAGCCACTTGGCCTTTGGCCCTGGGAGGCGTGGGAGCTGCCATGCCTTGAGAGGATGGTATCCGTATATGATCAACTGTACAAGCATCACACATCCCAATCAATAAGATCACTGGAAGATGATGTCAACAGCAAGCAGATGTGAAGCACCATGCATAGAAGGCAGAGCCGACTAAAAGCAAGAGGCTTTGATACAAACGACTAATAGTGTGGATACAACAGCACATAGTACATTCCTATATGCAGCTGCAAGGAGAGCGGTCGAGGAGAGCTATATATAGCAGCCGAGACATTTCCGGCACAGAGGTATGACCAGACTGTCTCAGGTGCTTGGGAAGCCGCGAAAACCTCACCGCTGCACTTAACGCTGCGCCCACGATCCAGCTGAGGGGAATGCCTCCAAGAGCCCACATTGAAACGTGGTCGAGGGGGCGCGCACTTGTGCGTGGATCGCCCAAACCCCAAAGCGCCTGCCGCACGGCGATTGGAGCCTGCAAAGTCCCTCCAAGATATCTGAATCGCTCCTTGTACTTAGAATGCAACGATTTATCCCCTTAATCTCTATGAGAAGGTGAGCGAAGGTGGCTGTCGCTATAGTATCGTTACCGTGCCGATGTTCTGCCATGTGGCACCACATGCAGCCACATCAGCGCTGTCCCTTCCTCAAACTCCCAAAAGACAGCTCCTGCACTTCTACTTGCCTTCACACCGCAGGAGGTATCTACTGGCACTCAAAGTCTAGCATATTGAGAGATTGGCATGCAGTGGGTTTAACGCCCATTCATTCTGCTTTCTAGAGAGAACTTACCGATTGGACTGTAGTTTGCATATCTGACTCATGTAGCCAATTTTGCTCTTTTCGAAATAGATAAATAATACAGCTTATATTTTGGCAATATCAAATAAGTCTACCAGATTTCAGAACGTATTCCCAGGACATTTATGTCCTAATTCCTGGATACAGACTTCTGACTAAGCAAGATCTGACACTCAAACAGTGTTTGACAAACACCGTTGTCTTGTCGCGAGTAAACCTTATTGTGTTGGCCTTGGTAATTATCTCACTTAGAAACTTACCAGGATATCGCGTCCGTCAAGGTCGTTCAAGGTCATCAGAAGTGCCTTTTCAGCTGTAGTGCAGACCAAAGAGAGGGATGAAAACCAAGCACGGCTGGTGTCTGAGAGTGCTCGTCATCCTCTCTTTGTTTTTCGTTCAATATGTCTACAGCGCTTCCAACATCACCATCAAGGGCACCGAATTTGTAGATGACGTTGGAAGGGTGAGCAGTCCTGAACACTTGAAGGCTTCACCCGCACTGCACCTGAATGCCATGCATTGTGGATTTGGCTGCAAGTCGACTTCAAATGCACAGCTGACAATAAATGCAAGGCTTTAAAAACCGGTATCATGCCCGGCTGTGCAGATTGTGGTGCTGCGAGGACTCAACCTGCCCATCAATGCCAAGATGGCGCCTTTCACGCCTCTGAACGACAAAAAATCCCTGAGCAGGCTGCAGACGCTGCCACTCTATGGGACATCAATCGCACGTGTGCTCTTCACATGGGAGGCCTTTGAGCCTGAGCGGGGTCAATACAACATGGACTACCTCAATTACTACCTCACTTTGGTTGAGGTGCGCCTCACAAATTCCAGCTTCTTTGGCATTCCTCAATGTGCAGCACCGTGCTCGCATCTGCAGCACCTGAGCTGTTGTGTTCATCCAGGTCTTGCAGGCTTGATTGATGCTGCATGTTCCTGAGTGAGGCTGTCTGGTGGTGTCTGTGCAGACGCTCTACAGTCAGGGCATCCTCACCATGGTGGATATGCACCAGGACTTCTACTCGCGCTGGCTGAACTTGGGCTGTGGGGAGGGCTTTCCCAGATGGGCCATTTTGGTGGATCCCATTTTGCAGAAGAATCCCTTCAATGGCCCACGATGTGTTGCCTGGATCCTGCAGGTGAACCACTGCAATAGCATGCCACCCTGCCCCCTTCAAGAACCGCACATCCTGTGCCTTGCACTGATTAAAACTCATCATGTGCCCCTTGGACTTTTGCCATATGACAGTGCTGCAAGCTTGCCATCGTTTGTCTCAATAGATGGAGTTGCTGTACACATGTTGTCATTTACCACAGGGTCCCTTTGATGTGGCCGGCAAACTCAATTGGAAGTTGTTTTATGCCGGGGAGAACGGCGTTCGCGACAGGTTCCTGGACATGTGGGAATACCTGGCAAGTAAGACCCCCCAGTCTGCTCTGCATACTTTGACAGAGTTTCCTTGCACCTCCTGATTGCATCATATCGCTCTCTGCAGCAGTCATCTGGCCCATCTCTGAATTTTGCTCACAGCAGCGACCTACTAGTTTTATCCCTTGCATGCAGAGACATTTGCCGACAACCCAGCTGTCATTGGCTATGACATTTTGAATGAGCCGTATGGAGATGAAGTGAGCGAGATTGGGCCCTTGTATGAGGATGCTGCCAAGAGGATACGAAAGCATGACCAGAAAGCCATACTGTTCATAGAGCCCCAGGTCAGGCCCTTGATCTCTCTAAAAGTTTCTTCTGTATTAGATTTGTCTGTCCTGCACCTGACATGCGAGAGGACATTTAATCTCAACCTTGCAGGACTGAAGATTGCTTGTCTGTGTACAGATTTACAAGGGAGCTGGCAGCAAAACAAACCTGCCTCAGCCCACCTTCGACAATTATGCGGTGGCCTTTCATTACTATGGGCAGACAAGGGACCCCCACAAGATCATTGTGTCTTCCTTTGAAGAGGTAGACCACACCAGGTCCTAGTATTAAACAGATAATGCAGATGCATGTGAAGTGAACTTGTAGGAGAGGTAGCATTGTCAGGAATCCCCACAGATTGCCATTCCTAAAATTGCAGGCCCTCACCATCTGGACAAATCAGACTGAGGCATGGGACGTGCCCATGTTCTTTGGCGAGTTTGGTGCCAATACTGACAAGAACCCAGACAACGATGACTTCCAGGTAACGAACAGCCCGGGGCCTCAACTTGATACATTTGCAGCAAGTCCCAGAGGCAACCCCCATGCAAACATTGGCCTGCATTCCTATTTTTAACCCCACAAGATCCAAGGTTGCTCCACAAAAGTAAGACAAAGTTTGAGCTGTTGCATGCACAGCTGCGCTATGAAACGACATTTCCTTGGTGCACCAACAGGCGCCCAACTACATCTCCATGTTCTATGATGAGCTGGACGCGCGGCTGCTGGGGGGCACCCAGTGGGGTTGGACCGATGACTACAACGACAGGACCAGAGATGGCTGGAACAATGAGAACTTCTCAATCGTGGACGCCCGCAGGAACCTGCGCTCAAACTTCGCCGTGCGGCCCTACCCCAAAGCCATCGCTGGCATCCCCGGCCAATTCAAGGTGTGCTCCGCTGCTCACTTCCTTTATGGATAGTTCTGTCACGTCAAAAGGGGTTTCCCGCAGGTCTGGGGGCGTGTTGGACATCTGTGCCCGCCTCACCGAGGCTGCATTTCATTGTTGAAGCTGATCCTCTGTGGCAATGCATCTGCTGTCAGTGTGTTTCTCAGTTTATGGTCCTGACCAGGTGCAGGGGAATCTTTGCAAGTTTTCAAGGTACTGTAGTGCTCAACCTAAACTGCGCACCCTGGAAAAAGTGATTTATTAAACAGCTTCCCGCAGGGCTATTTTCTTGATCAAAAACTTTGTTATGTGCATTAAGTACGTCCCCCAAAGATGCGCCTGCTCAAGAGCTTTCCAAATCCGCCTTCAGATCTTAAATAGGTTCAGTATTTGAGGAGTTAGGGTTTTATTTTCGACCCTTTTTTCAATTTTTACAATTATTTTCCGCGCAGTTTAGGTTGAGCACTACAGTAGATTTCTCCTTTCACACAGGAAGTGCGCAAGCCACTGGCTTGGAGCCAGCAAAAGATAGTCTTGGAGAGCACGATGCAAGGCAAAAAGTAGCAGTGACCCATAAGATACAGTATTAGACAAGAAGTGCTGTGCGCAGGTGGATTCCATTGAGAAGGTGATGGAGCTGAGCTGGGAGGTGACTGCTGCCACGCTGGCAGCCGGGGCAGCCAGCGGCGGCAGAGGCGCCACGACCGTCCTCTTTGCGCCAGTCCAAGGATTCTTCGCTGTGCCACATGCCAACCAGTTGGACATCCAGGTAATTGACTGCTTCCTTGCCTCTCACTCCCAGGCATATTTTAGCGTGAATTGAAAGGGCTGGAATAATATAATGATGGTACTGTAGTACATTGTGGACAGCAAAGAGGAATGTTTGTATATAATCTGGTGTAAATCTGGTGTGTGCTCGCACACAACAGCAGTACTGGAGCAGAACCGCTTGTCTGCATCCCAAACATGCCCATTTAAGAGCACCAATCGGGTTTATATGAACTCGTTGGAGCAGCAACACAGGTGGCTGGGGCAGAGAAATGTTGATTGTGGCTCTGGCTGCAGGTGACACCGGCGACTGGTTTGACATGCAGCTACTCAGCGGACTGGCTCACCTTTAGCTGCCTGGCCAGCCAAGCCGGTGGCTACACTCTGGTCATACAGCCACAGCAAATAGCGTGAGATGCGCGCACAACAGACACAGTGCAGCCACGGAGGCTTGGCCACAAATATCAAAAGTGGCTAGCTGGTCTCCCTTGGGAGCAGAATGAGCAATGCAAGGGTCTGTGGGGAGCACATACAGAATTCGATCACTGACTTAGCATAGTGATCTTGAAGGTGGTACGACAGCCATTTTGTGAGGAGAGTTGCATGATTGTCAGACTGTCCACATGGGGAAGCAGGCTGATCATGGCACTAGTCAATTGCCATGCTCCCTGTGATGAGGAGCCCTCATTGAGGGCAGTGCTGCTGTCAAGGAGTGACAATGAAGTATCATTTAGTTTTGGACCGGTAGAACACTGAAGAATTGTTAGTCAACATGGTTACACTGTAGCGGCTGGCAGCGCTAGCGCATGCTGGCATGACATTCAGTTGGCATTGGCTGATCAGCTCATGCTAGCAGCTGGCTTGCGCGAGCTAATAGCAGCTCATGCTGGCAGCTGATGCCATCTGACATCTGATCGATGATTGCACCTGCAATTGAGATTGCCAGTGCACCTCATCATCCAATTGTGTGGTCCCACAATACCCCACTAGTGTCACGACCGCGCGCAATAGCTTGTGATGTTGTTGACGAGCACTTGTGGCACTGCCAGTGCAAGTGACTATGTCAGTGACGATAGTCACCATAACAGTGGTCCCACAAGATTTAATTGTTTATTACAAAATAGAGAACTAGGCAACTTCTACATATTTTGGGATGATGACCATGACTGCTGCCACTAGCAATATTGTTTGGCCAAACACCTTAGTCATGAGCTAGAACTTCCAGTGGGAGAGAGGTCACCAGCATTTGCACCGTGTTCATGCAATTGTAGACGTAGACGACATTGGGTCGATTTGGCCACTCACAGGCTGTCACTGGCCAATCTGGAAAAGGGGATTAAATACCTGGAGGGGCCTTCATCTCCCCATCCGAATATGGCAGCTTCGCATCAGGTGAGATCTTCCGGAAGCCGAGTCACCGCAAACCTCGGCTTACTTGGACATCAACATCAGTGCCAGCAAAACATATTCTGTGCTCCCAGTCTGCCTTAAGGTCCCCAACACTCTCAAGGAAGGACTCAGTGCTCGCAATGGCTCGCGTCGGCAATGCCAACAGCCACACCGGACTCGTGTGGGGAGTGTACTTCCTGGACCTCCTCGCCTGGATTATACTCCTGGCAGGTAAAGACTCCCCACACCCAACGCCACAATGTTTATCGTCGCATTATGGGTCTAGAGCCGTCAACGTAGGATGTAGCGTTTGGCAATGAGTGATTTTCTCCCCAGCTGTGGATGTGGTGACTAGGATGCCGGTGGGCCCGAACGCTTCTAGACATATAGTGTTGCTTTGTGAGGGGACTTGTTTGCGATGGCTACAGTGCTGAGTGATGGATAGGCTGGAAGGCTTTTCCGGGCTCACCGGGGCCTCAGGACGTTCTGCTTGCTCGCGTTAAGTGCCATGCCGTTGTCAGCGAAGTTCCTTTAGTTCCTGAGTATTTACTGTTCGAACCCGTGGACATAGTTGTGCATGGCAAAAGAGGTTCAGTTTGGTCTGAAGGCATGCCTTTTGAGGCTGAGCGGTCAGGTTTGATGGGGAAGGGGCCATCTGAAGCTGTCGCCTGACGTAAGTTTGTGTGTGGCACAGGCATCTCCTCGCTGCAGCGCAATGACTATGTCGAGCGCGGTGGGACTGTCTCGGACACCTACTCTTTCCAGTGGTGGGCCGTGATCTTCCAGCTGATCACCCTCGTTGGTGAGTCTCTCTGCCCACCCCAACGGATGTCTGGCCCTTGCGATGCGTGAGGACGCAAGTAAAGTGTTGTTCTTATGAAACAGTACAACAGTACTGCAACGCTTGTCTTGCTACTTTGATCGTAATCCCGGAGTAGCACCATGCACATCATCCAAGGTCACGCTTTCCTGATGGACTGCACAGATGGCTGCTGTCACGGTTGAACGCCAGACGATAGGCTCGTGCTATGCGACGATTATCATGCCGGTTATGTCACAAACAGAGACATGTTTGGTGCGGTTGATGTTGTAGAACTTGTCGCAAGGCCTTCCGATCTGGAGCGCCGGCACGAGCTGACGATTACGTCGACTCGAGTACTGGACTAAATCGATGTGATCGCTTGCAGGTGTCTTCTACGCTGTGGCGATGGGCCACCACGAAATCGGCCGCACCGCCATTATCGCTTTCTTGGCCATCTCCACTGTCCTCCTCTTCGTAAGTCCAACTGCCCTTCCAAAACTTGTATTGCTAAAAGATGCTCTTGTACATCTGTTATAGGATTGTGGTGCAATTGATTTGCATAGCATAGTGTAGATTGCAAACTTCCCTTGCCTAGCATAGTGACTTGCTGCAGCCCACCACGTGAAAATCTGTGTGGCCTGTGAGCTCGTCACTGCCCTGCTGTCTGGCCCTCTTAGTGTGGCAGCATAAGTTCCCATCAAGAGCTCACACTAGCATCTGTTGAGAAGCTGTGGGGCATTTTTCAGCCCTGAGTGTGCTGGCATGATGCAGTCTGTCTCTCCAACATTTGATCAGCCTTTTTGGCTGGCATAAGTTGCAATGATTCTCTTTCAGGACAATTGGTGCGCCGCAGCTCTTGACTCTCTTGTGTGCTCCTGGAACAGGGCGAGACAAACACCTTCTACGGCAGCTACAAGCGTGGACTTGAGCCTCACCGCCGCATCACCACCTACTTTGTGGGCGCCCTGGTCAGCGCGGCCCTCAACCTGCTGCTCATCATTTTGCTGGGCAACACTGCCATGGAGATTGTCTCCCCCTTCAGGTGAGTGGGGATGAGCGCCTTCTACTTTTGAGGGCCCTGCCGTGTAGTCATGTCAGGACAAGTGTCCTTGCTTGGTGCGGAATGTGAGCCATGCGGCACTTCATGTGGCAGTTGGCACAATTAGAAGTGAATCACATTATGTCATGGACTCATCAACAATTCAGATTGTTCTGTACATTTGGATGCTGTCAGCACATCAAATCAGCCCTGCGCAACCTGCATCAACCCTCATGAAAACAACCCCAAGTTCTTGGAGATGATGTGGGCTTGTCCTTGCTTCAGGCGCGGCGGCGTGGCCAAGCACGGCCACCACACTGGAGCCACCACCACCGGCACTGCCACTGTGTAAATAGACAGTTGTCTGTTCTGTCAAAGACAGCTGCTATGCATGCGTGTACTGGAAAGGATGCGGCTGGCCCTTGTCAGTCTATAGCGTTCGGTTGACACCTGCAGTGCATGGGGAAAAGCGGAAGGATGCGGCTGGCTTTCGTCAGTCTGTAGAGTTCAGTTGACGTGACGTTTAGTTCGAGTTTGCTGCTGCGTACATAAGTTCAGCGACCGCTCTCTGTCGGGCACAAGAGAGGCCGTGTGCTGTTTTTTGGTCTTCCTCACCAGCAGTGTATGGAGCTTTTCAAGCGCAACAAAATTTTGACCCAAGAACGGATATATATTTTCTTGTACGGCTTGCATTTTTGCCAACTCCTTGTTCTCTTCCAGCATGTTGATTTAAAGCCTGGATGGACTACATTATGTGTCATTGCTGCGGTCACCCGTGTGCATGCACTGCTGCACAGCCATTGCTAGTATTTGGTGTCGATGTAGCGCAGCTTGGCTTGTAGCAATCAATGTCTTTCGCAATTGCTGTAACCGGGCATTTTTATAGACATACAAAGACGTTGTCCCTCATTCCCATGTCTATGCTCCCATCAGAGCGGAACAACATGCAATGCAAAACGAAGAAAAAGAGTTGGACTACAAATAATAGTAAAGGTGCCCCTATGAACAGGTAGCAAATCGCCTCCATGGCTGAATCATATGATGCATCGTCAGATTCCTCCTGACCGAGACAGCCATCCAATCACACCTTGAATGCTTGGAACTGCTGAGCCATTGCCCAAGAACATGCAGATTCAGCAGCGCCTTATGTTGGGTGATTGATGGTGACTCATACCCTGCGCATTCCCTACAGTTGGCTCAGCAGTGGCACAGATCATTCTGGTTATATAAATACATGCAAATCGGAATGCAGTACAAGATACCGGTCCAGGTTGGGATTGAAGACCCCGAGCAGCGGTGTAAGAATGACCCTCCCTGCCACGCGGCCCGGTGGCTTCTGCGCGCATGGGCAAGCTTCTCAGCGGGACTGCAGCCTTCGGTGTCAGCAATCTGAACCTGGTGCGTTTGCCTGACTAACTTCGTCTTGGAAGAACATCGTGATGCGCCCTTTTAGAAAATAAGCATGATTGGGGACATGGGATCTGGTGCATGGCTCTGAGCGCTCCCATCTGGAAGACTTCGTTGAGTCTCAGCAAAAGGCCTCTCGCGTGGAAATTGTCATGAAGAGTGCTTTCAATGCTGTGCACAGGAGCACAGGACATTCCACCTGCCGCCAACACGCCTGCACAAAAGGCCAGCCCTGCCCCTTGTTCGCTTGCTACCCTCATCATGCTTTACTCTGAAGCGCGCCTGCTTCCTGGGGTGATTGGGGCAAGAAATTAACCCCATACCTTGCTCTTGCTGTCCCGCTGCTCCGATGCAGGTTGTGTGGAGCGCCAGGAATGTCTGAGTCAACCTTGTGCTCCTTGTTAGATGGCAGCGCCCGGTCCTGTCGCTGAATGAAATGCCACTATTTCTCTGTTTCTGCTGTGCTGTGGATGAGCTCCTATCCTTGTGTTTGGGTGCTTGCCTATTGGGAAACATGTCTAGACAGTGTTGGCGGGCGGGCTGCCTTTGCAGATAGCCATAGCAATGGCACTACTCCAGATTGTACGAATGCACAAGCTGCAGAAGTAAATCCTACTTAACACAATGAATGATTGGCGCAGTGCTCAATAATTATAACCTGCCCCCCCCCAGCCAGGACTTACATTTGCCGTCTCAGAATAACATCCATGAGCAACACAACTGTGCAAGACTGACGTTCTGCATTGTCGACATCATTCATGATCCCATTGTCTGCCAGATATGGATGGGGGACAGTTTGCCCTGCTTCTTCACTTGCTGGCAGTGGGAATTGCTGGCAGTCGTGCCCCTACTGGTGAAGAGGTCGCCCCCATCAAATAGGCCATCGTCCACCCCATCTGCATCCCCTCTTGGGACTTCCTCGGCTTTGGCATTGATGAATGCCTCACCTGCACACATGCAGCTCCTCAGCTATTCCCTCGTTTAATGACATGACAACCTCAACACGTTCACCTCATCTTGTCACTTTGGGATGCCTAGTCAATGAACCATGCAACCAGAAACGCTTCTTCTGTCAGAGCAGTATGTCTACTCCACGTGGCAGGCTTTCCTCTCTTCTCAGTGCTCGCACTGCCTTGCCTGTCTTCCCTTCTCTTATAGTTGAGAATACATCTCAACATGCACTGCTAAGATGCGCAAGGTACTTACCCGAGGTGGCTAGCGCACGGCCGTCTGCTGAGGCTGCAATGCACAGCAGCTGGCGCGGCTTGGCGGCCGCACCCCACAGGCTGCCCACGCCAGCGCGCTCGATGGCCGGTGTGGGCTCTGCGGCCGATGTGTCAAACAGGCGGATGTGATCCTCTGGGCAGCACACCGCCAGGACGTCCGGCGCAGACGGCAGGAAGCAGCAGCCAAACACTGGGCACCCTGCATCGCCCCTCCATACCACCTCCCACGTCCGCACATCCTGTGCACATCAGGGCTTCCGTTTTCATGTCCAGCACACCGCCGCTGGAATGCTAGAACAAATCTCTGGGAATCACATCACCCATTGATTGCCGCAAAAGCGCCAGACAAAGCCAGCACAATAACGGAGATTTTGGAGGGCGGCCATGCAGCACAGCCCAGTACACGTACAATTGAGTGTGGTCATCCAGCCACGAGCGCTGCAGACGAATAGAGAATTGCGCAATCCCCACAGCATTGGCTTACAGTTGCATCTGGTTTCATCTGCGAGAGGTAAGTTAGAGAGGCGGCGCTTACCAGGACGGATATGCTGCCGTCAATGAAGGTGGCGGCGATCCGGCATCCGTCGGCGTGCCAGACCGCTGCGGAGCCCATCGCGTTGTGCAGTCGCAGGCCGGTCAGAGGCGTCAGGCCGCCGCCCTCGCGCACCCATGTGCGCACGCTGCCGTCGCTGCAGCATGCCGCCAGCAGCCGGCCATCATCGGGCTGTGCACCGAGGCTGAAGACATAGCCGGGCTGCCAGCGCTCCGGGATGCTCCCTGCGCAGTGGAATTCTGTGCAGGTCGGGCGGAGCTTGCATGCTGGGATCAGAAGTACTGCTTCCAGACAATTTGTGGTAATCGACGTTGACAGAATGTCAGGGGTCTCTAGGTGCTTGATTGGATTGTTCTTGGGTAGATGGTGCGGGCGGGTACACGCCAGCAAACATCGCCTTGTACTTGCCATTGGAAAACCTTGTGCCTTCCACACTTCAAAGCGGACCGACCTCTGACAGTGCTGGTGCAGCGAGCTCTTGAAATACATCATCATAAGCTGCTGAAGGTAGGGTAAGGAGGCAGAAGCGTGCCTCCAGCGTTGTCGCGCATGTCTGTGGGAGGGCCAGCCTCGGTCAGGCGGGTGGCTGTGGCCACGTCCCACAGGTACACGTTCTCTGAGCTCCCTGTCGCCAGCTGCAGGGACCCGCCGTCTCCGTGCACAAACTCGCAGCCGTACACCTCCTCTGGATGACCCTGCAGCGCACGGCAGGCACACTGAAGAAAATATCAAAGCACGCAAAGCACGCATTGTGTCCTTGAAGAATTGTGTCCTGGAAGAACTCAAGGAGCATAGGAGGCAGCTAAGGAACCCTCAACTGGAAACAGCCATAAAACCATTGACAGATGCACGAAAAAAGGAGGAATCGGTCGAATGATTCAGAAGAGGGCACGTCTGTCACCTCCAGACAGCTGGCTTCCTCTGCGCCATATCTGGGGATTTCATCAGAGGCCTCTGGCGTGTCAAAGCTCCAGAGGCGAACTGTTGTGTCCGCAGAGCCTGCACCAGATTGTAATGCACTCTTCCACTAAGAAAGCACTGCATCTCCCTACACTTGCTGATTTGGAGATGGGTTACTCGAAAAGAGGCTTAGTGATAATCAGCGGAAAATGTTCCTGCTCCTGATCCTCATGGATTGGTAAGGCGTGTAATGATAATAATATGTTCCTGCTCTCTGGGGAGCACAAGATCAGGCATGGGCAGATTGGGGCGTTCCAGGGGCAGACCTGAGGCGAGCAGGCGGCCATCAGGAGCCCAGCTGACCCGAAGCACGGAGTCAGTGTGGCCGTGGAAGGAGGAGACCTGCATGAAATCCCCTCCTTCCTTGGTCTGCTGCCAGATCTTGGCCGTGTCGTCGTCTGATGCGCTGGCAATGAGGCGGGAATCGCTGGGCGAGAAGGCCAGGTCGAACACCCTTGCATGGTGACCTGGGAGAATGCATCAGCATGTCAGATACAAAGATCATCAGGCGAATTGTCAACTGCATAGCAGATCGTTGTGGCAATTTGCATGAAATTCTTGTGGGACAAGCCAGGCCGGCCCCTACCATATGCAGACGCCTGCTTGGCTGCCAGCAGCGCAGGCATTGCTGCAGGGGTTAGATGCTCCTGGGCAGCGGCACTCTGGGTGTCTGCTTTCGACATCTGATCCACTTGTCCCACGATCACCCAAGTTATGATATGGTTTTTCCTGGGCTCGTGAATTTCCTGGAAGAATAGAATCAAGATGTGGGTTAGATAGTGTTGTCCCGTGAGGCCAATTCACCAGCACATCAATTATTCGAAAAACTGCGATAGAGACAGAATAATTTGGCGTCTGACATGAACACAGAAAGGTGTGTTGACTTGATTAGAAGGAAGGCTTTGCATGCAATCCAAGCACCTCGACAAAATGATCGCTGTCATGTTCTCGACAGATCCAATCGATCTGATCAATTCAAGTAAACTAACGTAAAATGCTGTGCCGATCCCTTGATGGGGACCAGGCCAAGGAGATTGAAGCAGTAATCCAGGGTGCACATCTGTACCCCACTATACCTCCAATGCTTATCCTACACCGAAGGACTGTGTTAATGGTCAATCTAAGAACATCCTATTACCTAGAAGTGCCTTCACCAGAGCAGGAAGGATATAAACCGTTTGCCATTCTCGAGCTTCGGATCTGGAACGCCGTCCGGACGTGCGCCATTTGGTGTCGACCTGTTCGCATGAACTTCAAAGCGCTTGCAGCAATCAATTCCACCATTAACATGGGGCAAAATCAAGGCGCCCCTGCTTTAGACCAAAGATATTCTGTCAAGGCCCAGCATCACTGTGCTGTGTGCTAAATTCGGCAGCTTGTGGCACTCACTACGTGTGTTCGTTCTTTGTGCAACGCACAGTGAAGCTTTGAGAATTCGAGTATTCAAGTGCATTTGAATGAATTAAGATTAAAAAGTCTGATTAAATGATTCCTGAATTCGTGGAACTTTGAGTTATCTGTCGATGTATGGCGTGAGTAAGGATCAACAAAGGTATAGGGCGTGCCCTTGATCCCGCAACATCTTGAAATTGCATTTCTCTATCATATTTGTGGCCCTTTTGTCAACGTACAGCAGAGGAGGCTGCATTCCTTGGAGGTTGTGGATCAACTTGGTGACTCTTGCTGCTTCTTTCGAAGGAGTCGTGATGGGCTCACATCAAGCAGCCAAGTCGAGTGCTAAATCCCCATCCAAGGCCTCATCATAGGCACCGTGGCCCAAGCAAACTTGTGGGAACCCTTTCACACGAGCGCCTTTGCAGCTTTTGGTGCTCCGATGGTGCTGGGGCCAGTGCTTTTTAACACTCTTGCCGCCTTGTTCCTGCTGGCGATCGCACTGGCAGGTTTGTCCAGAGTGCAAGATTGTTCGGCCTGCTCATTGTCGCATTCGCACAGAGTCCTGCTGCTGCATGTTGCTTGCGATGGGTGTCTCCTTCAGGCGGGTTCTGCTTGGGATTGCAGGGGCATATCTGCCTGTATTTCTATCCTATCTGGGCAAAAAGGCGGGAGCTCCTGGGGGACGCAGTCTTGCCTATGTCTTGGGGAACATGCTAAGCGCAGGGGGTGAGTTGTAACTTCTATCCTGCCTCCTTGGAGTCCTTGCAAACTGCATGCCAAGCAAAATCTTAAGTATCAGTATCTGCTGTGCCTTTAACGAGCAATTGGATGAATGGATAATCCATTAATTTTGAGATGTCATGACATAGCCACCACTTCTTCGCATTTCCTTTATGCAGGTCATTCCGTTGCAGCCTGTGCTTAAACCTTTGAAGCTACGCCGAAAGGCAGGCTTGAAATGCGCTGCTGACTGCCTTGCTTTTCGTGTGGCGCGCAGTCATGATATCGGCAGGCTTTGTGCACCTGCTGGGCACAGCCATCAAGGAGCTGGACCCCATGAAGAGGTTCCCTCTGGCGCCCTTCCTGTGCGGCCTGGGATTCCTGGTCACTTTAGTGGCGGACCAAGTGGCGAGCATCCTCTCAGAGCGCAACGGCTGGCACGATGCCGGCAGCGGCCACTGCCACTCCCCCGTGCTGGACTCTGACATGACCCTGCTGCAGCATGTGCTTGTTGTCGACCCGGCTCATGCCTCGCGCACGCAAGGTTGCCCAACCCTGCCAAATCTCAATGCCTGTGATATTCCTGCACACATCCATATCATCTTCATCTGCATCTTCAGCTAGTGCTTTGTCTTAAACTTGTGAACAGCTTACTCAGAAGAGCGTGTATTCAGCATAACATGAAGTCATGGGGTTGTCAGGTCTTCTGCAGGAATAAACAACGCACTCACTGGTGGGCTGTGCAGGGAGTCCAGCATTGAAGGACAGCGAAGGTCTGGTGAAGAGCGGCACGAAGATTCTGGAGGTGGAGGATGGCTCTGTGAGACTGGCAGCAACTGCGGAGGGTGGCGATTACCTGTCCAATGGGGACACGGCCCATTCTGCATCCAGCAGTGGGGGTGAGGAGGCGGAGGAAGAGGATGGCAGGCCATTGGGAACTCTCCATCTCGGCAAACGGCAAACCTCAGGTAACTAATTGGTGTTTTCCCCTCTAATCGTCTGTGTTTGAGACATTTACTGTGATGGCCGCAATGATCTGCATTGCTGAAGGGGGTATGTGGATGGCAGGGCATTTGCCAGGGGAGGGGAGGGTGGCAAACGGAGTTCTTCTAGGACCTGTCAACGCCAGCAGCGTGCAGAGAGGCTCCTTGATGCAGCGGACGGTGTCTCTGCCGCAGAACTCCAGGGAGTCGGAAACGATACGGCTGGTCGGTGACATTGTGGTACGAAATTTGCTCCAGAAATTTGCAGGATGTGCCATAAGTGCTTTGCCTGGGCATGCTTCATTCAATCCGGCCCATCATCATGGTGGGATGCAAGGCAATGAGGGTTGTAGAGCTTGCATTTGGAGGTTGTGGCAACAGCTTACTTTGCATGAAGCACCGGCATGCACTGAAAGAGGTGTGCTGGTGTGCTTGCAGGACTCGGTGACTGGGGAGGTGCGGGGGCAGGCTGTGAAGGCAGGGAGTGCGGGTGGCCGGTCCCCTGAGCCGGCGGGGGGTGCAGAGCAGCTGCAGGCGGCGGCGTCGGTGTCTTTCCTGACAGCAGCGCTCATGGGAGTGGCCCTCTGCTTCCATTCTGTCCTGGAGGTGGGCTCTTGCACATGTCTTGTTCATTATGCTCCGCCACCCTACCTCTCAATGGATTTGAAAATTCTTTGACTTCATGTCCTCCTGTCGGCTTGGTGCGCCCTGGCAGAAAGGTGCTGGATAAAAGCAGAGGCCAACCCTGCAAGCAGAGTGTTGGGGACACAAGGCACGTCCAGGAGCTGAAATCTTGCCTGTTCCCTTGGATGGGCTCAATACCCACATCTTTCGCCATATGTTTGTTTCATGGGAAATGATCTGTGGGAAAACGTCTGCAGGGCATGGCCATGGGGGCACAGGCGAACATAGTAGACAGCGTGCACATCTTCATAGCAATCGCTGCGCACAAAGGCTTGGCTGCCTACGCGCTGGGAAGCTCTGTTGTGGACTCTCAGGTGAACCTTTACAGACACTTCACAGAGTGCCGCTTTGCATCACGTTCTCGCCAGCCTGCGTGACATATGCAAGCCTATTTTATTTTCACACTGCCTGTGGCACCTGCAGGCCAGCATGCGGAAATTCTGGACGGTGATTGGCTTCTTTGCATCAGCCACTCCTGTGGGCATCTTGCTCGGGGTTGTGCTGTCCAGTGTGTCAAACAGCGATGCAGCTGCGTCCGTATCTGCTTTAGCGTCAGGTGAGCTGCTTCTCCTGCGCTTGTCATCCCCCTGGCACACATGAAATTGGTCTATCACTAGGCATGCCTGACTTCTGAGCATCAGCTTTCTCACTGTAGTTTCCTTGTCCTCGGCGTGCTTATACGTCAAGCGTTGATATCTCATTTGACTTCTTCTGCATTGCAGGCACGTTTTTGTATGTGGCGTTCATGGAGGTGATTCCCAGGGAGCTAGCAATGCCCAGCCACAGGACTGCCAAGCTTGTCATGCTCTTGGCAGGATTTGCAGCGATGTCCATTTTGGCCATCTGGGCGTGAAGGGCATATTCTCAGATATTCATGATGACCAAGACACACCGAATGAATCATTGTTAAAGATGGTACCAGTGCCCATCAGAAGCTGTGCTGAACAAGCATGCTTGCTTGCTGATCATGATTGCCAGCTGGTTGCCAACTGCAGTGCTCTATTGTATCACAGTGCCACAGAACGCATGTGTAGGATGTACAAGTTGCGCTGTGCTTGTGAGACGCGGGTCTCAGAGCCTGTACGATGTGTAGTGTAGGACTGTTGTCTGTACAGTCCAACTTGCAGAGCATGCTTAAGGAACGATTGTATGAGTCAGCATGACTCATCTACTCTCCTTCCTTCATCTTGACAACTTCTCCAGGAACTGTTGTCTCTTATGACCAAATACTTCAGAAATTAGGAGCTATTCGCAGAATTGTGATTCGCATATTGCTGGCCGACGACGGTCACGATGGCCGGAGGTATCGAGCACCTTGATGTCCAAGATTTCGCCAAAGATCTGGGGTCTCTTGAGCGATCCCTGCTGGATAGATTCCTGTCTGGTGAGAACAGGAGCTTCCCCTAGATCATCCTGTGTAATCGAAGTACTTAGAGATATTGCGAACTAGCTCAGCTATCTCTCCACATCTGAGGAACCGTCAAGAACTCGTGTAATCGGCAAGAGAGCCTTGTGCACCTTACAAACCATTGAACACTATTAAATGCTTTTTATTTTGTTGCAGAGACCCCACTTTGTACTGGCAATGACAGACTGGGCCAGATAGATAGCGCTCACATTCCCTCACCAGAAAAACTAACCCAGAACGTCAAGCACTTCCTGGGGTACCACATGATCAAGCAATTCGATGTCCTCAACTTTTTGGAGGATACAGGCAAGCTTTTGGCCGAAAATCAATCTCGTCTACGCTTTCTTGATCACTTGGAATGTCTCCTCTTGAGCACGAGCTGTGCCAAAAGACCTGAAGACCTGCCGCCACAGGCACCTATATTGAAGGCATGGAGGACACTGACGACGACCCAGATGTGATTGAACGCAAATGGCTGAGGCCTGTGTACTCGGCAGCACCAACGGTTGTGCACAGGTGCTCGCCTGCCAACATTTGTAAAGCATGCTTTGCGGAAGATTTTTTGTGCCAAATGCAGTCACCAATTCCTCTGCAATCATCCACCGCCCTGAATATCCCATATCACACTGTGCTTGCAGGCTGCTAATATGGCTTTGTGAGAAGGGAGTGTACAAGAGCGAGGAGATAAAGGAAGCCCTCGAAATTGCCGAGAAGTCAATCGATGAGCTTCCCTGCTGCGCGCTGCTCTCACAGTACCTGCCGGGGCCGCGCCACAGCGCATATGAGCTCTGTCATGCAGACACGTCCTTCCCAATGGGCAGTGGCATGGTCGCCACAACCTTGCAGGCCAGATACCAGGACACCTGCCCCTCTCTCAACTACTGGGGCCTGGCTGCTTCAGCATGCAGGGACACCATGAAGGTGAGCTAGTATGACTGCTGCTTGCGGCAGCACACTTTAAGCATATGTTATGCAATTATATAGGTAGGTTGGGGAAGAGTGAGGAGTGTAGAAGTCATTGTGAAAGGGTGCCAGGTGATCTGGTGGTTATCAGAAAAAATTTGGTAGGGATGACATGGCAGGAATGAGTCAAGTAGGGTGGAACTGACATGCCCAGCATATGCAGAGCCTCTCCATTTGCCCGTCAAAGACTAAGGACCTTCCAGACAGTGTCCAGGGCAGGGTGAATGTGCTGGCAAGATCAGACAGTAGGACAGCGCATTCAGCACTCATGCAAAGCACAGTGATGTTGTAATCATGAGCTGATGTTCTACGATGTGTCTTTCGCGCGACAGGTGAAAGAAGAACACAGCCAGAGGATGCATGCCAAGCGCATCGGCGATGGCGGCCGCGTCACATTTGCCACGTGCCATCAAGGGTCATCACCCTGGGAGGAGCCGGTACACACCTGATTGACAACCTTTTGCACAATTACTCTGTGAACTTGTAGCAGGAAGACCACATGATTAAATCCGTTCTTGGCTGTTCTCTTGGTGATTTAGAGGTTTACAGAAGCATGAAATTTATGTGGGCGGAAGGTATCACGAGGTGATGGGAAATTATGACAGGGCATGGCATTGTGCGCAGGAGGGTGGCGTGGTGGTCCAGTTTGATGGGCCCATTGCAGCGCTGTTTCGCGCGGGTATGATAGTGACGGCAACATTTCAGCAGCTCAGCAATGGCTCCAGCAGCAGATGGGAGCTTTCCAGCCCTGGCTATGTGTGGCCGTCCTGGTACTGTGAGAAGGGCTGCATGAGCACCCCCAGCTGATCAAGGCCTCCAGAAGATCCCAGGTCCTGGGTGTGAGATCACGGGCCTGCCATGGGATTTTGTTGTAAATATTGGCTACTGCGTTTTGGTTTCATTGTTCAGGTTGCAATCAATTGAGACTCGGTATTGGTTTCCACCTCTTATCAGTAAACGCCAGTGGCCCTGGCCCATGGGGCCCCTGCGGTATGATGTTGTCATTATTGTTATGTTTTCCCTGCCGAAGGCAAGGTGCGTCTGCAGACAAGCTGCATGTAAAGACTGCCAAATTGCTACCCCTTGTTGGACTCGCCAGATCCAAGCACGGGGCCATTATAATGGCCATTATAATTATCAGCTATATATAATAATAAGCTGATATATTCTTCCTGTACAGTGTCCGGACCAGGATCCATTGCACCACTTGGACTACTCTTTTGGACAGATGACGATTTGTAATTGATTTAGAAATGTCTGTCTCACTTTCAAGTCAGTGCGGGCAGCTGCCGCCCATGAAGAGGAAGCTGCAGTGGGGTTTGAGGTATATATGGAGAATCGACAGCTGAACACGTCTTTTGTCATGTGACCAGATGAGCCCATTGACGGTCAATGATTGACCTCCGTTCACAAACACGGTGAGAACTTCAGACGGATATACTAGAGTTGGGTGGTCAAATATATCTAAGGGTGACAAGTGTGACAGTGTTTGGACGTGAAATTACAACCAAGTCACGACAGTTCTGTCGTGCATGTGGACTACAGCATATTGCACCTTTGGCAACCATCAAGCCAACGTAGTCTTCCAAAATGATTGCAACCATACATACTCTGTACTACCAGGCTGGCCTGCAGAAAGGGTTTCAAACTCCACGGCCTCGATGGAGAAAATTGCATTACTCACGAGCTCCTGGAAAGCTTTCCAGGAACTTGCTTGTGAGATGTCAAGAGACAGATATTGAGTGGGTGGAGAGAGCCGCGATCCAAAGAGAGGCATGGAAGGAAGAAAGCCGCAAATACAGGAGTGAGTCCCACAGGTTTCGGTGCTTTCTAGTACTGTAACCTCTCTGGATTTGGTGCTCTTGCAGCGTGTATGAGAACCAGACTTACCTTCAAATTTGTCTTCACATCTAATTGAGAGCTCATGTTCTCTTGGCCAGGAGTAACCTTCACATACGATGACTGGGTGGCACACAGGAGCACCACTCGCTACAGCCGTCATCTCGCTGGTATTCTGGAGTGAGTGCACTCTTCTCTGACCATTACATATTGCCCACCCCTTTGCATTTCTTTTACAGAGTCGCTGACGACACAACATGATGATTGCTGTGCAGCTCTAGGATCTTTCGTGGCCTTTTGCCAACCCTCACAGCTGTCATGATGGTTGCCACCTTTGTCTCAGTCTATGAGACACTACGTGAGGTAAGAAGATCACCTGTGACGAACCATGTCAGATGCTTGCATGCCCAATACGTGCGCACATATTCTTGTAATATAACACCACTCGCAGTGACGTTAGCATGCTTGGCGTCTGCTTCTGCAGGCTGGCATCCTCATACCGCACGACTGGGTAGGGTTGACAGTGGAAGCCGGGCAGGCCTTCAATCTGACAAGCTTTGCGCTGTCTCTGTTGCTGGTCTTCCGCACCAACGAGAGCTATTCCAGATGGCTCGAGGCAAGGAAGGCATGGACCAATATTGTCACAAGATCCAGAGACTTTGCACGCCAGGCACGCACATCCGTGTAATTCGCACACTTCGGCAATTGCTTTACTGTACATCAAGAGGGGCAGGCTTTGCCCTGTTGATGAAGAAAATCTCATCTCATGGACCCAAATGGCTGTGCAGGGCCTGTCCTGGCTGTCTGGGGACAAGCAGAGGGAGAGCATGCTGGAGAGATGGACCATAGCATTTATCAAATGCACCATGGCACATGTGCGGGAGGAGTGCGATCTCCAGTCCCTGCTTGAGGTGCGTTTCAACTCCCCATAAGCGTGTTTGAACAACTTGTCCCCGGCGGGGGCACTATAAATATTGCGACTGTGCCCACAATTGATTGGGTCTTGTTTGGATCTGGCGAGTCCAAGAAGGGATAGGATGGTGGCAGCCTTCATCTGCAGCTTGTCTGCAGGACGCATTGTGCCTCCTGGCAGGAAAGGATGTAATCAGAATACCATTATTTATTTTGTAGGGTCGTGATGTCTATATTTGTCCGTTACATTGAAAATCCCACACACCACATACCCTCTTTAACACACTTTTAACACGTTTGTCACGCATCCGCTCTCCATGTCTGCCTGCAAGCATGTGGCATCCTGCTGTGCTGCAGGATGTGTTAGAGGCACACGAATTGGAGCAGCTGATGGCAGCGCAGCACAAGCCAAACTTTGTGCTGCACGTTCTGTCAGAGCTGGTGTGGGGCGCTAATTTGATGGAGGGCCAAGCTATGCGGATGGATGAGGCGCTGACCGTCTTCGGGGAGCAGGTGGGCACATGTGAACGGTGCGCTCCCGCATGCTCCCGCATGACGATATGATCCAGTTGCTGTAGGATGCGTAGGATGCGTGAAGCTTCCAACAGGGGAAATCTCGTGTATATGATCACACCACCTTGTGTGCGATAGTCTGTTATCACACCATGTCTTTACTGACATCTGTGGCTGGGCTGCAGGTTGTTGAAGACTCCAATCCCGCTGAGCTACACAAGGTCAGCAAATGCTTCAGTTTCCTGTGCCTCCAGAACTGCTGAAGCTTTAATACACACCAGTTGAGCTCGGGGGCTGTGCATGCCTAAATGACTGTGCGGTGATGGGAGGCACACTGACATGCAGGCACACATCGCGGTTCCTAGTGATGTGGCTTGCTTTCCTGCCCTTCTCTCTCTGGGATGCCTGCCACTGGGTCACCATTCCAGCCTCAGGCATCATCGCGTTCCTGCTGCTCGGCATCGAGGAGATTGGAGTGCAAATCGAGGAGCCTTTTGGAATCCTTCCCCTTGGTGCGTGGATTCTATTCCATACAATAGAAGCGGATTCCGTGATAGACCCTCAAAGTTTTGACTGCACCATCCAGCAATCTGTAAAGGGTGCTTTGAGTTTGGCCTTGTTGCTGAGGATGACTGGCTGTGCCCGCAGAGCTATTCAGCGATGTTGTTGTGGGCGAGATCAGACAGATGGGGCGCGACACGAGTGTGCAAGCTCTGGTGGAGGCAGGCCTGAAAGGGAGCGGTGCAAGCGCTAATGGGGCTCGACCTGTGAGCATCCAGTGAGTGAGGGAGAGTTCTGCTTGTACAACATTGCATCCCTGTGCAAATGTGAGGTGTATTTCAACGCGTTGCTACATATCTGTCCCATGCTGTGAATTGCTTTTACACTCGGAAAAATTGCACTCGGATCCGCCATCGGTTTTGGCCCAGCATGTTGAGCTAGAAACATCCTTTTCTTGTGAATTTTATCAAGTTCTAGCCAACCGTTTGGTATGTCCAACGGAAGGCAGGCATGGATGCCGAGTAGTAGTCTTTGCTGGTCTTTCCTAGCTATAGCCCAGCGTTTGTATATAGATAGCATTTGATGACCCGTGGGTAGGTCAAGCTTGTCATGATCTGTAGTTCTGAATTCCAATTAGGCTGAGTTGGTAGCAAACTTCTTGTCGCATGCCGCATGCGGTGGCTGCAGACACATTTCCATCTCGGTTGCCTGTAGGCTATTATAGCTAATGTGCTTTGATGAGATCAGTTCCTGTCTAGCTGGCCGCGTGGCTCCATGTATGCATGATACTACAATATTCAAGCCCGACCTCATCAGAAGTTGCCTTGTAAAATATTCTGTGATCGTTAAATTTTCTGTGAATTGAAATATTATACATTCATGGTCCCCATATTTTAATATGGCATATTACCAGAATTAGCAATATCTTGCAAGGGGAGGGGAGGCCAACTTCCTGAAAGATGGAAGCTTCCAAGTCAGATCCAGCTAGCCACCAGCAGATTGTGAGCCTTCTTGATGCACAATACAAGCAGACACAAACCGTTCTGCGAGATACAATATAGACATCTCCCGTAAAGTATTATATTATACCTCATTTCTGACGACCTTGCAGTGATGTCTTATCTCCTCAGGTGGGCCATCGTGCAACCAGGGATGAAGTGCTTCATATCTCACCATAAAGTCCACGGATGCACAGATCCCTTCTGATGAAAATACTGACTGATGTAAATGTGGATGTGATATTTGGCCCGACTCCTTCACTGTTCTTATCTTTGCCTTGTGTCCATGCTCAACAGGGACTTTCGGTATATTGCATCCCTAGAGCAGCAGCACATTCATCTTTCCAGACCATGGATGGCGCACAGATTTTTCCAAACACCAGGTGTCAGCTGTTGCACCTATTTTTAAAGTAGCCGTTTGCTCTTTGACCAGGCAGTAAGGGAGTGGGTCTCACCATTTCTTTGGCATTGCAGGCAAGATGCTTTCACGGAAGCATCTGCAGGTTCTAGCAGCCAAAAAGGTGAGCCCCTTGCATGTCATAACATCAGAATAGGCAGGTCTACTCTCATTCAGGATCAGTGTGGTGTTGACACTTCTCACCGGCTTTGCCAATATCAGTGCTGCCTAGTATGATGCTTTGTTGTTGCCAAGCAGGGTGGCGGCAAGGGCAAGGGCAATCAGAAGAAGGGATCTAGCAGCATTGCTGACCTGCTGAAGCCAAGAGAGCCTTGGGAAAGGACAGAGGTTGTGATGCAGAACCTCATTCTAGTAGAGAACCACAGGAGGAAAGTGGGGAGGTGAGATCGCACTCCTGTCATGCCACATCCTGCTACAGCATCGATGTCGAGGATATCTTTGAGCCAATCTTGCTCAGCGCTGATCCCTGTGCCGAGTGCAATCTCATCTGCATGCAGTGCAATCTCCACATGCCACAGCAATCATGTCTTGGATCTGTCCTTGAGCCAGCTTTGCTCAGCGCTGATCCCTGTGCCGAGTGCAATTTCCTCTGAATTGCAGTCCAATCCTGGAGGACATTGACATATCTGAGATGGCAAAAGCGCTCTGGGAGGCGCCATTCGCAGTCCTCTCCCATGACAAATTCGAGAACGAGGATCCGGTGTTCACATACGCCAACAAGGTGTGCCTCCCAAAATTTTGCAGCACAGCTCAAAGACCTTTGCTGCACAAAGTGTTGAGAGGCAACATGGAGCAAATTCTGCGTGCAGGCTGCATTGGACTTGTTTGAGGCGACATGGGATGAGCTGGTTGGCATGCCCTCAAGAAAGAGCGCTGCAGACGAACCTGAGGTGCGCTACAGCGCCTGCAAATTGTAATGCATCCGCTGTATGTATGTAGGCAGAGAGGGAGCGCGCTTGAGCGAAATCAGGCTTCTTACTGACATAATGGAATGATCTGGATGTCAAAGGCTCAGGAAGATAGGAATCAGATTTTGGAGGCGGCCGCTGAGAATGAAGTGATAAAGAACATCAGCGCATGGAGGCAATCTTTCAAGGGAACCCGATTTCAGATCAAGGACGGTATACTGTTCAATCTGGAAACTCCCACCGGCAAGAAGGTGTCCTTTCCTCCGCCTCACCAGTCAGGCAGTTGAAAATATCCCGCTGTTCTGAAGACACCAGCGTAAAAGTGACTGATTTAAACCAGCGAATGACTCTGACTGCCTGCTTCTGGTGTCTTGGCTTGCTTGTGCATGTCAGCGCTCTTTCTTCTTTTCAATGCTCAAGGAACTGCATTTATTCCTGCACAGGTGGGCCAGGCAACAACCATTCACCACTGGATCTACGAGGATGGGACAGAGGGGGGCCCAGCAGCCTCAGAGCCAGTTGAGCCGACAGAGAAGCCCTCAGATGAGGAGCTCACAAAAGCAGGTATGGCTTTTTGTGGGCATTCCCACAGGGGGCTCAGTGTACCTCTACATATACCGCACTCTTTGCAGTGCATGTGATTCGTGGACCCTCACCAGATGGCACCAGATGACCTCTCATGGGAGGAGTCCTATTGATAAGTTGTATTCTAAGGGTGCAAAGACAAGCATGGTTTGGTCCAAGTATGCGTGCCTGCATGGGAGTATCTGAGCTGGGTGTCTGGCTTGGGTTCACAGAGGAGGCTATCCAGGAGCAGGCAGCTCTTGTGCGCGCGCTGAAGGAGGAGCATGGCCTGGGGAATGACGATGAGGAGGTGCAGGAGAATGTTGGACTGTTGCTGCGGAGAAAGGCAAAGCTAGAAGCGCTGCAACGGCGAATGGTGGCAGCGGACGCTGCAGCAGCAGAAGCTGAAGCAGCGAGCGTGCCTTCCGCGCCATAGCTGAATGCAGAGTGCCTGAGTGGACAGCCTGGAGATGGTGGTGCCTGTCTGTTAGTATATTCATTGCAGCGATATGACCTGCATAAGTTCTGGTGTCCAATTGCAGCACGAGCTTGACAAGCTTTCCTCAGTAGAAATGTACAATTTACATCCATGGCTGCTCAATGTGGGTGTCTGAGGTGTAAGCTCTCTACTTCATCAGCGCACACAGTAGCATTACACAGTCTTCAGGCTCAACTGGAAAGTATACAGCTGTTCTTGGGGGAATATACTTTGGTACAGAGGTATAATATTGGAACAGTCTTCTACAGGTTCTACGATGTCACATCCTGAACACGCCGTAGTGAGGGGTGGTGTGCGAGTAGCCATTGGACGCCACAGCCAAAGCCAGGCTCAGCACGCGCCGGGTGTCAGCAGGATCAATCACTCCATCGTCCCACAAACGTGCGGATGCAAACTCTGGCTCGCCCTCCTTGTCATACCTGCAGAGAAGGGCATACAGTATTATCTCAATGCACACTATCCTGATTACAGCAGATGGGCCAATGGCAAGTCCTGCTGTTGTGATGTGCTAGAGAGGCACATGGTGCTGCGTACCTGTCAGCAATCTTGGCCTTGAAGGCTGCCTGGTCTTCCTCGCTCCATGCAGTTCCCTCTCTCTCATGCTTCTGCGCCTCGACCTGCAGTCAACATCTGTTAATGACACATAGGATTTTACTGCATATAATGCATCTGCGCGCATGCAACAGCGGCAACAGCGTGCCCTGTGCTGTTGACAGATGAAATGATCTGTGCCCTGCGCTCTGCTACAAACCATTAGAAATATTTGGGCCATGGAGCACCTGAGCCAGCACGCCTGCAGCCTGCGCGCCTCCCATGACTGATATGCGCGCATTGGGCCAGGAGAAGAGGAAATTGGGGCTAAAGGCGCGACCGCACATGCCATAGTTGCCCGCTCCAAAACTGCCGCCAATGATCACCGTGATCTTGGGCACCTGAGCGCCAGCAAGCATTGCTTGCATGTTTGCACCCCTCTGACCTGTCTTCAAACTATGTCTGCTTCTTTCTTTCCCTGGAATCCTTGCTCCTTGAGTGACGTTCATGGCAGAAGATCTCATCTCACAATGTGCCCAACCGCTGTGTTGCTCTTTCCTTTCTACTAGTTGGCATCAGTATGGCAATCCAAGATTGCATGCATGTAATCTATGGCTATAGAAGTGCTCGCCTGTGCATTGGCCACGGCCATGACCATTTTGGCGCCGTCCTTGGCGATGCCGCCTGCCTCGTACTTCTTGCCGACCATGAAGCCCATGATATTTTGCAGGAACACCAGCGGCACCCCCCTCTGTGCACACAGCTGTATGAAGTGGGCACCTGCAGCAGGTCGATGCCACTTGGAAACTATTCCGGCTGCCTTGATCCACACCCGGATATGCGATGAACATGCCAGCCAGGAAATCTATGCTGGACGATACGACAGGACGACAAGGGCAGGCAGCCAATATATACCAATCAAAGAGTTTCAGCACTCACTTGTGGGAATGCCATGCATGCCAGTCAGGGCGCCAATGCCATGCACGATTGCCTTCTTCCAATCAAGCTAAATTATCGCCCATAAGAGGAACATTTTACGCGCCGATGCAATTGCAAGGCAAGCAGTCGTCAACGTCGGCATAAGTGAGGTGTGAGCGGAGGCGGCTAGACACCTTTGAGCGCGGACTCGGAGAAGAGGATGCCGTTGTTGGCAACTATGCCGACCTCGCGGCCGCAGATGGATCCAAAGCCGGTGACGAGCGTCGCACCGTACAGCGCCTTGAACTCACTGAAGCGCGACCCGTCCAGCACCCTGGCCAGCACCGCGCGCACATCCCACGGCTTGCGCGCATCCGCCGGCACCACCCCTGCCATACCCCCGCCATCAAGAGTTTATAGGGGTTTAGCCCTAGGTCTTCTTTTAACCCCCGCCGGCAGGGATACTGAATAAATTGTGCGTTTGAATCCCCCCAGCACCGCACCTCCGCGCATGACATCATCAGGACCCGCCTTCACCACAGCGGGGAGCTGTATATCAAAGGGAGAACAACTTGCTCTGAATGCCCATATAAATTTTGAACTCCTCTGGCCACAGGAAGACTAGGGACAAGAATAATCATCTTCTTTCTTATTGCCCCTAACACCAAATACCAGAGCGCGCCTCGTTGTCAACCATATTGCAGGCCACTATCATGCTGTCTTGCCCCCGCCTGGCAGTCAATTTTCTAATCTGCCTGCTCACCCTTGAAGATGGCTAAGTGACAAGCCTCACGGGTTTCGAATTTCTGCATAAATGGGAACGTAGAGGCTCTAACAAGGACAAGGAGCAGTGCAGCTGACCTCGCAGCTCCTCTGGCGGGTGCAGCGGCTCCTCAAACGCCGAGGGGACTGGCAGCTGCAGAGCGTTCCCTCCCGCCAGGCTTAGATTGGCAACGATGCCACGCGTGATGCTGATGGCGTGGTCCTCGCTCTCTGCCAGGTGGTCTGCCACGCCCGACGTGCTGCAGTGCAGCTCCGCGCCGCCCAGCTCCTCTGGCGTCACATCCTCCCCCGTGGCTGCCTGCATGCGCGCACACGCCAGCTGCTCACCACATGGTCTGCTGTAAGTCCTCTTTCTTGGATCTACAGAAGCCAGATAGGCACACTGTCTCATAAATTCCAAAAGGAGGATCAGTGGCGTATCCCAGATCAAATGACTTGATGCGGCTGGGGTGAAGCTGCAGTGATGGTTCAGCACACCACGCCACATGACAGGAAAGAAACGTGCTGGTGAAAGGCTGGATGTTATGAGACAATTGGAGCCCACACGAAAATCACACGGTGGAGGCACAGCACCAGATGCAGCCTGAACAGAGAAGATGGTAGAAAGTAAACACAAATATATCCAGCTAATCTAAGAAGAAGTGTCAAAATAGACTGACCTTGACCAGGGGCGGGCCCCCCAGGAAGATGGTGCCGTTGCCGCGCACGATGACGCTCTCATCCGCCATGGCTGGCACGTACGCGCCGCCAGCCGTGCAGGAGCCCATCACCACCGCAATCTGTGGGATCCCCTTCGCTGACATCCGCGCCTGTGCGTCACACACTCACACACTTACCGGCTTTTCAACTCTCCAAACAGGGGTTTGTAAATAACAGGAGTTGAAGAGGTCCAGACTTGCGTGCAGGCTCAGGAAATCAAGAATTGATCAAACAGAGAGCAAATTGCATCCACCTTTTTCCTAGCAATATTCTCGCAGAATAAGTCTCGTGAGAAAATTTCTGCAGGACTTCTGAGACAGGGGTTATGTGTCTTGAGAAGGGAGGTAGCTCAGGGCACCTGGTTGTAGAAGATGCGGCCAAAGTGGTCTCTGTCTGGGAAAACATCGGCCTGTCGAGGTAGATTGGCACCGCCAGAGTCCACAAAGTAGACGCAGGGCAGACGGCACATCTCCGCAATCTCTTGCAACCGCAGGTGCTTCTGCATGGCCACAATCCCGGCTTTCACTCGAAAGCAGGTCCCGTCCTAAACAAGCATTTCTTGCTCCAGGCATTAATTAACTGCAGCTATCATCAGCGAGTGCAACAAGTCAAGCTGCTCATTGTTACGCTTGGCAACTTACCTTGACAGTGATAGGATAGTATGTGCCACCCTTGACTGTTGGGTCATTGGCGACCAGAGCTACAAACCTGCCATGCACCCGGCCTATACCCGTCACCAGCCCACCGCTTGGAACATCCTCCTTGCCTGTAAATGAAGGTGCATTGTTACACACAACCTTGTGCACAGGAGGATAGAGATGTGACACCCGGGCAGAGCACATCTTGTTTACTTGTCAGGGCCAAGAGGTGCTTGAAAGTACACACATTGAGCATCCATCTTTGGACCCGAATGATGAAAACAGGTACTATTTATTATAGTAATCGGCGGGCCCAGACGGAACTCCTCACGTACCGTAGAGGCCGAAACCAGCCAGCTGTGAGAGTTCCAAGAAAGGAGAGCCTGGGTCTAGCAAGGCATGTATTCGCTCCCTTGGGAGCTTCTTCCCTCGCGATCGATTGCGATCCGTTGCTTTTTGGCCACCGCCTTGAATTATGCGAGCGATCTTAGTGTCCAACTTATGGACGAGGGTGCCCATCTGCTGGGCATTTTCCTGGAATGATGCTGACAAAGGATGTGAGCCCTTGCTGTCCAGCACATTACTGTTGTCTGCTATAGATACCGATGTGGAACTCTGTCGAATGCTGCAGATTCTCAGTGATTCTCTCAAAGACCCAAGAAGTCGTCTGCCTGTTATGACAGCCATGAGGCGGAGAAGCTAACGCTCATCAATGCGGTGTCCTTTACATATTGTGACCTTTGACAGCCCAATAAATAAGGAGTGACAGATTATTTATGGCATAAATGGTCATCGTGCATCTGACGAGGCAAAGCCTTCTGCCAGGTCGACCTGACGTCAGCTTGGCCATTTGCATGCATTTAATTGTGTGAGAGGGTAATGCTTGCGTTCTTTGAAGTACTTTGATCATGTCCTTGACGATTCAATGCACTTCTGCATTAGAAATCTGAAGCTCACCTTGTGATTCAAGTCCACCGATCCTCCAATGGCATGAGAGATCTCATATCCTTCCAATAGGCAGATCAAGGATAACTTAGCACATTGCTATCAAAATTCGTCCATGGCGGTCTCGTCAAGTCCACCGGACCTTCTCCAAGCAGCTCGACGCCTGGCCGTGGAGACACAGGCTGCCTTGCTATCACGTAGAGAGCGGATCCTGCAGGGAGATCTGCGATGCCAAGAGTATGAAAAGACGACAAGCATGCTACAGGATCTTCCTCAGGGTGGCAGCGCTGATGTCATGGTGCCCCTGGGCAAAGCAGCATTCTTTCCTGGCCAGCTCGTGGACACTCAGAGGTGTCTCATCAGAATGGGTACAGCAACCTGATGCAGCTTTGAGCAATAGGTCGTCATGTCAACACCATCTGTGTACGAGCAGAGCACTGATCGATTCTCACCTGTGCAGGTGACAATGTGCATGTACATTGCAGTACCAAGGAGGCTGTGGCAATCCTGCGTCAGCGGTGCAAGTCCTTGACAGATACACGTGGATCACTGGAGAATGAAGTCAAGGCAAGCACACCAAGGATGCATTCCCAGTGCTGTTCAGCAAACTCACATAGCAGCATGAGACCTCCCTGCATTGCTGAGGCAACGTGTTCACTTCGTATGCAGGAACTGGAGAGGAAGCTTGCAATAGCCAACAGTACCCTGGCAGTGTCCCTCGAAGAAAGGGCAGATCCAACAGAAGGAATACTTGACATTCGAGAGGACTATGATGAAGCGATGCATGGGCCCACCACAACACCAGTTGCAGGTGCACCATCTGTTCTTGCCAGGCTCCTAGAATTCACGAGCAATCGTCCAATCTGTCCTTATTGTTATTTTTATTATTATTACGCGCTTTTCCTGCCAAGAGGCAAACTGCGTCCTGCAGACAATCTGTCTTCATTGCAATCTTAATAATACTCGTGTGCCCAACAGGTGCCTCAACCAATCCATATAGTGTGGCAGATATGAGCAAGGGACAGCTTCCAAAGAGCAGTGCAGCAGCATTCTCGAGCGCGGCGAGCCCTCCTCCCCAGGAGCAGGCAGCAGGCCAGCGGCTGCGAAGGAAGAGCGTCACCTTTGCCGATGAACCCATGCCCAGAGCCCCCGCACCAGCAGAGGCTCCACAGCAGCGCGGCATCAGGAAGGGCTTCCTGGACAGACCAAAGCCTGTCCTGAAAAAGACCTCTCAGCCTGCCAGAGTATCAGAGGAAGCGCCAGCGAGTGAGGCAGCTGTAGACACTGCAGAGCAGAGGCGCATCGCTGAGGGCCGAGATGCAGCCTTCTCTGGGACGGTAGTGGAGAGAGTGCCGGAAGAGAAGCAGGAAGGCCTTGATCATGGAGTCAACAGCAGCGCGGGCGGTCAAGATGCCCTGGGCATGCAAATTGGAGCAGGATTGCTGCAGCATGATGCGCAGCCGGCAGCTGCACAAGCCCCTGTCAAGAAAGTGTCCCGGTTCAGACAGCAGCGCGCTGGAACTTGAATTCCGCCAGTGTTACGGGACAGATTGGCTGCCATGTTTTTATGCTGATGCACTGAAGAACACCTGCAGCATGCCTCATCCCTGACAATGCCCATCGTTTTGTGCAGTGCTGATTGGTCATGACTCAAGTGCAGAGCTCTGCACACACTTACAATTGAGTGCATGCAAGAGCTCTAGAGGCCCTGCATCTTGCTGTATCAACATGGCACGTTACACTCTGAATTACGATCTCGTGCTCCAAGTGACAATCGGAAGATGCCTTTAACTACCGCATGCTGTGCACAAAGTCCAAATTTCTTACGAATATTGGGCAGTGTATAATCCACAAGCTTCCGGAAGTCCATACGAAACCTTATAGGCGTTAATTAGACGTGCGTCGTAGCGACTTAGAGAGAATAGAGAGCGGAATTTGACGATTGGTACGATGAACTTGACCAGGATCTTGTGTTTAGCCGTTGTACTGTCGTCCTTCATCCTCACACGAGGATCTGGCCAGCCCTTGGCGCTGCCTCATCCGGGTGCATTCCCTGCTCTGCCACAACCAGGTGCTACAGCACTCCAAGTACAATCGTCAGCTCCGGAGCAAGCACCAGGTGGAGTCTTAGCGCCTTCGGAGAACCCCTCTCAGGTACGCCCTTGCGACACGATCTTGCCAGGGGTCCGGCTAATCGGATCAGTTCGCGATGCTGGATGGCGCTGATCGTCTTCTGGATTAGGAAGATTTACTTTAATTGGAGCTCATCCGGTAACAGTCGGTATGGGAAGCCAGTCGGCGGACTGACCAGTTGACATCTTAGATCATAGAGTATCTTCTGTCGGGATATCACCCAAGATGGTACAGCTGAGGCTTGATTGGGCATGCCCTTGTCGACGCCTACTATACGTATCATAGTATGTGAGGAATTTCTGCTTCAAGTTCTGCAGTACGTAAAGCACTTCCTTGCAACTCTTGGTGCTTTTGAAGAGCTTGTGTGGAATATTATCCTGCACTTACAAGTGCTGCCATCCTGATGACAACATCTAACACTGCAGAGCAATCAGTGCTCATCTATCCTCTGCATTGCCCCGTTCACAAGCATTCCTTAGTGGCTCAACTTGTCCTGTGCAGTTTCCGCCGCTTGGGCCCGCACCCTGGGGCACAGGCAATGCAGCTGCGCCCCTGCCAGGAACAGGCCCAGCCATGGCGCCCCGCAGCCCATACGACCCAGTTTTCAACCCCATTATTTCTAAGGCAGACCCCGCTGCCCAGCAGCAGCAGCAGCAGCAGCAGAGCCCATACACCAACATGCAGACAGTCAGCGCTGACAGCAACGGCCAAGTGACCACCTACAACAGCAACACTCCATCCTACAACAACTATGGCAGCGCCCCTAGCACTGATGGCAGCGTCTCTGGTCAGCAAGGGACCCAACAGGGCCAGCAGCAGAACCAACAGCAAGGCCAGCAGCAGGGACAGCAGCAGCAGACACAGCAGCAACAAGGCCAGCAGCAGCAGGGACAGCAGCAGCAGGGACAGCAGGGCAATGGCGGCTATGTGCAGTCTGGTGCCACAAATGGGGGCCAGGCAAACAACAATGGCCAGCAGGGCACCGGTGCCAACAACCAAAACCAGCTGTGAGTCTATCATCCTTGTTATTGTACGTTGGGAGCCTCACCTGGGTGACGCCTGAGGAGTAGTTGCTCTACACATATCATTTTCATGCCAATTGATGTGATCCTATGCGCAGTCCAGTAAATTGTCTGTGAGTGAGCTGTGCAGCACCAGGAACACACTAACGAGCCTGACACATGTGGCGCAGGCCCGTCCTGAATGTGGGGGCACCCAGTCCATCAGAGGTGGCGGCTGCTAACCCCATGGTGAAAGCAGTGGAATTGGCGCACCAGCAGGTCCAAAACGCCCCGCAATTCTCCTTCGGCCAGGACGGCGCCACGATTCAGCAGCCGGTAGTCACCAATCCGGCCGACGGCGTCACCTCCGGCGGGAACCAATTCAAGGTCAATGAGTATGGTGTCATCCTGGGCAATGTGGGCACTGGCGGCAGCGTGCAGGCATGCTTCCTGCCTCCTCCCCTGAATGCTGTTCCACTTGCATGCTATGGGGTCTGTTGGATACAATATTTTCTCAAAGTGTACGGCGGCAGCATGAAGGCATGCTCCATGCCTCCTCCCTTGGACACACTGTTGCCCTTGCAGAAGGGAAAAAGGAAGGAAAATACACATCAACTCCAGCCGCCCAGGGCTATTTGGATGTACTGGCAGAATATGATGCCATTTGGCATCAACTTTAAAGCTCAAAGCTCCTGCCTCCTTCCTCAGGGACTGTTCCACTTGCATGCTATGGTGTCTGTTGGAAAGAACATTAAGCCAAAGTGAATGCAAGACATGCAAGGCAGTGCCAGCGCAATGTAGGGAGACAGGGCTGCCTTGCAGTTTCATGCTATGCGCGTAACAGGATTGGAGCTCGTGGGAACCGTTGTTACCTGTACCCTTCCTTGAGATGCCTGGGTTGCTGCAGGGCTTGGCTGCATTAAGAGCGTAGGCATCGATTGAGAGAGAAGTCTGGATTTGAGACTGATTGTTTCACTATGTGGGGGGCTGCAGTTGTCAAACAATGGTGGAGTCACCGTCGACCCTGGCACAGCTGGTAACCTGTGGACCCTGGCCAAGCAAGCCGCCAACTTCTACGGCCGCAAAATGAAGTTGTGAGCTGGGCGCTGCACTGCGCTACGCTACAATTAGTAATATTGTTGTACTTATCATGTTCAGCAATGGCACTGTCAGCCAAGGTCCTGGCTGGTAACAGAAAGCTGCCTGGTTTCGGCGCCGAAAATTGCATGATCGTCTGCAGTATTGTCTGGGCCACCTCAAGACCCTGCTTGTCTGTACACAACTGAGCAATCATTTTATATAGAGTTAATGTCGATGTGAACAGACAGAGAATTGTGCAAACCCAGTAATTCCGGCTGAGGATGTTGCAATAATCATTCCCAGTGTTTGCATGCTCATGACAAACGTCTGAAAGCCCGATGTAAGGCTTAAAACTTGTTTCTTGAGTATTTATAATTTATGAAAAGCCTCCTGAGGAACCGCAACAATCGCAACCGCCGGCGCGCCAGCCAACTGTCAGCTGATCAGTGTAAGGCTCAAGAACGGGCTTTCTGTTCATAATATTTCTTTCTTGCTTCACTGTGTGGCTTACTGTTTCATATGTTCTGACGTATTGTCGCTGTGTTTATTTCTTGCCGATCAACAAATGCAGAGCGATGCCTTTCCTTGGACTACTGCTGAATGCATGCATGCAAGGACCCTCTAAATATAGCCCTAATGTGGGGTGGCGAGCTTGGCTGCCTCCGCCGAGCTTTTCAGAAGTTTTTGGATCCTTTGCAGAAGGAACACATAATTCACATCAACTTGACATTGTACAGTGCTCTGTCTGCACTGCACAGCGCCGGCGGGTTGACACAATTTTGACGTCATCAGGAGGATTCCCTTGCACGTTTCAGAGCCCTGGGGCTCTTCTGTCGCCATCAACTTCGGGATTGTTAACATATAACATATTCTATGAATACACGACGGAGGGGCGAAGGACTGGCTTGTTGCTGGCTTGAACTTCAGGCGTTGTGATCCTGTCGCGTCACGCGGCTGCTCCTTTGGCTTTCTCCTTCAGGTGATGGACTTGGATGCCAGCATTGTTTTATTGAGATCCTCCCATGGAAAGACCTTGCAAAGATTTTCTTGTGTTTTTGCCCAAAACGGCGGGTTTTGAGAAGGCCATTGCCAAACCCTGGCGACGAAGGATTCCTTCTGTCTGGAGTGCCTCAATGATACAGTGCGATCGAGATAATTCTGCATGTCTAGAATGTCATCCATCTTCCAGGAAGCAATTTTCCAGTTCAATAGAAGGCATGCAGACGCATACCAGCCTCCTTGTTTGGCAGGGCACTGTTTTCTTGCTCTCTCTCTTTGATCGGTTGACTGTCATCTGTATTGCAGAGCTGGGAGCATTATCTCCCTAGGACTGTTCAAGAGACAGCGCCAGGACAGGGCTCAACATGGCTGCAAATGGTGAGCGTCATCAAACTTGCTGAACTCCACACACTACGGAGCAGGCACCGTTGACAGTGTCGAGTGTGTTCTGAGAAGTGCGGTCAATTGGAGTTGCAACGGTCGGGTTCAGGAGAATATAACAATTTGCAGGCGAAAGTGAAGAGAAGAAAGACATCGTCCGGACTACAATTAATGGCAATGAGGTCGATGTCAACAACCTGTCAATACAAGAGACGCTTAACATGGTGGAGGTATGTCCCCGACTTCTTCACCACATGATGCAGGTGTTCAGAGGTATTCTTAGTGGAAGTCGAAGTGGATTTACTCCCACTCAATGCATGCCAGCTGAGCCCAAGTCAGGGTGATTTGAATCCACAGGCAACCGAGGAGGGTCTCACAGACGCAGAGGCAAAGATCCGGCTGTCAACCTATGGCCCAAACAAGCTGCCACAAATCACATGGGATGTTGTCATGGTACAGATTGCTGCCATCTGCGCAGGACAAAGCCATCCAGGCCCTGACAGCCGCACTGGCGCCACGGGCCAAAGTCCTGAGGATGGCCAGATACAGACCATTGAGGCCGTCGGCCTGGTGCCTGGAGACATTGTAATCGTACGCTTGGGGGACATTGCACCAGCCGATGTCAAGCTGCTGGGCACTGATGATGAACATGACCAGCCTTTGCAGGTAAGTCCTGTTTTGAGGCACTGTGCATATATTGTGAAGCTTGCAAATTGATGCTTGTTCATGCGCTGAAGTCCTCAATGCCAAGACAGGGAAGGCTGGAGGGAAACTATCGCGAGATTTCTACGAGGCACCTAGCCCTGAGGGCTGGAACAAGCGTGTAATATTCTAAGAAGTACTCCTGATGCTTGCAGGTAGACCAGGCAGCTCTGACAGGCGAGTCACTGCCGTCAAAGAAGGGCCCAGGAGACGTCGTGTTTGGAGGGTCGACGATCAAGCAGGGAGAGAGGCATGCCGTCGTGTATGCCACTGGCCCAAACACCTTCTTTGGCCGCTCTGCTGCGCTCATCAGCGGTGTCCACAATGTGCCCAACATCCAGAAGGTTCGCCTGCTTCCAAAGCCCTGCGACATGCACATCTGATATCTCAGCAAATACTTGATAGGTTTTCAAATAGTCAGGACAGCTACAGGACAATTCAATCTGGTGGGGCAATGCTCCTTGGCATGATCAGTACAGCTCCTATTCTTTTCTTGGATGCATGTCAGACATCCTCCTCCCAAGTGGCTGAGATGTGTGACCTGCCTGAGTCACTAAGCTTCAAATGCATGGGGTTTGCACAGATCATGACAAAGATCGGCGCATGCTGCCTCATCACCATCTTCATCTGGGTCGTCATTGAGCTGGCTGTCCAGTTTGGCGGGTACCATCATCACTGCGACATCAGTGGAGCAGGTGCATCTCTTATTCAAAGCAAACCTGAATCAGAGCTATGCTACCTGCATCATGTGCCCTGCTTCAACAGCCTGTGTGTTCTGATTTGCCATTTTTCGCAAAGCTGTACACGAGTAATTAGCTTACAAGGCGTGTGATTTATTTGGCAGGACACTGTCCTACTCTCCTGAATGTGCTGGTCATCATAGTGGGTGGAATTCCCATTGCCATGCCGACGGTGCTGTCAGTCACGCTGGCTCTGGGCTCCTACAAGCTGGCCTCTGAGGGCGCCATCGTGGCGCGAATGTCGGCTGTTGAGGAAATCGCTGGCACCGACATCCTGTGCTCTGATAAGACAGGTGACTCATGTGTCATATCTGTGAGACAGCCGTGACTGAAGCTAGTCATAGGGCATTTACAGTTCCAATTTGCCATTCCTGATCAGCGATTGATTTCTTGTTCTTGGCAAGAAGGAGCAATTATGCAGTGGTGCAGAGATTGTGTCGGCCCAAGATGTGCCTGCAGCAGATTATGATGTCATTGCTTGCCGGGCAGGGACGCTCACTTTGAATCAGCTGACCATCAACAACGAAGCCATCTACACTCTGCCTGGACACTCCCTGGACGAGGTGAGCCTACTGCATTACACTGTGTGTCCCCCACTCAAACGCCGTGCTGCTCCTGTCCGCTGTTGCACTGATCATTTGGGGGGATTACAGGTGCTCAGGCTCTCTGCTCTCAGCGCTGACACGCACAGTGAGGAGGCCATCGATATGGTGATGCGCAGCTGCTGCCCTGACAAGGTATGGACACTCTTTCTGCTGACAGCAGGAGCAAACAGTGCAGGGAGTGCATTTTTGTCTACAATATGCATGCGACCTGCACAAGTGTGTGTAGCTGCAAGCAGTGCAGAGACTGCGTTGTGATCTACTGTGCGAATGATACGAATGAGGGAGTGTGTGTGGCTGCAGGACATGCTGGTTGAGAAGTATGACCAGATCAAGTTTGTGCCCTTCAACCCGGTGGACAAGTACACCGTTGCCATTGTCATGGACAAGGAGGCTGGCAGCACCTTCCGCATCCTGAAGGGAGCTCCCCAGGTCAGCCAGGAAGTCAAAACCTTTGCTCTTGAACCGCTCCCTTGAAATTGAAGCATCATTCGCGCTGGCACATCTGAGGTCAGGAAAATTGGAATCACAAGTTGAAGAGGTTAATGGAGCACGACTTGGCAATGCAGGTTGTCCTGCGCATGGCGCACGGCAGCGCTGAGATTGAGGCGGATGTGAAGCGCAAGATCGATGAGTTTGCGGGCCGCGGCTTCCGCGCTCTCGGCTTGGCACTCAGTGAGGGTGGCTCTGGCCAGGCCAGGTGCGCAATTGCCAGGCTCTCTGCTGATAAATCTCATATTGTCTTCCAATGCTTTGGTCAGGAAGGAATCATGGCTTCACGATGAGTGTGGTACTCAGGTGGGAGATGGTTGCCTTGCTCCCGATGTATGACCCGCCACGCCATGACACCAGGCAGACAATTGAGAGCTGCATTGAGAAGGGGATCCAGGTAATACATCATGGATTCTCATCTGCTGTCAAAATCGCCAACCAGATGCAGTTTGCGCCTACACCAGCAGACCGCATCTGAGAAATATTAACATGCAGCCCTTGGTGTTTGCAGGTGAAAATGGTGACTGGGGATCAGCTTCTGATTGGCAAGGAGACTGCCAAGCAGCTGGGCATGGGCACCAACATGTACACCACCGATGAGCTGCTGCATGTGAGTGTCCCAAGAACTTTTCAGAAATCTCCCGATGCAAGTGAATGTCAAGTCTTGCCAGCTTCTAGCTATCTTCAGAGGGTTGCAATCCTTAGTCCCTGGCACTGGCCCTGCCTCGATGTCTGCATTCCTCTTGATATAAATTCGTCAATGTCAGAGTGCGGGATATGCCATGTGTGCAGGGTGACAAGAAGGGGGACGACTCAGCAGAACTGTTTGTGGAGGAGGCTGATGGCTTCGCAGAGGTCTTCCCTGAGCACAAGTTCAGGATCGTGGAGATGCTGCAGAACCGGCGCCACACAGTTGCCATGACTGGCGACGGTGTCAACGACGCCCCTGCCCTCAAGAAAGCAGACGTGGGCATCGCAGTGGCAGGTCAGCAGATGCCACATCCTCTTACTGATGCACTAGTTCCGAATTCTGGACATTCTTGCCGGTTTACACATTGCAGTGATTACCACTGCTGGGCATGCGAGGATGTGCAGGCAAAATTTGCATTCTCTTATAGGTCTGCATTACTGATAATTACTGCAACTGTGGAAAAAAGTGCAACTCTACTGGCCCTTACACAGCCTGCATCAAGCACAAATTGGATGTCCGACAGCTGCATGATGGTGTGCATGTCATGTGTATGTGGCATACGCACACCTTCGCATGATATGTGCACAGATGGTGTCGCCTGTGCAGTGCATGGGGCGACTGATGACTTGTTGATTACTGATGTGCGACTGATGCCCAGGTGCAACTGATGCGGCGAGGGGCGCCGCTGACATTGTGCTGACAGAGCCCGGCCTAAGCACGATCGTGACGGCTGTCATTGGGGCGCGCAAAATCTTCCAGCGCATGACCACCTACGCAAAGTACACAGTCGCCATGACGTTCCGCATCTGCTTCACCTTTGGCATCCTCACCATTGCCTACAACTGGTGCCGGCCTGGCCACCCCATGCATGCTGCAAGGCTCCCATCCTCACGCAAAGTTGCCTTAAAGTGTCCATGCAGACTGCTCAACTCGCTGTGCATGTATCTTGCCGGTGTTTGAAATTGATCTTGCGGCAATACCCTTTATGCCCAAATGCAATGCCTTCGTGCATGCCAGCATGCATGGTGTTATTACATGCCATGATGGTGCCACCATGCCTCCAGCACACAGTATTTTGTTTGGGGGAATTTCACAGGTGGGTTGTTTATAATTGTCGCATGCAGGTACTTCCCCACGCTGCTGATTGTGCTGATGGCCGTCTTCAATGATGGTGCCATGATTGCGCTCTCAAAGGACCGCGTCGTGGCCTCTCGCACGCCCAACCGCTGGAACCTGCCCAGCATCTTTGCCCAGGGTATGTCTGGCTGCACACTACATGATCCGACTGTTATGAAGCTAAACGTAACGTTGAGGGCGATTATTCTATTTGGCCATTCTTGTCTGTTAGGCAGGGTCCAAGCTGTTGTATGTCAGAAACTGCATGGCCCTGCAGCAAGGCTCCTACACCACCGGATAGTAGCTAGGTATCGGCTACATCGTGCTGGCATTAATAGTGACAAAGGAGCGTTCCTGTCTGCAGGGATCGTATATGGGATGTATCTAACCTTTTCCACGTGGCTCCTGTACTTTGTGGCCACAAAGACGCACTTCTTGTCAAACTCCATCGAGATGTACAGCCTGAACGATGAGGCAAGCTTGCATCGCTGCTATCCATTGTTTGACCTTGTCTCTAAAGCTTTTCTTCTGTTTCTTTGATCGCTCTTTCTTGATGAGCCGAATGTACTACTGCAGCTGAGACTACGTGTGCGTGCTCCAGAACGAGACACTGGTCAGCTGGTGCATGGACACCATCAGGGCCACAGGCCTGGATCCCTTTGGGTCAGCATGCACGGCCGGACCTCAGTACCAGCACGCTATCGGCGCCACCTTGAAGGACTGTAAGCGGCTGCAGCCCCCACTTCTGCAATGCACTGCCTGATTAAATTCTGCCTTCATGCTTTATGATGTCCCATTTTAGTCTGCAGGGCTCGTATTATTGTCCGTGCAGGCGCGAGAGTGACTGTGCTGGACCAGTGCCGATGGGAGCAGTACTATGTCCGCAACTCCATCACCCGCTCTCTCATCTACAACTATGTGCGCCTGCCTCCTCTTGCATCTCATATGGTGTCACTCAGGCTGCGTGAAACCACACACCTTCCAATCCTCTCTTAAGCTCTATGTTGGGATGAAATGCAGCTGCTGCTATCACGCAGTTATTGAGGTGAATGCTGCAAGCAGGTCTCCATCAGTGGGCAGGCGCTGGTGTTTGTGGTGCGCACAGCGAGCTACTCCCTGTGTTCGCGGGCGGGCCTGTACACCTACCTTGCCTTCTTTGGCGCTCAGGCAAGCGTCCCCGGCTAGCATCCATTCCCTTCTATTTTGAGATCCTCCTCCCTCAATCGCAGCATAGAAGGACCTCTGCCGCAATAGAGGACCTCAATTTGCCTCTATTAAACTTCAACGTTACAGCTGGCGCTGCAATATTGCATCATGTGAGAATGTGTACATCAAGAGGTAGGATATACTGCAGCCTTTACCTGCGCAGCTGCAGAGCACCTTGCCTCTCGTGGCAGCAACAGCATGCAATTGAATTATTAAAACATCGTAATGTGGGGTGCAGATTGCCTCGACTCTCATCGCCATCTTTGGCTTTGGCGGCTACCCGTTCCCCAGCAACCGCGTGCAGGGCTGCCGCTTCTGCACGCTGTCCACCGGCGGGGGACCGCCCTTCTTTGAGCACAAGGCGCCCGTCGCCTTCACCGAGTCCGGCTCCACCGACTCCACCATCGGCTGCACGTGCGTCCCCTCTGCATCCTCATCTCTTCAATAATGGCAAAATCCAAAGCCCACAGGCCATGTGCGAAACATGGAGGGTTCCTCCCACATGCAATCCTGCAGAAAAGAGACTCCTGAAAACCCCGCTTTCAGTCAATACTTGAAAGATGATGGTTGGACTAAAGTGTGCATGCATCCCTAGCATGTATGAATAATTTTACATAGCTGCCTTCCTTGATGTTTGGTTGACAACATAGCTATGAGAGAGCACAAGAATTGAGGTGGCAAGTTGGCGAGGGAACATGTGGGACTGCAGGTACTATGTGATTGTGGCCTGGATCTGGGCGGCGCTGTTCTACCTGGGCCTGGACCCCATCAAGTTTGCCATGATGTGGATCTCCAACGAGGAGGGCTTCCGTGACAGGTCCCTCTTCTTCAGGAAGCGCCGCCGGGTGCGCCAGCTGCCACGCAGCGACACTTCACCCCTCATGCAATATTGCTCAAAGTAACCTAGACCTTCTGTGATGAATTTGGAACCATGGTTGCCAGACCTAGGCATGCAAATTTCCCATGCGAGTCTGTCACCCCTTTCTTTGGCCATGGCAATCTGCAACTAACAAAGATGATTCCTTCTAAGACACATGCTCCTGGGTGTTTGATGATTATTCCTTTTCCTAAATTCTCAAGGACTTGACGCATCCAATGTTGTTGCTTTCTTCGATATTAATTTGAGTCCTAATTTGTTCTTCAAAATGAAGCGCTGCGTGCACTGCAGCCGGCTGCGCCGGAGGTGACTGAGGAGGAGGCGATGGGCGCGATGACTGAGCAGAGCCACGTGGTGCAGCCCACGTATCAGAACGCGCTCGGCCGCGCCAGCCTCGGACGCATCAGCGAAGCCCAGCTGCGGCGCGCCACCGTGGTGCGCCCCCCTGCTACCGCAGCGCTGATGTCATAGTGTTATCAGTATAATTATCACATGCCTTTTCTTGCCAAGAGGCAAGGTGCGTCCTGCAGATAAGCTGCTATTAAAGGCTGCCACAATTCTACCTATAGTGCTTTAGCACCGGGGAAATTTGGAAACGATAAGGCGGCATTGCACCCAGTGCCCACATGTGACATGTATCAGCCCATTGTGATTTATTGATGATGGCACTCCATCTGTCCCACCAGATTGCAAGTTTCATCATTCAGATGTGCAAGCTCTGGATCCTGTGGATTTGCAGAGTGCTTTTAGAGAGGAATGCCAGGATACCAGACTCGGCTTTCTATTAGAGAGCGAGCGTTTTGGGGATGTGATGTGTCTGTCATGCTCACAATTTGAAGGGGAGATATTGTGTCCAATGGCAGGTCCTGATTGACGAGCACGGGCGGCCGCTGCCGCGCCCTGCAGCGCTGGACCCGTCATCTCCTCGGGGAGCCCAGGCGGACAAGCCAGGCTCGCCAGTTGAACGTCTGCGCCGCGTGTCCATGGAACTGGCCTCCAAAATCACCTGACCTGCCCCACTGTCTGCTCATTGGGATAATCTGCAGGCTATGATGAAGCTAGGCATGACATACTTGCATGTGAGGCTTTTTAGTGCAGGTTGTGTAGGAATGGTTAGGAATGCTTCTCCAGGACCACGGCTGCTTGTAACACTATAGACCTTTAAGCTACAGAATTTCAGGACCGATGAATCTCAGGATGGGCTAGGAAGGGCTAGAAGAATTTGTTAGTGCTAGCAGAAGGTGATGCAGCAAGAGTGCCAGTCCAGGTCAGAGGTGGCTGTACGTTCCTGTTCCATGATTTAAACTAAGCAGTGTAAGAACCAAACCCACTCAATCATTTGACAGCCGAATAAATTCAACAGCTACTTGTATATACTAGCCCGCTTCTCAGAAGCCAGATCATAACGTACGTGTGAACCTCTACTTTAACTACATGTGCTACAGTGCGTGCTACAGCTATGCTATCCAAAGGAGTGAAGATCTCTAGAGGTAGCTTCACTGCAACCATGTCAAATGCCCCTCGTGTGGCCCTTTTGAAGTCTGTCCTGGCAAGCACTTCAGTTCACAGGAATGTCGTTGAGCACAGCCTTGAAAAAGGTCACTGCACTGTCATCGACAAAAGACCGGCCAAAGGGCCAGAGCCCCTGCAAGTGCGCACAATGGCCTCCGCGCTTAGTCACTGCCAAGACTGTGTACTGATTCTTCCTGCACTGTTCTATTGGCAGCTCCCTGAATGCAACCCGCACAAATATTATTTGAGCGGGTCAGGCAGCATCATGAGATGAGATCATTCTGACATCTAATTGTTTGTGCAAGGCTAAGAGCTGCTGAAGACGACACTTACTGTAGTAATTTGGAAGAAAGCAGCCTTCCCAATAAGCCATATATTCCATCAACCGATCTCAGACTGGGATAAGAAAGCATACCTGACGAAAGGATCATCTTCAGAAACTATGAAGAGGCAAGGCGTGCGGATGCTGTGAATGTACTGAAAGCTGCTGGCATCTCTGTAGTACCTCTCAACAGACTCATATCCCAGCACCTGCACCCTCATCCACAATTTGTGAACACGCTGCCTTTGCTGTAATGGAAGCCATGCGACCGTAGGAATTTTGCAGGAAATTGTCATACAGCGTCTTGCTGTGCGTACCTTGCAGGTCAGTTGCTCATCAATACACACCATGGTCTTGCATTTCTGAAAGGCCTTCCTGTCAAATAATTCTACTCGGCTAAGCATCTTTGCATGCCTCTGCACATACCACATCCACCTGCCCCAACACCATCACCATCAAGGAAACATTTTCAATCAGATCAAATGAAGTTGCTCAGTTGCACATTTCACCAATTCGGCATTAGGCAGCCTTGGTTTCCAACCCACCTCATGACAACAACAGCCTGCATCCAACATCTTGGGTCAAGCCATGGCGCAGCTGCCAGCCGCTTCCAGGCTGCTTCAATGTCAAATGGACTGCTTGCAGCCACTGCCGCCACAGGTCTTTGCCCTGCATGAGTCCTTCACCAATAAATACTTGAAGGAAGTCGAGATCAACACTTCCACACCTAAGATCATCAAGATGCACTTCGTCTGAAGCCTCATCCTGTTCAGGCCAGTGATGCACTGCCATCCAGCGTGCAGGACTGACGCTCACAAAGGCTGACAACATGCAATCTCATCCCAAAGCACATAATTCCTCAGAATTGTTTCTAGGCGTCAGGCAGCGCACCTGCCGGTTGCAGCCGGCCAGACTCGATGTCGCCGAGGTATTTTGTGACGAGCATGGCTCCCAGGGAGAAGCCAGCCAGCAGGAGGGGCGCATCAGGGTAGCTTTGCCGAACGCGCTCCACAGCTGCATGCACATCCGCGGTGTCCACTGCGCTGTATATCATTGGCGACTCCAACGGCAGGTCTCCACAGCCCCTGCACAGGCAGGAAGAATATTTGGTTACTATGATGAGAATGCAATTTGTTAGATGTGCAGTCACCCTCGGAGACCCCCTGAAGGAGTCCTGGGCAAGGAAGCCTCACAATGACTCGTCTGCTCTGCCTCTTCTACACTAGAGACTCACAGATTAAGTGTTTCATTTGTGTTCCGCAGCAATACTTCTAGTCCTTGGCAAGGACATTGGCAGAAGTGAGGGACAGCTGCATACCTGTAAGTCATTGCCACCGGACGCCAGCCTTGTGCATGGGCTGCTGCGCAGAGGCGAGTCACATACGCCTCTCGGCTGTCACCTGACTCCCCACAGACAGATCAATAATATTGTTGTAATGAGGCATCCTGCCGCTGTTATCGAGCCACTTGACTTGCCTGACAATGACCGCACCTGTGATTCCGTGCATGATGAGCAGCACCGGGGCTGTGGAGGGCAGGCGTTGCTTGCATTCCTGCCCCTTGTACCAGTCCAATCCAATAACGCCCTCGTCTGCCAACCTCACCAGCGTCCGATGGTATTGCGGGTCCCTCCCCTTCCAAATGGCTGCATCGAGCGTTATACGCGTAATTCAAAACTCGCTAAAAGTCACGTGCAATGCAAGCGGCGGTTGGATGTTGGGTACAGCTAGCCAAGGACTTGTCTGACTTACAACCTTGGCTGGGTGACAAGCAATGCTTACCACCGAGCAGTGACTGAACGAAAGAGCCGAGAAGGGGCGTGGGCCAGTACTTGCGCGATAACACGTCCCTTGTTATCTCACCGATCAGACCATGAGCAGCATAGAGACTGGGAGCCCTGCAACACGTCACTCCAGAATGAAGTACACTTCCATAGAAATGCAGCAAATATCTACTCACAAATTGCCTTGTTGGACATCACCTTGCCCCAAGAAGCCAATCAGATAATTCTAGAAAGTTCTGACAGTCCCATTCCAGGCACCAGTGGAAGCATGTTTGTATTCGCGAGACAAGGTTTCGAGATGACGGTCTGCAGTCCATTTTTATAACGGCGCAACAAAGCGCTTCTGACTCCAGAGATGACGAATCTTAATGCCTGATAAAAGCTCTAAGGACCATCGCACAACACCTAACCTGCAACCACAGGATTGTGCAACCGAGATGCCGTATATTCTGACAGCACAACTTGCCCAATATCACCTGCACCAAACCCACTATACTAAGGAAGACATCGTCAGAATTCTAAGATCCGATGTTTCTAGATTCATAGGCTCGATTCAGGGCACGGCAGGGATCTCTGACTTGCTTTGTCATCGCACGTGATCTCTGACACCTCAGCAAATGGGAAGGCAGCCCATCTGGTTGAGTGAGAGCCGAAGCTTGTGCAAATGCCTCACAAGATTGTTCCGACGCTGCAGAGACCATCCTGTCTGGAATCACTCATTAAATTGTAGAGAGAGCCCTGCGCTCTAATCATCTGCATGACTGCCGTACACTTTACCTAGGAAGTAGCGAAATTATGTGTTCAGAGTAAGGGATGCATCATTTCTCTTATCAGTAGCAGTGAACGGTGGACATGCAGGAAGAACCGACTCTTACGAACCGCTTGGTGAATGGCACTATACCTGGAGCGGCAGTGAAGACCACGACGACGACTATAAATCCGCTTGTGACAGCAGATATAAGCTCTCAAGAGGAATCCGCTCAACTCATAACCTCACCAAATACTGTGCCTGTCCGGACAGTGGCAGCAGAGGAAGATAGCCTCCCATCAACTTCCAGTACCCGTGCCTCAGAAGATGCAGGGGTCCCTCAGGAGACAGAGAACGATCAAAGCGAGTCTTCGCCCGTCTCAGAAGCAGCTGGAGCACGATCTGTGCCAGCTGGGAAAGAGGACCAAAATGCTGTCCAGTCCATGGAGGGTCACAGCACAACAGCAGATAGCCAATCAGCAGGTTCAGAGCCCATTGAAAAGCCATTGCAGTCTGCAGACTTCACAGTGACCTTCCTCCGGGTAAGCCCTTCTTCATAGCCGATTGGGGGTGCAGATTGCACATATTTCTCCGCAAGCACGCCTTCAATAAGAACTGCCTCTTATGGCCCGGCTCTGTCCAAGGGATTGGTACATATACATTCCTCTGATCATGAGTAACCAGATGACCTCTAGATGGGACACCCTATCACAGCATGCAATAGCAGGGATGCATTAAAGGCACACCTGGCTCGGGCAAAGGGGCACTCAGACAACTGAGCTTTGAGAGACAGCATATCGGCAGAAATACCATCACCTGCGCCCGAGTTGTAGTTGAACTCAAGCTGTGCAAACTGTATAACTGCTGTAAACAGTATTCTTTGGACATGTCTTGCAGCCGGGGTCGTCATCCAGCCACTCTCCTTCAGTCGAGCAGTCGCCCTTTGGCGGAGTGGCAGCTGGGGACAGTGAAGGCTGGTGGAATGACAACAGGCACTCGCAGCCCAACCACATGCCCTCCTCTGCAGAGCGGGATGGTTCCAAAGTCTTGTCAGACGAGGAGGTCGAGGAGTTGGAAGCTGCAGATGCATTCCCAGCCCTCGGCTATCCCAGGACCCTGGCCTCGGTGGGTGTGGGCTCATTTGGCTCCGGTGCGTGCTGCAAGCCAGCAGCTGCGAGCATGCCTGATTCCATGAGCATATTGCGGCTGTCCCCTTCCTTTATCATGGGATGTATGGCCTCATGTGCATGGCATTGCTGACAGCGCTGGCAACTTTGCACCCTGACTCGAGGAATATTTTCTTTTTGCTTGCAGGTGACTTCTCAGATGACATGAGGAGGATGGGCGCAGCAGGGTCCGACTGGTCTGACTGGGACGCTCATCTGCCGGCCTCCCCCACAGGATCTAACTTGATTGAGTCACTGCCCAGCAGCCTGAATAGGACGCTCTCCACCCAGACTTCCAACAAATTTGAAGTGGCAGAAGGTGCGTGTGCATGGTACCGAGCATGCCCTTTAAACGCCACAAAGTAAATCCTTGCATGTTGACTAAACCATGATTCTGCTGCCAGTATGGCAATCAATGCAGAAGAAGCTTCCCCTTTACCGGCTTGTCCTTGTTAGATAGACAGCTGAGCAGGTCGGTCCATCACCTCAAATCTTGACCTGCACTTGACATCATGTGCACAGGCAATTGACTTGCGTATTGCATGAAAATTGTACAGCCTGATCACAAACAGAATCTTGATATCGGTGATTAATACTGGCAGGTGAGGATGAGGACCTGAAGCAGACCATGTGGGTGGTGGAGCACTTGCAAGAGGAGCTCATCGCTGCTGACAACGCTCGCATGGCTGCCGACGAGCAAGTGCAATGCCGCTCTCACATTGTACAAGAGCTCCAGGTATCATCATGTTCTTTCAACTGACAAGCAGCTACTGACCAGTTGCCACCCTACAATTCGCCTGCTTTTGGTGATCTGATGCATGATTCAGGCGCTGAGATGCCATGCATGTGGCAATCCAGTTGCAGGTGCAGGACCGAGTAGGCATGCTGGCAGATTTGAAGGAGCAGATCGAAGACAAGCACATGCAGCTGGAGAAGCAGCTGCTGCAGCAGCTAGAAGTACAGGAACTTCTCAGGTGCACTTGCCCTCTACCTGCTGTCAGCCCTGCGCCAATCACCTCACACTGACCAAGCTGTCCATCACTGCCTGTGTCCCTTATCAAAATGTCAACATCTGCTTTGGCAGGTCCTTTGAACAACAAATATCGCGACTAGAACACGAAACTAAGTGTTTGGAAATTTGTGTGCAGGCAGCGCGAAGAGGAGATTCGGGAGACAGTGGCAGAGACGAGCGTCATCAACAGGACGATCCAGGAAAAGGATGAGGAGATGGCGGAGCTGAGGGAGCAGGCAGCCGAGCAGAAGCTGGCTCAGCGAAGCCAGGCGGCAGCGCCCAGCAGAGGGGCAGCTGGCTCACGAGAGAAGCCGGGGGGCGCAGGGGACTCGCCACGCTCCAACATGTCGTCACCCTGGGCCACAGATGTGAGTTCTTTCCACCTTTCCTTTTCCACATTGGATGGGCCTAACTCTGCTGCCTTGAGAGTCCCAAATCAAGATCACAGCTGAAACAGTGATGTGCTGTCTGTTTCTGAACGGAGGTGGTGGCTAGCCCCTTGGCTCAGCATGCTTACCTAGACAGGTGATGACCACACTTTATTTTGAAGGAAAGATCGTACATGTGCCTACATTTGATATTACTGGGCAGGTGAGCGAGTCAGAGGATGATGAGGCAGATCCTGCAAGCTCTTCCCGCACTGCAACCCCTCTGTCCCGGCTGACTCCCCCGGCAAAGGCTCCTGGCAGCGCTTCACCTGCATCGAGTTCAGGCAACCCTGCAGCCACGGAAAGCACTGGCTTTGGTGCGATCTTCACCCGGTGTACCCTTGTTCTGACTGCTTCATACACCACCTGGAAGGCGCCGTGCAGATCTTAATATGGGTCAAGTCCAGGGATTTATTCCAGTCCTCATGTGTGCAGGGCCGACATGGCTGCGAGGCGTTTTAGGGACATCAAAGAAAGTTGAGATTCCATCAGAAGCACGAGCGGCGGGGGGCGCAGAGGTAGTCACTGGCAGTGGCCATGATAATAAGAAACCACACACAGAAATTGCTGGGTCAGACACGGCATCAGAAAGAACAACTGTGAATTGACTATCCAGAGACGAAGGATTTTGGCTGATCTATTTTATTACTGGCTTCTTGCTCCAGGGATGTGATGTGGATTGTGCCTGTGTTGCATATGCCGATGCAGCAATATATATAGTTCATTGAATATAGAACATTTGGTTTGAAACATTCTGTGGGAAGCACCGGAGGCACCTGGGGGCCCAATCGTGATGGGCCCAGAAGAAGCATGGTCAAGGAACTGTGTCATTCGCACCGCAGCGCTACTGCCCTTGTTGCGCATGCGCATCCCAAACACACTCGGATCCCTCCTCCAGGAGCACCTAGTGCAGCACCTAGTAAACAAACTTGTGAACGACCAGCTATTCCTTTAGACATTTTTGGTAGTGCAGATGTAATCATTGCCGTGAGAACACAGAGGAAACGCCTATGTGAGACACAGCTCCACTCATCAGGACGACGGTTTTGACTTTTGGCCCACAGCTTTGAAACATGAGCCAGGGGAAGCTGCCTGGGACCTGGAAGCTACTGGAAACCTTCAGCTTTCAATTGTGAAATCCATGCAGGGATAATTTTAAAAGTATATTACCTATGATGTCGTGCAGTCAAGAGGTGCCTGACTATGTGCACCTCTGTACTTGTGCAAACGACAATCCTTACCGAGTTTGATGGCTGATGGGCATGTAGTGGGCACGGTCTCTCCTGACGGTCTTCGGAAGTTTCTCAGGCGAGTTCTTTGACATCTAAACGCTCCATCATGCTTTATTTGAATTAATTCAAAGACGTTTACTTGTCTGGATAGAATTTCAAGGACCCACTTTCTCACAACGCACTTTTTTGTAATCACAGGACCGAGGAGGGCAAACAATGGCTGTATTCTGTTCTTCGAAGGCACAAAGAATTGAGAGGTGAGTGTGATCCGACTGCAGGCGCCCGCAGATACTCATTGTCAATCTGCCTCTTTGTTATTGTTAGAAAGCTTGGTGGTGTTTTATGGAAGGCTCACTGTTGCGAGCCATTGTCAGGTGCGGTGGGAGAGAAGGTGCTTGGCTTTGGTGATGCTGCCATCGACAAGATTGTGGCTGCCATCCGCGACCCCCTCACCCTCGATGCAGCTAAGGCAGAATGGATCGCCAACCAGTTGCTGGAGGCTGGCGAACATGGCATCCTGCTCCCTGTCAACGTGGTGCTGGATGCATATGTCCGTGGGAAGTCAAGGTGAGCATTGCAGAGGCCCATCACATCTTCCACCCTTGTTTCCCTCGCATGATGATGACATTTCCTGGCACACCGTCTTGCCTCATGTCAGCTTGTCACCCGTCTCGTCTGCAGCCATCAGGCAAGCTTTGCACCAATCATGAGGAGCTCCTGTGATCATGCAGGTACTACTTGCGGAAGCATGCCATACGCTCCACAGCTGCTGTGGCTGCAGCCTGTGCAGCAGTGCATGTGGTCAAGCTGGGGCTGAAGCGTGCGACGCGCGATGTCAAGTATGTTGGCCCTGCGATGGCATTCGCCATGGACGTGGCATTGCCTACAAGTGTATTGGGGCCCCTCTTGATGGCACGGCTGATGCTGTGATCCATCTTGCAGCGCTGCTGTAACATTAATGGCTGGCCAGCGGGCTCCGATGTGCACATGCACACACGATGGGAGGAATTTGGCTGCCAGTTGGGTCCGTTGCAACCAGTGTGCAAGGCCTGATAAATCATCAATGCCATTGGCTGGCTCTAAACGCGTGCTGGGAAGGTTTTTTTCCCCTTGTAAATAGGTTTAGGCAGCTATGCTGCCTGATCCTGTGCTTCACGGATGTGCAGAGTCCTGCTGCATGTATTTTGTAAGTATTATGTGCAATGCTGACATCAAATTTGCACAGCAATTCTATTCAAGGGTCTCTGTTTGTTTCTTTTTTGCTGTAACAGCGTGTTTGTTGACTGTGCAATGAATCCTTTTCCTGTTGTGGTCTAGACCTGTAATGCAGATCTGTAATGCATGCCTCACTGATGTATTGGATGCCCCAGGGCCTGGAGGCATGGACATGGTATTCCCCTCGACCCGGCTGGCCATTGGGTGAGAGCTTTATGACATACAAAATCTAGCCTTGAAAGCTTTGTCCCGCGTCCGGCGCCGGTCCCTGTATGTGTATTTTAATCAAGCAGCTGCTTCCGGTAGTGTTTGGGAAGTTGCTTTTTTTTTTTCCTCTTTATGCATTTCCTGTCTTCAATCACTGGACAGAACTCGAATATTTTCCCAAAACATACACCTGAAGGAAGGAAGGAAGGTTCCTGATCCAAGGTGAAAAAGGACAGTTTCCAGCTTCGTCAACATCGGTAGCTGCTGACGTCAGTCATCTAGACATGCTGGTCTTCTTCTCCAAGGAGAAAGGCCTCCTCGTTAAGTAAGGCAAATATATGATCATCGAGATGTAGACGTACTCACGATGAGCTTTCTTACGTCCACGATGCGAGGAGCACTTGCAAAGCAGGGTTTCGCATTCTCCCTAAGAAGTGTTCGCCTCTACGGCAACAGTGGGAGCTTGCACTTGACATTGGAGCCACTCGACAAGGAAAATGAAGGAATCTTCCAGATGACGCTGACGAGGCATGAAGCGAAGAACGCCATTGGTGGGCTTTACCTGCCATGATCAACAGTGGCATGGGCCCAGTTCGCTGTCCCGAGAAAGCCGCATGATCCTTGAACTTTTGCCAAAAAAAATTGATTGTAGAATATAGGCCCTCCACGATGCCCCTCGATGCACAGCAGATTCAGAAGTAAGGGCTCTGACTCGTTCTCCCGCAGGAAGGCAATTGCTTCGAGAGCTCTGGGAAGCAATCAACATGGTCAAGCTGGAACGCACCACGCGCTGTGTTGTGGTGCGCAGCTCAGTGCCCAACATCTTCTGTGCTGGCGCGGATCTAAAGGTAGGCAACAGGCATCGCACCTTCTGCTGTGTGTCCCAACCCAACGCTCCCGAAACCCTGTTCTGTTGTTACCTGCATCACACCTGGTCCGACCTGATATTTTAGTTTTCTCTTGCAGGAGCGCGCCACCATGACACAGCAGGAGACATCAGAGTTTGTCACGAATTTGCGAGGCGCCTTCAGTGCAGTGGAGGTCCGCTAAGGGCCTCATGCAAACCTTTAACTCTCTGGCATCCTGCTCACTTTCAATGTCAAATGACTCGCTTTGAAATACCCCAGGGCTAAGCAGCACCGTGACATGCATGTACATGCAGCTGACTGGAGCGCTGTGCTTGTGCAGGCCTTGCCCATGCCAACTGTGGCAATTGTGGACGGGTATGCTTTGGGTGGTGGGGCTGAGCTGGCGTTGGCCTGTGATTTCCGCGTTTGTGGTGCGCCCCATGACATAATCTGCCAATGTCATGGTGCTTGAACTGGGCCAGATCACCAATATATTTAATGGGGTGAAAAACAGGCGCTGGAGCACAGTTTGCCTTCCCAGAGACGCGGCTGGGGATCATTCCAGGGTGCGCACTCCCTTGACATGCATGCAGCAATCTGATCTGGTCTCAACTCAAACAGCTTCTGGGAGCTTCCTGTGTTCCGTGGCATGATAAGAAGCCATGAGTGAGCATTGCAGGGCAGGAGGGACGCAGCTGCTGCCAAGAATTGTGGGCAGGTCCAAAGCAAAAGAGCTGATCTTCACAGGCCGCAGAGTGAATGCTGATGAGGCTGCACACATAGGTGAGCCCCGGTCATTGATGACAGTACAGAGCAGACACGCCAAATGGATTCCTGAAACTCTTCCTCGCTAATGACTCCCAAGAACAATGGTAAGAGCGCTGGTGCATGTGTGTGCAGGGCTTGCAGACTACAGTATGGCTGATGGGGGTGAAGCTGAGGAGAAAGGATTGCAGCTGGCACGTGACATTGCACAGGTCAGGTCACATCCAGGACTGTGCAATCTTGAATGCTGACACAGATATCCTTGGTGTATTACACGCTGCTCCTGCCAGAGGCAAGGTGCGTCTGCAGACAAGCTGCAGGTAGAGGCTGCCACATATCAAATTCTCAATGTATCTTAGCCTCGTCTGTGGAGACTATTTGGGTGCGTGCAGGGAGGGCCCATTGCACTGCGGATGGCCAAAGCAGCAATCAATCGCGGCCTGGAAGTAGACCTGCAGAGCGGCTATGCTCTGGAAAATTCATACTATGCGCAGGTGTGCCTTGCTCCTCCTTCTGCGTGTGCTCAGCAGTCTTGCTGCTGGGTCCCATTTCTCCTGTGCATGCCAGAAGACTGCACTTAAGATGCTTTTGGACATTGCCAACATCTCTGCACTCATAGCCACATGCTCTGATGACACTGGTACAACATCTCTGCACATATAGCCACATGCTCAGATGACACTGGTGCTGTGCTAAGTAACGATGGGTACAAGTTTCTGTGTGCAGGTTATCCCCACGAATGACCGCTTGGAGGGCCTCAGAGCGTTTGCAGAGAAGCGGCAGCCCGTTTTCACAGGCTCGTGAGCTAGGAGGAGTCAATGGCACATCCTTGCCTGAGGGATAACCATTTATGCATGGATGTGTGATGCTGGCTAAGTGTTGTATGGGAATACAGTCTGTCAGTGTGTCTAGCTCGTATGAGATGCAGATAGACAGGTTTTGTACACAATCACACATAGCATGAGGATTTTGTTTAGCTCACACCATCGATGTCACTTTGTGGGCTGTATAGACATTTCCCTCTGTGTGAAAAGCTGTGTGTCCACGCCCTGGTAAGATGACTTGCTAGAAATTTGTGAATGAAGTCCTCTTCCGTAATACACTGGTGATAGCATAGCATCATGAGATCACCAAAAATAGACAAGGTCAGGGATAGCTGTCATGTCGCAGTTTGAAAGTTGTGCCTGCCAAGGAAAATGAACCTTCAACATTGATCCTCAAAAGCGCACTATAATCCCTAACGTTTCTGATTTTCTGCACGAGGAAATTTCTCTAAGGTTATTGTATACATGAATCCCTCTTGCAGTTGCCTATGCTCGGACTTGCCATCCCAAAGCAACTGGCTTGCTGGAAGATGTCATAAACCACAAATGCAAATACCTCTGTTGGGTTGCACGCCGTATTTTCAGACATCACTCATCCGGAAAAGGGGCACACTCACTTTGCAAATGCCTTGTTGTCCCCTCAGATCGGCTTGGCGAGACGTGGTTGATCCGACCTCAGGGCGTACTTATTACTGGTGTGCCTCACATCGAAAATTGCAGTAAATATCAAAGAAATGATTTGCGACTTTTGATCTGCTTTACGAGTCCGTACCATTGGTATTGGCAGGAACACAGAAACAAACGAGACCATATGGGAGAAGCCATCAGAAATTGTATCTGCAGCTCATTCTACTCCGGCAAGGTGAAGCTTTTTGCTGTGCATGTGTTCTATACAAGTTGTGTCTGATATATCAATGCTCAAATCGGCTCTCTGCAGAAGCCATCAGCTCCAAGCATCAGGTTCCCTTGCACAGGACTCAGGAGGGCTCCCAAGACACTGAGAAGCCAGCCATACCCAACACGCAGATCCTGCAGAACCTAAAGGACGCTTACAGTGCAGACACGTCTGGCATGCTCTTCTGGGAAGTAGCACGGTCGCACAGGTGAGTGGCCCACTTGGCCTGCAAGCCTCATAAACCTGCAGCATGCGGAAAAGTGTTCCAGATTGAACTATGAATGCGCCATTCTTATGTTATTGGCTGAGAAGTGTCATCTGCCGCAGGGGTGATGGTGTCTTTGACGAGGCGTTTACAGATTTCCTGAATGATGAGGTTGAAGCCGCCTCTGACGAGGAAGCAAGGTAAGAAGTGCAGCCTTACAAGATGGAGAGCAACAATAATACAGACCACCCCAGCTACAAGGGCACAGCGATGAAGATAGCTATTGTCAAGCAGAGACTGCAATGTGCAGGGCATTGCTGCAGAAGGTGCAGGCCAGGCTGTCCAACCCCTTGCTCCGGCAAGCCGCGCCGTTCGAGTTCTAGATATACAGTCTACACTGGATGCAGCAGACCTGCTGCGCCGCTCTGTATTGTACAATTGACCTCTATCACTTCTCGGCTCAAGATCCACATTGTCCTACTTTCCATGTGTCTCACAAGTCACACCAGCGCACGCGCGACAGTCTGCGGGCCAGATCCTTCTTGTAATGTACATTGAGCTCCGGCCCCAGCTCTGACAACTAATTCCAATAGTGCAGTCGCACTTCCTCCGCTTATGCACATGCCCTGCACCCTGGTGTGATCACTCCTGGACCGGAGATGTCTTCCAAATCGCCCGTTTTGCATGGAGCTACAAAATCGTGAGGCCAGCCCTTCCTCCATACTGTGCGCTCACTCTCTTCTGCACGTCTTGCAGTCCTCTCGACTCAATCACTCATCCCTCACCCGCATCAGTTGGTCAGTCAGGTAATTCAATTTCATTGCATCACTCCACCGCCGCCGCCTCGGCCGCCTCCGGTGCGATGACGGCCAGAACGGCGCCGTCGGGCACCTGCGCGCCCGGCAGCGCGGCCAGGTCCGTTACGGTGCCGGAGCATGGCGCGCGCACGGTGTGCTCCATCTTCATGGCCTCCAGCACCACCAGCGGCGTTCCCTCCTCCACCGCATCGCCATCCTGCACCAGCACCTGCGCCGCAGGGGCAGGCCACAATCACTCTGTGAGACATCACCTCCTAATCTTGCGCTCGCTTTGCTGCATGTCTTGCATTCTCTAGATATCTCCTAAGATCCGCGGCCTGTCAAGGAAGAGAGTTCTCGTGCACAGAGCAATGCTGACAAACAGTGAGACGTAACTAATACCATGCATGAGCACACCTCTGCTTAAAACAACGGTAATTACTCAATTTTCTGAGGCCACACGGTACCGTAAACTTGGATAAACGCTTGTCAGCACCCCAGATGGGAATAGCTTGCAGCTCAACGGAGCCATGCATGGTTACAGTGGGAGTGATGGTGGCTCACCTGGATGATCTTGCCGGGCATGGGAGATGTGACGAGGCCGGCAGACGATTGCACTGCGCCAGACCTTGCCCACTTCCTAGGCACGGGCTTGCTAAACTCATAGGTCTCCCCTCCAATCCACATCGACAGCATCTGGACAAACCAACAAAATGTTGCATGCCACCTCACTCTGAATAATTTCAGGTGTAATCAGTACACTAGTATCCTCCCAAAATTTCTCTCTCTCTGGCACATCCTAACATCCTTGAAGAATGCTCCACTCTTCTATGTCGTGGTGTTCTGTGCTCCTCAGCAGAGGTTGAGGTAGGCCCACCTGCTCATCGGCATGGTCATGCAGAGATAAGTCAGCTCTCAGCCGCTCTCCATCGATCTCAGCTTCCAAGCTGCTCCCATCCTTGCTCAGCTGGAATCTCTTGACCACCACCTCACCCGATGCGCTGTCATCTGAGACCTGTACAACAGGACACATCTCTCCAGCCAGGTTTGCCTGATTGTGCTTGCGATCTCGCTGATCAGCCAGGCGCTTCTAAATGTGGCCATAACTGCATGCTCTGTAATGATAATGATGGCGCAAAGGTGGCAACGAACCTTCACACTGATGCTCCTGTCTTTGTGGAAGGTGAGAAGCACATTGCAGGCTGCGGAGGTGGCCGTGTGGGTCAGACTGTCAGCGGTGGTCAGCTCATGGTTCAACCTGAAGCTGTCAAGGATACCCCATGCCCCCAGCTGGCCACCATTGCTGAGTGCCTCTATTTCAGTAGCCTGCACAGTTTTGCAAATACGATGAACTGCAAATTCTCAAATATCCACCAACCAACCAGACGTTACAATTCCGCCTTTGTTATCGTGCAGCTGGCTGCTCACTGGCCTTCCGTCTTTGTCTTACCATTTCGTAAGTGGTGTGCATATGCATGCTTTCCCTGGCACATGGAGCGAGTGTTGACCATTACCGTTGAAGAAAATGTTAAGCACATGATTGCTGGCATGAAGGAGGGGGAACAAGCCAGGGCTGACCTGGACTTGGAGCATGTGGCGAGCAAGAGCGGCCAGCGCCACAACCTTGGCCGGGGGCTGCGCTGCGGCTGTGAGGGAGTTTAGATGCTTGGCTATGAAGGAGGTGTCCAGCTCCACCGCTGCAAACGCCGGGTGACTTGCCAAACGCTTCAGGAAGGTGACATTCGTCGGCAGCCCGCTCACCTGTCATCATGACACTGCCTGAAAATACTTTTTATTTTTATTGCACATTAGAGACCTGTCGGGAGCCGCCTGAGGCTCATTGGTCTTGTGGGCAAATTTCCACTGCCCTTCTTTGTATTACAATATCCACGCCCTAAGAACACTGCAAAAGGATCCTGTTGAAGATAATCGGCAGATATGTCTTTGCATCTCTGCTGTGAATGGATTGCTGATACGGGTTGGCCCGTCTAGGAGGTCATATGGTGCCTTGGGGTGCAGGGGGCACACAATTGGAAGGTCAACAAAGCCCCAGGATATATTAAAGCAGATGCAAGGCTGCGATGTGCTTGGCTGAGACAGGATTACAGTATGATGGGCAGTACCTGCAGCTCTGAGAGGGCGGTGTGGAGGTTGTCGAGCGCAGTCTGCCGATCCGGACCCTTGGTAATGAGCTTGGCAATCATGGGGTCATAGTGCACCCCAACCTGTTGCATTCGAATGGGGCAAGACATCATTTAGCCCCATGACGTAATGTATCTTCACACCATGCTTTGAAAGGATGCATGTGTGCTTGGGTACCTCAGCAATTCCCAAATGTGCTATTGGGCCACATCGAGAATCAACCACTGCTACCATGGCTTGAGCATTTCGAGACTTCAACCAATCTCAAATTACTCACAACTCCATACTACCTCAGCAGTATGGAGGAGGGCCATGAGCGCATGCAAAAGGAGGGTGAGTCACCTGGTCCCCCTTGCGGACCCCGCTGTCCACACGCACGTCCCCGATGTGGCTGAAGGATACGGCGCCGTGAGGGATGCGCCAGCGCTGCAGTGTGCCGGTGCCGGGCATGAAGCCGCGCTCGGGGCTCTCCGCGTACACCCGCGCCTCAAACGCATGCCCCTGCGAAGCCAGCGCCGCCCGCATCGCTAGACTGCCCAGACTCAATGGCTTTGTGCTCGTACCAGAATCTTATGCCATTCTACTGAGAAAACTTATTAACTGGATGGTGGGATTGTTTGAGGGTTTGCAGCCTTCATCAATGCCCCTGCCAATAGCGGACACTCTGAAATTGAGAGTGACTCGATGTTTTCGCCGACAAGGGACACTCTGAATCACACCAAGGCGCATGCAAAGCAGTGCGAGCGCCAACAAGGGAGGAAGGACTGCCTCGCGATTTCAATACAATGCGTGCAGCCTGAATCGCGGATTGTGGACATGCATTCACAGCGTGCCAGTATCCAGGCTCAATTACTGGTTATTTGGCGGTCTGGATGGACGATTATGTGTACAGCAGCTGTCAAGTCCAGTACCAGGATTTTGAGCTGGTCCTGCAGCAGCGGCAGGGGCTGGCCGGCAGCCACGCGTAGCTGCCACTCCACCAGGTCCTGCCCTGTGATGGCCTCTGTCACCGGATGCTCCACCTGCGCGCCCACAACCACATCTGATACCCATGCACACCCTGACAAGTCCCCATACCAACACATTCGCAGACCTCAACTGCATTGCCCACAGTGCACTCTAGATCATGTTGAATGATTGTTGCTTGATTCTTGATTCAGAGTCCCCTGACATGCAACTAACAGGGGGTATTGAAGACTGACTGGGGTCTTTATCTACCCCTGCATTAGTTACTCCTACACTGATGATGCCACCAACAACAGCGCTGGAGCAGCTGACTTGCAAGATGACTGTCTCAACAGCAACCAAGGTTGTCAAATGTAGTTAAAGACATTGAACCTGCCAAGTGACAGGCTACATGGCAAGCAATCAATGGCTTGAAGAATAGAACAATGAGAGCAAGATCACAAAAAAAACATGCAGCGGAATAGGGGACGCGCAGACCTGAAGGCGGGTGTTCATCTCCATGAAGTAATAGTCGCCGGTGTCAGTGTCCACGATGAACTCCACCGTGCCCGCGTTGACATAGCCGACGGCGCGCGCGGCCGCCACGGCAGCTTCACCGATGCTGCGCCGGAAGTCCTCGCTGATCCCCGGCGCCGGCGCCTCCTCTATCACCTGCGCACATCGCCCTGCTTCATTATTTTGCATGCAGATGTGCCCCATCAAGCGCCTGAGGCTCAACCCCAGAGCGTGACTGGGGGTCTGGCATATGCACTGATAGCCCGTGGCCAAACGCCCTCCCCAGCAGATGAGACCACAATCCTTGGGCCTTTATAAAAAAGTCTCCATGACTCTTGCAGAATTATACAAACCCGGCAGGCACCTAGGCGAGCTGCTAGCTTCTTGTTGTTTAGCAGGGGGAGGTTTGCATATAGTACAGAGAGGTGCCTGCCTTCTGATGCCGGCGCTGCATGCTGCAGTCGCGCTCGAAGAGGTAGACCGCGTTACCGAGGGTGTCCGCGAAGATCTGGACCTCGATGTGACGCGGCCGCGTTATGTAGCGCTCCAGCAGCACGCGCTCGTCGCCGAACGATGCCGCCGCCTCGCGCTTGGCTGAACTCAGCGCCTCCTGCCCACCACAGCGCCAGAGTGATCACTTTTGCAGATATGGTCTCCACCACTGGTCCCATGGATATGTTTACATGCTGCCGAATTATAGTTGTCAACCTTCTGCCTTGGTTGTTCATTGATCATCGAATTGCACATGCTCAGAGTATCCAGACAGGGGTCTGTGTTGGAAGGATCAGCTTGTTGCCCTCCGTTTGGCTGACAGCTCGCCATAAGCCTAGTAGAAGTTAAGCAAACATTGAGGCATGTTGCAGGGGCCCGATTGGATTATAGACCATGTCATCTGCGGCAATGCATGCCCACATGCCATGCTGACATGGAATTGCTCACCGGCAGCTCTCTGGCGGAGTTTGCAAGCTTCATGCCCTTGCCGCCGCCTCCCAGGACCGCCTTGACAAGCAGGGGGAAGCCCACCTTGTGCCCCTCTTCAAAGAGCCTAAAATACACATCACATCACCATCACATTCATGAAAAATCTAGTCGACCCTTTTGGCATGAAAGCGAGATGTGTCTTCTACGGGCACAGTGACTGGACAGGGGCAGGGATTGCAGCTTGCTTACAGGGACTCATCCTGGTCGTCACCATGGTAGCCAGGCACAACAGGGACCCCTGCTCCAGCCATCAGCGCCTTTGCCTCACTCTTGTTGCCTGCAAAAGAACTCTGAGATCATTGTTGCTCGGACTCCAGCCTCTGCCTGGTATCTGCCGAAGCATGCTAAATACAAGTTGTCTTCAATTTCTCCCTGGACACAATGGGCTGACTCACCCATGGAGGCGATGGCAGAGGCAGGGGGCCCAACGAAAGAGATGCCATTGTCCTCGCACATGCCTGCAAAGGTGGTGTTCTCTGAAAGGAACCCATAGCCGGGGTGCACCGCCTGAGCCCCTGTCTTGAGAGCCACCTGGTCCAGCACACCTCCTCTCTATCAACTCTATTGGGCGCAATTGTTGCAAGGGGGGAGAAGGAAGAAGCGAAACAAAGCCTGCTAAGATGCATGAGATGACAGGCATGCACGCATGCATTAGCCGTCAACATTCTGTTGCTGCGCTGAACGCTAGTGCAAGCTTTACTGCAGAGTTTTGATGCTCAATTCTGTGATCATTTGGCAGGGAAAGCTTCAGGCTGACCTCCAAGATGCGCTCCATGCGAAGGTAGCTGTCCCTGGCAGCTGCAGGGCCTATGCAGAAGGCCTCGTCAGCAAGGCTGGCATGCAGGGATGTCCGGTCAGCCTCGCTGTACACAGCCACTGTGGGGATGCCCAGCCGCTTGGCTGTCTGCAACACGCGGCATGCTATCTCGCCGCGGTTTGCCACCAGCACTTTGCTGAAGGGGAGTGGGCCTGTGGATGTGCCTGACTGATTGGCTGCCGTGTCTCCTGCTGGGGTGGAAGCATGCATGTGTCTGCACCCGACGTCATGTGGCTGCATCCATGGAGCTGCTGTGGAGCACCTGGTGACTCCAGCAAGTTCTGGCTGGACACCAGACTGAGCATTTTGGAGGAGTACATATAGACGGTACGCCCTTGAAATAGAGCTCGACATCATGTCTATACGCTCTCTGTCATTCCAGGCCCCAGTTTATCCTGGTTTACCACCGATGCGCGCTTGCATCTTGATCACTGACTTTCAACTAATACAATGTTGTTCGAGATCTTCTCCGTTTTTAATCAGAAGCGCAGGGTTTTTCGATATGGTATGATATTGGTGCCTGATGAAACAGTGATCCTCGACGAGTGTGCTTCTGTAACCGCCTGAATGGTCAGAACATGTTGCTGGTCCTACACTCTCACCGTGTGGCCTTTCAATTGAGATCTCCAGTAAGTAACGTATATTTCTTAGGATCCTAGACAGAGTCTTTTCCACACGATTTGATACGAGGATCTGGGAACAAATTTCTGTCTGTCTGACTCAGCGCCTGGCTGTCAGTGTGAGTCATCACTTTCGCCTGAGAAGCTGCCTTGAGTCCAGTTGACTTCAAGTGTTGAAGAGACACAAGCAGCAGCATCAGACAGCGCTAAATGAGGGGCAGCCAGATACTGCATCCCAACCAAGCCAGCAGACAGGCAAGCGGCAGCAACACAATACACCTGGATGATCATTCTCGGAAAATAGTTGTCAGAAGTACATCAACTCACTGAGCACTTCTCAGTTGGACGCAGAGCCTCATAAAAGCCTCTTGCGGGCTATCAGCATCACCACATGTGCTTACTCTAAAGATCTGTCACAGGTGCTACCACACCCCTTCTGCCAGCCATGAAACTAGAAGGCAGCCGCGCTAATCTGCCATATAGGAATATTCCTGTTGTAATCCATAATTGAGATTTGGACACGCAGTTGCATAAAAGCACAGCAATGCCACCACGTTACGTCCTGGCCCCAGACATCCCAATACTGAGCAAGACAGCACACGTGGCCCAAAAAGGCCAACCCAAAGAGGTCCTCTAGAACTTGAACTGCTCCTTCTGCTTCTTGGCCTTGCCCTCCTTCTTCTCTGCCGCCTTGCGCTTCTGCTGCGCCGCCTTGGCAGCCACCAAGTCCGAGAAGTCCTGCAGGTATTATCCCATTGCACACTCAGCCACTGTATATTTCCAAGCACAAAGCCCCCCCCCCAGAGCTCATTCAGCCCTTGCCAGCCAGATCACAAGTTTCTTGAGACCAGCTTGCCAGACCTGCAGGGTCTGATGGTGCTCTCATGCAGCGCCCTGCTGGTGCAGTCGTGACAGGACCAAACGGGGTACATTGCAGGAAAGCGACACAGTGGGGCCAATGCGCATTCAAGGACAACAAACAGACAATTGTTGGTCTCTCTGCCTGCCCGAAAGCTTTCCCAGGGATCATCCCGGCGATGAAATCACAACAGAAACAGGATCAAGAAGGCCATTACGGGAGAAAATAAGGCAAATGCAGAAGGGCACCTCGCGTGATGATGCGGTGCGCTGCTGCGAAAGGCGCTCCTCGTACAGTGCGCGCACACCGGCTTCGTCGAGCCCCTCCAGCTCTGCAGGGTCGATCGCCACCTCCACATCTCCAGGCGCAATCCCAGACCTGCACCAGCACACACCGCAGGACATTACTATGGAGATCAACTTCCCATTGAGTTCCCATTGGGCCACAACAGACAAGGAAAGGAAAGGTGCCCTGCCCATAAACAACAAGGATTGTCGAAGCGCAGCACACCAATTCAGCCCACAGAAGAGCGTTCTGGACACATGCCAGCGGCATCTGCAGAAGAACAGATCAAAGAAGGATTGTGGAATATGGGATGGGGGCCATGCCATAGCTGCGCACCTCTTGGCAGCGGCGGCTGCAGCGCCCTTGGTAGGCGCTCCGGCGGCGGGTGCGCCGGCACCGGGGATGACGTAGGTGTGGTCGCTGCCCATGAGCGCGTTGCCCACCGGCGCCGCCTGCTGCTCCAGCACTTGGTACAGCGGCTTCTCGCCTGCACGCCCCACCATCGCATCGCATCTCTCAAACTTCACAGCCTTACAGTGAATGGTCCGCAGGAGCATGTTCATACACCCGTGTTGATACACCACACATCCAGGTAACTGCTATGCAAGCCCAAGCTTGTTTTCCCAACTCTAGACGCAGACGACCCGCTGGGCCTATAGCCATGCAATGTTCAACAAATCCAAACCTCAATGCGGCTACACCCAGATCGAGGCATGACCTGCGCAGGGTGTTAGCACATGCGCACGGAGGAGCCCTGTTGCGCAGGGTCCCTTCCGGCATGCAAGACAGAAGGCACAGAGGGAACATGCACAGCTTCGTGCAAAACAAAATCCTTGTCACCTCACGGTCATGCACCAACACAAGTGCCCGGGGTGGCCCGGCTGCGCATGCTCCCTTCCGGCATGCACGCCAGAAGGCACAGAAGGAGCATGCACAGCTCCCTTGCTCCGCTTGCTGCTGCACGAGCAAGGGTGGTTCCTTAATTATCATGCGAGGTGACTCATGCAGCGTGGCGGCGGGGCGCGCACCGGCCTTGCCCTTGCGCAGGTCGATGACCTCGGGCGTCTCGATGCCGGAGGGCAAGCTGGAGTTGTAGCCGGACGCGATGGACGCGATGCCGTCCGCCAGGCTCTCCGTGTCGTCCACCTCGTCTTCTTCTTCCTCTTCTTCCTCCTCTGACTCCTCTTCCTCACTCTCCAGATCCCCCCACCTCGTCAGCTTGTCCACCTGCGCGACAAATTCCCTCACCCCAATCAGGCCGTGTGCATGACGGGGCTCCTGCAAGGAACTCTACCGGCAATGGCAAATCGCCAAGCAGGGCATGCATTAGAAGAAGACCACCAGCTCATTGTTGAGGAGAGCGCAAGATCGCTCTTACTGTCTCTGGAGGTGAGCTCAGGCATGACAAGAGCCTCTGCAAGCTCTGCATCAAGCCCGCAGAGCCCTCATGCATGCAGGGCTCCCCTCCTCTAGGCCATTCAAGCAACTACCCTCATGCAATATTTGTTCCAGTTGCAGTAAAGAGACCTCTCCGGCACTCAGGCACTTGGAAAGTAAGAATTGAGTGAGGTCTGGGGTGAGGGAAGAGTGGGCACAGGAAGTCTCACGTACCAGCTCGTCTTCAGCATCCTGCTCGAACAGGCCGAAGACATCGCCGTACAGGGGGTTGCCCTCCTCATCCACAGGCGGCTTTCCCCAGCCGCCAGGCTGGTAGCCGAACTGGGCGCCCGGAGGGATGGGCGCATTCAGGCCCGGGATCTGCACCCACCACATGTGCTCATATCATCTGTGCCCAGTCTGCGCACAAGCATGCGTGTGCACCTGCGCTTGTCTCACCGTCACGTGGCACTGGAAATGTCAACTCTGCATGCCCAGCAGATCTCTGCTCTTTGCCGCACAGTATATCTAAATTACTGCGGGATGCATGCTGGACGCAGGCACTGATTTGCCGGGCCACTATGCCAATCAGGGAACGGCCAATGTGCTTAGATATACGCGGCATTTTGCGGGCGAACCTTCAGGTCAGGATAGGAGGGGGGCGGCCCATAGCGCTGCATGTTGATGAGCCACGGCGGCGGCGATGACTCGCCCATGCCCAACGCTCTGCGCAGCTCCTCGCTCAGCACACCTGGTTTCGCACCCAGGATCTGCACGAGCACCACTGGCCATTACTAATCATTACTAGTTGCAGACTTGCTCACAGACGCCGTACAAGGGCAGATCAAGACATATTGGATGTGTAAGGAGGTGTAAAGGCAGATCAGGATGTAGCAGTGGTGAGATGTGAGTCTCACCTTAGCCTCGAACTCTTTGCCCTCATAGTAGAGGTCGCCCATGACTGAGAAGGAAGGCTTTGTCTGGTGCTTGAAGAAGGCGTCGTGCAGAACCTGGTAGTCGATGTCCAGCTTGCCCATCTTGGGCTGCATCTTGTCCTTCTGCTTCTGCCGAAGCTTCTTGCTCTCTTCCTGCACAAGCACCATCTCAACAGTGTTACAACCCAGTAGAAGAAAACCTTCAGCAAAACAGGTGTCATCAAGATTAGATGCACTGTGATGATGCGATGCAAGAGGACATGACGGTGCAAGTCTTCTATCACCTTCTCCTGGTATGCCTGCCGCATCTCGCCGATGCCTGTGGCCTCAATAAATTCTGGCAGCTGGAAGGGCGGCTTCTCCAGACCCCGCTTCCCTTGCAGGTATTTCCTCTTCTGACTCCAGTGCCGCGGCACAGGCACAGTGTTCCGGTAAGCCTGCATCCAATCCATCACAACCCTGAATCCATGATGTTCCCTCGCAAGACAGCCCTTGCTCTTATCTCTGGCGCTCTTAACTCAGGTGCCTGGGTGCCTGCATCTCTCTTTCTCTAGATCTGACACAGCTTGGAACACTGAGCATCCTGCATCCACATGCTTCATCCAAGTTTGCAGACAGATGAATGTCAAGGTAAGCAAGAACATGTTCTCTGCCCCCCAATGCAGCATGGTACATGTGAAATTTACAGCATCACAGGTGAATATTGCAGACAGATACAGGACTAATGAATGACCTACACCCTGTCATGACTAACCTTGAGGTAGACAAGCAAGCGTGGGTCCTGGGCAGTCACGTCCCAGACTTCCACCACTTCCGGCCGGGGGCAGGTCTGCTTCAGCTCCGCGATCTTCAGCCGGCTCTCCATCTTGTGCTTGCGCTTGCTCTCCTTCCCTACCTTCCCCTCATCCTCCTCGTTGTCGCTGCCCTCCCCTTTCTCTGGCTCCTTTTTCTCCTGTGTGTCATCACATAATCATAAGTTAGCATACTGCCATCACCGTACACAGCACACATCACCTTGCATCACAAAACTGACACCTAGCCAGCTGACAACAATACTGTCAACAGGAAGTGCAGGACACAAGAGCCACCACATTGCTTGTTGACACAGTCCACTGTCATTGTGGTTCCTGCGCACCTCGGCTGCTTCTTCCTCTTTGTCCTCGTCAGCCTCTGCCTCCGCATCAGGATCAACTCGTGGTCCGGTCACCTCCTCAGCGCTGGCAAACTTGCTGAACACCCGCGCAAACTCCTCGTAGGGGCTCATGCTGTCCTCCTGCGGAACCGACACAGAATGGCTGACACCATACAGGCACGCACTATAAGGAGACATTCACCAGCACAAGCAAGCTTGTTATTAGCATTGTGAGGAACATAAAACTCCGGCGTGCAAAAGGTGGGGGTACGAGTAGAGAGCGCACAGTTGTGCCATTTTCCTCCGCTTCATCAGAACCCAGTCCTGGTGTGGCGCCCAATCCCACGCCGCCGTAGGGGGTCTCAGACCCGTAATCTGACCCCAACGAAGGCGTTGCACCGCCCGACCCCAATCCTGGCGTGAGCCCTGCACCCACCAGCATCGCTAAGTTGGCAAGGAACTTTCTTAGATACAGGAGCACGAGACGGGCAGTGCTCTGTTAAGGTAAAACGCATGAGTGACAACTACCGGCAAATGCATGCCAGAGGGGGCTTACCCTCGCTGCCCAAGCCAGCCCCAGATGTGCCTGCCGACACGAAACCCAAGCCCCCCGCACGCGCAAAGCCCCCATCATCGGCCTCCGGTTCTTCCTTGGCCTGCAGCAGCTCCTCATACTCGCGGGGGGCAGACACATACTCCACCTCCACTCCGGAAGTCTCCGACTGAAACGCAAACCACAGCAATAGGTAATTATTGATAAGAATGTTCAGAACACGCATATTTCAGCCCTCAGGGCTAGGTGCGTTGCAGCAACATCTCAAAATTCCTCTCCAGCCTTCCCTGTCTAGGCACTTTCTCCACCAATGTCATGTCAATCCAATGGATTCCAGGTCATCCCTAACGCAATCATTCCAGGATTTGACAGGTGTGCCTCTTCTCCCAGATCCTTATACAGATCCAAACAGCAGCTGGTAAATATATAAATTGTGCATGTTGCAGAAGTCGAAGTACTAGACTCTGACTGCTCTGCACAACTCTAATGGAACTCTGGTAGTATGTCCCGAAGAGCTCTTGCGGGAGGCTAGACATCCAAATTCTCTGCCGTCTTTTGGCTATTAATGCTCTCAAGATGAACGGCGGCAGACATCAAATGGATTACCTGGGAGGGAAGCGGATTTGATGCAATCCCTTGCTGCTGCCCCCCTTGCAACGTCCTGTGGTTGCCAAGACAACACATTATGTGAGGAAGACAGTGCTCGAGAACTGGGAGTCGACCCCTGACAGGAGGAGGAATTCTACAAGAAGCACGTCAAAGTTATGAAATCGAGCGTAATGTTCTACACAGGATATCACTTCTATCAACCAGTCTAGTGGTGAAATTAAAACAACCCCTATTGCATAGCAGAAGCAAGGCTGATCCACTGTTGTGCTGCTAACCCGTTATTTGGAGCAGCTTAGCTGACATTCACAGGAATTAGCTTCCATTATGACAGAAGATCAATCATGTCCAGATTATTCCAGCCGTCAGGTTCAAGCAACAAAGGACCACCAGCTTGGGCACTGTGGGAGCGGAAACCTTGAAGCAATACTTTTCGTGACATCTCATTGAAAAGGAGAGGCCTCACCGTCCTGCCTGCTTGTTGGCCTTCCGCTGTTTTTTCTTGAGTCTCTTCTTCTCAGCTGGCGTAAGCTTCTTCCCACCATTACCGACGTCCGAGTCTCCATTCCCAAGCTTGCCATTGGTCTTGTGCGCTTCAGCTACACCATTAGCTCCAGAACTCTCGACTGCATCTTCTGTGACCATCTTGGTGCTACCGATCCCTGATCAACAACGCAGCTGATGCTGTCAGGTAGGAACCAGATTGAATCACAAGCCGATCTAGGGGAGGTCCACAGAAGATTGAGGTCTGGAAGGGATTGCATGCCAAAGTTTTGCCTGTGCGAGCTGAAAAGTCGAGGCGGCGGTGGCGTTCCTTCTTCTTTGGGTTTCTTTACCCTAAGCACTCAGCCTGCAGGGGAAGCATTCACTTTCCCTCCATTTCTTCCCTTCTATTTTTTGTATCCCTCTGGTCAGATGACCTTTAAATGGGGCACTCTATTACAGCATGCATGGCAGGGACGCATAAGTGGCAGGCCTGGCCTGGGCAATTGCAATTTGCAAAGGGGCACTGCAGACACCGCGTCGCTGAAACACAGATATTTATTTCCATTCTTCGTTGGGTCCAGCTAGTCTTGGACTCAGCAACACAACACTGCAGCAGTGAGGACAATTGCGCCAAACTGAGCAGTGGCTCGGTCCTGCAGGACTCCTGCATGGCACGGGCCAGCAGACTTTAGTCCAGCTGGCATCCGGGTCCAAACCGGAGTCCGACCGAGTCGGCTGAGGTGCTTGTGCTTGTATGCTCAAAGAGCATACAAGCACAAGCACGGTGTCATCAAGATTCCGATCCCGAGTTCTTGCATGGCTGTTATCAAGATCATGGCGGCCATGAAGTCATGATTCATGAAATCGAAAGGCACCCCAGTGCATGTATTGTCAATGACTATTACTCATCCGGATCCTGGTCACGCGAGCCATATCTGTTGGTAAGGAAAAAAGTCCTAGTTGACATGTGGTCAATGCGGCAACACGGCAGCATCATGCTGATCTCAATGACACTGCATCAATCTAGGGAGGTCAGATTTCCTTGGATGCTGGTTACGCACCCATATTAACATGATGTCATACTCGTTTGCACTGGTGGTATATAGACAGGCAGTGAAGTCGACAGCTGATTACCAATCACTGATGCCACATGCCACATGCACTTTGTCACTAATTTTGCTGTCATTCTGACACAGCAAATAAACCACCAGGCATGACCATCCATTTGTACCACTGGTTCCTGGCAGGAACATCATGTGGAGCTCAGTTCAGCTATTGCCATCATTCCTCTGCCTTGCTTTCCAGACCCTTTGGATCCCTTACTGCAAAGAGTGTTTTCCAGTTGCACTGGGATGCTGGAACGTTCGCCTTGTGCAGAGACACAGTGATGCTGCGCCCGTCCTCGGCATCACCTGTGCAGCAAACCAAGATTTTTAGGACACTGTCCAGCAGATCAGGCCTTAGTGCTCAAAGATAGGAACTAGTGCAAAACAATCATAAACAGCAAGCAAGGAGCGCTCACCAATCTCCCAGCTGCTCTCATCTGGGCTGATGGGAGCAAAGAGCGGCTCATCCACAAGCACCTTCCCTTGGACTGCCAGGTACAAGCTGCGTGCATTGATGTTGCACACCAGGTCCTTCGCGCGCACATTGTCCCCCACAGGCGTTTCCAACACCACCTCTTCTGCTGTCTGCCGCCAGGATATGGTGGGAGCATCTGCGGCATGCCACACCACCCCCTCAGAACTAGCTCCCCGGGCATGATGTCCGCAACCTGTGACAGCAAGCCAAGGCAGAAAGGGAATAATTAATCATCTGTAATGGAGCACTGCAACAGCTGATCGCACCTGCTATTGCATTTGCCAGAATGATCTCCTCATCCAGTATGGCTCCAGCAGATGGCGCGATCTCCTCAATGTCTCCCAGGGTGCCCTCAGTGGCAATGTGCACTGCACTGGCATGCTCATCTGACTGTCTGTCCGCCTGCTGGCTGCCAGCAGGTGAGGCTGCATCTGCGGCCTCAAGATGCCTGCTTGCGACTGTGCTCGCATAATCTGGGTCCTTATCGGGGATCGGGGCCATCTCAACCTTCTTTGGAGCCTTGGAAGGAACCTGGGACAGGCACGGGGCTCACTGAAACTTGTGGTAGAGCTCTCCTGGCTCCCATGTGATTGTAAGGATATTTTGTTTTATCAACAGCCAGATCTTGCAACCTTGCTCTGACAAGAACCGCAATGTGCTCTTCCATCGGATGTACCAAACCTTGGAAGCATGATTCGCACCTTGCCGCTCTGATACCACCATGCAGCGAGTCCCAAGATTGCTGCACCAGCTGCAAACCCCGCTACAGCCTGCAGCGCCGTCGAGTTCTTAAGGGTGTTGCGCTCCATGCGTGCTCCCAATAATATGCGAGGCTAGGGCAATGCCCTCACTCACAACCCCCTTGTGCGTTGCGGCTTCCGTTCTATGTCACGCAGAAACACTCTCTGTCAAACGCAATTTCGTGGCAGGTTGATCGACTTTAAGAGCGAAGTGTATAGAAGGTCCGCCAAAACTTTAGGAACGCCGTCGAAAGAGTGGCAAATTCGAAGTGCCAGCTGCGTTCTTGCCGTTCTCCTTGGCAAATGAAAGCACTGCATCTGGGAAGACACCGACACGCATCTGAAGAACAGCCAACCGTGGGTTTCCTGCTCGGCACCATTGCACAAGCAGCCGCACCCGCGGAGGGGTGAGAAGAGGAGAGCGGGGGGAGGATAGCAAAGAAACAGGCAAGGCTTTCTGAAGTCCGAGCTTGATTCGTGAACATCCAACCCCAGCCCCCACAGTGTTTCCCGGTAAGCAAGCATTGTTCTTTTAACCCAAGGATCCCGGTAGTGGCGCTCGAAGGGGCTGCCGCGTCACAGGGCACTTTATCAGGTCGGATGTCCAAGGACGACTTGTGGGGGCTGTTTGCGTTCAATATAGATGTCCTGTGTTGTCACAGGCCAGCTGAGGGAACCTGAGGCGATCTGGTGAAACAGGCACGATCGCCAAGGCTTTAACGAAGCGTCTGGACGCAGGTACAGTCCGCTGCACGTCAAGGAGTGGGGTCTGGACCTGGAAGGGAGTTTTGAGGCAGGTGAGCCATCATGCTAGCATCAGGAGTGGTCCAGATGCCAAGGGGGCCACCGTTGGAAATCATGCTTTTGCGGCGAAGTCCGCCGCTCCTGTCATGATGATGCTTATCGTTACAAAGCTTCACTCGCCATTTCAAAATAGCACTGTTGTGCCCTCCTCGGTGAGGTACAGAGAGTCAGAAACGGGGCAGTAGATTCCGTAAGTGCTGGTCAAGGGTCCTCCAGGATACGAGATGGTCGGGGTGGCCTTCAGCTGACTTGATGACCAGTGGAATATATTGGCTTCACCACAGCTGCGGCTGCCGTCCGGAAGCTAACATCGAATTCTGATGTTTAAGATAGAGGGTTACAGCCATGGCGTGCTGCGTATCCATTGCTGATGAGGTTTCCTCCTCTTCCTTGAGTTCTTGACCATGGCTATAAACATCCTCATAAATCCTCATGTGCTTTCTGCAGATTGGAGCTTGCGTGCACAAGAAAGTCTAGCTGAGGACTTGGCATCCTCTTTTCCTGGGGAATGCCAGAAGTATGACCAACTCTCCTCGCCTGGAACATCCTCACTTGCAGGCAAGGAGCGCCCTTCCTTACATTTTAGCTCACTCAAATGTAAACCCCTTAACTCCTTGGTTCGTAAATCTTGTGCACTCTTGTCATATGAGGCCATGCCAGTGCAGGGGTTCACAAGACAAGGCTTCTATGGCGGCGTGGACGTGAGCTGTGCACCAGAGAATAATATCAAGGCCCTGAGCAGAGAAGTGCAGGAGTGTGCAGAAGTGCCCCCGGAGCCCATCTCTCCAGATAGCAACCACACAGGGGTGTCAGAGGACGGATCATTTGTGAAGGTCGACAGTCCAGATCAGGACAGTCCTGACCTGCCAGAGAGGTGCGGCAGAGTCTCGCGCATGTATCAAAAGAACCTATATTTCATGCAGCTTTTGGCATGCTGGCAAGGAAACAAGTGACTTGCATATGATCCTGACTTGTGTGTTTTCTTGTAGCAGATTGGACAGCTCGCACGGTAGCAGCCCTGCGAACATGTCAACGGAAGCTCAAGATGAGGCTGCTCAGCTACGGCAAGCAAAGCAGACTGGCATGAATCAGCACATCGCTGAGCTCCCAGCAGCTGAACTTCCAGATCGGCCGGTGAGAAGCCAGAGCAGCAGCTTCCCCCGCAGCGCCGCAGCAGGTCCTGCTGGAAGGCAGGCGGGCCCACCAAGGCGCCAACAGCAGGTGATGACCACACTTGTCCAGCACGTTTCAAGCGCTTGCATGCCATGCTTGCACCTTGCTTGTCCTGATCTATTCCTTGATGCTTCCGCTGCTGATGTCCATGACATCCATTGTCTGGAGAGCAGAACCAGCCACATTTTGTATGTCTGCCTGACCTCTGTATGCCGATGGCTTGCAGGCAAACCGGCCAAACAACCATGCAGGGTACATGGGTGGACATGGCATGTATCACACTCCTCAACAAGCAGCCTTCATGCATGGCTCTCAGCAGTACAACCAAGCTCATGGTCAGCAAGGCTCGCGTCACCCATCCAGCAATGGTCATGGGCACCACCAGGCCTATCACTCAGGTGTTCACTCCCCTGCATAACATGACTGATCCGGGCTCCTGTCATTGCATGCATCAGCTCGCCACATCCTGTACCTGGAAGACCTGCCCACCGTCACATACTGACATTTGCGTGTTTGCAGACAATGTGATACCTCAGAGCGTCGCCATGACCATGATGTACAACCAGCAGTACACCGCTGCAGCTCAGAACTACAATCAGGTGAGATGCCTGCCACTTTTGGGAGTCGTGTATAAACAGTCTGTCATCTGGACGAAGACATGTGCCTCTCATGTGTTGAGCAACTGCTGGGGTCTGCTCTGGGATGTCTTCTGAAGGGTGGTGCCTTCTTGCTGCAGGGAGTGTACCCTCATCAGGGCCCCCAGCACTTTGGCTATGTGCTGCCTCATGCTGGTGTTGTGTGGGCGAATCAGTATGACGGCCCTCCTCAAGGTATGGCCTGGCCGATCTCGTCTCTTTACTTGTACTCAGTTCATGTTTGCATGCGGGAGTAAGTGAGCACGCTCTTTGTTACCTACAGGCACAATACGCCCAACCACTGCGCCAGTGTCTGCAAGCGTACCAGTGATGCAGTACGGCATGCCCTATCCTCCCAACGAGTACATGGGCGGCTACTACTCTCAGGTGTGCTGCCTATGCCTGTCTCGATACCTTCATGCAGCCTTCAGTGTTGCCAAGGCTTCACGTTTGTGGAATGCAGTCTGATCCAAGATGTGCTTTCATTGGTATAGTTTGTATTGCTGTGCTGTGATGAAATGCACAGATTGAAGTGGATATTTTCTGGTCTGTGCAGGTTCCACCACTGGCCCATGAGGCGGGCATGTACTACGGCTACCCAGGGAGCTATGAGCCCTACATGCAGGGACCCATTTACAATGCGCCAGCCAACAGCAGGGTAAGCAATTTTCATCTATCATGAATCTCCCGTCTATGATTGCTCATCTGCCTGGATTTGGACTTAATTCACTCATTGTACACATGAACATCTGCAAGGCCTGAGGTGTGTTCCATTCTGTGATTTGCAGAAGGGCAGCCTGGACAGCAGGCTGCCCCGACAGGCTATTACCCAGTATCAGCCACCACCAGCTGCCGGTCTTACCAACTTACCAGGGCAGCATGGATTCAAGGCACCTGCGCCAGCTGTCACTGGAGATGGTCCAAGGTGGGCCCCAGCCGCATGCTGCTGCCACATGCTCATTTCCATGCATGCATGCCAACTTGAATGACCTGCGGATGGATTACATGCATGTCAGTGGAAGTTGGCTACATTGAAGCCCTGACTAATTGGCACTTGTTTGCTTGCCATGCAGGGGGAAGCCTGGCAACAGGCGCCAGGGCTCACCGCCGATGAGGGCAGAGGTCGACAGGTAACCAGCCATCTCCCATGACAGTCTCCTGATTTCCCAAGAGCTCCTCATCCCTGTCTGTAGCCTGGCTTACCTGTCGCAGTGTCAGGCGAGATATCTCGGTCCAAGTTTTGTAATGTTCCCTGTTTCTCCATGTCAGGGACCCGCATCTTGGCCACCGCCGGCAGTCTTCCATGCCCAGTGCCACAACCAGGGACAGGTGAGTGACAGCATCCCTGGTGCACCAGTGTGCATGCCCAGCGTCCCGGATGATTGTTGTGGTACTTAATGGGAAGCATGCATGTGCTGCGGTCTGCAGTTCTATGCCATTTATTTCCCAGGAGTGTCGTCCTTCTTCATTGGGAAGCATGCATATTCTGCGGTCTGCAGTACCATGCCATACAATTCCCAGGAGTGCTATCCTGCCTGTTAGGGAAGCATGCATGTGCTGCGGTGTGCAGTACCATGCCGTTTATGTCAGGAGTGTTGTCCTCCCTTTTAGGGAAGCGTGTATGTGCTGCAGTCTGCAGAATTATGCCAATTATCTCCCGCCTGAGGCTCTTTTGGCCCTATCATGGTCAGGGACTTCTTCAGCCCATCTATGCCCAGCAAGGGAAGGGGTCATCGCCGACTAAACTCTTCTCCCGCAGAGGTTCACGACTTCAGGTGCTGTTGGTGTCTTTCAACGGTTGAGCCCCGTCATGCAGGCTGATTTGCAAGCCCACTGAAGCCCACTTTGCATACCTGCTTCCCCTTGTGCATTTCTGCACAGTTGTCATCCTCCAAATTCCCTTTTGAAGAAGGCACTTCCCGCCTGACGTGCATGGTGTGTGCTGACTCAAAGGCCTCCCAAAAGAGTCCCAGAAAACATGGGACCTGCCAGGGCCAAAGGGCACCGGCGGCATTTCTCACTCCCAGGAAACTTTGACTGTGGCAGGTATTCTCCCAACTGCAGCACTCCAAACAGACATTCAGGATGGCAGAGTCACTTTTTTTCCTTGGCTCTGCATGCCAAGTGAGCAGTGTCTGAGGGCAGCTGTCTGCACATCGTTATCTAAGCAAGCCACATTTGCTGCTGCAGGCTGCAGATCCAGAAGGGGGGAGACACTGGGGCGCGCAGGCACAGGCGCACTCGCAGCAACGAAGACAGCAAGGTGCAGAACGAGGCCGGAGGCTCTGCCAGCATCCTTGAGGCCATCAAGACCAACCGTGGGAACCAGTACTACCTTAAGGTGAGGCTTGCTATAAATAAGGGCCAAGCTTTTCAGCATTGCTATTAGGCTCTGACTTGCATCGATCCTGGCAATGCAGCATGGTAGCCAGGTGCAAGCCGCTGCGGTTTTTCAACCACCATGCATCATGTTGATTTGATAGAGACTAAGCTTTGCTAAAGATTTCACAAAGAAGGTGTGCCATGCCATGCAGGACATTGCTGGGCATGTGTACGACCTCTGCAGGGACCAGTTCGGCAGCCGCTTCATCCAGATGAAGATCGAGACAGCCTCGCCTGAGGAGGTGGCTTGCCACACCTCACCTTCGTTGAGTTTTCAACTGTAGTGTCCCCCAGGGCCTCTTCCACCCCTAATCAAACTGCGCCAGCAGACACAGGACAGCAGACTGCTCACTGGCTCACAATGCGCACATATTGCACTGTCCAATGAACATCCTGAATGGATGTTGCGCGTGCAGGTGGCGGCCGCCTTCACCGAGGTGTGCGTGAACAAGGACCCGGCGCTGCAGCTGATGAACGACGTGTTTGGCAACTACGTGGTGCAGAAGTTCCTGGACTTCGGCGACGATGACCAGAAGGAGGTCATGGCCGCCCTGATCCAGGGCCACGTCAAGACACTGTCCCTCCAGGTGTACGGCTGCCGCGTCATCCAGAAAGCCATCGAGGTGCATGTTTTCCCTGTACTCGAATGCACGCATAAACCCAGCATCAATGCATCTTGCATGCTACACAATGCATGCAATACTCACCAAAGCATCTGACGTGCTGTGCTGATCACTTTCTCATGCGAGGATGCCTGTTTCCCAGGGAATATCAATTGAGAGTTGCAGACATATATTGCACATTTGTCACCTGGTCACCATTGTGCGCGCGCAGGTGCTGAGGCCGCCTCTGAAGGACAGCATTGTGGCGGAGCTGAAGGGCCATGTCATCGAGTGCATCTCCGATCAGAACGGCAACCACGTCATCCAGAAGTGCATCGAGTGCATCACGCCAAGCGAGCCCATCGCAGACCTCCTGGAGGTCTGTGCCCTCCTTCCAAGCAGCACATTGTTGTGCATGCACGCATGCATGCAGAGGGGTCGCGTCTCACAGTGTTCACACACGAACAAAACACATCCACCCCCAATCTGACTCCCAGGACTGGACCGTAGGAGTCCACTGTTGTGCAGGGCTGGCCTGACATGCAGACTTCAGATGCATGTCGTCAGCATGCTAGTTTTAGGCACTGCTGTAGAACTCCGTGAACTGATGGGATGTGTGTTGTGCGCACAGGAGCTGGCCGACGGGCCGGAAGGGGCTGCCGCCGCGCAGCGCAGCAGGGCGCCCCTGCCGCCAGGCAAGCCAGCGCTCTCCGCTGGCTTTGTGCCCCTGGCACGCCACCCCTATGGCTGCCGCGTCGTCCAGCGCATCCTGGAGAAGTGCACCCTTGAGGACTACAAGCACCGCCTGGTGGCCACAGTGCGTGACCCTCCTAGGCCTTCCCCTCCTCTGACAACAAGCAAACGGCCCAACATACTGCTGGGATGCCCAAAGCTCTGCAGAGAAGATACAGGAGCCTGTTGCAAAGGGCATAAGCAGATCCCAGCCGCATGTTAATGCCCTGGTGGGATGCATGGCGCATTTGTCATGCATGACATGTTTGGCTAAAGCTTGACAGTGCTCATGCAGGTCACGGAGAACGCTCTGGACCTGGCCAGGGACACCTATGGCAACTACGTCATCCAGCACAGCCTGGCCTTTGGCTCGCCCGAGGAGAAGTGCGCACCACCTTCCAATGCCCCCCTCTGACACAATTTCTGTTGCTCTACGCCTTGCATGCAACCAACATCGCCTGGCAGTGTTCCTTCATCCTGGTCCCATGTGTGCCAGCACAATGTCAGCAGCTGGATTTGTTGTGCGGCGCTAGGATACTATACTCTATGCAGCTCACATGTCTGAGACACATGTCTTGTGTTTGCAGGGTGGAGATCATCCAGAGGCTGCAGGCTCACATCGTGGAGCTGAGCACGCACAAGTTTGCCAGCAACGTTGTGGAGAAGTGCCTGGAGTTTGGCACACGCGACCAGCGCCGCCGGCTGGTGAGCACCATGCTGGGAGAGGGCAGCGGCCTGGACTCGGCAGGGGCCGACCAGCTGCTGCAGACCATGACTAAGGATCAGTACGGCAACTATGTCGTGCAGAAGACCCTGGAGGTGCAGACATGACCCCTCGCTTACTCTTGTCTTTTACCTCCTTTTTTGTTTGTTTTTCTTTTGGTGTGCTTGCATGTCAGGGACGAGTTTTCCTTTTATGATCTGTTTCTTGTGCCTTTTAATTGGGGTGGGCTTTCTTTCCTTCCTTCAATAGTTGCAGAGTGCTGACTTCCTTTGTATTTTCTATTTGCTTTTTATTTTTTTATTTTTTTACACCTCATGTTGGTGCTGCCTTTATCATTGCAGAGCATCAAGCCGTTTGATCTGATCTGGGCGCCTCCTGACTCAGAGCTGCTGGTAAGTTTCTTCCCTTTTTTTATATAGCATGCATGTTACTTCCCTCTTTCTTTTGTGTCCAATGCCACAGTCCGGTCTTTCTACTGTTCCTTGGCTTTTTCCTGTTGATCTTCTTGTTTGCAAGGCCCCCCTTCCTCTTGCCATCTGCAGGCCTCTGAAAATGTTCACTTTTGCCCAATCGAGCGCATCTTTGTGGCAAAGCTGCTGGGCGCAAGTATCAATGATCCCGGCCTCACTCGATTCCTCGATGTGACAGACTTGGTACGATGTTCTTCCTCGGACTCCCATCCTGTTTCTCCTGCATGTTTTCTTGCATCAGCAATGATTTTATTTTTACTTCCCATTTCAGCAAGTTTACATCCGTTCTTCCTCATTCGATATGATTGCCATCTAGCATGCTGTCTGTCTGCTAGGGTTGCGGTGGGCAATCAATCTCACCTGAAATGAGTACTGACTAATGCTGTTGCAAAGCAGGTGTGCACTGATGAGGAGCGAGAGGTGCTGCTGGGCAAGATCAAGGAGTTCCTGACCAGCCTGAAGAAGCAGCAGTATGGCAAGCACATTGTCCTGCGCATTGAGAAGCTGCTCGCAAATGCAGCAGAGTGGATTGCCAAGGTACACTGCATGGCCTATGAATTCCGTTTCATGTACATATAGTGCAGGGATGCCCTGTGATCACTTCACCCCATGAATGTCACAAATCCACCCTCGTTTGCAGCACATTACATGAGCGAGCCCTTTGCCTGAGATCCCTCCCTTGCTGGAGTCATGACTCTTGTTGTAGCACATGTTCTTGGCCACATTTCTTCTCTTGCATGTGTGACTGTAATCACTCATTCACTCATATTGCAGCCTGTAAGCATAATGCCACGTCATTCTCCATGTCATGTCATATCCGGACCCACATGCCACATAACCATTTGCCCTTTGGCTTGTTCTGGAATGTCACAACTCGCTATAATCACAACTGGGTCACCAAGGGCGCGGTATAACTGAGCAGCAATACTATTTTGCTATTCTGTACCCAACCTATTTCTCTATGCCTGCAGAGGAATGCTGAAACGGAGAAGCGCGGTGCAGAGACAGGCTCACCCCACAGCGAGGATGTGCACGACGCCTTTGAGCAGCTGTCCATTGCTCCGGAGACCCCAGAGAGCGGCCCAGGGGAGGTCACAGCTCCCCCTACCGTTCAAACGTAGGCAGACAAGATGCCAGCCGCTGCTCACCTGACAGGCATGGCTTGTGCATCCACGTGGAGGAATCTTTGTGGGTGCAGACGGGCCCTGATGCAGGCGGTGGCTGACAGCAGCTCCCTAATGGTGCTCGGGCCGTGTACTTGGGTAATAGGCATGTGCTGCAGCCTCAATTGAAGCTTGAGCATCGACAGGGTTGGGGCATTGAGAGCATTACTGCTGCGCGTCTCTGTTGTGGCTTAGTCTCTGTTGTGGCTTAGGAAGGGGCAATAACAAGTGCCGATTGGGCAGCAGCAGGGGCTGTGCTGCAGAGTGTATGAGGAGGCTGTGATACTGAAGCGCAAGGAATGTGGCAGAGTTGGCAAGGCAGGTTGCAGGTTGGGAACTTGAAAGTGGGCACTGGAGGGATGGTGTGAATAGTTTGCAGTTTTTTGTTTTCTTCGAGTGCAGATTTCAAACAGATAGATGCTGTGTGAGAGGCCACAGCCTGGAGTTGAAATGGAGATACCTCCTAGCAATCTTTGAGAATACACGACCTGGCTCTGGCTCAACACACGGGCCTGGCGCACATCTATCCTTCTTTGATTCCAGGCAGCCAGAAGAGAGTTTTGTGACACAAGAGCGGTGAGGCACGCTGGGTTGAGGCATTGCAAGCGCTTCTTACTTGGTGTGCATTTCAGTTTAGTCCGTGTATGTTTGTCCTGACTGTCTTACCTTTCACCTTTTCGTTCTGTGTGAGGCCATCACTCTGGGGTCGGCTTCTATCTGGGCAGTCAATTCGTGACTTTTGCCCCTGCGCTGCAGCTCAGTCCAGAATGTTCTAGGCCACACAGGTCACACTTCACAGTGTTAGATGTGCCGTCTAGGCTAATCCTGCAGCCATAGATGCGCCTCCTCCTTGGAGTATCCCCCGTTGCTGGAGGGTCTGTAACAGTCTGTGTGGAGGTTGACCGCCGGCCCTTGTTGCATCACAAAAGAAGGAACAGCGCCATGCTCATGCAGCAGCCTGAGCTTTTGCATCACAGTACCTTACAGCCAGCATTCGAATGCAAATTTGCAACCTACAAATTGGCGTCAAGAGGCACCAGCGGGTAGTACCCGCTGCAGCTGCTGCCCATGGCAGGTGAATGCATGCATGCACTGAAGAGCTGGCTGACACTGCACACCTGCAGCATAAGCATGCTGGGGTTGAAGACGCGCGACGTGCTTGTGCATGTCCATCATGCATGTGTGGCCACCTCAGCTGCTTTCAGGATAGACACGTGGGCCCACATGCCAAGAAATTCGATTCGATTGTTTCGTCCAAACGCTGGATCCGGGCAAAAGATAACAATACGGTGAGAATTGACAAGATGTTTGGAAAGAGCGTTCACTTTACACCTGAACTTTGCAGGGAAGACTGCAAAGTCTTTTCTTCTGCAAAAAGTGTGAAAAGACGGCGTCTTTCTGTTAGTCAAGCCCAGGTGAATTTGCTTCTCCTGTTCTCGTATGCTTCAGCTTCAAATGCCCCAAATTTTCTATTCATGCTCAGACCACAATTTCTCTAGTCTCTTGGGAACTTTGAACGCCGAGCAAGGATCGAGTTCAGAATTCCTAACAGCATTGCCTACAAATGCCAGCAAACGCGCCACTTGATGCAGTGCCAAATATATGCAAATGCGTGGCAAAAAAGTCCAGAATGTTAGGCGGGATGTGCGCAGGCAGCATCTGGTTCTCAAGGGCTTGCAAACTTTTCCAACGGCGTTGGCACAGCACTTTTCAGAAGCCAGAATGGGTCCGTTGCGAGCATTGAGGTCAATGAATCGCAAGATGTGAAGGTCAGCATTCATCTCCTTCCAGCATCTGCAACAGGATGGAGACATGCATGCTTGGATTTTGGATGTGCTCCCATTTTTTGTGTTGCCACAGTAATTCTGATTTATTGCTTGACAGCAGATGGCTCTCAGTGGCGCCCTCTCCGGCGTGGCTTCGTTCACAGGAGGCAGCGGCTCTGCATCATTCTGTGCTGCAGCAGCTCCAAGGCACGTCTCATGTGAGAAAAAAACAGTGCATCTAATTGGTGGACGCAGACTGCTTGCAGCAAAGGGAGGATTCAGTCGAGACTGTGGCGCAGGAAGGAAGCATCTCAGAGCTTGACGCAGCGTTTGAAGGTGTATGGCTTGGCTGGCGTTGTGGCCTATGGGCTCCTTAACACAGTGTACTACACGGCGATGTTCACTTACATGTGGACTGTTGGCTTCAAGGTCCCTAGAGGTCTGCAGCATACCCCTTCACGGCCTGTCTTAGCACGGTTGTCAATTGCTATTTTCAGTCACAGCATCAAGGCAAAAAGCGAAGGTGGAGGCATGCTTAGATAGAACTCGGGTCGATGTGGCATGTGCAGGGCTGGGCTATGCTGAAGCAGCGAGGAAGCTTGTGGAGGTGCTTGGCATCACATGGGCAGGCAGTCAGCTCACAAAGGTGCAGCTCTTACATGATAAATACACACTTGCATGGGCAGAATTTTATCTTAAGTTATATTACACATATGCAGACCCCAACTTCGATGACCAGTCTTCTGCAGGCAAGAGGACCTCTCTCAATAGCTTCCAGGTGTCGAGTTGCAGGATTGAGGTGTCGCTGTGTTCTCCTATTGTAGGGTGGTCCACATTTAGGTGGTAGTTGCTTTGTCAGTATCTCGAAAGGTGATGCATGAATATCATGTGTGCCTGCGAGCAGGCTGCAAGAGCCGCCGGTGCACTGCTGCTGGCACCTGTGGTGGACAAGGGCCTGGGAGCATTCCAGCGTGCCCTGCACCTGAAGTCGAGGAGGACCGCTTTCCTATACATAGTGGCGTTATGCCTGGGACTCACTGCTGCCCTCTTTGGCACTGTGGTTGTTGTGCACGCCTAATGTTCTGCTTCAATGCCAAGGACATGACGTTCTGAAGAGACCTTTAAATCTTTGACTCTGTCTGGGGTTTGTTACAAGGGTCTGAAGTGGATCTCAAACTGTTTTTGCTGCTGCTTTGTTTGCAAACGAATGTCTTTGTGATTGCTGACCAACCCACCCAATCCAATTGCGACCATGTCATCACTGATGCACTGAATATACAATGGTGCGTTGGCTGTTGAGGTGTCAAGCTGCGCAGCTCCTGAAACCCTGCTTATGTCTCGTCGGCGCCTAGGCTGATTGCAAAGCACCAGCTACTCTGTTCTCAATCACTTGCGCCATGAGGGGATCAATACCTGCATGCGTGCATCAGCTGTCAGCCAAATTCATCAGGCAACTCACAACCCTGCAGTGACAGGGGCAAATTTATTGCAGCTGGGAAAAGATCATACCAATTGGCTCTGCGATGACACACTCCACTTCCGGGTGTGCTTTCTGCGCCTCTGCCACCAGAGCAGGGATGTCTGATGTGATGTGGCGGCCGCGTGACAAGAAGTATGGCGCGATCACGATTTTCCTGAAGCCCTCCGATGCGCATCTGGACACAGCAGTACCTATGCTGGGTTCTGCCAGTTCCATGTGCGCAATCTCCACCCTCTGTCGACTGCTGAGATTCCTGTGAAAGAACAGACACCAGAACTCGTTTAGCATAGCCATTTCAAAGGTCCGGCAGGCTCAGCTATTTCAGATCCGAATTGCTCCTGCTCGCCTGTACAATGTTGCAAATTCCTCTAGCATCTCATTGGCTTCCGCCCGCTTCGATCCATGATCGACTAGCACTACTGCCACATCATCTGCTGTCGGTGATGACACCGCTGATGCCATCGTCTTCAGGCTTATTCGACAAGCTCTGCCAGCCTGCCCTGATCTGCAAGTTCTGCGTAATCTTCCGTTCTGCTGGCTGTGCAGTGCTGCTCGAGCCTGTGTAAATTTCCTAGCAAGACACAATGTTCTGCACTGTGTCAACTGCGTGCACCGATCAGGATGCTCTGCGAAGGATTGTGCAGAAGAGTTGGGGAAGCTAAGAGAAATTTGGAAAGTGGTACGCATGCTAAAATGGACACTCAGGAGACCCACTTCAATAATTTACTGAGAAATTTACGACGTCAATGTTGATGTGCTTCTCAATGTTCGGTTGCCCTTACCACGTGGGTTTGCCCTGTGCTCTTACGTGAGTGTGTGTAACGCTTCGGGTGCGATATTGGATCTAAAGCAAGTTTCTGCGCAGCCATATGTCAAGTAACGTGTTGATAGAAGACAGCAATCGAATAACTCAGAAATTAAGCGTTTCACTGTCGCGAGTGATCTCATCAGGGCTTTCTTCGGACTGACAGAGCCCATTGGTTTTGTCGGAAAACTTTGGTGTGCCAGAAAGAGCAGAATCTGGCGAGCCAGTGGAATGTAAAATGTCGAACTTATTTCAAAATTGAAGGAATTTAGGAGGTAGAAACGCAAGGACGCAATTATGACGTCTGAGTTGCCCCTGATGAGGACATCTTCTGAAATAGCGTCTGCCACTCAGCGGCGCCCACTGGACCGTGTGAGAACGATGTCGCTTGAGAATCTAAACTTGAGACAGCTGACAGACACATCCAGCCCACATATAAGCCCCAGAAGCCCGCGATCCAGCACTTCTATGTCGTTCCCCGGTACGCTTTTTGGTACCATACCCATTCGGCAACAATGGACGCTCTAGCAATAATTTTAAGCGTTGCTGCGAGTTTAAGGGTCGATCTGCCCTCTGCAGACGTTGTGATGCCGCAAATAAGCATGGACACAGCAATGGACTTGGTAATGCGGTTGCTGGACGACATTGAGGCTGGAACCACTATCAGCCCAGGGCGAGTGAGCCACCTGCGCAAAATGCTCCTGCGCACAGAAGGCGAGTGATTCACCCTACCAGCAACCGAGAAAGGACTGTTGCTCTGCGTGTGCTTCATCCTGATGCACGCCAGGCAATGGCACAATGCTACTATGCCGCCAACTGAGCTCAAAGGCACCAAACTGCCATGGTGCCTTGCTCGCTGATATGCGTTGCCTGCAAGCAAATCTTTCGGCAGGCAACTTGAAGCAGCCAACCCGCTTTATACATGCAACACAATTATATTTTCACCACTCTGCCTGAATCTCCACCGCTGTAAAGCAACAAAAAGGGTTCATCAGCAAAATCCCCGACCTGAGGCTTTTAGGAAGCCACAAGCCCCAGTCCGCGAGCGTGCCCTGTCTCTTTAATGGCACTGGAGCGTGAGTGAGAGATTTGGCATGTGCGCGCAGATCTGCAGCAGCCGCTGGAGCTGGAGGGCCTGCTGCGGCGGCACAGCTCAGCCTCCTACACCGGCTCCAACGTGCTCAGCCTGATCGAGACGCGCTGCCCCTCCATGGCAGCAACCTCACTCTCCGGCTTCTGGGGCCTCCCTCGCACACGCACCTCCCCCCTGGCTTCCCGCTCCCAGAGTTTTGCAGTGAGCCACGGCTTTGTGGGCTCGGTGGCGACGGCTGGCGGCGGGGAGGGCAGCGACAGCGGCCCCAGCAGCGGCCGGTCCTCCTTCAGTAAAAGCCGCTCGCAAAGCTTCGCCGGGCAGGGCCTGTCGGGTGCGCGCTCTGCTCCCTATCGCTATGCTTTGATGATTGCAAATTAAGTGCGCTTGCATTCTTGAACACATAACAGCATCGCAGTCAAAACGCACCATTCTCTCTAATCAACACCTTCAAAAGCTTTCAGGAAAGCCATAGGCCATAGGGCGTACGTGCTTATGTTTTCAGTGTTCTCCCTCAGTATTCTGGTGTATCACTCCTGTGAGAAAAGGATAAATTACAGCAAAGCACCACCGCTCTGCATATCAGTAGCATGCAACAGCAATGGCCACAATGAGCCCTGCAGACAGAGTCATGCTTGTCTTTGCACCCTGTCTTACATGCCTCATGGTAAAATTTGGTCGAGCTAAATTCTGGGGTGAGTGATGCCGCAGAAATACATTATTACAGATGTGTCTCTGCAAGACGTTGTCACTTAGAAGCAATAGTGAGTTGTAACATGTTCAATGCAGTGCCCCTGGGGGAGGGGGGAGACCAGAAGAAGAGCCTGCGGATGTCCAACGCACGGCTGCAGTCCGGCATGATCCGCAGCTTCATCCGAGCCACCGCGCAGCCGCTGCCGCCCGTCTCCGAAGCCACCGGCCTCACCCCAGCCGCCAGCGCCGAGCTCGCGCCAAACACCCCTGCCGGGGTCAACCCTGCCGGGGTCAAACCTTCATACCCCCGCCTCAGCGATGCAAACCCCTCAGGGCCCCAAGCCCATGAAGGCCACAGCTTCTTGGACAGCGGGAGCCGCAGCAGCAGGGCATCTAGACACTCTCGCAGCTCGTCCAGCTCTGCAGATATTGTCCAAGCTGCAGTGGACAGCGCAAGCAAGTGGAGGAACTGGGATGCTCAGGCAGCCTCGCTCTCAGAGGAGACACCAGGCACACCAGTGAATGGGGGCAGCACAGCACAATCTTTAGAGGAGCAGCAGGAGCAGCCCTGTGCGGGTGCTTCCAACGGCCACGGCGAGCCGCATGTGCTGCGCTCTCTGGTGACTCGCGTGGAGCGGCACTTGGCTGAAGCTGACCAGTGGGGATTCGACACTATAGAGCTCGATGAGGTGAGTGCCCATGCACATGCATGCGTACAAAAGTGGCTATGTCTTGAAGCTTCATTGCTATGCAAGAATGGTGCTGCATAATATGTCACATCCTTGCCGTGTAGAATAAATCTGAATCCATTTGCTTTGAGTGACCTCAGCACTGTTCGAATGGCTGGCCGCTTGAATCTTCATCTGGCTCTGTAGTGGGGAGTCTGTTGTAAGATCTCAATTTGCAAGTGTGGGGTTGCAGGCCACAGGTGGGCGGCCGCTGTCGTGCCTGGCCTTCTTTCTGATCCAGCAGCAGGGCATGATTCCTGCCCTGCGCCTGGATGAGCAGCGCCTCGTCAACTTTCTTCTCGCTGTGGAGGACCTATACGGACCCCACCCATACCACAACAGGCCCGTAGTGCCCGCATGCTCCGCACATGTCAATCGAGCTGCGTGCTCTAACACTTGCAGCAACCTTGAATGGTGCAAGCTATAAGCCGATGTGCAAATGCATCATTGCTCAGAAGCATGTACTGCAGCTCGTGAGGATGCAGGTCATGTGCAATGATCTCATGTGGTTGTGATGATTGCTGCAGGGCTCATGCGGCAGACGTGTTGCAGACAGTGCATGCAATCCTGTTCCAGGGCAACCTTGTGAGGAGCAGTATTGTGAGCCTGTCAGAGGCGCTTGTCAGCTACATAGCTGCTGTGGTTCACGATGTAGAACACCCAGGTATACCTAATTATGAGTCCCAGTCCTGTCTATCCTTGCCTTAATCTGTGAAGCAAGTTGCTGACATCACCTGCTTGCAGGGCTGCATGCTTGCTTGCTATTGCATTATGCACCTGCATGTAAAATTCAATCATGCCTGTGGCATGCAGGTCTTTCCAATGACTGCCTTGTGGAGTCCTCAGACACTCTGGCCATAAGGTACAATGACAGATCCGTCCTTGAGAACCACCATTGCTGTACCTTCACTAGGTGAGCTTTCTTTCAGTCCCCAAGACTGTTTGACCTCACACTCTCTTGAAAGTCCATAGCAGCAAGGCACACACAAATGTATGAAAACAGTGTCTACTGTTTTCTAAGTGCCATTGGTCATGCCTATGACTGGGGAGAAACGAGAAGAGTGGAAAGCAATACGACAGGTGTTGCTTAACGTGCCTGGTCCTTAGGAACGGAAAACCTTTGATAATAATAATAAAAACAATTTTAATTTTAATTGTTTGATCACGTCTCAGGACTCATTGCTTCCATGGATTCCATGCCATGATGTATTCACATGGCTCTGATGTACTGCGCAGCATAATGAAGAGCGAGGAGGGGAGGTGCAATTTTCTGGTGCACAAGCCGAGGGGCGAGCAGCAGCGCTTCAGGGCCCTGCTCATGGAGATGGTGTTGGCCACAGACATGAAGCAGCACTTTGCGCTCATCAGCCGCTTCAAGACTCTCATCACCAACAGCCCCCTGGCTGCCGGCTCCGAGCTGACAGACAGTGAGTCACTGTCCTGACACTTGCTAAGAAAATAGCGTAAAGAAGTCCTCTTGCTAACTCTGCAGAGTGTTTTGTTTGACTAACATGGGGAGTGCTGCATACATTCCCGGCTAGAAAAGGGGACAATGGCCTGTCATAGTTGCAATGCATGTGATGTGAACCAAAGAGACAGGATGTACATAATCATGCCTGGTCAAAAACAAGAATGACAACTCTTTTGCAAACTTCTCCCATAATCTTGAACAGGAAGCCATGAAGGCATAATGTACAGGAAATGAAGCTAAAAATGGCTCTTTATGGCTCTCATGCTGCCAGCTTGAGGCTGCGTGTGTGAGCGCAGAACATGAGGTGGCGGACCTAAGGCGTGCTGACTCGCTGCATGGGCTGGTACAGCTCAGCAGCCGCATGAAGTCCATCAAGGGACTCACCAAACCCGTGCCAGCTGTCAGGTGCCCCTTTTCTGCCTCAACACTGCCAGCCTACCTCCATGATGGCACACCTCTGTGAATATCCAATTCAGAAGGCTTCCAACTCAACAGTGCTGAGCAGGATATTTAGGAGTGGGGGAAATATTGAGAGGATTGCGGCATGCAAGTGCCCTGTCCGGGCTGCATCCCGCTGGGGTTGCTGATGTTGCACTTGTGATTCACAATTAGGATTGATCTGAGATATCTTTTGAATTTCTGATTCTGGGTGCGCAGGCTGCCGGATGAGCTGAGCGAGGCACAGAGGACTCTGGTGTTCCAGATTGTGCTCAAGGTGGCTGACCTGGGCCACCTGACTGCACCCATGCCCATCCACAAGGCAAGTCAAAATCCCCTCATCAGCGCCCCCAATCTTGTGAGACATGTCAAACATTAAGCCATGCAGTCACTGTCTGTGTCCCTCTGTCTTGATGGGACTCTGCCAAATGTGAGGGATGGCTTTGAGTAGTTTTGTGTGCGGCTTGCGCAGAAATGGCTGGACGGATTGGAGCAGGAGTTCTTTGAGCAGGGCGATCTGGAAGCCAGGCTTGGGCTGCCCATCACGCCCTTCATGGACCGCTCCCTGCCAGGCATCTCCACCCGCCAGGTGATCCCCTGCATGGAACGCCATGGTGCAGCTCGTTCCTTGCCTCTCCATTTTGCCAGAATGACAGCTACAGGAGCTCCTCTCCTTGGAAGGTCTGGTGTGGTCTCGTGAGTGATGCGAGGGTTTTATCATTTCTCAACCCTACCCTACTTCAACAGGGGAAATTGGGTATCAAGCCAGTGATGATGTTCAGAAATCCCTTGCTGGGCTCATGCACGGTGCTCTTAACAACATGCAGAGATGTCAGTCAGTGAGCAAGTCTTCAGGCAGTCAAATTCCTCCAGACCAACTTGGACACTGATCTGTGGCCTGCAGCCAGGGACCTTGGCTGATCTGCTACTGCTGTGACTCACAGCATGTGTCACGGCGACTCACATTACGTGGGTGTCTGGCGCGCAGGTGGATTTCTTCAAGCTGATGGCGATGCCGCTGTTCACAGCATTTGTGGTGGCCTTCCCGGGCTGCCAGCCGCTGCTGGACGGCATGATGGCCAACTACAGCCACTGGTGCGGCGTGGAGGATATCTGCGGGACACCCCCCAGGCCGCCCAGTGGCCCTGCCCTTCAATCCACCTCAGACACCCTCAGCCCCACCCGCCTCAGACCTTCCCCTCCCCAGGCTTGACGCCAAGCGCCGGCATTATCATTATTGACAGTATTATCATTATGCACTACTCTTGCCAGAGGCCGGCAGTGCCGACGTTCACTACTATGATCTTCATGTCATTTGGCGCATATCCTGCTAAGAGGAAAGGTGCCTCTGCAGTCAAGCTTGCACTCAAAGGCTGCCAAAATCCTACACTTCGCTGGACTCGCCAGATCCAAGCAAGACCCAGTCAAACGTGGGCACGGTGCTGAGTTTTTATAATGCCTCGAGCCAGCCGGGGGCCAAGCTGTTCAAAAATGGAGAAGGACATTACATGTGTGCCAGACCACCAAGGATCAAAAGGTTTTGTGGGTGCCCCATCCCATCTGTACCCCTTATGTGAATCACTGAATCCTGACTTCATGAGCCCCTCATAATTTGAGGCACCTGTAGAAGATCGAGTTGACAGTGCAGCTGTGCTGACACTGGTTGGCCACGGGGACTTAACTGCCTCAACTGTGGAGTTGGTCACAGTGCGAAGCTGGGTGTTCTGTGAAGATCCCGGGGCCATTGATATATTGACAATGCCATTTTTGACTCCGCCGTGTTGGAGATGATGCATGTTCTGACCATTGCAGTGCGCACTTTGCGTGTGGCACGTACTTCTGAGCAGCTCCTGCGGGGTGTGCCGGCAATGCTTTGTGGCATGATAAAGAGTCTCCGGGGTTTGGACCAGCCATGACAGCCTTTCATCATTATGAGGCGTTTTGTTCAGATCTGTTGCAAGAAGACTCCGTTCGGAGGTTTCTGATTGGATTTACCGTTCGGTGATGCTGGGGTGGAATGGCTAGTCTTGAGTTCTGCACTGGTCAATTATGGCTAGATTGATGGCCAAAAAACACATTCTGTGTTTGAAGTGATGTCAATGCAAGCAGTGTCGATGCAGTCATTTGACAGTCAAATGGACTTAGTGCATCTGCAAGCAGAGCCTTGTTGATGTCACAAGATGCTTCTGCTCTGACATCATTACAACAAGCCTCAGACCACAAAAAACAAGAAAAACATGTATATTACCTGTGATTATGTCAAAAATTACTGATAACAATCATGTATAGATAATACACCCTTTCCTCGTGAGGTCCCAAGAAGCTATCCGTAACAAGACCAGCCCCATCAGGAAACAATTCTTGCAAGGAAATTTTTATTTCTCGCCACTCCCTCTCCCAACATGTACACCTTGCACCCCTTATATATGCAGCTGGATCATGCCATCCTGAGCTCATGAGACTTAGGCAACGGCAAGACAGCTGCAGCCAGATCACAACAAAACGCAATGCTGCTCAACCAGTGTGCAATTTGTTATACACCGGCTAAGGTTTAAGCACCGGAAGATTGGCCACTTCAAGCCAGAAGGGCCTACAAGGATTATGGCACTTCCAGTCCTAGCTGTCCAAAAAAGCTCAGTCCCAGTGTACACTTTTTCAACAGATTCCTGTCCAACAAGTAGCCGCTGCGCAGCTGCTGAGGTCAGCAAAAAGCTCATTAGCAGACAAAGAGAGATCCGCATGTAGCATGCTCAATTTCAGGCCATACTTCGGTCCTCGCTCTAGTACAAGTGTGCCACGCTGTGAAAGTCATGGAGAAAATTTGTATGTACTCACCATAAACAGTACTGTACAAGTTCCTTCACCATTTCCAACCCGCAGTGCAGTTCGTCTCCGCTCCTGACTTTGGGTTGATCATGAACAAGGCAGTTCAGCAAGCTTGGGGAGCGTGAGCAGCAGCTTCACTGGAAGAACTTGTAGGTGCTGGCGCTCTTGATGATGCCACGCATGCCTCCGATGGAACCTGCAGCCACATCTTACTCAGTCTCACTTGTTGTGCAACCACAGCACATTCTGCTACATGCTCCCGACACATCACAGCAACTTCTCTATCCTCCCTTTCCTGCAGAACTCAATAGCCCACCTGTGCTGCCCACAACATGCACCGGGTGGGAACCACATTTCCAGCAATCTACTCAGTGTCGTCACTGTCTCATGAACTTCAGTACTTCCCCTACAGAAGGGGGATTTTATGGGAGGTGTGGTCTCAGGAGAAGCTCGCACCGAAGATGGTGACGATGAGGCCGTAGATGATGCAGAACCAGCTGGCCCACCAGTGGCCGCTGTTGATCTTGGGCTTCTTCACAATCAGGTATATGATGGGGGGCATCCAGAACGTTGTGGGGCCCTGCGCGCATTTTGCAAGAGGTCAGATATCCGTACGCTCTATTGCGAGCTCACAAAAGCCAGCCTGGCCCAACATCAAGATTGTTCGAGAGTGCAGAATAAAGGTAGGATACTCACAAAGGCGAAGGCTCCAATAAAGCCCTGCACAGCACAACAACAAAGTCAGAAACAGTTGGCAACCATTTCTGAGGAACTAGCACGCAAGGAAGCGATAGACAGGACATAGCAGTGTGCCAGGTCAATTGAATAAGCCCAGTGCCGCTCTGGGTCTGCTCTGTCCAAAAGCAGCTGTAGATGCGCACCAGGAGATCCCTGCAAGCACAAACGTTTTGAGGTCAGGACTTGCAAATAAGCATCAGTCAGAGCTGAAAGCATGAGACAAGTGCAAGGGTCTCATGTGTTTCCAGGGGCTCACCCAAAGAAGGGAAGCACGATGGCCACGAATGCCACGATGATGACATAGACGCTGCGGTACAACAGGCGCATGGGCAGGGCATTGCTGATGCCTGACATCACCATCCTGGTCTCAATCATGTCAAATACCTGCACAGAGCGCCCAAACACAGTTAATGACAGAATTTAAGACTTTGTGTCATGTTCTCTGTCACCCCACACTTGTTTTGTAATCCACGTCCACTCCCACTAGGGCAGGGGAATACCTAATCCCACAGGACACATACAGAATCCCCCTCATCAATGTCAGAACCTGACCTGTCACCCAGTCCCTCTTCGCCGGTCCGGTAAAGCATCACCAGCATTAAAATCACTTGCCGCTTGGGAGAGGAACAGGTACAGGGAGGGGTGCACACCGGCATGGAGTACACTTGGAAACTGCCGATGACGTGGATGACCACAAAGAGGTCAGCAGCAATGATGAGTCCGTTGGGAACGGTGTCTTTCAGAGCACTGGTCAGGAGCACGTTGTCTGCGACGTTGATACCAAACGCCCAGTACCCAGTAATGGAAACAGCAAAGTAGCACCTGTGACAGATACTCCTCCCAAGATCAGCAGGGTGCAGCAGCACAAGTAATTTGGGGTTCATGAATTGGGCTGCAGCGCTTTCAGGTATGCACAGCAGGAGGAAGATTGGGACTCACCAAGCAACAAGTGCATAGGCGACGTAGACACCAGCCATCATGGGCTTGAAGGTGTCGGGCGGAGAGGGCAGCGTTGCCTGCACAGCAGTGTACCCCTCAGTCGCAGCATCAAAACACTCCTGACACATGCCTGATTACAAAGGACGAGTTTCAAACGAATTGTAAGTGGGTCGCAGGGCCTGACACTCACCTGGATCTCAAGCACAACATTGTGTCCTCCATACCTGCATGCATAATGATTGCTTGTCAAGTCTTGACAATGACAGAGGAAGCCAGACAAGGAAAACAGAAATTGCAGGCAGTGACAAGACGAGCCACGTGTGGAACGAACATCTCTTCGGCAAGCATACACGTAACAACGGCTTGATATGCAACTGAGCAGGAGACGGAACACTCACGCAAAGGCAACAGTGCCCAGGGCACTGAAGACACCGAACACCTTGTCGGCAGTGTCCTTTGTGTCAAGGTTGTAGTAAGCGTCAGGCTGACGGCCAGAGGCAATGGATGCCCCCACAGCGATCGTGCTGTATGCGAGTGACATGATTGCTGCCGCGAAGGACACCACACGCAGGCTGTTGAAGTTGGGGCACTGCACACACGAACACACTGCACTCTCCTGTCTACTGTAGTTACACTGCATTATACAGCTACCGCCATGATGCGTCAAGAAGATATCAGAGCAGCTGGTGCAAGGATAATGGGGAGATGAAAAGCACAGACCGACCTGAGAGAGGAAGAGCTGTGCGCCGGCAAACACAACGATCCATGCAGACAGCCCAAATGCCGGGCAGGGCTTGTTGCACAAGAACTGCCACACAGCCTGCATGCTCTTGCCTGTGCAAAATCACATTGAAGTTTCATGCGCCTGAGTAACACTGATGCGCTCAGTACACCTTGCTTGCAAGATCAAACGCAGATCAGATGGGTGGGCATGAGTGATTTTTTCTACGTGGGACATCAAACCACAACATCTTTCAAGATGCGCAAATTGCTGCAGCAGGCTTCTGCTGTCAAGTAACAGGCTGCCGAGAACACACCTCCGGTGACACAGTACACGATGGCCAGCCCAATCATGACGATGAGTTGGAAGGGGATGACAAACCACAGGCCTCTCTTCTGCCCGAAAGCGTACTGCACACCAGCCACACACCCAATCAAACTCAGAAATCCCCTCGGGTAAACTCGGCGCATGGGAACGCTTTGTTAACAAAGCGTTTTACACAGGTACAAGGCTGTGTGGGGGTCAGGAAATTTGCTGCAGATGTGACAGAGTCACATGAGCAAGGCCGCAGCATGTTCACATAGTTGCTTGATGGTAGGCTTGCGCCTTTAGCTGCACAATTGACCATGTCTGATGATAAGAGCAAGACGAAGAAGACAGTGACTCACCTGGCCTAATTCGTGGTAGCGGTTGAAGCGTTTGCCGTTCATCTCGTGCATGGAGCACAGCTGCCACAGCGTGTACAGCGTGATGATCCAGGAGGACACCATGATGAACTGCGCAGCATCAATGCACACAAATCACTCCAGGGGAGGATATCTACATCATTCAATGTTCCTGACCCCGGGGATCATTGTACAGTTGTTCATGATATGCACTTGCGTGTCAGGCCTTTCTCCTATCTGCTGGCGCTCGCTCTGCCTTGATGTCTGCATTCCTCTCCATCTAATCATTTGAGCGGCTTTGTGGCACAATTATGCATGGGCAGCAATATCAAGTCCCCTGCACATCTAGAAGGGATGTAACAGGCAGGAGAGAGGTCCACACCATGCCACCGCCCCATCCCAGGTACGCCATAGCTGAAGGAAGGCCCAGCACTCCAGCGCCGACCTGGCAAGATGCTCACGCCAATCAATAGACAGCTCGCAGGCAAGGGGCATGCAGGTGCATCAGGCATGCCCTGATGCATGACCGGTTGCACGTTGAAGCTAAGATGAAACTTGTTACAGTGCAAATTCTTGTTCAAGGGGGAGCGCACCATCGCTGTAACATTGTGGAAGGCAGAATACCACCTGTTGAAAACACAAGCCGAAAATCAGTGTAACACTGTACTCTCAGAGGACTTGTACTGTCCCACCTTCTGCAGATCCCATTGATCCAACAAAGAGAGGCCAACAGACAACCCCACAAAGTAATATGATGATGCATCCTGAAAACAGAGATGACAATATAAATGGTCTGAATGTGTCCGCCCTAATGTTTAAGCCAAATTGGACGGTGCCCAATTGGACTGTGGACTTTGCTAGGGTTTGGAATTTGACGTCTCGAGAAGAGCTCTTCGCCTCTTAGCAATAGGACACATCTTGCAGAAACTGGGATCGCACCATTTCCCTGTGCGGTCTCCCGTAATCGGAAGTTTATATTCCTGCGGACACAGCACCACCACTAGTGAGTACCTTCTTAAAACCCAAGCTCAGGAAGCCAAGCACCTACACAAATGGCCGGCTGGCTTTGCCATGCCAGCGGTCGTATCCCTGCAGGAGGTGAACGTCATTCTGACGCTGCATTTCAAGCGAAAACAGTTTTTTCACACCTGATCGTACTTGTTGAGATGGCCCAGCGGTTCTTTGGCATTTCCATTCTCATGGCCGGTGTCTGGTGCAGCTTTACCCTCGACGTCGGCCATGTTTCCTCGTCCAAAAACAGATATTTGTTATGTAGCGACACTTTGTATGCGCCGCAATCCTCGATCGATTAGTTTCCAAGTCGATTTTACGTCTTTAGTTCCGCATAATCGTAGACTAGATTGCCAAATCTGGACTGTGACAAGGACAGGGTACCATGAACAAGGGTGGTGCCCTAATCACTGCTGAAACACATAAATGTGCAGCATATAAATATGTTCCACAACAGCTTGGGCGTAAGGACCTACCATTCCCTGGCTGTCCTGCATGATTACCAAGCAGGCAATCATAATACCCCAAGTTCTCCGGAAACCTGCTATTGTTGAGACGCACTCACAGCGCGTCCCTGCATGTCGACATGTCATCATGATGCCAGTGGGGTCCTGCACTTGGAAGTGTCATACGCATCGGTGAGTCATGAATGAAAGATCTGACGCAGCAGGTGCTGGAGCTGTCTGGGCATGTACATGTCAGGTGCCCATTGTGCCATACAGCCGCCGCAGCGGCAATACTGTCACAGCACAGTGCCGCAATGAGACAGTTGTTTTGACAGCATGCTGCACAGCAATTCCTACACTGTATCAGATCGGCCTCAGATTTTTTTGCACAGGGTATGACCTCCCAGCCACTATCTTGAACTGGCCGCACTGGCTACACTGCCATGCTTCAACATGCGGTGCTGGGGCTGCCGCAGCGGGAGCACTGTGCAAGGGCTGCAACCTGCAGGCTTTGGGCAGCTGCTCATGATTAAATAGTATGCCAGCTACTTATGACTCATGATAATGACAGCTGCTCATGAGTCACTGCGCACGCCTGTCACCAGGGCCCACTTGCCCTCGGACGCCACCTCGAACTCGGCAAAGAACGGCTCATAGACATCCTTCACTGCCGCCCACTGCTCTACCAGTATGCCGGACAGAAGGATCACGCCATTGGGCTTCAGATAGCTCGCCAGCCTGGGACCCAACTCCAGCAGAGGTCCCTGCAAACCACACCCCAAAAGACTCAATGGTGTGAGATTAGTTGTATCAGTGATTGAGCACCGCTCCTGTAAGGCGCTCGTCCACCTACAGCTACACAGCTGTCCGAGCAGTCTTACAGGCATTTACTGCTGATGATTAAGCCACTGTCACAAACACTTTCAGGGCATTGGGCGGTATGTTCCACTTGATGGGCCGAACTGGGCTTCGCGCTGCCTTCGCAAGATCCAGCAGATTTTAGAGGCTCTCCAGTGGACGATATGCAAATCGTTAGCCGCTGAGCAGGTCTGCCTATGTTTCATTGCGAAGGTGAGCTACAGATATACTGTAGATGCACACCTGCAAAATGTTGGCTACGCACACGTCGAAGGATGCTTCCACATCGGCAAGACCCGCCGCGGCCAGCGGCTCGGGGCTGTCGGGAGAGGCGCCACACTGCTCCGTCCGGAAACTGGCCGCCACTCCGTTAAGGCCCGCGTTAAATTTCGCAGAATGCACTGCCAGCGCGTCTGTGTCCGTACCCAGCGCCTCTGACGCGCCCATCTTCAGCGCAGCTATGGCCAGGACTCCCGAGCCTGCAAAACAGTATTTACAGCTCATTCAGTCATACCATCTTTGCATGTTCTGCATCCCTACCATACAGCAAGGAAAGGAAGAAGGCATAATGGCAGCGACCATGCTTTCTCCATCTGCCAGTAGGAAGCTTGAGAGTCACATCTGCATCCGCATGATACACACAATTACATGCAGAGAAGTCGAGACGGACTGCAACAATTAGAGCAGGACTGACCTGTGCCGTAGTCGATAACTCTTTTCCCAGCAAGCGGCAGACGCGCGAGGGCTTTCAGGCATAGGCGAGTGGTGGGGTGCTCTCCGGTGCCGAAGGCCAGGCCAGGCTCCAGGATGATATTGGTGGCGGTGGGCTCCGGGGGTTCACACCAGCTAGGTACAATCCAGAGGCCCTCCTCGATGCAGGCTGGCTGGTAGCTGGCCCTCACGCTGTCCATCCACTCCTGATCAGGCACCTCCTCCACCTGCAAATGCAGGACCCCAGGAGCTTTGATCTGCTTGCCGCGCTATTTTACTGCTCTCTCCCACTGCTTTGAAATTCAGCTTCGTGTGTGATGCATCTATGCGCGTCGAGCGCACGCCAAGAGGAAAGGAATTGGAGCCTAACTGCTGCTGCTGCTGCTGCATCAGGAATGACCATCAATCAGGGGTCGCAAGTACAAGCAACCTCCTAGATTACATGCCTGACATATGTCTATGTGCTGGGTGTGGGGCAAGCAGGACGTGAGCAGAGGAGCCACCTGCCTCATACTTCAACGGAGCTGCGCTGCCTGACTGCGCATGCCACAGCGCCAGTATTGCGCCCACATCTGTGGATGCAGAAAATAGCGTCTGCACTGTGCACCGCTCCCACACCTTGCTGCTGTCCCCGAAAATCTCCTGCTCTGGAGCATCGAGCGTCCTGTACTCCTCCACACTGCACTTGCACAAGAGGATTCATCAAAATTAGTCGAATCTCCTCGTGACATAGCTTTGGAAGGGAAGCAGAGAATCGGCAGAAGTGTAATTGCAGGTTGAGCCCACACATGTCGCTGACCTGGCTGATAGCGCGCCGAGGCTGAGCAGCTCGTCTGTCATTGTTTCCACCATGGATCCTGGCACGTCCTCGATTTTGGCTCGTAGAGTATGCAGCCGCTCAGTTTCGACTTGCGCTGCAACAGTTCTTTTTATGTCCTTTGCATGTGACCCATGAGTATGGAGGGTAGTACTCAAGGACGAATAGAGATGCTGCAGTCTGTGAGGAACTGGAATGGGGCTGCATCTGCCTGCTGTAGCACTAGCTCCATATCTCACTCCATAGAGCAGCCGTGAGAATCGGAACACATTGCACGATGTATTCGCCATGGATGTCGTGCACTCGGTAAATATAACAATTCAAATGGTGCTTCTCGATGTTAATGCTGCTCCTATACAATCTGCAGCTCTAGAGAGCAACCAGACATGCGATGAATTGACCCCATCAATTTCTTGTCTGAGGCATGTGGTGACCAAGTCACCGTTGCAGCAATAAAATAAGATGTGATCTTCCTCTGGAGTTGTCTCTGATTATATTATTGAGATCTGCACTGGTAGGAGCTTTTGATGCGTGCTAGTCAATAGTACAAAGATTCCTTTCGAGTACTGTAGTGTCTGGCGAAGCAAGTCTTGGTACTCAATCATAGACAACAACCTGAATTTTAGCGAATTCTGGGTTCGTCAACATGATCAACATGAAGGAGCCATCGTGGGCGAAGCCAGAGTTGGCAACCCATGTGCAGGAAATGGGACTTGACTGGGATCCCAGAGATGAAATTACAAGAAGTTATTCGATTGTATATAGCAAGAGAGAACTACATCATTGTAGAAGATATTTCACCGGGTTTTCTCTTGCAGGCACTTAGTTGATCGGGCCAAGCAAATTGGGCAGTGACAGATGTTCTCAGGAAACGATACGAATAGCAACCTTCACCTAGATGACGAAGAAATTCCTTCTCCACCTCCGGAGGAGCCACCTCTTCGGCCAGCTAAACGTTTGAAGACAGAAGGTCGACACCTGCTGAGACACTTCCTGTAGGTGCATCAAGGGCTTTCAAAGTATGCACGAGAGATTCCCTGAAACCTTTTCTGTCACCAGGTGGTTCTTCTGGAGCCTCTGATGCTGGAGGGTTGTCAGAACAAGGTATATGATCGTATCCCAAACTCCCATACCACAGATCTGTGTGGGTTGGCCCGCTTTGCTTCTTGTCTTGGATCTGTTTCTGTCACTTTGATTTCTGATTTTTGCATCTCAGCAGGGGCCAGTCAGGTGGAAGCAGCGCTGGAGAAAATTAGATCCCACATCAGCAACCCGAAGAAATTTAAGAAGGCATCCCCTCTTCTGAGGCAGCTGCTGAGCCAGGGAGCCATTTCCAAAGCCCACAGCAACCTGCTATTTGAGGTGCCCACTTCATCCTTGTGACACATGTGCATAGGTCACCACACGTTTGTTGTTCTGTGTGGTAGCGTGAGCTGCTGCTCTTGACAGAAAATTTCATTGTCCAACCAGGCCTTGAAGGGAGCGATGAGGCATCCAGCGCTGGCAGTGGACCCCACATTGACGAATGAGTTCCAGAAGCTCTTCACTGTCGCCAGCAAACACGCAGAGGTGAGCACCTCTGACCTCACAGCTTCCCCACAAGCGTTCCAAACCTTTTCATGCACTGTGCCATCATTACCGGGGCGTCTGTGCTAATATCATTCATGAGAACGGATTTGCATGATGCAGCTGTTCACAATGCGCCAGAAGGGGCAGCTGGACGTGTATGGGCTGTGGGGGGTGCTGCGCGGTCAGTTGCTGACGGATGACTCATTTGTGTACAACCGCGTGCTTAGCCGGCTGAAGGACAGCATCCAGCATCTGCCGGAGGCCACAGAGGAGGACGATGAAGCCCTCCTGCGCGTCAAGGTGCCTCTTTTAGGCCTGCCATTGCTTGCACCCAGCTGGCTGATCAGCTTTGTATGGGTTGAGCCTCGACCTGATGTTTTCGCCATCGGCCGGTCTCCATCGATGGGAACCCAATAGCACAGGCCTCATATGCCATGCAACTACCATATGATCTGCAAAGCACAGTCTTTCAGACAGCACTTATATTGTGAGATTGCAATGTTTGCAGCCACACTGAATTATAAAATTACGTAATGTCACCAGGAGCGGCTTCAAGAAGAGGCGAACGGAACTGCCGGCAGCGGTGAGGCAGCGGCGCCCCAGGTGTGGCTCCTTGCTGCACCTGCCTGCCATTACCTTGCATCTCCCCTGCATCTCCCTTCAAAAGAAGTCATCCTGATCCACATCCATCCCGTCCTGGACGTCATCATGATCCTACCTTTATCTCAAAGGCCATCTTCGCGTCCGCTGTGCAGTTGAGCACGCCCTGCGAGGAGCTGGGGGCTAGTGGCAAAAAACACCTCGAAAAGCCCATAGCCTCCACCGCCTTACAATGTGCAGCAGCCACATGATGCTGGTGACTCAGGACTAAAGACCTGCCGGCAGGCGGCGACGGCGCCACCGGCGGAGGACGCGGAGGCGGACCCGTTTGGGCTGGAGGAGATGATTCAGAAGGCGGAGGCGCCGAGGAGGGAACGTGCGACGGCGTGGAGTTCGCGGGAGTCGCTGGCGATGAAGCGCGAGGCGCTGCTAGACTGCCTGGACACCGCGCGCTCGCGCTATGGCCTCGCCTGGGCTCGCACCTCCACAGACATTGCTATCCAGGCACGGGCCCCTTGTTTCGGCGTGAGGCTCTATGCGCCTCGGAAATAGGTAAGAGACTATCACCTCCACTGACAGAGCCATCCAGGCATGCCGCCCTCCACATTCTGGCTGTGGGATTCTGCCAACACATGTCTTCTCGGGTCTTTGAGATGGCCCAAGGAGGGGTAGGATATGTGGCACCTTTTATATGCAGCTTATCTGCAGACGCAGTTTGCCTCCTGGCAGGAACAGCATTTAAGAAATTAATAATTATTTAGTGGGCACGCAGCCACCCTCTGGATGATGCTAGGGGAGGAAAGCTGACTTTGCTGCATGGCTGCACAATCCGGTGTTAGAGTTGACAAAAGCAATTAGCTCATCCCTTACCAGGTCCCCTGTAGGGGCATCAAGTGCACAGACACAGCGTCAATGTTTTGAATGGCGGGAAGTGGGCTCCGCGTGCATCTGAGTGCTGATGATCACCCTTGCAGCTGCCCAAAGATTCAGAATTTGTCTGTGGACTCGGCAACTTGGCATAGAGCAACCATTGTTGGCACAGGTCAGAAGTGGCGCAAAGAGCCTGATGAAGCATGTTGTCTGTGCAGGACCTGCACAACAACCGTGCCAAGTTCTGCAAGTCGCAGCAGCCGCGCATCGACAGCCTCTGGCGCTTTGTGCAAGACCAGCGCATCAAGAGGAAACAGGCATACACCGCCGCCTGTGCATTGCCTCTTCTGCACTGCAGGCCGTGCCATTGGGCTCTGTGCTCCCTGCTTTGCACCCATTTTCTTGAGGTGCCTGCCTTGCTCTACTATAATAACGAGTATGGTCGATGCCGGAGACTTGAGAGGGGCTGCTATGGCTGCAGGGCCCGTCGGCAAAGGAGGCGCGAAGGGACACGACGTCGTTTGAGGCGGCCAGGGCGGAGTGGGGCAAGGCGACGCTGTCTGTGCGCGGTGGGGTGGGATCGACCGGAGACCACCGTTCAGAAGTGTGGCTCGGATGATTATAATTCAATTCTTTGTGACATGCTGTTTGTTTCCGTGTTGAGGTTTTTGGTTGAGAAGCGGTTGGAGAGCTTTGTAGAATGGAATGGATTCTTACAGATGGTCACACTTTAATCTGGGAATTTGAGAGCATCAGCAGCTTATTTGCTGCAAAGACAAACACTGTAAGCACTTTCCTGTCCTGGTCTGTCCTGTCCCCATATTCTCATGATCAGACGTGCTCTGCACAGCTACAGTGGCTCCACGTGCATGCTCGCACACGTACTGAGGAGACCTTTGACAACCGAATGCAATCAGCGGCGCGGCCGCGTCAGCACAGGCCGCTTGACGGCTGCGGCGGTGCGGCCGAGCGCGGTGAGCGGAGGCCTCCTCGCAGGGCTGCTGCCAGGTCGGAAGCCCAGAGACTGGGTTCCGCCGGCTGTGTTGCCCGCCTGCTCCCGCCGCCTGCTCATGCTTTGCAGCGCCCTCGCTTCCAGTGCCTGCCGCATGCAGTTGCCATCTTAAGCTTAAATCTTCACAAAATGTGACAAACGATTGCAGTCGCCGAGCCTGGGTTGAGACCTCCTGCAAGACCTCAAGATCCCCAGGCCAAGTGAATGGCAAAAACAAGCGAAGCTGAGCCATTGAACACATGAACACAGCCTTTGCATGGTATGGGCTGGAAACCACGGAATCTGCACAAGCAACAGGCAGACGATGTATGCCCTGGGGTCCTGAGATCACCATTGAGACAGCCTTACCATGGATTGGGAAATCTGCACTGCAGCTTACCTTGCGATCGAGGGGCATGAGGGGTCCGCTGTCGGCCTCTGCTCCGTTGCCATCGTCCATCTCTACCAGGGTGGAGGGCAGGAAGCGCATGGGATCCCATGCGGCCGTCTCAGGGGCGGCGCCGGCCGCGGCCGGTTGCTCCTGAGCCTCCGCGCCGCTCGCAGCAGCGCCGCTGTTTGCAGCATCCTGCATGCAGTTATCAACATATTTTCACACGTCTTTCCGATCCATGAGGGACAGGTGCGTCGCAGCAGCGTTTCAATGACAACCTTCCAACCTTGTCTATCCTGGGATCAAATCAGAGACAAACCAAAAGACTACAGATAAGGTCTGACACGCAGTGTAGGCTCTAAATTCGATATCCGTCAGATTGTATACACATTGGGCGTTAAATGAGCAGGCAAGGTGCACTTTCTTATATTCATAGCCGCAAGAGTGGATCAAGATCCTTCATGTCCTATGGTTCCTTTGGGGGGCTTGGTTCTGTGGCAGTAACAAGAAAATAAGGCACAGGCATAATACATTACATGTGGACGGGAAAACCCCATCATCACTAATGGTTCTTACAATAATACAACGGGAGTGTTGTGTCCCGCGCGAAATTCCATACAGGGTTTTCTCCCCATTTATTGCAATGCTTGAGGGGGTTTATGGCGCACGTGGAGGAGGTGGTTGGTGCGCTGTTCGATGGCGCCCAGGTACTGCATGAGGTTGGCCGTGGAGGGAATGCCGCCGCCGTCCAGAAGCTCCTCCAGCCCAGAACCCGCGCACCCACTGCGCACCCACAGCGCCTGCGGCCCACACACACCCGCATTCCTACTTTCTTGAGCTTTGAACCAGGTCAGCGTCTGTGGCACAGACTCTGTGCACTGCTGCGACCGCATGCTCGTTCCAATGTGATCCACTGACTGTGCTTGACCTCTGGTTTGGAGAGGGCATTCATTGAATACCATACAACGACATGCCTGGGTTGGCATCGAGATAACAGGAATGGATCAATTTTTCGAGTGATCAACCTCCTCTGCTGAGGCAACTGCCTGTCAGACAGTGCCCGCGCAGCTAACTGCGAGCGAATCCTTCCTTGGAAGGGCAGTTGGCTGGACGGCTCACCTGGACGGCCTCTGCGAGGGCGGCTGCACGGCCGTCCGCTGCAGCTTCGCGTGCCTCCCACGCCGCAGCAGCCGCCTCCGCCTCCTCCAGCCGCTCCTGCAGCGCCTGCAGCAACATCCAGTGTATTAAGGTGGGGCACAGACACACCGCTATGCTACACCATGTTCCATGGGCAGCGAGTGAGCTGTATCAAAGGCACACTGTCGTAGAACGGATCTTCGCAGTGATGCATGCACTGCTAGCAGCATGACTGTTGGGATATCTGACACATGGGTATCTGTGCATTTGAGGGCGCTCTTTGGTAAGTGACACTCGTGAAGCACTGCTCTGCAGTTACTCACATATCCTAGTATGGATCAAGAATGCCAACAACAACAAAAAAGGCAAAGGCACCTGCACGGCGCGCGCGTGCTCGGTGTCCTGCGCAGCGTTGCTGCTCTGCCAGCGCTCCAGCTCGGCCGCCACTTCGCGCATGTGCGCCCGGAGCTGTTCTATGGCGGCGTTGACCTGGCCCACATAGCCGAACAGGCGGAAGTTGCCGTCCTCCTTCGCGCTCAGCTCCACCACCAGCGCATCCACCCCCGCCGTGCCTGCACGCACACCCCTGAATTATAAAACCTATGCCCACTGGACTCCAACCTAAATCTTTCCCCATCGGCATCCTCAGGACTCTTCGAGACAGTCGTCTATCTAGCATGCATTGCAAAAGCCCTGGCTGGCAGGGAGTGTATCTGAAGTCTGAGTACCGCGCCCACGGTTAAGTGAGTGTTGCGAGTCCAAGAAGGGGGAAATATATGGCAGCATTTGATTGCAGCTTTTCTGCACAAGCACCTTGCCTCATGGCAGGAAAGCATGTTATAGTGATCATACAGTAGTAACGCAAAGCAATAAAATGCAAGTGCCGCGCCTGTGGCTTCGCTGATGCGCGCGAAGGCTGCAGTGAATTCCTCCAACCGCTTGGCCGCGCCCGCAACGCCGCCGCCGGCCGCAGCGTCCTTCGAGGCATTCCCTGCAGCCGGTGACGAGGCAGCCGCTGATGTGTCAGCCCAGCTGGGCCGCCGCGCCTGTTTTGGCGCGACTCCGCGGGTCAGGTCCTCGCGCAGCAGCTTGCTGGTCGACTGCGCTCGCTCCGCCAGCTCGCGGCCCCTCTGTAGCTCCTACACAGCAGCAGCCAACTTGCTTGTCAGCTGCCAATTCCCTTGCAAAGGATCCACCTTCCAGAGGTGCAGGGAAGTGCGCAGCCACCAGGAAAGGGAAGCACCACTGGCATGTCGCCCCAGACAGAAGAAAGCAAATAGGTGCAGTGAGAGCATTTCAAATCAGGTCCTACAGCAATTCAGGCAGGGGCAGAGATCACCCCCAGACCTCATGCAAAGCGGTGTATGAGGTCAGGGGGAAGCGCAGGGCGACAGGTGCTGGGCACCTTTTGCTTGCGGTCGTGCTCGATGAGGTGAGTCAGCTGCCGCCACTCCGCTTCTGCCGCGGCCGTCTCCTTGTCGCCCGCCATCTTCAGATTGGCCGCCTCCGCTAGCGCCTGCACATCAGCCGACATACTTTGCGAACCGCACCCTTTGTGCCTATTGTAAGATGCCTCTAGAAAGCTGTCCAGCTCTCAGCAATGGGTGGCAGCAGGCGGTTTAAGAAAGGGCGTGCCTTGTTGCGGGCGAGGCAGGCGGCGCGGCTGGCTTGAAGCAAGGAGCCGGCGCGTTCGCGAGCGGCCGCCAGCTGCTGCGTCAGCTTCTTCTGCTGCTCGGCCATGGCCAGCCGCTCCTTGCGCGCGCCGTCTATCGTGTCCCGTAGCGCCGCCGTCGCCGCGCGTCGCGCGTTCAGCCGGTGCCAGGCCTGTTCCACCCGATTCTCCAGCACCGCCATCGCCTTCTCTGCCTGCCACAGCCAACATGGCACTTCTGCAACAAGGGATCTTTGTGAACTACTGTAATGCGAAGGGCTAGTCCGCTCTTAGAGCTGGAGATGGCAATGTATTGCATCACTGGCATTCCCATGAGGTGCCTAAGATGCAAGCGGTCCATCTGGCACCTGCAGGTCCGATCAAGAACACATCGCCTCGTCCGCTTCTCCTCCGCAGGGTTGACTAACAGATTGCGTGCTTGTTCTGTGTGTTGCAGCATGACTAATCATAGCATGAGCATCTCTCAGCAAGTGTGTTTGGAGAGGAGCATCCCCACAGTACCGTTCCAGTGAGGTCCAAAGCGAGGCTTATCCGGGTACATGAGGAGTGACAACCGCGAGAGCGAGTCCCACCTGGATGTCGCACTCGCGCGCAGAGTTGACGCCGCCCATCTGCCGGCGCTGCTCTGCGATCCTGTCCTGCATGGCCGCCACCTGGCGCTGCAGTTCTCCCACGCGATCCCTTTCCGCCCCAACCTGACACATGTGCATTTGCCACTTCAGCATTTAATCCTTTCAACAGGGTGCGAGGGCACGTCGCTGCCTGCCACATCCTTCTACGTGCAACCTGACACAATGCAAAAGTCCTGATCTCTAACAGATTGCATAATTGTGATCGGACTAGGCTCTGCCCTCTCTCATTCACTAGCACATGTAGCCCTTCTCAGGCCGGGCAGTGGTGCACCCACTGAGTCAAAGGTACATTATGCAAACCCTCGAGCAGTGCTCTGAAGCTCTTGGAGTAAGATAAAGGGAGTGTTCCAATTGTAGGGGCGCAGTCTAGCAATTACATGCAGCACTGGGGGCATGGAGCCCCTCCATAAGGAGTTGAAACTCTCGCTTGAAAGTGATTAGGAAGGTACAGAGACTGATGACGTGCAGTACCTTTCTGGTGTGAACATCGGACTGTTCTTGGAGGTTTTCGATGATCGCTGCTGCAGAGGTGGTGGTGGGTCTCACTGAAAACTTATTCTCCAGCAGTAGCTCCTCTTTGAGCAGCTCATTGTCTGCTTTGAGCTTCTCGATCGCAGCCCTGTTTGGTGCGCGATAACTTCATAAAGTGTTGGAACTCAGTTTCAATGAGCGGCGTGACCATGTGTTTCCTTGGGAAAGTTGAAAGAATTGGCAGCTTCTACTAGCACGTGACAAATACCTCTGTTTGGTGAAGAACTGCTGAGTCTCCGCAAAAACGCTATGCCCGTTCGCAGGGATCACTGTCCGACCTGAGATGACACACGGTTCAGAAGGATGTTTGGAAAGATGTCGGGAGTCGTGCACAAACGGAGAATGCCTTACCTGGCATCTTGAATGGTGCTGCCCAGCCTTGAACGTGTAAGTTACATTCTTGTAGTTGTCCTTTTCAATGAGTTCGTTGCGAGTGTGGTGGCTGTCGCGGCAGAACTAACGGTGGCAGTTACAGTGCCTGCCTAAATTGGACTACGTCAGAGGGAGCATAGGGAAAATTATGGCCAACTTCTAAACTCTCAGATCGATTATAATTGCCAGTGTGGTTTACATATTAAGGTGACACAAGGAAACCATCTGGAGTGTGTGCTGCCCTTGACACAAGTATGTGCAAGTTTTTTTGTTCATGACACCTGTAGGCGCTCACCATGATTATGTGATCACCTGTGCCGGAATTGTGACTGGATGTGTTGTGACGTTTCTACAGTGCAATTAACCAGAGCCTGGATATCTTGAACAGCCGTAGCGATAGATGCTTGTACGGAAAGAACCAGGGTCATTGCTTTGGCAAATGTCTTTACAGTGGAGTCAGAAACTTATCTTGCAAACACTTCAACACTATCCCTATGTCCAGTGCAGTGCACTACGTGCATCAACATTGATCATGAACAGCACCCCAATTATTCTTCAACTGCCTATTTGGAGCACTGCCACACTAAGCAGGAAATGCTGCACATCTCATCTGATGACATAAATAATCCCTGCAACTTGCAACGCAAGCTTTTGACATATCATTCAAATAGAGGTGCTTGCACAAGTCAGAACCTGGGCAAGCAGAGAGCAGGAGAATGCTCAAGCAATGCAGAAGCCCTTTTTTCCTTTGGAAGTGTGGCATCCCATAATTTAAAAACGGTGCAGCTTTCATACTAATCTTGGCATTAGCACAACAAAGTGCAAGGGATGCAACTGAGCTCGTCCACAGCTCAGGCTGCTCTAGCCACTCGCAAGGACCCCAGGTTATCAACCCAGGGCACAATAATAAGCATAAATGCAACTGCTGCCTTGGCTGCCCTGCCAGGAAACACCTCAAACCCAAGGCAGTCTCCACCCACTTCCCCCTCGTCCTTCTGGAGCCACATGCGTTCTGTTCACATGCTGATTACTCTGATGATGACCCCTGATCAAGCGTTGCACTCCCCCCAGAAGCCTGAGAGGCTCCCGTGACAGTGACAAATCTCAAGGTTGGAGGAAGCACCTCCGTGGCAACAGAATGAAATGGATAGACAAGTGCCCAAATCTCCAACTTGAGGCGGCATGGATACTAAGTCTTGGTATGACATCCAACAGTCCTTCGCATCCACAAATGCATAAATATTGCATGCAGCAAGTTCCAAAGACGGCAGAAGAGACCCCAAGCAACAGCTTCCAAAGAAGTCTTAGCAATGCGACCAACAATATCATTCAACCACCTGTTCAATCACACAGGACCAGGCAAGAGAGCAATTTAACCTCCAGCACGTTGGCAGTATCATTCGTTCCCACAGTGCCATGCCAGCCCGCTTGTGCGCAAACACATGGGGGCTCAGAACCAGAGCTGCTCCAGCAAAGTATTCGTCGACAGTGCTCATGTCAGCAGAAACGCCAACTGCAGCCTTATCAAATCTTGCAGGCACTGCAGCACGTGCAGAGTCTACCCAGTGTCCACAGTCTGAAAGCAGCAGAAGACTTTCTGACAGGCGGGAGGCTGGGAGGTCCCCTGCGCTGAGGCTCACTCCCAGCACTCGTGGCTGGCCTTGACGTTGCGGCGTGCGCGCCAGACAGCGGAGTTGCACTTGAAGCCGCCGCCGAAGCCCAGCTGCCAGATGCGGTCGCCGCGCTTGAGGCCGCTGAAGTGCTCGATGTTGGACAGAATGTACCTGAGCCATCAATCCTCATCCATCAGCACACTGCCCCCTCATGATGTGCTACTGACCGATACATGTGCCTAAGACAACCATCCGTCCAAGAGACAGCCTGTTAAAGAAAACCACGGTGCACTGCTGAGCTGACCTGACCAGAATGCCAGGTGCTTGGTCATAAATAGATTGTGTCTGCAGGGGGCATCCTCCATAATTTCTTTCCTTCAGGTACCGAAGGCCTCAGATGACCGCTGAAGCGGAGCACCGACAACTGGCAGCAGGTCAGGAAGGGAATACAACGCACCAGGTGGAGGCGGCAGAGGTGTTTCCGAAGCGGTAGAGGGCGTCCTTGGAGGGCTGGCACTGCGCGGGCGTCAGGCTCAGCTTTTCCTCCATCTCGTCGATGACAGCGCGGCCACCAGTGTGCAGCAGGAAGTGCTCAAACGCGTTGTTGAACTTGGGCACGTACGCCTTGTTCATCACCACCTTCACCTACAGCAATGGAGAAACACTGCGTCAGCCATCAGGACCTCTCAAGACACAATGGACTGTCTCATGCATGCCAGTCCATCGGTGTATCACTCAACACCACAGCGGTGGCTCACATGGAAGCACTCGATGACCACAATATACACAAGCACGCAACAGGGATGATCACCACCCTATTGCGCATTTGCAACTGGGACTAGTAAGGACAGTACAGGTACAGTAGAACCACCTAGCCTGCAGTCAGAATGTGGGGTGTACAGGGAGAGGGACACCAAGAAAAACGAGAGGGGGGCGCACCATCTCGGTGATGGGGAGGGTGAGGGGTCCGAGGCGCTGCAGATTGACCTTGAGGGCGCGGCCGGCGACGGAGACAACGTTACGGCGCAGGAAGACGCCCTTGATGCCCTCGCTGTCCTCGCCGTTGCCCATGCAGCCGAAGGCGTCGTCCTCACAGCCCAGGTGCACGCGCACAGTGTGCACCAGCTCGTACTTGGCCCGCCTGATGTCCTTGGGCCTGCGCGCCACCACAGCCGGATATCTCAGTTGACCCCTTGAGAACTGCCTCATTCCACGGCAAGGCTCACAACCCTTGCATCGCCGGAAACGAGTCAGTACAAATCCATTTGACAGCGTATTTCTGCAGCAATGGCTTATAGTGCAAGTCATGTGTTTCTTGTAGAAAGTGCCTCACATGAAAACTTTGGGTCGGATATGGTCGGACAGGCCAACAGCAGTGAATAATCTTATCATGCACAAGGAAAAAAAGGAGAAAGATTGATGCGATGAGTGGAGGAGCACACCTGTTGGAGAGCAGGGCGCCGGCACCGCCGAGGCGGAAGAGGCAGTTGCAGACGAGCATGGAGCGGTCGTTGCCCACGTACCAGTTCTGGGTGATGTTCTCGTGATTCACGATCAGCGCCAGCTTGTTGGGCATCGCCTGCACACACATGTGTCAGCATCTGTCAGCAACCCCCGATCTGCACACTGCTGAACTTCAAGTACACCCATCGAATGTCCAGCCTGGATGATCCAGCTGCGCGACTCAGACACTGGCACTGTCCTAACAGTGTCAGAGACAGCACCAAGCAGGACTCGAGAGGTGCCAGTGGGTAGCACTTGAAAGACACTGCAAAGTTCTGGGGGCAAGGCGTACCTTGAGCAGGTGCTTGACGAGGTCGATGCAGATGAGGGAGGATGAGCAGCCCATGCCGGACAGGTTGTAGGTGAGCACGTCGCGGCGCAGCTTGAAGTGGTTGGTGATCATGGCCGCCATGGACGGGGTCGGCGCAAAGCAGGAGCAAGAAACAATCACGATGTCGATCTGCATGGCACACAGAATCCATGCTCAGCCTGTTGCGTTGCATGCATTCCTGGGTCGGAATCTTGCTAGCTGTACAATGCAATCAGGTGCAATGACCTGCCACACTACACTGCGGAGAAGTGCATGTGACTTCACTGACACACGGATGCTACATGCTTTCCATTCCCAGAACAATTTGAACTCGAGACCAGGTGGATGTTTCAAGAGTGTGCAGATATCAAGCACACCTCCTGGGGGTCGGTGTTGGACTTGGCAAGCAGATTTTCCACCACGTCGTAGAGGACCATCTCAGACTCCTCCAGGGCCGCCTTTAGTGTGGTCTTCACCTCGCCATCCTTCATGGCGGCAATTCCATCAGACAGGCCGGTCTCATCTCCCAGCCCAGACCTCTCCAGTATCTTCTCCTGGAACTCCAGGTTCGCCTCGGTGAACACCTGCAAGCCACATGTCAAAACACATGTCAGCTTCCATTCTACATCACCAAACAATGGATGCATGTCAGCTCGCATGCTGACTTGATGACTCTGCACATGTCACTACCAGAAGAAGCAGAAAAGCTTTGGTGCGAGAGAGCAGCTGATTGGAAGGACTCACCCCCTTGAGACGGATCTCATCCATCAGCCTCTTCCTGGAGCACTTCAACCTGCGCAGAGCATGAAAAGGTCAGTGAAGTGTACATCAAAGGCTCAACCTTTGTTGCAAGGAGCTCAATGCACAGCTGCATGGCTTTCAGGAATGAAGGCTTACCTCTGAGGAGGTGTGAAGCAAGAGAAGTCCACGAGCAGGACACGTGGCACAGCTGGCCAGAGAAGTGAGATGGCTGCATAGAGGAAAACAAGCACTGCTGCTGCGCCAAGGGCGTACTGCAGCACACGGAAAAGCACAACATTGCTTAGCTATCTACCAGCAGGGCTGCCTGCCCGAGGTGATTTCAAATCTGCACCATTGGGACCATCCCGCCGCAAAGGGCAACCTTGCTGTGCACAGCATGAACGAACAGTAATGCTGATGAATATGAGCATTCATGCATGGATCCCAAAGCCATCCAAGAATCGTGTTGGAACAACGGCCACCCCATTTCGTTTGAACGATGTGGGAAGTAAGGAAGGCCTCGAAGGGGTTTCTGTCGCTTTCCACCAAGAAAAGGTGCATCGATAACATCGTAGAGGGTTAACACAAGCATGCATGAGCAAAGCACCGCAAAAGGCCACAAAAAGTAATAAAGATGCTCACCAGCTTGTAGGTCGGAAGCTCCCATAGCCTCTCTTTCTGACTATTGAGGAAGTCAGGGTTGAGCAGCGTGTCCTTCTCCGCCTGAAGAACGATCAACGTCAGAAAAGCTGAATTGGAAGTGACCAGAGAACTGATCTTCCAGTTCAAGCAGGGAGAGCTCTCTGCCACAGGTCCGACACAGTCAGAAAAAGTTGCGAGGCCAGCTGTTCCAGCCAGAATTGCTTGTCCGAGACCACTTCCGAGGCCGACCAAGGTGCATTACGCGAGACAAAGGCGGGTCAGAAACGCACCACGACAAGCGTGGCAGCCAGAGCTGCAGCCGAGGCAAGCAGGGTCGATTGTCCAGTGATGCCCCACCGGTCGGCCAAGATACTTCCTAGAGCCGACATTCCTGGACCCACAAACGGTACAAATCAGTAGATGGCACGCAGGCACTTCACAGACGCTGCACCCGCGTTTGGGCGGCACGCAACCCTATGGCCCTCGCTGTGCGTCATATCAAACGACCCGCAGAGCACGCTTCACGCAGCATTTCGCTCTACAGTCGTGCAATTGTTCTGCAAAAGTGCAAATCCCCGATGGCAATGCACGCTGCGGTGAGACAAGGCGCATATACTTTTTCACGCAGGATTTGAACTTGCCTCAACGCTTTCGTTCCGACTAAACTCCTGGCGGGTCAGCGGCCTCCTTGCTGCAGCTCAGCCGGCTCTACAGGTGACCTACGCAAGTGCAGACCTCGAGCAAGAATGAAAGCCTGCCTCGCTGAAAGGTCCTCTATTGGTGAGGATGCAGTAAACTCCTCGAAGCAATGGTCCCCCTCGCAGCCGTGTGTCCGCGGTTCCTGATTAGGAACAATAGACGCGCCTGCGCAACTGACGAAGCAGTCTGACGAGCAAGTGACGACGAACTCAATCGTGTCCTGCATCGGCAGTCACTGTGCTCCATGCACGAGCTTTGTTGGCCGTCCCTGGGAGAGGGGCAGCTTTGTGTGCCGCCCCAAAGACGATTTGTCATGCACAGTGCGTGCCATCATCAAGAAGTGCATGGATGGAATTTAATGAGCCAGACACAATTTGCAAATTTAACTAAAATTATTTAAGCTACTTGTACTGCATTCTCCGGGAGAATTTCTCCCCAATAATTGGGGCCCAATTATCATAAGGCAGAGCATGCACCATGATGGGCGGTGAAGGTGGCTGGAACCATGGGCCATGCCAGTCTGGAATGCCAGGGAATGCACAGCAACCAGTTGATCGCTAGTAGCTATTTATAGCTATGTGGCAGGATCGTCGTGACGTCATGGTGGTCATGATCTGCAGTGGATCATCTGCACTGGCACTTGCTCTAGATCTGAACAGCGCAATGACCTCGAGTGTGATTTCCTTCCTTACTTCCTCAAGGCGCACATGTGCACCCTACGGCGCTATGTTTAAATGATCATGATGTGTCGTTGATCACGGCACTGTTGACCAGAGCAGCATGCAAGCCAGCTGCACACCAGGATGATCATATCGAGAGGTGATGAGACCGGTACCGGTAAAGCAGGATGAATGGGTTGAGAGGTTACAGCACAACCACTTTTCCACGACGAAGATAAAACCACAACACTAAACCTGTGATCGAGAAGAATGAGTATTGTACAGGGGCGTGCTCAGATGCTGTTGTCACCTATGATAGACTGCAGCGCATGCCCTTCTGATAAATTTTCCCTCAGTACAAGAGAGCATGGTACAGAGTCTGAAACAGGTACATTCTGACCGCATGACAGCGGTCAGATTCGCCTGGAAGCTAGATGTCCAGGAGCTCGGGGCTCAGAGAGACCCAGTCCCCATCACCCAGAGGGGTGCTCTCGGGCACGAGGTGGTTGTTCACATTGACCAGGCGTGGCCCAATGTGCCTGCGCCCCTCCTCCTCTATCTCGATCCTTCCCTGCAGCAACATCTAGCCGTTCACCGAACCCGCCGTCAACATCCTGGCAACATCGTTGTGATCTGAGTCAAGTAGAGCTAACCTCATGCTCCTGCAGAAGCCTTGCTTGCGCCTGGACCATTGTGATGGGCCCCTTGATTTGCCAGCACGTTCACGGGAGTCACTATCGATAACAAATATCCAGCACGCAGCACCAAGATAAGCTCTGTAGCTTGATCTCAAACACACAGACAGACCAGGAGAATCAGTGTATCCTCATTAGTGCAAAGGATCCAGCAGAATGGGAAGCTGCCGCGCACCTTCTGGCGGATGATGTCTCCGGCGGTGGTGCCGCGCTCCACTTGTTCAATCTTACCAGTCGGCACGATCAGCACCTGCACCTGACTGGACTGCGGAATCGGCGCATTACCACTGCTACTGCCACCGCTACCAGCCTCCCCCTCCATCCCATCTGGGTCCCCCAGAAGATCCCTCTGCCACTCCAGCATGCGCCGCAGCAGCCGCGCCTGCAGCAGTGATGCATCCATCAAATTAGGTATGCAAATCCTGGGTGGGCCATTCCTATTCTGATTCACCCACGATTTGCAGAATTGGATGTTATGATTGGGACATGACTAATCTGCTTGTGCTGCATGGATCCTTCAGGCTGCTTGATCACAAAGTAAGAGTTCAGGTTGTGAGAGGATATGTTGAGCAGAGGGCAAGGGTGCGCACCTTCCTGGCCTCGGCAGAGGTCAGCTTTGCCTTTCCCTTTACGCCATCAAAGCCCTTCTGGACATTCTGCGAGACATGCACACTGTATATTAGGTCCCAACGTTCCTGTCCGGTTCAAGACGTGATACACAAAGACCCTCCAACTTCTTCACCTCCATTCCTCAACACGATACCCCTCGTTAAGCAGGCATCAAGCATGCCTCACCTGCAGGGGCATAACAAAGGGGGGCTGCTTCTGGTCATAGGAGTCCACCAGGTGCCAGTATCCGTCCTTGCACAACATGTAGGACTCCAGAGACAGGTGCAGGTCCCCATGGCCCGGCGCCCAAAATTTCTTCCTCCTCACATACGCCAGCACCGTCCTGCCACACACTCACACCCTTTGCCACAATGCTGCATGCCATTGTAAGATGCAGAATATCAAATGGCACAGAAGTGCTGAGCAGCCAAGAAGGAAATTGCAGATCTTCCTCGTCTAGTAACGCAAGCCACCGTTGAAGTGAAAAAGATTCGGAATCTATTGTGAGTCAAAGGATGCATGCTGAGCATGGTGGTGGTGATGTGTGACACAATCATCATGACACTGTGTATGAGGAGATTTAGGAGCCAGGCAGGACAGCGCTCACTTGACTTGGTTCTTGTCGATGCTGGTGTCAGGCATGACGCGCGAGGGGACCACAACGGCCACCAGCATCCTGTCTCCCTCGATGTCCACGACCACGCCCAGCTGCAGCTTCCCCCGCAGCACCCGCACCATGGGCTGCCCAACCTGTTGCATCCACCCTTGTCCTTCAGCACTGATTCTTGTCCCTAAAGTTCACTTGCTACTGAAGTCCTTGATTAAGAGAATTGTCTTCTGTTGGGTCTTGAATTACCCCTGGAGATGGCACTTCAGGAAGCAGCAGATACCCCGGAACACATTGGCAGCTATTGAAAGGACAGCTGCACGATGCTTGGCCCAAGTCATGACGACTTCCCAATGAGACCCCAAAACCGACCATTGGACATTGCTTGTGACGCAGCAAGCTTCTACTTTTCTTCTCGTGAAGCATGAGAAAAAACGGAAGGAAAAGGGATGCTACCTTGATGGTGTCGCCTGATGTGCTGGCGCCAGCTTGGACGGGGGCGTGGGGGGTGTCCTTGTAGGCCCAGTGAGCCGCCGCTCCATACTCTGCAATCTCATGCATGGAGGACGTCCTGATCTGGACCTCCATAGGCACGCCTGCTGGCCCTGCACAATAGATACCACCCTTCTGCTCAGATACACACACACCACAGACCTCAGACTGAACCCCGTTCAGAAGGTGATGAGCATTATGCTCAGAGTGAGCAGTACTTGCGCTACCAGGTGAAAACTCTTCCCGTTCAGCTGACGGGGGCTCCGTTTGACAGAGCCAGCTCAACAGAATGATCTGTAGCTGAGTCAGCATTGGAGCGGACCTATGACAGCGCTGTGCAGCGACTGGTAGCCGGAGGCCTTGGGGTTGAAGATGTAGTCATCCAGCTCCCCCCTGATGGGCCGCCACAGACGATGCACCGCTGGCTGAATTTCATAGCACGCCTGCATAGCAGTCTTGTCAGCAAGGGATTTTCAGCAGTTTCAAAAGCAAGCACAGCTCTCCAGATGCGATGAAGCTGTCATCTGCAGTTTGAAGAGCTTCCAGTGCCTGGATGGCTCAGCACTGGAGCTGATCAAACTGGAGATAACACAAACATCTTCAATTATGTCAGTCATGTGCAAGGAGCTTATTCTTGACAGCACCACCGCAATGCAATCATAACAGCATCCTCAGCAGCATCCAAAGGGTAGATGCCATGCGTTGGGTGCCCAATGACCCTGTCAGGCATCCACTCTGACCGTTTACAATGCTGGGGCATCTCAACGCTGGACAAGGGCGAGGGAGTGGATGACAAAATCATCTCTGTTGTCATAGGGTTTTTTGGCTGCAACACACCTCGATGGCCCGCTGCATCTTGAAGCCGTTCTGGTCGTCCACTACCACGCGCAAGGCCAGTGCATCAAACACCTCGCGCAGGCTGACGCTCTTCCTGATCATCTTACGGTACATGCTGTACAGGCTCTTTATGCGCCCCTGCATCCAGGCACACATACACCCATGAGACACTACTCGACCCCCCCTTTTATGCACAGCAGATGTCTTGCTCCCACAGCTTCCAGTTTCCAGGTGCTCACCACCGTCGCTCATAGGAGGTGAATGGCAACTGCGGACTGACAGATGCATGGAAAAGACATCTGCTGTGCATGCGAGCCCAACAGTATTTTGGATGTGAATAATGAAGCCATTGCACGGCATCAGCAGCCTTCTGACAACGAAAATGCAGCATCTAGTAGCATCTGCGACAAAGCACGGATGCTTCAAAGGCTGTTGAATGGCAAGGTACGGTCTCACTTAGGCTCTCGCATTAAATGTGGTTTGAACACAGGTCGCAGTAGATGTATATCAATACCTCCACGTGCACGTCGAGGCCAGTGGCCAGGCCCTCCATCTTGAGCTCATAGAGCAGCCGGTGCGCGCATTTGTCCAGAACATCCAGCGCCGCACGTGACTGCTGCTGCGACGCGCCGCTGCGAAATGTCACCGCGTAGAATGGCAGCACCGTCTGTATCAGCTCCCATGCCTGCCCAACACAGGATGGTGAGTCACATCCCTTGAGAGACAGCAAATGCTGGTGAAATTCATGGAAAATGAGGATTCGGCTGTAGCAGCCGCCAGCGTAGAAGTGGGGCGCCAAGTGACTGTGGAACCCGTGCAAATCTGCAGCTCTGTGAGAAGCAAAATTGACAGAGGAGCTTCATGCATCGGTCCTCAAGCGGTCTGCTGCTGACTCAGCAAGATGGCTCTTTTCATTTTTAGTGAGAAAGCAACATGAAATGCTAATTGTAAGTGTTCCCACCTCCTGCTGTGCGGGAGTCCTGCCGTGCGTACTTTCAGTAGTCCGGCCGCTAAAGGCCTCTCCACCGGTGCGTTCCTCTGCAGTGTTGGTCTTCACAACCACCCCTTCCGTGGACCCTGCACAACCAGCCCCCATTCACCAGCCCCCATTCAAACGGCGCCAGAGAAATGGGGCCCACAAGACGCCCAACGGGCACGGTGGCCCGCAAAACCCGCATCCCACAGCTTTTAGCATCATTCATTCACAAAAGGATCTGAAGCAAGGCTCACCTGTCGTGCCTACTGCCATAGCGCCAGACGCTATAGAAGATGGCACCCTTTCTAGGCCGCTGTTAGGCCTCCTCGTGCTGCTCGTCGCACTGCCAAGCGCGCTCAGGTCCGCCTCCTCTCGGCCGCACAGCTCCACGCCTGCAGCCGTTGCAGCCACGGCCGCACTGCCATCCAGCAGCCCCCTCCTGGCTGCCGCTGGCATAGAGAGAATGTTGCTGGAGGCTGCCGGAGTGGCAAGCTCAGTGCCCCCTGAGCTGCTGGCATACATCTGCGACCCAGAACTTGGCAGGGCTACCTCAGCCGCTGGGCACACAAGTCCACTGCTGCTGCTGCTGGCAGGAGTGGCTGGGCTATCAGCAGCTTGATCAGGCTCTGTCGGCGTCGCCAGGGGAGTCAGGGCTTTGTCGGCGGCGTCGGCAATGCAGGTGGGCGAGAGCGGGGGCAGGCCCCAGATGGTGTCAAGCTCGCTGCGCAGCGCCCGGTACTCGCGCGGGTGCATCACCGCAAAGCACAGATCCTCCAGCTCCGACTGCGTATATCAAAATAGAAGTGTCAGACAAGGCCAAAGTTGGAAGATTATGGCATGCATCAGAAGGTCACCAGTGAAGGATAGTTCACACTGGTGTTCTCAGCAGCGAGCTGTACGACATGCCGCTATTTGCTTGAATAAAACATCTCAAGCCAAAACAAGGAGTCTGCAAGGCTTCCTGTGCTCTGCCTCCTATAAATGTGGCTGTAGCACAATGCCACTTCAGGTAGCTTCCAGCAGGTAGTGCTTTGTCCAGTTGGCCTAGCGGTAGAGCCAATCTTCAACACTAGGCAAAGCACCAGAGCACAGGAACACAACAAGTGGGGTGCGGGGCCGCACACCTTGAGGGAGTACATGCCGAGGCGCTCGGCGAGGGAGCACCAGACCTGCATGGTCTCGAGCGCCACCGCGCGCTGGCGGTCGGGCCGCAGCGCAAAAACGGTGCGCATGTTGTGCAGCCGGTCCGCCAGCTTCACCACCAGCACCAGCGGCTCGTCCACCATCGCAAGGATCATGTTGCGCAGGTCCGCGTCCTCCTCCCTCGTCAGCTCCGGCGCCGGCGCGGCTGCGCCCACGTACATCTCGTTCTGCGGGCGGACGACAAAAGCATCAGATATTTGTACTGGAAATCCAGGACCCAGATGCGCAAAGCAGAGCCTTGAGCAACACAGATTGAGGTATGCCCCATTGCTATATTACCACAGCCTTCGAGATGCACGAGCCCCAGACGGCCTTGCGTGCGCATGGCGCCATGGGAAGAGAATTGCTGGGGAGGAGAAGAGTGTCTGAGGCACACTGTCGTTTGACGAAGACAACAGCATGCACGGACAAGTCTTGGAGAAAAAGAGTGGCCTCACGTGGGTGCGGCGGCGCCGTCGCAACAGCTGCGTGGTGGTGGACAGCTGGGCGACCTGCCCCACGATGCGCGCGATGCGCGGCCCAAACTCGGCTCGCACCTCCTCCAGGCTCACGCGCGTGTCGTCCACCACATCATGCAGCAGCGCCGCTAGCACTGCTGCCTCCACCCTGTGGACGCAAATACAGCAATATTTGCTTGTTCTATTTCCTCACGCACCAGCTGAGGAGTCCTTACAATCTGAAGGAAAGTTTGTGTGCATTGACAGCCCCAACCAACCGTTCGCTGCCACAGTGGCGCATGTGGCTTCCAACAGTACTTATGTCCAGGGTAGGAGCTATGCATCCGCAGGTTGCAGGGTCCAATACACCGGAGGCAGCTCTTCAATGCACTACTAGGGCAAATATTTCGTTACCGGCAATGTAAGAGACTCTACGAGTGTCAAACGCTATTCAGGTCACAATTGCGCACAGGGCAGTGGTGCAACACAGGCACCACTGCGTGGACAATCAAAAATTTACCGTAGGGATATTTTGAAGGGCACACGCATGACCGGACAAGAATCTGATCCACTCACCGTTCATCCATTTCGTCCAGTTTGGAGGTGGCGTGCAGGCACTCAACAATGGCCGCGGTCTCCACACAATGCATGATGTAGGGATCTCCCGTCAGTCTTTTCTGCAGGGCCAAACCATCACGACTCAGCACAAGCTAAAGACTGCAGCATGTAAAAAGATTGGCAGATCCAAGTGTTATGTTCAAGTCTTGAGGGCCTGCCTGTCCCTCGTGAGCAGCTGCAGCAAACTGCGCAGCACGGATGGCCTCTGGCCTGTTCAGGTAGCGGCTGCAGGTTGTGTTCACGCCGTAAAGATATATGGGTTCCTGCAGGACAAGCACGCAACATGAGAATGTCGTCTGCAAAACATTGGGCTTTAAATAGTGCAATATGTTTCCAGGATTGGCCCAAATATATTCTGATGGTGCAAGTTGAAGCTCCAAGTGAGTCACCTGTTGTGCGTTCTCCTTCTCTTGCTGCGGCGCCAACAGGTGTTCCAGTCTTTCCCAGGCATACTTGGCCACTGGGAGCATGGATGCGCCGAATGAGGCAGAGAGCATCCCGGCAATGCTGTACCACACCAGTGTGTTGCCTGCCTGCGAAAGGGGCCCATGCGCCACTGCACACACCCACACACAGATTTAGCTTTCCACTTCATTGCTCACTTTAATTTTATCAGTGTGAGCTCCAGGCAGTGCACCACAAAGTATCGGTGCTGTACAAATCATGCGGATTTGCATGACGTGTTTTCTTGATGATGCCAGGTGAGCACATGCCACGATTTGCACACCTGACGCAACTGCATTTGCAGATATAGCACCCCCAACAGCTGATGCAGCAGTCCTCCTCACGATCTCTGCTGCCACCTGCAGGGTGCAACGTGGTGTTCAGAACCTCCAAGTAACAACAAAATCCACAAAGACCACAGCCAGGTGTGCTGTACAAGATTGGAAACTGCCACTTCAACAGTAAAAAACATGTCAAAGAATCAGTGATGACATAGATCAGATGCGTTGAAGCGCGATGTAATGCAGACGTTAGGTGTAAAAGCTACTGTTGGTTGGCAGGGTGCCTCACTGGCGCACTCAGCATTGCCCGAGGTGCCATATGGGCTCCACGATGCCTTGAGCGGGCCTCCTTGGCCCCTGCATGCCGCTGTGTCAGCCCTGGAAGGGGTGTGCCTGTGAAAGAGGCTGCATCCCTCTGTAATTCAGGACGCAACGCCCTCTTCATCCTCCCTCCTGTCTTTAGCTTCTGATTCTGTTTGGGAGGACCTCCCTGCTAGGATGCAGGATCGCCACGGCTGGCTTCTTTTGCGTCCTTAACCAACAAAAATATCCAGAGAAGCCAACTCCCGAACTAGACGTCGCCCATTCCCAGCGTCTTGCACAGATTTTCAGACTAGCAGGTAGAAAGAAACCTCCTTATGACCAAACATCAAACTCACTGTGCACAAATGGTATCTCAGGTTCATATACCCCGGATCACAAGCACAAAACGCCACTTGCTGGGTGAGGGCCCTGTCCTTGTGCCGGGCTTATGTCCGATGCCACCAAGAGTGAGCTATTTTGCAAAGAAAGCTGTAGCTAAGAGTGAATACTACAAGATTCTGTGAAACACAAGGAAGCACTTTTGGCCTTGGGTGATGAGTCACTCTATATGACAAGGCCGATCTCCTCAATGCATCGATTTTGAAGCATTCCATTTGCCCATGTGAAAGAGACTGTATGTTAGGCTTGGAAGAGACGTTCTGACTCGCCGATAAGAATATGGCCAGAGACTTTGAATTGAAGGAGTGGATGTGTAGGATTTACTGTCATGCCTCCCAGGATTTCGTTCAGCTTGAGTCGCGTACAGTGCTGGCTATATGTTGTAATCTGATAAGACATGTATGAAGCGCTTATTGCGCGTGAGAGACTGCATGCCATTGCGGACACGTCCTAAGAGTCTGTGCCCGGCATGTAAGGTGTCTAAATGATCTGCAGTTTATTGTACAGGTGAATTGTTGTGCAGCTACAAGCATATGGCTACTCAGAATGGCGCAATCGACACAAATGTCGAGCATTCATCCCCTCATCATGACTCTGAGGCGCCTACTGGCGCTTCAAAGCCCTCTCTCGACTGGGACTACGGAAGCATAAAAATTGATCGCCTTCGGAACCGTTCAAGCTTCTATGCCAAACAAGCTGGCGCCAGCCAAGACCTCATAGGTGAGCTCGATGTGCCCAGCGCGCATGCACAGAGTTCCTTGGAGGCAGCACATGCACCCTTGTCGTTGCATGCACCAGAGAGACTTCCATTACAAAGTCACCGTTTAATACACTGTGGTGCGCAGATGCCCTGGATGCATGCCTTGGAAGCCCGTTGGTACAGAAATTGCTGTCATTCAGCGAGCAGGAACTGAACAGCGTGCTCGTGAATGATGTCTACAAGCCCAAGATGCACAAGGTGTACTCAGATCTGTACACTTCCGTGGAGGCAACATTCTGCCTCAACATCCGCAAGACACCCATGTCCCTGGAGCGCATACATGAAGAGGTCAGCTGCCTTGCTAATTGTTGTCACTTCCACATAGCATCCGTACGTGGGTTTGGGATTTTGCATGGAAGAGTCAGCAAGCATTTTTTACTGTGTGTCATGTGACGTCACTTGCAGGACCCGGCTCTCTTCAGGCAATACGAGCAGCTAGTACACGATCTGAACCGCATTGTGCCGGTGACCAAGGAGAGCAATGAGGTCCTGGAGACCTACAACAACTGTGCCACAACCGAGGTCGGGCCTGCATGCTTTAGTGAACATGCAATGCAACCCTCGTGATTCATCACACAGTATGAACAGGATTTTCCTATTGGCGTGTGCAGAGCATGGAAGAGCGTGCAGAGAAGACTCCATTGCCGCCCGTCATCGTGGAGCAGGCTGACAGAGTAGACGTTACGACTGCAACTGGTCCGTAAGGCCTGACCCCTGATGCCTAATTCCTGAAGCCGAAGTTGACCATACGCACCTTCCAATCTGCTATCTTTGCACTTTCAAGAATGTGATAGCCAGACCTCGTTCTCACTCAATGAGAGCAAAGGCTGGGATTGTCCAGGTCCCGTCGAGGCAGCATCGAACGTTGAGACATCCCTGACGCAGATTGTGCAGCAGATCACTGTACGTGCCCAGGCAAGGTGCACCCACCTCCATATGTCTAATGACATGAAATGCTCCCCGTGCCACTAACAATCAGAGTTTGATGTGAATGCACACAAGATGTCTCCCTCCATTGCCGATACACTGCCCCACATGCTGTAGGTGAGGGACCTCTTCAGGCGCACCGGTGTCCGATTGGACCGCACTGAGCGCCTGGCCAACTCACTGGGGCACCTAGCCGGAGTGCTGCAGCAGCTCTCCGCCCTGGAAGGTTTGCAGACAAAGGTACGTCTCCAGTGTTCCCTCGCTGTCTGCTAGTGTAGGTTTTAGCTGATGTGCTTTACTGCTCATCAGATTGTGGCCCTGTTTTGGAGGGATTGGGGCGCCATCAGGAGCAAGATGATGGTGCTCGCTCAGGGCAAAGGAGCCTTTTGGCCCTGCAATGACATGAGATTATGTGTGAACACTTTGGTCATGCGCCAAGGAGTTCAGTTGGAATGCATTTGCTAGACGTCACAAGTGGGGCATTGCTTGCATGTGTAGAAGCTGAGCAGGGAAGTGGGGTAGTCATGCGCTGAGGTGTCCAGCTGTTGTTGCTGAGTGCAGCTGGCGCTGTTTGCTGGGCGGCGCTCGTCTGACAGGGCGTACCTGCTGCTGCAAAATCTGCTGTGCGCCCGCCACCTGCCGCACTACATGGGCACATCGTCCGTCTACGCCGTCACGCTCATCAATCGCGCCCTTCGCCACCTCGGCATCACTGATCCGCAGCAGCGCATCCCGTACACAGGCGAGCCATGGCCACGCCCCACAATCTCACTTTTTCTGCTTCCGGTGCATGTGTTGTTGCCAGCCGCTTGCTTTTTCAGGCGCGGACAGGGTGTTAGGGGGACGCTGTATTCCATATCATACTTCAATGTGTGCACACATTCTTTGAGAAGCATTGTAAAGAGCGCTTGGCAAAGCATCCCTGTCCCATTCTGCACAGGGGCAGTACATGTACAATTCACTTGCCTCGGGAGAGCCGCTAATCATGCCTACACCATGCCTGCAGACAAGCACCCTGCCGGCCGTTAAGGGGTGGTTTGAAGACTGCACAAAGAGATAGGAAGGAGGCTGTCCCATGATTCAAGTAGCTTGAGCGCGGCTGCATTAACGGGGTGTCTGGGTGGCCTGGCTGCAGGCAGGCTGGTGGGCACACACGCGCACGAGCTAATGATGATCACTGCGCCGCTGCTGGCGCGCTATGACGACGCAGCCGGCAGCGCAAACGCGCCGGTGCCAGTGTCGGCCCTCCTGGCGCACCTGCTGTTCCTGCGCGCCAACGGCGGGGTTCCCTCCGCCACCGCCCTCGCCGACACCTTCGGCACCGCTGCCTTTGTGGAGGTGAGAGTGGTTTGGTCTCCACTGCCTGCAACCATTATGTGATGCCTGCAACAGATCTCCATACAAGTTCACCTCCTTGGTGCACTGAAGAATACCTACAACGATGATGAATTTGCATGTCAGCTTTACGGGGTTAAAACACCTGTGTTCCAGCGGGCGATCCTGTATGGTGACATACTGTAGGCTTTGCGCATATGACTCTCTGGATCAAACTGTCTGTCCCTTCCCTTGTGGCAGAGGTCTCCAGAAGACAGAATGGATGCTTCTCTGCTGTTTTTTGAAATCTTACAAAGCTGATGTGCATTTGCAGGCGGCGCTGGTGTCAGAGGTGCCGGCAGAGTTCCTTGAAGATATGGCGGAGCGTCACCCGGAGGAGCCGCCACTGCCGCGCGGCTGCAAGGTGTTCGACCTCTTCCGCACCTGGCGCCTGGACTCTGGGTCCTATGAGAACATCGCAGAGGTCAGCCCCAGCCCCGTGATAGTGGCCTGCTGCCTGTTGTCTTCTTAAAGACCACTCAGGAATGTCGGGTTTTAGATAATTGCTTTGGCCTTGCAGACATGGTGGGGTTGCATGAGGATGGGTTCTCTTGGAGAGATCACCAAGCGGTTCCCAACAAGTGAACAGGAACCTGCCTGCGAATAGAATTGTCTTGGAGGGTTGCAAATTGTGCATTGTTGCCTAAAGAAGCCTGCGTCCTGGCTTCACAAGATATGTGTGATTTGCCAGGTGGTGGTCAGCGCGTGGGAGCGGCGGCGAGCAGCTGGCAGCCCCATGCCACGCCCGGCTCTCATGCATTCCAACCTGCGCTCCGCAGGGGAGGTCCTGCAAGTCTGCAGGTGCGTGCATACCCGCTGCTGCTTTGTTCCTCAGCAGAACCCGCTCACTGCCCAGCACCCATGGCCTATGTCCGTTGCCTGCAATCATACCAAGACAAGTGTTCTATGATGGAACTTCTATATGATCAATGTGAAGAGTCCCTCGTTTGAGATGATCAGCATGTGCTGCGCTGAGCAGCTGCAGTGATGGTTATACAAATTTGTTTGAGTATATCTGACAACAATTGTGGGGTCTGCATGCAGATTGCCGGAGCGCATCCGTCCAGCGGTGTGCGCGTTCGGGGGTTTGACCGACGGCTTCATGCCCTTCCACCTGCCCGGCGGCGATGCCCTCCACCTGGAGCTAGCCAGCGTGGTCATGAAGGCGGTGCAGGCGCGCACCCTATACCACTTGCATTTTGTCATCTGCAGTCCTCATCACATGCATATTCTACAAAATGTCATCTGCTCCAATGCATGCCTATCTGTTTGACAGCTTTCATGGAATTATAATCTGCAGATTGTACAATTTTTGGATGTGATATAGACAGGCGGTTTGCATGTACAATATTCTGACAAGACACCGCTTGCTAACATTTTTCATTGCTTTGCAGGCGCGCATTCCTGGAGAGTCGGCTGCGGATGAGGCGCTCATGCCCTGCGCAGGCAAGCTGGGGGATGACGCCAACATGGTTAAAGCGCAGGTGGGTGCCTTCCAGGGCATTCTTGCATCCCGACTTCATCTGATGAACAGGTGGCGCAGAGTGTCAGTGGCAGACTGGCGTGAAAAGAATTGGGCTGAAAGCTGTGTTCCTGACTCGCTATGATGCAATTCCTGACTGCATCATAGCGAGTCAGGTAGAGTGGAAGTGAAGGGTGGAGGTGGTGAGATGGTGTCATAGGAGTTCATGGCATGTCTTGCATAAGGCTGCCGCATAGTCTCATCCCTGATCCAGAACGCCTTGAAGGAGCCACAGCGGTCTCCCCTGTGTGAGTTCAATGTCTTGGCAGAGTACTTAGGACGGATGCTGGTGCCTGGCAGGTGGATCCCCGGCTGCCGGCAGCAGAGCAAGAGAAGGTCAAGACGCGCATGGCCGCCCTGTTCCGCTCCAGGGACGCTGTTCCCGGTCGCGCCAGCTCAGCGCTCGCATCAGCATACCATGACGTCACCCGTCGGCGCGTGCTGTGTCAGCGGCCTGACTGATGGGCTTTATTCATTTGAGCAGCTCTGGATCAACTGGGCTATGTCACAGTGGATAGCAGTGGCAGAGCTAGCTGTCCTCAGACGTCAGCATGTTGGTTCAGTTCATCATTCAACTAGAAAGCATTTAGGAGTTCAACTCCTATCTCCCAACTCTCATTGATTTGGACCACGGCCATCTGCGGTTTTGAGGGCTCAAGAAATGCTCAGAGACCTGTCACAGTGTCTGATGTCACTTATTTTGGTCTTCTGAAGATGTGAGATTTACATGCCTGGACAAATATCCTTGACAAATTTGCTGCCGCATTTCTCTGTAACGACATCGACAATTAAACATGTCCTCTATCACTTACCTGACACCTTATTGGTGTATTACTCTTCACAGTGGTTCCTTTCTCTCAAACATGCAAAGCAGAAGTGAACAAGACAGAGATGGTATTTTTAGTGCATCAACAGTCATTACATGAGAGCAGCAGACATAGCAGCAAATCCAGAAACAAAACACATCAAATCAGTCAAAACAATCTTCCTAAATCATTCCTATATAGCTAGTAGCTATCACGTTCCTGATAGTGGAACCGTCCAGGTGTCCAGGTGGACAATGAGTGCTATTGGTACAACATAAAATCTGCGCATGCATTAAAACATACTTATATAGGTCATTTGTTGTCTTCTGGACGCCATTATGGACAAAGGAAGGAAGGAAGGAAGATTACATCACTCCAGCCGCCTAGGGCTGATTGGATGAACTGGCAGCATCCAAATAATCAAAACAATCCATCACAAAATGTGCAACACCAACAATGTCCAACTGCCACATGAATTGCTGCATCGTCACAATGGCTGCACCAAACAGCCCAGGATATCTGTCCCGAACAGATTGCAAGGCAGGGCACTCAAACACAAGGTGGCGCTCATCCCAAATCACAGCTCCTCTGGAACTGACACCCGTCGCCAGGCCAGATCTGGTGGGCGGTCCCACACTGACTCTCCTGTGTCCTGATTGTAAAAAAATGGTCGCTCGTACTGCTCACTCCAGCCCTCAACCCATGTATACTGCAGTGCCTGTGTGCAGTACACTGTCCTTTAGGCACAGCCTTAAGCCATCCTCTGATTCCAGCAAAAGGACGGGCCAAAGCCAAATGTCCAGTGGCTCTGCACTTTGCAGTGTGAGCAGACAGTCATCATGAGCCCAAACAGAGACCACAGCTATGTTGCCGCAGCGCCAGGGCTCGAAAAATCCACAAATAGGAGGAGGCACTGGCCCACATGTGAAGGAGCTTGCAGGCGTTCCTCACCTCTTTATCACTGTACTCCTGCTGCCCATCCTTGCCAACCCAGTACAGCAGCCCACTTGCTGTCTCGAATGGGACATCTGGAGCACAGGCAAAAAGCAACCCTCAAGAATGCAGGTACAGGAGACACAAAGCTCAAGTCCAGAGTATGTCCAAATTGCCTTAGTCTGAGGAGGACAAAGGCCCTCACCGCCAGGATCGTCCCACTGCACATCTCCAGTCACCGTATTCCAGAAGTAGTGCCTGTTTGCAGACGGTCCTTTACTTCTTGATGACCTGTGAGTGTGTGGGAGGTCACTTATTTGCTTGGTGTGAGCATACCTGGCTGCAGATTCATGTTGTCCTAATCTCTCATATCCCTCTGACGGGATGATCACATTGTGTTCGCAGGACACCGCTTGGAGCGTGCTCCAATATAGCACCGAGGAAAGGATGACTGAAGTGGTGAGGATAATGTGAGAACACATCCCGAAACTACATGCCAGCTATTATCAGCAATTATTACAAACTTGTTTTGTACATTGTAACCTAATAAGAGGTGCCTCTGACAGAAGAATGAACTCTCGAAGAGTGCAATATTTCCTCAAGGAAAATTTGTACAGAAAGGTCTGCAGCGTTGCCGAAGCTGAAGATGCAAGACTGTGCTCCCACCTGTACTCTAAAGAGACTTTGTGAAGCTGAGCCTGTGTATGGATCTAATCCTGGGTTCAAAGAATTCTCGGGACACGTGTCAAAGAGTGATGCCCCTGATTAGGATCATCCCCCATGCAAGCCAGCCTTCAACTCTGGGATCCAAATTTGTCCCTGCTTCATGCATCAGATTCCATGCAATCTGCATGGCTGTCAAAGTCATCAGAACAGCGATCGCCCTCTGTGATCCTGAGGTGCACAATGCATGCCAGTGGCAGTGATATAAGCCGGCCCCGACAGGAGCACGCTTCTGTCACCATATATGCAGACCGTATATACAGACTGTAAAAGTGTTGAACGGGCCCGGGCGATCGAGCTCGAGCTTGAGCTCTTTGCTGATGAGCAATGCTTTCGGTCTGACATTTACATTTGATCACTCACGCAGCGCTTGGCAATACAGCATGAGAACACTTGTATTTCACTATCAGCTACAGCTAGTGTTCTGAAAATCAGGTATAATGTTGAGCGTTGGGTCAGATCAATCTGCAGACTCTCAAGCCTCGATCATGCCGTACTGGCAACGTGCAGACAAACTCTGACAGTTTTGAATATGTTCAGCGCAGACAGCCTGGTTCACAGCCCAGGCCTGATCATACAGGATGGATTTGGCCTTCTGGTATGAAGAGATACAGGGATTGCATAGTCTTGGTGTACACAGGAGCAGTGGTCAGCCCAGAGCTGCTTCTCATTGGCCTCCTCACAAGAGCTCCACGCAGGCCACAAAGGACCTTATTCACTGCATTGCACTGCTTTACAGGACCTGCAGAGGGTAATATAGGTCACTGCAGCGCAGCATGCAGCTGGTGCTTCTGCTGGGCTGTCACAGCCGACGGGAATTCTATACGGAAGCGCACGCACAGATCGCCGGACCTGCCCGGATCCTCTGGCACCGGCATCCCCTTGCCGGGCACTCGCAGCACCGTCTCTGGCGTGATTGGCCCGCGTAAGGCCACCTGTTTTACCAGAACACCAGTCGCGCCTCAGCGAATTGTGATAGCATACATGCATTTCTGGTACCATGTCCGCCTCCCCTCATGGTGGATGCAGTACTATCGCTAATCACAACTTCCAGAATAGCTTTAAATGCTGTACTTAGAGCCTGCTGCTAGCAGGAGCGCTCCTTGACAACCGACGGGAGACGCCAGTCATGCAAGATGTCGCAACTGGTGCTCGCGCAGTACATTTGGCAAACAAATAGAACAAATTGGCAAGGCTCTCAGGGGCAGGCTGCAATAATTGGCAAGCAGAGGGCAAGACACTGCAAGCACTGAGGTGCATGCGCGCGCACCGGCAGTGAACCTCCGCCAAGGGTGGGCACGAGGATGCTGTCTGCTGTGAGCGCCTGCAGCAAGGGTAGGCTGACGCAGGTGACCAGGTCATTGGCCCTGCGCTCAAACTGGGGGTGCAGCGCCTCTCGCACCACCAGCACAAGGTCTGAGCAGCCCCTCCCGGGGGCCTCGTCGCCCATCCCCCTCAGCACTATCCTGCACAGAAAACACCATGCATTTCCGGTCCACTACCTTGATCTGCAGCAGCCTTAAAAGACAAGACTAGGGCACAGCATGCGATTTTGATCATCAATGTGCACCAGTGGACACTTCTAGATCAGTGACACCCCACAAGCCCAACCTTTATTGGTCCTCCAATCTACACACAGTTGTCAATTTGTCCTGTCAGGCAGTTCACATGCTCAAGGCAGAACATTGTCTCAAGCAGATGAGGCCTCTCCTGTCCAGAGCAATCCTCTTGTTGCCACTCTGTTGGTGTTGCAGAGGTAAGCATTCTTCTGGAAGAAAAGATCATCCTCCTTCCGGGTTGGATCTGGGTTGGATTGCTACCTGGTGCCCTCGCGGATGCCGGGTGTCAGCTGCACAGCCACGGCCTCGTCCACGGAGATGAGCCGGCCAGACACGCCGTCGGCCAGACGGCGAATAATGGTCAGATCCTTCTCCCCGCCGCGCTGCACCTCTTCCAGTGTCAGCGTCAGAGGCAGCTCCAGGTCCTTGGTCGCTGCACCAGCCAGCATGCACGGGTCATGGCAGTGTTCTGGCACCGCGAACAGTCTCGAGATCCCTCAGCTGCCAGCAGGTGGGATATATACTCTCTCAAGTGCAGCAGAAGCTAAGATAAGCTTGCAAACTTGTTGCACTTCAAGCTTTCCATCGCTATACCCTCTCATGTGACTTCAGCAAGGCGCCACTGGATAACCGTGTGAGCTTGGGAGCATGCATGCATGATGCAGATCCAGGCTTGGGCTCATGGGAAACAATCAACATTTGGGTGTGGTGCAATGGCAGAGGACAGATCAGGCGCACCTGTTGTTGTTGAAAACCTTGCGGTCGTGCTGACGCCGGAGCTGAAGAGACCTTCTCGGCTGAAAGTGCTGGACTGCTGATGGCTCCAAGAGGTCTCGAATGAGTACCCTGTTGAGTCATTGAAGCCTGATACGCCGCTGGGAGAGTTGCTGCCTCCAAAAAAATCATTGAAGAGCTGCTGCAGGGAACCCTCTGGACTTGGTTGCCCTGCAAAGCATTGAAGGGTTGAAACTACGGTTTGCAGGCTAGTACGACTGCTTCCCAGCACTTGAAGAGCCAAGTATGCGGACATTGAACCGGCAATAAAATCACATAAAGGAGACGTGTGGCCAAACTCCGAACTGTGTATCAAGATGCGAACTGCAATTTCGTGCTCATCGTACCGTACGTTGCTTTCTTGCAAGCCCTCTGGCTATCAGCTAATCCACTGTGATCGTACTTCCTCCTTCTCTGCAGCACATGCAATCCATATGAAAACCCGAACAGATTCCATTGGAACCTTCGACACATCAACTTCACAGAAATACACCTGGAGCGTTGCAGCACAGTAAAATATGCAGTGGAATGAAGTGGATGTAAGAATGAATGAAAATGAATTATCGCACGAAGATCGGAAATGATACACAGTTAGTTGCCGGACATCCCACCGCGGCGTCAGACAACACTTCGAAAGCGTGACACAGATGCTGGAACTCCTGGGTGGCTCGCTCTCGGTCCTCTTGAATTACTTTGTCGGGGTGGAGACGTGCAGCTCTCCTACGGTATGCTCGCTTGAGCTCTTCTTGCGTGGCATCGACTTCAACACCGAGCACTTGGTACAGGCTTTCAGGGCGATCATATCCAGAAAACATGGAACAGGTATCCTTCGCGAGTTTCATATTTATTTGCCTCCAAGAAAGATCAGAAACTTCAATCCCGCAAAGGACATTCGAGAAGGGTCGAGACATCCTAGCACGACAACAAGATAATATGTTGCAGAAATCCATGAGGTGTCATCAAGCGGATCGGGCGCTGTAGTGTAGTGGTTATCACATTGGACTCTGAATCCAATAACCCCAGTTCGACTCTGGGCAGTGCCTCACTTTTTTTCCAGGATCTTTTGTATTCTTCATATTAAAAGCAAGCCGGTTTGGTCCTGTACAGATGACTGTTATGAACGCATCGTGAGGATGGAATTGGGTGGAAAGCCAAAGCTAGCCTATAGGTGAATCCCTTATGCATGTGATTGCAAATTTCCGCTAAAGAAGAGATGCATGTGATTGCAATTTCCGCAGCCATTTCAACTTTCTAGATTCAAGCAATGGAGGTCCAATGGAAATTTAAGTGGCCCACCGGGTTTGGCATGCCGTGTGACTCACGGTGAATGTGAAGTATTGCAGTCTGACCATCAGCGGGCAATCAGGTACGGCAATCATATGAGACATGCACGGCGCAATTGCCCCCTTTCTTGACTCGATCAGCTGATGCATACAATAGTTGATATCAGAGGCAAGCTGTGCATGCTGCCCTATGAAAAAGCTGGACGCCAGTTTGCCTCGGTGAGCAAGCACTGCATTCACAAATCATTTTACATGCCTGCTGTACCAAATAAGACAGCTGAAATGATCAGAACTGCTCACATCCCTGGCACCCAGCAGACCTACATACAAGCATCAGGCTGCACACACACCAGGCAACGCTCCAAGTGTCGCCTACTCCTCATCCTCGTCAGCACCGCCCTCCTTGAGCTGCGCCAGCTTGGTCTGCACAAACACACACCACAGCCATGAGCACCCACAAGTACACACTCATACAAATACCCTCCTCATGGTACAGCACCCTTTGCTGAGGATCCCAAACCATGGCGTGCACCACGAAAGAGTGCAACCCGTCACACTGCGGCAGCACACTTACAGAAGTCCACAATCTATAGATGTATTGTATGCATAAGAAAGGACAGAACTTAAGATGGAGAGCTTCTCGGGTGAGGCCAGGGGGAAAGAGGTACCTTGAGGGCGGCCTTGCGCTCCTCGTAGGTGAGCTTGCTGGGCTTCCACTTCTTCTGGGCAGTCTCTGGCTTGCTGCGCTCCTTCTTCTCGCCGATGGGGTTTTCCCGGATCTTCTCGTGCACCTGCCCAGGCAATCAGCACCCATCAGCCGCTGCCATGCCACTATCACAGCAGCCTCACATACATTACTAGTGGGCTACATCCAGTCCAATTACATTCAATCGGACTATGAAAGAGAGATCTATGACGAACCCCTTTCATGAATGGACCCGTAAATTGCACATTCCGGGAAGAGCACGCTGCATGATCTGCCCTCATTCGGGCTTTCCCTGCCCACAGTTCAAGTTTTCCCTTCCAGCTTAGCAAATAAGAAGAGGGGCCTCTGCGCCCGGTCCCCTAGTGTGCACGCGGCAGTGGTAACATATGAAAATGATGTCAGGCAGGGGGCGCGCACCCCCTTGTAGAGCTCCTCGATGTCCTCGGGGTCGACCTCGGCCTCGATCCACTTGGCGAAGTGGGACTGGTACTTCTCGGGCGCCTCCTCCTGCATCTCCTCCATGTACTCTGCCACGTGGCCGCCGTAGATGTGCTTGCGCAGCACCTCCGGGTCCAGCTTCTTGTCCTCGCCGCTGTACCCCACAAACCGCTTGTCGCTGTGCGGGATGTCCAGCCCGCCGTCCAGCGCACCCTGCCATCAGCATGACATCAGCGCGTCAGCATATCCGCACGATATGACATCAGCGAGCAAATGAATGCCTTCAAGGCATCTCTGTCTTCGCAAGTCATGTACTAGAGGTCATGTGAGGCCTTAGGTTCCAGAGGCTTGCAACAAGACCACTCTTCCCCCTGCCCCCTCTAGGTGCCATCACAGCACAATGCACTGCCACGGCCACAGCTCTAGGAGGCTGGACTCCTGCCATCTTGGCTTGGGGGGCCTCCACAGACACGGCAAGAGAGGGAAAGAGATCGGCAAGAGATCGCATTCTTAGCGGCCCTCAGTCCCCACAGACTGTGCGTATGCGTCATGGGAACTGGGACACTCCATCCAAAATCTCCCATCACCACTTGCGCCGTATATGCGCAGCCTGCTGCATTGGTGCATTGGGGCCGGGCTGCTGCGAGTGCGCACCTTCAGGGCAGCGAAGACCTTGGAGCCGGTGGAGGTGCGCTTGAGGCCGGTGTCCAGCAGCGCTGTGAAGGGGCGGGGGCCCTCCTCAGCAGCCTCCACGTTGTAGTCCTCGCCTGTCGCCTCCTCCTGCCCCACACAGCCACTTTCAACAATCACAGCCCTGAAAGCCTTCAGTACTGAGTGCCTTGAACCTTGCGCCTGATGCCAATGATACGTACATGCTGCTACTGTGGATGCATGGTTATCCAGCAGACGTCATGATGCCTCAATTGAAGAATCAGTGCAGGGAGGTGTGGATTTGCACCTGTCCAACATAGGCATCTGCCAGGCCAAACTTGGTCAGCACACGCCTGGCCAGCAGCAGGCCAGTAGCGTATGTGGCAGCGTAGTTGGTCAAGCCAACTGACAGTCCATAGTTGACCAGCTCGTGGCTGTAGGCAGATGCCACAATGACGTCTCCAGCAACAGTGGCATAGGCGACCTGGCAGATGACGTCCTTGTTTGTGAAGCGCACCACAAAGCGGTACTTGGGGGTGTTGTACCTGCAAGATCGTATCTGAAGATCAGGATCGCTGATATAGAAATTCTAAAAAGGATGCAGTCGATCAGTTGCAATAGGCAGCTACTGTATTGATTGACAATATTTGCTTGACTTTCCCCAAACGTTAATGTCATAGACAAAATATTTGCTGCAGCTCAATGCACGTCTTCTGCGTACTTGTTCTTGTCCTGGGTAGTAAGCCTCAGACGTGCACGGTAGTCTGTCTTTCCCTCTCGCCTTCTCCGGTACTTGACCTGATACCTGCTGTGGTAAGGACCCGACTTCACGACCTTAACGTGACCCATGTTGCCTGCGTGCAACAGGGATCCTGATGTTTGCAATGGGCAATTGTCCAGGCTTGGCGGCTCATCAACCTTCGATGACCGCCTCGTCTACATTGCAGATTCGCTCGGCCATTCCTCAAAAAGAACAAGGATGATCGCAGGACTTGCTAACTTTGCAGCTCGGATGCATACGCATACACAATCGCTATTCGATGTTAAAAACGGCAGCATCGATCTTGGCATCACAAGTCCCCGCTTCCTGTACCAGTTGGCTACTTGTAAACGCGTGCCAGATCTGAGAGAGAGTGGCTTGAGGACATTAGACTCTTTTACAGGGATCGGGTTGGCCTGGTGGCAACGAAGAATGTTTGAGAGCCAGGTATCCAAGTCGATGATCATCTTGCACAGGAAGTACAGTGAAAATGCCTTGCACGGTGTCCCAGCCACAACTGTCATCAGTGTGATGCACCAGGAACTCGTCTTGCAAATTTTCTGTTGATTCAAATGGAGCTTGCTAGCTCTCCCCCGGCAGGAGTTTTCAAGATGTGAATGGCATGCATACAAGTAAAACTTGGGAGAGCACGCAGGCAGGGCAAAACCATGTACTATGGCCTGGCCTGGCCTGACCATGGTGTCGTTCAGATCATTCAACTTCTGACATCAGCAGTGTCCTTTGCAATTTACAAAACAATTGTCATTGCACACTGAAAACTATGTAAGAAAACAAAACCAGAATTGCCCATAGCACATTTTTTGCTGCACAGAAATTTTGTCACAGCAGCAGAGTTTCAAGTCAGTCAAACAGCAAACATCATCCTGACATGCTCAGTGCTATTCTCAATCCAGCAAGAAATTCATATCTGCGTTGCCGTTGCCGTTGCAGCAAAAGCAATCAGAAATAGCACTGTCACATCTACGGAACACGTCCCTGTAACTCTGGATATCTCAAATTGAAGCCTTTTTGTACAGCAATCTTTGCTGAGCAAAACAGGGCGAACAGTCCTTGAAGAGCACAGACAATGAACGGAAGGAAAAACCTCTTTATTCCTGTGCCTCTCATCGGTACCAAAATGTACCTAATGTAAGCTGCCAGCTCCAGTGGACATGCCCTGCAGAATACTCAATCTCCCTGTCAAATATGATACAGTCATTGTGAGTTCAGGAGAGACCTCTGCAAAAGTCCACCAGGCAACCCCTAGGCCTTGCGCTCGATAACACCTTAGACAATCCTATTTTTGGCCTGGATCCTGGGGTTCAATCCTCCAGAGAACATCACAAAACAAAACCTTGTACACGCCTGGTCACTGCCTCGCAAAGTGTTGCGACATGCGTGGATTTATATGTGTCGACTCGGCATGCATTGCCCTAGCTCTTTGCAGCATTCCCCAGCCGAGACGACACAAAATGGTACAATGCTAGGCCGGGTGATGTGTCGAAGTGCCAGCGCATATGCACCTACTTCCAGAAACTATTCTGCCACACCCCCGACATGAAAAGAAACCGCAATACCGGTCCCAGGACAAATGGATATGTACGCCTTGGAGAGAAATGACACATGGCAGAAATTTATACGATCCGCAGTTGCAGCAGATTGTATAGGACCTCATGGGGCAAAAACATTTAACTCTTTGGAGCAGCTAGCTCGATCACGGAGCTTCACTGCTGCTGATCGTAAATTTGACACCTCATCGACAGCGTGTGAAAGGCCTCGGCACATGTTGTGCTTCTGAGAGGCACCACAGGTTTGCGGGCGCCCAACAGAGAATCATGTGTGGGCTGTGGCAATGCGGACCAAGGGCCAGGCCTGTCGTCATGCATCCCTGCTTTCATGTAACGTAACAGACCGCCCCACCCAGAGGTCAAGCAGTGGCTCAGGGCGCAGTCAGGCTGCCCCCGAGTGGAGGTCAAGCTGGCGCCTCTGGGGTCCATGTGAAACAACAGATGCGGCTGCGGCTCAGCCGCGCGGCGTGACGGAGAGCTGTGGCATGTGGCGGAACATGCCCATGAGCTCGCGGCAATTGAACATGTAGGAGCCGTTGGGCAGCGCGGCCGCCTCCTCGCCGTCCTCACCGTAGCAGGCCGGCGGCGCGTCCAGCGTCGGCTCCGCGCGCGGTCGGGGGCCCCCCAGGTCCCCCCCCTCCTGCTCCTGCAGCAGCCGCTGCAGCGCGCCGCCCTCCTCCGTGAAGTCCCTCCACTCCTCGTCCCCCTGCAGCGACCCCACACCCTTTTGAGCTTGGGCAGATTCTTGGCAGCACACTAGGACCCTGCCACAGCAGTTGGGCCCCGAGCAGCCCAGCGCGATGGGATCTAAGAGACAAATTGGGCACCGCATGCATTGGGATGGCAGTGCTTAAGACCCAGGTGTGTCACGAGGAGCAAGCATGCAGGTGACTGGACATCGATTCACAATCTGGGCACTGCAGTTGTTTCCAGTTGCACAAGAGAACAAGCGCCATTCAACTAATATATTCCAGCTAGTTCCTCGCTCGCACCTCCAGCCGCTCCTGCAGAATGCCAGAGGCCAGCCCGTCGCGCGAGTGTGCCTGCAGCAACGCTGCGACCGCCACAACAAAACCCGACAGCGGCAGACGCCGGCCTTGGGGCATGTCTGCAGCGGCGATGCCCACCGCCGCCAGCTGGCGCTGCAGCGGTGGCACCGCGCTCTGGCCGGCAGCGCAGTCGCTCACTCCCGCGCCCATTTCTAGCTCCAGTAGCGGCCGCCACAGATCCGAGATCTTGCTCGACAGCGCAGCCCTATACAACCAGTACGCTCCAGTCAGAATAATGCCGAGTTCGTTCCTAAATCTCAGGAGCTCTTGCAGGCCTTACGAAGGTTTTTTCAGACTGGCTTTATGCCTGCAACCAGCTCTAAGCGCCGTGCTTCCAAAAGTGGAAGTTTGAGCATATGCATGGGTGATACAAAATCTCAATTGGACAGAGCCAGGTATTGCTCGTCACCTGAGCAGCTTGAGGGTGACGGCGTGCAGGGCGTTATTGGCAGGGTGGGCAAAGCAGAGGTGGACGAGGCGCGGCGTTATCCCGGTGCCTGCAACCGCTTCGTCCAGTACAACAGCCCCAGCACCGACCAGCAGCGCTCCCATCTCTGCAACAGCAAGCCTGTGGCTGCCTACTGCAGCCTGCGCACAAAAAGTTCCTTGTCATCTCCTGCCTGATGGATCAAAGAAGGCCATGCATTCCCCTGATCTGCACCTGACCGCCCTGATCCACGCATGAGGGACAGGTCTGAAGGAAGACTAAGAACCCTTGGCTCTGAGCCTTAGGTTCATGCAGTTTGCGAGCATCAACGAAACTAATATAGGAGTTTTACAGGTCAAGCAAATTCACAAGCACCCTTGTCATGCTCAGCCTGAGGTTGACAAACTTCACAGCATCAATAAAACATTTTGAATCAAAAAGTAGGTAATGCAGTTCGAATGTAGTCATATTTGCTTGAGTAGCACCTGTGGGATGCCGTTGGAGGAGGGCCAGACGACAGGGCGAGGCACTCGGTCTAGCACAGCAGGCAGCAGGTGCAGCCGCCTGAACGCATGCGTGGTGTGCGGCTTGAAGTCGTCTGCACAGGTGCTGTCCAGCATCGGCAGTTGGAGACCCGCCATCTCAACCTGCAGCCAGCAAGCATGCATCTGCCCATGTGCCACCACATCAGACATGTGCGAAGTGTTGCTGGATCACCGCTCAAGTGGCACATGTGGCAGGCATCGATGCAGCAGTATCCAAGGTTAGACACACACCTGGATGGCAGAACAGATCTCTCGAAGAGCGTCCGACAGCACATAGCTTGTGCCGGAATCCTTCTCTAGCTCCTGTTCTACCTGCACGGATTCACACGACATACATCAACTGCTGTGCTGAAGCGTACGTGTCCATGCCGGGGAAGATGCTCAAGGCCTCCAGAGGAGTATATCTAGTCCTTTACTAAAGGGATGGAAGGGGTGATACTTCAAGGGAATCTCACCTGGCCCCACAAGCGCTCTGCCACCAATTCAGGCTCTTCCTCAGGTTCTTCTGGCTCCACAGCAACCCCATTCGGCTTTGCTTCGTCATCGTTGCCCATCTGTTGCAGCATGAATTGTGACAGGCATTCAGAAGCACTCACGCACCCGGACATGGTTGGTTCAAAAAGGCAGGGACTGAAGGCACGGTCGCCACACGACTTGAGGGAAGCACCCTCTACCAAGCTCTGCACTTGGGACATAGCAACTTTGTGATGGGAGATTTTTGCAGGAATGGGGGCAGACATGGGGGTTGCAGCAGGTCGAGCAGCTCACCTGGAAGAATTGCATAATGAGGGGGGAGTTGTATCCCTTGCCATTGCTGCAGATATGCTCTTCTTCTTCCTCCTCGTCGTCTGCGATGCTGTTGGCTTGCAGCGCAAACGGGGACACCGACACGGCAGGCACCGCGCTCTTCAGCGCCCCCACCAGCACTGTGAGCTGCTTCCTAGCACTCCACAAATGAGCCTGCGAATAGGACAACCCCCTGTTGAAGTCATGTGCACCAGCGGGCAATGGCTTCACATGCAGCTGAAGTCTTACTAACGGATTTGTTTGATTGTTTGAATTTGTCTGCAGCACTCGTCATGTACACAGTGTCCCATGCTGCGTCCCACAATGGTGAATCTGGTGCGCAGTTATAGCGATGCTTCTAAGAGGGGGGACAGCTGGCAGAAAACTACTTACCAAGCTTTTGTGGTCATCACTGGTGAAGGGGTTGCCTCTGATGTCCAGCTCAATGAGGTCTGAGGCTGCGCCGGCTCCCAAGGCTCCAAACAGCGCCTGCCAGGCGCAGACAAGGGGTCAACACCAAGAGATGACTTGCACACTCGCATCAGAAGGTAATGGCTTAGAAACAACTGCTATGAATACCTTGGCGCCTTCGCTGGTGATGCTGTTGTGGGAGAGGTCGAGCGATGTGACAGTTGTGTTGCTGGCAAGCGCATCTGTGAGCTGCAGCAGGCAGGCATTGTGTCAGGAAACAAGCCATGGCATGCTAGCAAACGGATTCAAGTGGGCATCATAATGCCTGGAAGGGCTGCATGCCAGGCTAGCTCCATATAGATGCTTACCGTTGCCATGCTGGAATCATGGAGGTCGCAATTATCGAGTGACACCCAGAGACCGTCTGCATCTCGAGACTTCAATTTCTCCACAACTGTCTCAAACCTGTGAAGCCATGATTATGAATCCTCCCGATGATGCTGTCTTATGAGGCTTTCCAAGACAAGTAGCTAGGTAGGTGCTGGGCTGGAATCATGGAGACTTACCGCCGCTCTGCCTGGGCCTTGAAGCCTCCTGTTTTCTTCTTCTTCTTCCTCTGCATAAGAAGCGCCCATTATCCCCGCAACACAGAGGCTCGGAATATTTTGAGCCGGCAGAAATGTTCTACTAGGTACTTTGAGTGTATCATGTGGTGAACGAACGGCTTCTACAGGAGGAAGCACGACATGCAGTCGGCTATCACCGTCGGCAAGGACAGAGACCCAGCAAGATGGGTTGGTATGGACCGATCACTCAAGACTGCATCGGCAAATACACGCAATGCGTAGCGTAAATCCTCTAAATGGTCTGTGCGTTATCCTAGAGAAGAATCCTCACCTTAGTCTTTTTCCTCCCTTCCTCACTTCCTTCCTTTCCGTGCGAAATTATTCCATTTGGTACGTGCTTTTCACTAGTACCTGTAGAAAAACAATCTGCATCTAACGCTAGCGATGAGCAAACTCCCTCCTCTCGCATCTGCTTGACTGGAGGACTGCCAATCCCCTCAGAGCGACCTCGACCCCAGCGTGTCCAAACCTTAGGTCCTGACTCTTCATGAAAGGACGATGCAACTCTACGGAGCCTCTGCGGGACAAAATGCCGACAAAAACTCCTCCCAGAGTGCCAAACGCGTTTCGGCCAAAACAAAGTTCGAAGCAGCCAAAGTAGGCAACTGGCCGCTCCGTTGGAGCTCCATCGACAGCCTCATTATGGCAATTCTTCCATGCGATCATGCGGTGGCAGCAATAAACTGGCAAGGGATCACCTTCAACTGAAATTTCTATCTTGTGAAATCTGTGGTGCATTGCCGTGAAGCGGCTTGGAGAGGGCATCCGCCCCTTGGTGTTCTCAGGAGGGAAGGTGTATGCTACGAAGCCTCGGTATATTTTGAAGATTTCCTGCAGATCAAGGAATTTTGCAGGGCCGTCTGACTGCTGCAGTCCGTTTGCCGCTTGCATTTTCGAGGCATATACCCCTCAAGCGATCTGCTTTGGGGCGGCCGATCAGTCCGATGTACCACTTTGATCAGCACGAGGTTCTTGAAGTAAGTGGCCCAAGTCCGCCTCATTGAGTTTGATGTACACACACTGCCATTCAATGGCCACCTTAATATCTGCCCTGCCTTTTGCCTCGCAGGGTTTTTTGAAGTCATGGGGCATGATTTTGCTCTCAGAGATCGGCGACAAGACGTTCTTCATTGCGGCCATCATGGCCATGAAGAATCGTAGGCGGACGGTGAGCGCTTGATGCCCTTGGACATCGAATGCCCTTGCCCGATCATCCTTACGTGTGGACTTTTGAAGTGACTGGTCTTGATATGTGATATATGACCGCAGGTTTTCATGGGCGCCATTGGTGCTTTGGCATCGATGACTGTACTATCAGCTGCGATGGGATGGGCAGCACCAAACTTGGTGAGTGGCTGCTGCATAGGGTTGCTTTTTCGCCTCACTGACCTACAAGTGTGTCTCTGATTGCCTCGGGCTGTGATGTTGCAGATCTCCAAGAAGTACACCCACTATGCTGCAATCACGCTCTTCCTCTACTTTGGCTTGCGAATGCTGTACGAGGTGGCTGTTGGTGGTGATTCGGTGCGTCCACCTGTGAAGCATTTTTGTGTGTACATTGTCCAGTGAGACTCTCTTTGAGAGAAATAATCTCATGCTACTAGCAATATACATGGCCGATGATGAGTCTATTTATCAGGATCAACCACCAGATTATCCGCTGATGACGCTTTGATAATACTGAGGCCACAACAAAGACACCTGCACGTTGCCTTGTCCTGGCACATTGTCCAATGCGCATTTATCTCATGAAACAGATGTGAACTTGCTGTGAAGTAACACAATCAAACAGCCATCAGAAATAGCGCCAGGCCATCAGGATTGATGTAAAAGTGCTGTTTCAGGAGGGTGCATCGGAGTATGAGGAGGTGGAGAAGGAGCTGGGGAGCAAGGCTGCCAAGTCAGGGTCCAAGGGGAGTCTCAATGGGGAGGGGGACGCCAAGGGCAGGAACAATGGGCAGCTGCTGCGGCGGCTCTTCTCGCCAGTCTTCCTCGAAGCATTCGTGCTCACTTTCCTCGCAGAGTGGGGCGACCGGAGCCAGGCAAGGGACCCTGAAACCCATTTTGGCCCCCGTGTATTTGGCTCTTTTGGAGGGCAGGAAAGACAACCCTGTGCTGCGCACTCTGTTCCTGTCTTCCTTACTTGCGGCTGTCACAGTCCTGACGCTCTGCAGTGAAACAGTCAAAGAGCAGCTTGTCTCAGCCGGCTCAGATTCTCAGCAGAATTGCTCCAGCTCTCTTGTATGGGTGTTTATACATGCCTTGCTCAACAGATTGCAACAATTTGACTTGGTCCTCGTCTCCCAAATGAGTCCTCCCTGAGTTGCAAGCTTTGCTCAACATACTGCATCAATCAATCTGGCTTGCATCACCTGGACCTTCTGTCTTTCATGCGCGCTGCTGAAGATGCATGCTGTGCTGGTCAGATTGCGACGATCGGCCTGGCTGCATCATCGGACGTTGTGGGGGTGACGCTGGGCGGCATAGTGGGGCACTCCATCTGCACAGGGGCGGCGGTGCTGGGAGGCCGTCACTTGGCCTCCTACGTGGACGAGCGCACCATGTCCCTCCTGGGCGGGCTCCTGTTCATTGCCTTCGGCGCCCACGCATACTGGGAGGTGTGTTCTGCCGCTTGTACATGAAGGTTTGGTGTTCCAGTTTTCCTGAAGGCACTGCGTTAGCACCCCAGGACCACATTGAAGAGGGCTTGCAGCTTGAGGGTCGTGCGACATGTAAGGGATGTCAACCAACAGGTAGCCATGTTTGCTGCTGAAGAGTTGTGTGAAGGGGATTGCGGAGCATGCTGGGTGGGAGTGAAAGACATAAAGAGAGAGGGGTGTCAACTGATTGGCAGCTTTGCTGACACTGTGCAGGGAGTTCCCACATGACTTCAGTGGGCAAGCTTGGCTGGATGCCTCGAAGAAATTATGAAGGAGGAGTGGCCTCAAAAGAGACTTTCTGGATCATAGACAACAGCAATGTGCTAGCATCTCGACTGCAGTGAATGTAACAGCAAGGTCAAGACGGGGACAGTATTCTTTCAGAATTCAGTCAGAGGATAGGACGTGAACAATAGGAGGCTAGAACTTCAGATGCAGTGACGGCGCCTGACATTGGCTTAGTCAGGAAAGGTCACTTTCAAGAATTATTTGGCATTTAAAGATCTCTTTGTAAATCCATCATGACGGGCGCGAAGATGTGATGTACAGGTTGCAAGGTCCTATTCCAACATCTGTGTATCATAGCGCTGTTGATCAGCATCACATAAGAATTCATCTGCTGCTGGCAGTGATTGCTTTTTTGTCTGCACCTCAAATTTGGCAAGGTGACAGCGAAGTAAATCTTCCCAACCAAAAAAACTGTCAATTTCAGCAAAGCAAAACACTCCAAAGATCAGTCCTGTCTCACACAAAATTCACAATTCTCACACACTCATTTCTGTCTCCTGAATTCCAAGACAAACATCTTTTCCCGAGAGCCGATCAGGGAGCCACTCTTCCCACTTCAAATTTGTGCAAAAGTTCCACGCTGCGCTCCAGGAAGGTCTGTCCCTCCCCACTGACATGCCTCACAATGACTCCCTCTCCATCCTGGAATTACACCAAGTGTTGCTGTCAGGCACAAAAGATTCCTCTGCTGCTCAGAGCAATCACGACATGATCATGTCACATCCGGCCTCCTGTAATAACATGTTGCATGTGACATGTCCAGAAACAAAGAACGTGAAGGGTGGAAAAGATCAGTGCACCTGAGAGTCAACAAGGACCTCCTCGCCCACATTCAAGCAGAGAGGGCGATCCTCTTCAATGGAGGCAATCCACTCTTGGAGGCACCAGTGGACGGCTGCAGGTGTCTCATCATGCGGACAGTGCCCTGCAGGAATCTGCAGTGACATGCACATCCATGTCAGGATCAATCACCGCATGTCTCTCACACCAGCATGATACTCTTTCCAGTCATAATCTGGACAGGACAGCCTGCCAAACGCAATGAAAGTTGCTAGCCACAGAGCACTGGTGTTTTTCTGCGAGTGGAACGCTTGCGCAGGGATGTGAAATGGAGTGTCAAGAGATGCAGAGAGCGGCACGCTTTTGAACATTGGTGCGGCCTGCAAGGTGCGTGGCATGCACCTCGAAGTGAGACACTTTCAAAAAGATGCAGAGCGCAGAACGATAATGAAGAGTGATGTGGCATGCGGGGTGCATGGCACGCACCTCGAAGTAGGCTGCGTGGGGCACGAGCCGCTTGAGGCGCTGGCCCCACACAGGCCTCACCCAGGGGTCGTGGCGGCCATAGATGAGGCAGGAGGGGCAGCGCGCGTCGGCCGCCAGTTTGCCAAAGCGCTGCACAGTGCCTGGTGAGAATATGATGGAGGCCATTGCATCCAGTGCCAACTCGTGCTGCGTCGCCGCCAAGATGTTGGACAGCAGCTTGTCGTCCACAGTCCTGCACAGAAGTAATAAATGGTGATCTCATCCCAAACGGGGAGAGTCACAAGCCAAGGGGTGCTTAGGTTTCTGGCATGTCCTGTAGTTGGTGTGAAGGCCTGATCACATCTCCCAAACGAAGGGTATGAATGCAGGCGCCTCCACGTGCAAATCTCTGGGAGTATTTTTGGCAGGCTAACACTCTCTTCTACGAGGAGCTGCGAGCTTCCCGGACAAGACATATTTATCCATGGCAACTCCGACAGATGGTGTGGAGGCTGGATCATGATCTTCAATTACCATGCTGATATACTTTGGTTTTTATCACCATGAGAACTCACCGGACGGCGTAGACTTGCTTCAGGATGCCGCGAACGGTGTCCTCGGTGGTGAACTTGTCCCACCAGAAGCTGCGCAGCACGCGCTTCAGCCCCTCCGGTGCCGGCATGACACCATCATAACCCACCAGCCGCCGCAGCAGCCGTCCCGTCACCTCCTGTGTCTCCGGCCGCGGCATGAACGCCCAGAACGGCGTCGCATTGAGATAAACCACGCCCCTGCCACGCCAGCAAGAGCAAACAATCAGGGCACATCCTCACTCGTCCTCAAAAGAGCCGCATGCGCATTTCCCGCATCAAGTGCGGTGCTGATCAATCGAGCTGTTCTGCTTTGCAGCCACTCCCATTCCTCGTGCAACACGTTGTAATACACATCGGATGTTGCTGCTTATTCTAACGTGTTTATGGTGGAGGAGCGCTCACCTGCACAGGTGTTGCCTGGTTGCTGCAAGCTGGGCCGCAAGGTACCCACCAAGGCTGTTGCCCACCACATAACAGGGCTCCCCGATGACCTCTGTGATAAAGTCAGCCAACAGCTGTGTCCAGGTGTCAATCGACAACCTCAGCTCCTCCTCTGCACCAAATGCAAATGTTAGCATAAGCGATGGCCGCACGGGCAGGGAATGTAGGGTAAAAAGGGATCACCAGCAGCTGATTTGTATGAGATGGAGTGCAATTTGTGATAGTCACCTTCCAACGCTTCCCGACTGGGCCATGATAGGCCCTGGCCAAGCAAGTCCAGCGCCCATACTTGATGGGTGTCAGACAGCAGCGGTATGAGATTTGAGAATTGATGCGCGCCAACCCCAAAACCGTGCACCAATAGGATCTTCTGCCCTCTCTGTCCTACTTGCCTGTGGCATGCATTCAGCGCTTGTAGAGAAGCTGCTTTAGTTCCAGCAGCTCTCACACGATCACACTGCAGAAAAGAAGTTTGCCATAATGATCAAGGCTGGTCGCGCGCCTGTAGTGGATTTTGGCACCCCACTTCCAAGGAAAGAACTTGCTGTCTGGTTGCACCAGCGCAGACAGCGCCTCGCACAGCCAGCTGGTGCTGGCTTCTGCATGACTGCCTGCGAGCATCGATATAGATCTTTCTTTTTGGTGCACTTCTGAATAATAAGGCAGGAAGTGCACCAAAGTTGATTGAGGTGGTCGAAGGCAAACTCGCACCAGTCCTGCTGAGCTCTGCTGAATCCCTCAGGCTGGATATGTTTTCAGCGCTGGGCAAGCTCTCATCGCTTGTGCGTTGGGCGGGCTCAACACTGGTGGTTGGGGATGCCTCTTTGCACTGCTGTGAAGAGTTAGCAGATACAAGACCGCGTGAATGTAGTGGTCGAAGTGATGTGATAGATCGAGCAGCCTGCCATCTGGGCAAGCATGTCGAACGTGTGAGATCTGCAGAGACAGTCATGCTCTACAATGCAAGGCCCACGTAAGGGGAGTTTGCTTCGTGTTCACATCAGCTGTGCACGATGCACATCACAACTGCTTTCAGACATGTGTGACAAATAACTCTTCACACGACATGATCCAAAACATCATTTAATCTGGTATTAATCTTGGATTAAGTGGGAGGGCCCCCCGCTGTATTGGAACGCCACATGGCCGATGCAGTGCTTACTAATGCTTACAGCATGACTTGTGCTTTTGTCTCCCGCACGTCGCGCTGCCAAGAGCCTCTGCGATAAACTGCTTGTTCGGCGTTCTCTATTGTATCAGCCGAGCAGGGACAGCGAGACCAACAGACAGCGCAGCATCGTGACAAGGCCGACCGGCAACCGTGTCCAACTGGGCACCTTCAGCCTTCTCCTGTTCCCAAGGGCAGCCTATTCTTCGTTGAACGGCTGGGTGGCACAAAGTTCTTGTTCACGGTCTTAAGTGGAAGATCTCCAGCGCGCCTGCAGCAGGACGCTCTCGCTGTAAGCCTATGGCAGTATGAACGTTGAATGCCCTGCGTATGGGCCAAGTCGGCAGCATCGAGCAAGGTGGGTCGCAGGAACCTTAAGAACATTGAAGTAATGATGTGATGCAAAGATGGTGATGGTGCATCAAGCTCCGGCGCAAAACCCGGTCAGACCGCTTGATCTTCGAGTTCTGACTGTGATGGGGTTCAGATAGCCTCTTCAGCAGCTACGAGCGGCTGGAAGCATGGGCATTGTGTTCCAAAGTGATACATTGTACTGTAAAAGGATGGTCAGCACCGCGAGGTCGACATGCACAGCATGTCAGTGCTTTGCTTTTGGACGTGCCTGGATTTCCTGGTCACTGCCCCTCATGATGCATGATTGGGCTTGTAGTATGGGCAGATGACTGTTCAAACAATGGACATCATCAAGTGGGAATGATCTGCAACGTTCATGCCTCATCCTGTTGAGACTGGTCAAAAATTGATTTTTGAAGCCGAGCACTGCCTTTAGGTGCACCAGGTCCAGGCTTGTGGACAAGGTCGTGAGCCTTGTCATGTATACTCAGAATCTATCATAAATGGTTGTTTTGAAGGCGAAGATTTTTGAAAATTTTCTAAATTGATGCAGAGGTCATGGAAGGACCACCACTGAAACGACGCAAGACCAGGTCGGACCTGCCAGGTCCAACTCCTCGAGCGGCTCCAAAGTCATCGCATGTGGCACATCGACAGCCAAAGAGCCCAAGGGACGACGGCGGTCGGTCTGTCAGGCCCAGGCCTCTGCACATCAACGACAAGGTGCAGATTCATGCTGTGGCACAGATCGGCAGGCTACAATTGATAACTATCTTAGCTGCAAGTTGTCTTCATGAGGACAAAGAGGAGATTGCTGGTGAGCTGTTGCGTGATGAAGCACTGTCCTGACAGCTTGTCAATGACTGCAGATGAGGGTGCTATGGCAAGGGCGGGACTCTGAATGGGAGGAGCTCGATGGCGGTGCATTTGCCCGCTGGGTGCAAACCTGCGATGATGCAGCAACGGCCAAAGCACTGAAGGAGGCAGATGCCAGTGCAAAACCCCAGGTGACTTTCGGGACGCCTGACGACACTCAAAGATGATTAGTGCCGTCGCACGTTCGTTGCCAGTCATCACGCAACAGACCGGTGGACTGAAGCCTGCATGCTCACAGGTGTTGGTGGTAGGGCATAGCTTCAAGGCTCTGCCAGAGGATGAGGGCGCTGCAGGGACCAGGGACAAGGGAGTGGCTGCAGCAGGGACATCTGAAGTTGGAGCGGATCCAATAGACGTCCCCAGATGCAGACAGCTGTCCAAGGCTCGGAAAGGCAGCGATGGTACAAAACAAGCCCATCATTTATGGCAGCTGTGCTCCTGCAACGCCTTCATTATTGGTGCATCTTTAATCTGCCCCAATCACGCAACTATCCACTCATGGCATTTGCTTTTGTGGTTCCAGGCGGGGCATCAAAGGGTGAGGAGAGCGTTGAGGGCCAGTATGTGCGCTATGTCAGCCCAGATGGGGACTGGGCTGAGTCAAGGGTGGAGTATGACATGGATGATGAGGACGAGGAGTGGCTTGCACAATACAACAGTCAGGTCAGCAAGAGCCATGTGTCTTCTTGGTCCCTACGCAGCTCCCCGTGTACATAATCTGTAGTTTGCAAAGTGATGCTACTCTCTCTTGTCTCTGTAGGGCTTACAGAAGTAAGCTGACAGTAGTGCGTTTCTCTGCATGTGTGCAGGCGAGCTCACGAGGGCCCAGGGCGCTGTCAGAGGACACATTCGAGATGCTGGTGGACCATTTTGAGAAGGCGCTACATGCCTTGCTGCAGCAGAGGGTGGAGCTGTGTCCAGCGCTGACGGATCCTGCCTCCGAGCCTCCAGACATCAGCGGCATGTACACCCTGCAGCGCGCTTGTGACAGCGAGGTAAGCACTGCTCCCTGCGCAGGTGGTGTAGGTGTAGTGCTGGATTGTGTTTCATACGACGCTCGTGGATCCATAGCTCATGCATCCAGGGAAACCAGGAATACCTGCTCATGGTTGCTCAATGACCCGTGATGTGCCAAGTTGTGGTGAAAGTGTCACTTGCAGCACAATGACAGCAAGTTGAATACATGGAAATGGACGAATGCTGAATGCTGTGCTTGGCTCGACATTTGAGTCTGGGGATTGGCTGTAGGGGCTGGCGCACGTCCACAAGGCGTGCATAGAGGCGGTGTACGAGCACTGGTGCAAGAAGCGGCTCAAGGCGAAGCGGCCGCTGCTGCAGCGGCTGTGGTTCGAGCACCCCTGGGTGCAGGTGAGGGACGCCGGCAAGGAGGCGCGGCCGGGCGCCCATAAGAGTAGCGATTCTGATCTGCCCTTCATGGGCCAGGACGCTCCGCGGCCGCCCACCACTCGCCCTCGCAGGATGAACGCGGAGGACGCCCTCTACAAGCTGGAGTCCATCAGGTCACCACTCAGATTTATTCCCCTCCTACAAATCTTAGTTTGTCCACTGGTCTAGTTGCAACATGCATGTTAGGCCATGTACTGACAAGCAATCACTTCCTTAGACCTTGTGCCAAGTGGACGGGGCAAAGCACCTGCAGGGCCTGATTGCGAACAGCCCCTATGTGGGGGTTCAGACTTTCGCAATCTCATGTCAGGCAATGCTGAGTGGTGGTTTCATGTACAGGACCGACCTGGAGACGATACGGACGATGGCGGACCAGGTGCGGCGGCGGGAGAGGGGGAAGAAGCGAGAGCTGCTGCTGCTGCGGCAGCAGTGGCGCGTCCGCGCGGGCCTCGTCCCGGACGGCGCCGACAGAGCCGCCGCCGGCGCATCGGACGGCTCTGCCGCGCTGCCGCGTCTGCCGCTGGAGCCGCCCCCGGACCGCGAGGCGCGCCTGGCCAACAAAGCGGCTGCGGCGGTGGCGCGTGAGGCTGCCACGCTGATCAGCGCGCAGGTCATGATTGACCCCAGCAGCCCCGGCGACCAGCCGCCCTGGGATGCAGAGCCCGGGCCCTCCTCGCGACAGGCGGAGAAACGGGAGTCCCTGCACAAGCCTGGTGCGTTCCTGCCTTCCTCCTCCTCATATTTTGGTGACAAGGTTTAGCAGCTGGTGATTGCTGCATGATGTTGGGCACTTGATGGGACCTTGTCGTGAACCAATGTCATTGTGTTGATGATTTTTTAGTAGCGTCTGCAAAATAATTAAAGCAATGTCTGCTGACAGGTGCCGAGCATGCCGGGGAGTGCTTCTGGTGCAAGGGCGACGGCAACCTGGCTGGCTGCTCCTCGTGCCCCCGCTGCTTCTGCTTCAACTGCTATAAGATCCGCCCCGGCTACGGGATCGTCAATTGGGGCAAGATGCTGAAGGCTCCAGAGTACAGCTGCCCGGTGTGCTCTGGGAGGGAGCCAGCCTCCTGCGAGGGCGGTGCGTTACTGATCGCCCTGGACCACTTTCTGCAGTATTCTCTCACATTGCATTGTATATTTCTGTGATTTTGCTGGGACCTTGAAGGGTCAAGTAGAAATTTTGGCTGTTTACATGTCAGGGGGATTCTGCCCTTCACTCTGGCCAACTTTGCCAGGGATATGGTCATGACATTGGATTTGTGTTTCGGCAGACTCGGTGAACGGCTATGTGAGGAAAAGCCCGGGCACCCAGCTGCCGCTCCGGGGCGTACCCAGCGTCCGGGGCCGTGGGCGCGGCCGCGGTCGGGGCCGGGGACGAGGCCGCGGAAGAGGCCCGGCAGGCCGCATCCTGGTGCCCTCGGCAGTTGCAGAGTCCAAGCCAGCAGATGAGGCCGAGGCAGCAATCAGTGCTGCAGCACTAGCGCAGCCGGTCGCCAAGCCGGCAGCAGCCATGCGCGTCGGCAAGCCGGCCGCGGGCCGCAAGCAGCACGCGGCGCCGGCGGCGCGCGACGGGCTGCGGCACGCGAAGCAGAACTACGAGAAGCTGGCCGGCGTCAAGCGCAGCCGCACGAAGGCGGCCGCGGCGCGGCGGCTCATCGCCTCTGCGCGACGTGCCCATGTCGCCAAGCGCGTGGTCCCGCGCCGCTCCGAGCAGGCGGCCAGCAAGGGCAGGAAGCCCCCACTGCAGAGGAAGGCTTTGCCGGAGGCCCCGCCCCCGCCCAAGAAGGTACGGGTGGGGGAGCCGGCTGCCCCGGTGGAGGAGGCAGCCTCAAAGGCGTGGAAGGGGCCGCCGGCCATCACGCTGTCAGCTGTGCGCGGGCGCGGCTCCTCCCGCGGCGGCCACCTGCGGCAGGGCAGCTCACGGCAAACTTCGGCAGGTGCGCTTGAGAACACTACGACATCCTCCCGCTGCCTAGGGTCAGCTACTGCAGCTGACATGCCGTCGTGCCATCCTTCTACACTGTTTTATGAAACTCGTTATAGTGGACAAATTATCACCTGCGACATATATGATATTTGCGTTAGTTTGAAGGCAGCTGTTGTGGAGATGTCGTGCCCTATGAGATGCAGCTGAGCAAGGTCTGTTGCGCTTTACTTTCAGGGGATCGCAAGAGCGCACAGCCAGCAGACAGACCGCGAGGGGGCGGTGCGTCCAAGCCAGCCGCATCCTGTCAGCAGCCTGCGGTGGTGAGCGCGGCCTCGGTCGCCGGGGCCACCACCACTCAGAAGACGGGCATTCCCGGCATCGAGCGCTCGCTGCGATTGACGGGGCAGCCGCGCCGCAGCGCGCGTGTGGAGTATATCTGCACCTGCCGGCGGCACGGCACCTTCCGCCATGATCGCGTGCCTCGCATGGTTGAATTTTTCAACCAGCATTCCATCGCTGGGTGCCGGTGAGACCCGCTGATTCATGCGACAAAGTTGCCTTCTACTTTTGCTATTCACTGGGCGTTAGATTCCTGATCTTTGTTCCTATTAGAATGCAATTAAGGCGGCACACTCGGTTGTAGAGGAGGAGGTTCATCAAAGGCGTCCACCATTACTCATGAAGGAACCGTTCATGCAGGCCGGAATGGGCGCAGCTGGCGCAGCAGCCAGGGGAGAGCTCTGCGGCGTGCGAGGAGCGTCTGCGCACAATCTTCTCCTTCAGCGCGGCTGCTTCACCCTCGGGGTCTCTGCGCAACCTCACAGCCGCGCAGCCGAGCGCCGCCTCGGGGCAGCGGACCGAGCCAGGGAACGCCTCCGCAGTGAATGGCAAGGTCAAGCCGGCCTGCAAGCTGCCTGCCAAGCCGCAGCTGTCCGTGCTGGAGCGGAGACGCCTGTCGCAGGCCCAGTCCAAGCCGCTAGCGGCGTGCGCAGCTGCGGCCCAGTCCTCACAGCAGCAGCGGCGGCTGCCTGCAGCGGCGCCGGGCAAAGCAGCAACCAAGCAGCCGAGCCGGCTTGGGCAGAAGCATGGCGGTGCGTTTACCTGGCTTCATTCTTGCACTCACAAGTGCTACCATCCTGATGACGAATCAACATTGCAGAGCCATCACAGCTCATGACTTGCACATTAGCATGCATGGATAGATACTATCAATTGTGTGTCTGCAGTGAGCGTTCCAACAATGGTCGATGATGTTTGACAACATGTGCAGGTGCTGGGTGCTCAAAATGCCGCTGGCGCAAGGATGGCTGCACCAGATGCAAGCCCTCCAGAGCCCTTGTTAGCCAGAAGCGTAAGAGGGCTTGAGTTGGTGCTTCCTAGATGGATAGCAATTTTGATGAGAAGCTCCAAATTTGTAGGTCACAGCCCCCTGGAGGGTGCCAGAACCAGGAGGACATGTTCTTTGTAGCGGGGAGTTTATTGTGATGTGGAGCAGAATGCTGGTTGTACTGGGGGCTTTGGGAGAGCAGGGCCCTTTGCAAAATTAGGCAAGGTACCTGCTGGCTTGTACAGGCCTGAACATTGAGTGCTGTTGGGATCAGAAAGTGGCTACCGCCTCCAGCCCATACTGGCCACGATGAGCAATCAGTTTGCATGGATGATGCTCTATGCGCACAAGTGAGCAGCAGCTGTGATCCTTCGTGCACGCGTGCCGAGCAGGGGCCTTGTGTACAGACCATTGGTGCTTGCAGGAAAGGCCGGCACACAATTATTTGGTGGTCTTGCCGTATGGTTCAGCTCAAATGACATTGGCTGTAAAAGCTTGGACAGTAGGAAATTATAAAGTTTGATAGTCTATTTGTTCTTTGCTGCCCACCCAATGGATGCGCAACATGTGCACTGCCTGTCTTCTAGAATCCGCGACACCTTTTGATTTGCCAGAGTACCATGTGTTGCAGCCAGATGCGTAAGCGATATGTACCATAGGAGTGGTGGAGGAGTGTGCGTGCTATGGGTCTGTTTGCAATGTCATGATGTGCTCGTCTTCAGTTGATGCTCGGGCCTTCCTTTTTGGCGGGATTCCGGACCTGTTCCACAAGGGTTGCTTTTTTTATCCTTCTCTTAGAGGTGCTGTAATCTCAAAACAGCACAAGGCCTACATAGACACTATGACGCAAAAGACAGCTCCCTTCTGGCAGCAATACATCACATATCAGGACTCATTGTGGGATCATGCATGATCTTTCAAAGACTTCAATAGTCATTAGAGGCAATGGTCTTGAATCTGCAGCTTTTGCCAGAAAAGTGAACCTGGGCTATTGCATAATTCCTGAAAGATGCTCAGACCTAGTACTGGAGCGTAGGCATCTGCTGAAAGAATTTCTAGGTATCAACTGCTGTGAATTTGCTGTTGTTTCGAGTTCACCAGCCGTCTTTGCAGATCGATTTGGATTTGGGCAGGCCATATCTCTTTGGCCCCATTTTCTCAGGTGCTCCTCTAGAAAAAGCGGACTAAAACTGTTGTTGCAATATTAATGTACACAGCATAAGCAGCGGTGCAGTTCCTCGAAGGTTTCTACATATGTTGCAGATGAGGCATCAGCATTTGTTGAATTGCGGCATAGGTTCAAGGCCACTGGCACTCACAGCCGTGCTGCAGCACTGAGGTGGTACACAGCAATAGCTCCCCAGCCAGCCATGAAGCTTAGCCCGCCGAAGGGAGTAAGGTACTGGAAGGCTTTGCGGCCAGTCAGTACGTATGCGTAGATTGAACCAGAGAACAAAGTTATGCCTGCAGGAAAAAGCAGGGCTATCAGCGAATATACTCCAGTGCAAATTTCCTGCAGATATTTCTCAGAAGTACCTTCAGTGTGCAGACCATTACTAGATCGACCATCGAAGACGCTCCAAGCTTGCACCCATAATATGGCAAACAGAAAAAAAACATTATCGTCGTGAGTTGGCAGACCTGTGAGGAAGCCACCAGCAGCTGCAATAGCGCTCCTCTCAGGCAAGCCTGCTGTCGCGACAACTCCAGCGGAATGGTACAATTGATACTGTGTGGCTATCTGCCAGAACTGGACGAGCTCCTGCGCGCTCTGCCCTCGATGTGCTATTACCCTGCATATTGCCGAATGCAGCTATATATTAATGTCACATCAACACTCAATATGGTGGCCGCTTGGTGGGAATGTTGCTAAGTTTAGAGGGTAAAACACAAGGAGAGGAATGACCGGCTTGCGCACCTTTTGAGCCCATGGAAACCAAAGGCGCCGCCAGCTACGCCAAGCAAGCCACAAGCACCCCCGGCAGCGAGGAGGAGGTCTCGTGTGGGAGTAGTTCCAGGGTTTCTTAGGTGATCCAGCCCGCTGCTGCTGGGCCCAACATTGCTCTCTGACCTTCCATTATTGCCAGCACCATCCAAGGGTGGGGGCGTGCTGTGCAACTGCTGCGTCAAATGGTAGACACCGAAAGCTGTTGCACCAGTTCCAGCAATCCAAAGCACCACCTTCGCAGCCTGCATTGGCATGGCTCATCCCTCAAGTGGGGCATTGGGTGAATTCTGTATTCTGCTTCAGCCAACACTTAATTCCCATGTTTATTAAATTGCAGCCGTACTGTCAATCAATACAGCGATCGACAGGCTGACCGACGAAATCAGGACAAGCAAAACGCGCATCTTGATCCCGACAGATCTGACCCTGCCTCGAGAAGTTTATATGAAGCCATTGGTATCGCACCGGTCTTGCGTTCGACATAAATGGAGTGACGAGGGTATCTGTGTTTCCCCTAGTATTCATCAAGCTGTCTTCAAGTAGGCCTGCAGTGAAACCTCTCGATGCCCCGATTAGCGAAGTAGAAGCAACGATCTGCCCTTCTTGTGTGGACTAATCTGGTGCACGACGTTGTGAGCCCGAGCACATCTCTGATCTTGACTTTGAGCAATATTTGACGGCAAATTGACTGTCGTGTCTTGCTGACACCGTACTCGCGCCCAATTGGTCACGTGGATACAGCGTGGACACCATGTGCTTGTTTTGCCCTTGACGTGGTAGGAATGCCTTCTTGGAGCTTATTATTGCTTTGCACTCGTAAGGAAAGGCCTAATTCGATAGTTTCTGTTGATCGCAGACAGGCCATTTTGGTGATTGCTGTGAGAAACAAGTATCCCACAGATCACCAACATTATCTTCTGATCAAAAGCCCAGGACATGAGTAGTTCGGTTCTAAAGTCTGGTGCAACTCACAGCACCCGAACCGCATCACATCTCCCTGCACAGCTGCCGATCATCAGGAGCCTGAAGATCTCCCATAAGTGTCAAAAGCTTGCGCCCCGATCTGACAGGCAACCTCTACACAAACCTCAAGCCTTTGCATTTGGTGGTGTCTCAAACACCACAAGGAGCTTGGAATCTCAGATCGACGAGCTTGAAGGCACTTCCACCTTGCAGGTCCGACCTGGACTCTTTGCACAGTGGTGTTCTAGCAGCAAGTGATAGTGCCAAAGCTGACTCGCTACTTGTGTGGATTGCAGCCTGAACAGGAGAGTTCAGACCTCTTGACGCTCGATGAGGTGCAGAGCATTGCAGCCCGGAGGTATGAGCTTGCTCTGCTTCTCAGCCAGCACATAGTGGAAACTGCGACAAAGCATGCTTGACACCTTTACACTGGTGATCGCAGGGGGCTCTATTTGAATGCCCGCACTCTGGGTCCCTTCTACAGAATTGTGATAAGAGACAGGGACGAAGATGGCCCAATAATGGCAGTCAGCTCTGGCTTCACGGTGCCGGCCATGGGTCTCATGCACTGCGACTCCCTGGAAATATTCACGCGAGGGTGCGATCATCTTCCTTTGCGCAGTGTCCCTGCGAATGACACATTGTACTTGCATGCAGCAGAATTTGCACAAGCAGAAATTATACAAAATGAGGGGCAACAAGAAATGTTGTCGCAGGTGACAGTGTAAGGGGTGGTTCTAAAATTTGTGTCTGGAAAATTTGCATTGACCTTGCATGCAGCACATTTTGCACAGGCAGATTATACAGAAATGAGGGGCAACCAGTATTCCTACTTGCAGGCGCCAGTGCAGAGGGCGGTCCTGAATCTGTGTCCGGATTTTGGAGCAGGGTGCGCGGGAGTGAAGGGGAGCGGTTGAGAGGGGGAGTGTTGGGGCTGGGCCTGCTGATGGGAGGCGCAGTGTTCAGCTTCGGCCACAGCGTCGGCTGCACCAAGGCAGAGATCCTCGCCATCAAGGACGATGGTGCGCTTTACTTTCTGAGCTCCAGTCAACAGACCGACCCTGACATGACCTGTGTATCCAGTGAACCCTGAAGCACCAGCTTAGACATCTGGTGGGGGAATTGATCTGGTTTGGGGTACTGTACATCTATCTTTGTGGTCCTCTTCTGGTAAGATGACATCAGGGGATTATAATATAAAGCACGCAATTTGACAATCATGCTCCCTTGCGCAGCCGGCTCGGTACACTATCACCCTCACAGATGCCCGTTGCGAATAACCATTTTCTATCATTAATGCGGAGTGTGTGCATGGCAGATGCGTGGCACAAGAGGCTGGTGCGCTACTACAGCTACTTTGGCTTTGAGCGCGTGCGTGCAGTGGGAGACAGTGGCTTGAGAGACCTGCCAGACCTCCTTGTGTGGGGAGGCGTAGGTGAGCCACAGCCTGCACATTAGTCTCTGGTTGAAATTTTATTTAATTTGATGGACGACAATGGACGCCGCTGACTGTCTTGGCACTGTAAGGACTGCGCCGCAGCCCTATGCTACCTCCCTCAACTCTCAGAGAAGTAGGATGAGGGTGCCCAGCCTCATGTTTGAAAGTTGAACGGTCCCATGGTGTTTGGAGCACGCACATGCACTCATCTGGACATCAGTTTTACAGGCATACACCAGGCAGTCTATCAGGCATACCAGTCATTGCAGTGGCATGTCAAAGAGCACTTGTCAATCTGTATGATGTGCATGCAGGCATGCGGATGGATGCTGACATAGAGGACTTGCTCAGGCGATGGACGGCTGCAATCCGCCGATCTGACCGCTGAGCAGTGCACTGAAACAAGGAACATGCATGGATCGAGCGATGTCAACTCAGTGGTTTCAGTGTCAATATATCAATATTGACTCCCAAATACTGGGGCAGAAAAATGTTGTATTGTGTATTCATAAGGCCAGATCTACTGTCTGGTGTTTAAAAGTGTTTGCAAGCCTTGTCCATCGCACGAAAATGTACAAAGTATCCAGGCCTAACCTAAATTTAATGAGTCTGCTGGAACACATAGGCGTAATGCAATTCTGGGACTCCTCTGTGTGAAGCATCCATAATGCAGCAGCAGCCACTTCAGCTCCTGCTGTGACACCAATTCAAGTTATGAAAGTGCGCTCATCCTGGCGAATATCTTTCAGTTCTGCAGTAGGAAATGCTCAAGGCACATCACATCTAGATGATCTAATCTCCTGCAAAGCTTCCCATATCCTAGAGAACATCCTGATCATAGTTGGCATTGCCATGACGATCCCAAAAAAGATGCAGTGCAATCACTCAGGGGGTATTCTTCAGGAACCCCCGCATCCCTAGTTTCCAGGGTTGTTGAATCGGTCGATCAGGGACTTGTGTGCCTTGCTGGCCAATGAGGGTGACTTCCTGGCGGATCCCCAGAAAGAATCCTTGCCGGGTGTGCGCCTCTCCTTCAACCCTGAGCCGCCTGGACCCTTGGAGCGCTGCAGGTTGTCCTTCAGCCACTTCTACATCACCAAGAATCAACAGAATCAGGGTATGAGTACATCTATAGCGAGACCTGGAGAGACTACAGAGTCAAGTCAATTATCGATTTGCATTCCGTTTGCATCACTTTGGAGGCACATTTGCAGCATGACGGGCATTTTCCAAGAGGCTTCAAAGTTAATATTGCATTAGACCATCAGCATAGCAATACTGCACTAGAGTCAAATGGCTATGTGCAATGTTGCAGGGTCACGCATAGAATCTCTTATGTCCGCCAAAAGGAGAACCCACCTGGGTGCGTGACTGGGGTGTGCTGGCGCGAGTGGAGGGGCTGCCCAGCACCAGCTCTTCCCTCATCAGCGCCTGCTTCTGGGCGGAGGGAACGTAGCCGTGCGGCGTGCCCCCGGGAGCCGGCTGCGCCGCCGCGCCGATCTGCCCGGCCGCCGGACCCCCCAAGCTGCCGCCTGGACCCCGCGCCTGCAAGTCTTCGACGGAATTCCCTGCCAGATCATTGTCAGCGATTGCAGCATTGGCTGTGTCTATGCTGCGCTGCGCCTCCGATGCGACGCCACCGATGTGCATCTCTGCCAGGCTGTTCGCTAGCTCCTGGGCTGCGGCGGCGGCTGCCTCGGGGGTTGCAGGCCTTGCAGCCGGCAGCGGGGACTTGGGGGGAAGCCCATCTTGCTCTGGGGCTTCATAAGAGTTTGCTGCAGCGGCGTTCGAGCAGGCCTTGGTGGGCTTGATGGGGGTGTGAGCGTAGCCGCCGCCGACTCGCTTCACCGCGGAGCGCGTTGTGCTGCCGTCCGCATTGCTGTTCTCGCCCTGGCTGCGGGGCTGCCGCGCTGCCTGCACCTGCTTTGCTCCCCCTGATCGCACACACACACACACACACACACACCCCGAACTCAGCAGTTCCTCCTTGCAGCATCACCAGATGCTCCAGCACCCCAGCTGAAAGTAAAGCGCTATCTATCAGTAAGATGCAAGAAGTTCTATACTGTTGACGTGTAGCGACAAGTTAAGTCAGGTGGGTAGCAGGAGCAGATGCCCGTCGCCTTGGCATTTTCTTCTTCTTCTGCGCTCCGCAGCAATTCCATTTGTCAGCAGTAAAAGAGTGTTGTGCGGGCAGACCTGGCTTGGCGGCAGCGTCGCGGTTGCGCTCCTTGAGCACGGGCAGCTCCTGCAGTGAGCAGATGGCGCCCTGGATGGCCCGCGCCAGCGGCGGTGTCGGCGCGGGGGCGGCCGGCGCCGCGTCGGGGGCGGCAGCCGCGCCCACGAGCGCGCCGTTGGCGTCCTGAAGGATGCGGATTCGCACCGCCTGCGCCTCCCCGGCCGCCGCCGCTGCGGCCGCGCCGCGCGCCGACTCCGAGCGCTGCTCTAGCAGCTGCCTCTCTAGCTCCGTGTTGCGCCTGCGGGTGTTGGATACCCTTTTGCACCCTTTGCCAGGACAAACTCTGATAGAGCCCTTTGTTCCGCAGCCGCCCCTGCATCACTGCTGCGAGGGGGGTGGTTGCGGGGGATACCGCTTGCCAACTATTGTGAAACGGTAGCCCCTAGTCATTCAGAATGTCTCATGATCCTTTATGTTGGGCTCACGACCAAATGGGGCATTAATGGACTGCAGAAACGTAGGCGAGCCATTACGAAGCATGAGCAGTGACGGGGGAACCTTACATTTGGAGGTTGTCGAGCTTGTGCTGCAGGGCGTCGATGCGAGCCTGGTCCGCGTCGCGCTCGGCCTGTAGACCCGCGGCCGCTCGCACCAGCTCGGCGTTGTCGGCGCGCAGCTGCGCTGCCTCCCCGATCTTGCGCTCGGCCTCCATCAGCCGCGCGCGCATCGTGCTCTGCCCATCCTCCGCCAGCCGCAGCGACGCCTGATGCGCAGCATCGCACAGCACTTTGTCCAATGCATCCTTGATAAAAGTTTTGCATTCTTGCGTCACCGGTTGACCCAAAAGCCTCTCTTGGAGAGATTGGATGGTCTGACTCGGAGATCAGTCACTAAAAAAGCTTATGTAACATCATTTATGTCACTTAAACTGCGACTCTATCCTGATCTTGGTATCAAGCTAAATTGGTGCACTGCAAGGCAACGCATGGTCTTGCCAAGAAGATTGTTCAGAGACTGACAAAGGCAATATTTTAACAGACAACTCGAATTTAGTGTGGGAATATGAGCCTGTTTCTCTTGTGCTAACTAGCATAGGCTGGTCACAATGTGAAACCATGCGCAGAGGAGCCCTGAGAAAGCTCACCTGGAGTGTTGCCTTGTCCTGGTGCAGCTGAGCGGTCTCGGTCTCATGCGCACGTGAGAGTGCCGCCAGCTGCTGCTGCAGGCTGTTGCGCTCAGTGATCACATGATCCACTTCCTGCATCAACCCCACAATAGTCAAACCTCGTATCTTATTGGGCCTCTACCACGATGACTTTTGACAGTACTTTGTTCCCAACTGTGCTCTGGCATGTCTTTGACAGACTGCATTCCTGCTCTGAGCGTTTTGGAAAAGGAGGGCACTTGGGCTGAGGGGAATAGTGACATGCCTGGAGCTGGCGGTGCAGAGAATCCAGCTGGGTCTTGTGGGCACGAGAGATGGAGCGCTCCACTCGCAGCGTGTGAGGCTCCAGATTCGCCCCTTCTTCCATGCCTGAGCATGCATTATATTCAAGTCTCACTGCATTCGGCTTTGGTGAAAGCCTGTTTTGAGCAATGTGCAGAACGTGCAGCCACAGGGATTGTGAGGAGCCTTGCCTGGAGTCCTCAAGGCAGAGAGCATGTCTCCACTGCTTGCCTCCGCATATGTACCAACCCCAAGGGAAGCCTCTTCATCTGCGATCACAGCGTTCCGACTCAGGTGTCTGTCGACATCAATTCCCACAATCAGGCCTGCAGGGCTGATGAGCAAGCGCATGTTCAGGAACATGCGCAGCTGCAGCACCTTCCTGCAATATCACTATTGGATATGAAGACAGCTCATATATCACAGTATGCCCAGGATATCTCTATTCAGAGGATCCCTGCAGCCCACCTTGGGATGCAGCAGGGGCCGCAGGGCTGCTGCAATCAGGCAGCGAGGCCGGCGGCGGAGAGCTGAAAGCAGGAGCCGGCTGCCACTGCCGCAAAAACTCGGCCAGCTTCATGTGCGCGCCGTCCTCGGCAACGTCCAGCGCTCTCCGGCCCAGCTTGTCAGTGACTTGCGCGTCCGCCCCCGCCTTGAGCAGCACCATCGCCGTCGCTTTCACGCCTGCCACGCATCCACGAGGCACCTCAAGGAAAATGACCAAAATAAGTACTTCAAAATTTCGGACATGGCAGCGCACAAAGCATGCCAGCTACACAATGCCTAAGATTCACTCGAGCACAAGGAAACAGGATCATCCGTGATCATGCAGCATTACATGCCTGCAACGGAAGCTGCACTGCATGGGAACTGCTTTGCACATGCTAGCCTGTCTGTGCCTCCTGTTGTGTGACGATCATGTTACAAAATGTATGGCAGGTCAGGTGGTAAGTCACGGCGCAGTGCACAGTGCATTTGACATAAAACCCTGGCACTGGAAATATCATGTGGCATGGCGCACCCTTGTGAGCAGCGTAGTGCAGCGCGGTGCGTCCCTCCACATCAGCAGCATTCATAACCACGGTCAGGGCAAGCAGCTTCTCCACCATCCTTGAGGAGCAGCCCACCGCCAGGTGGAGCGCTGTCCTGCCCTTCCTGTCTGCCACATCTGTCTGGGCACCTGCAAGGATACACACCCACCGCCTCCACCTCAGCGCATCCCCCATCTCAGCGCAAAAGATGCAGAGTGAGGGCAAAAGTGGCCACGATTGATGAGCATTTGCCAATCGTGCCACTCCCTGCCATGTGGGCTAAGGTGCAAAAGCGCCCCTCCTGAACAGCCTCTGTAGGATATGACAATGGTCACGTGACACAAGGACAGAAGAGAGATGAAAGTCTTACAAGGCATGTCTCCCTGTCAGGTCAGGGCCAAGGGAAACAAGAACCTGCCATGTGTTTGCAGGGTCCTGAATGGACTGTTTTGCTAAGTTTGTAAGGGCACAGGAGACCTGCAGCGATGAGCACGTCGATGGCTTCCTTGCGGTTGCCATCCAGGGCAGCCAACAGCGGTGTCCTGCCCTCCTCATCCACTGCCTCCAGCGGAGCCCCAGCCTCGAGCAGGTCTGCTGTGACCAGGTGGGACTGAAAGCTGGAGTGTGATGCCGCTGTGTGCAGCGGCGTGAACCCCTGCCATCAACCCCCATCTCAACCATACCCCTGCCCTCTATGTGCAGCTACTATCGACAGAAAGGAGGGTGGCATTGCGATGTATGTCTTCTGCTGTGCAGTCCTGAAGGAGCGCTGACAGGGTGTGACAGTTTTCATGGGGATTGGGAGTACCTGGTCGTCCTTGGTGCTGATGTCAGCCCCCCGATTCAAGAGGACCTTGATGACAGTTCGCTGCATGTAAAACACGGCGCAGTGCAGGGGAGTGACTCCTTCTTTGTCCCTTGCTTCAAGCTCCAGCCCTTTGTCAAGAAGCCAGATGACCTGCCAGGGAAGCAAGGTACACATTGTGGACAGGAGGTCCGTGTAAAAGGACACTCAAGTACTATTCAGCACTGACTCATCAAGCCAGATACAGATGGATAATTACCTTCTCCTGGTCACTGAACATAGCAGCTCGATGGAGGGCAGTCTTTCCATCTGCATCTACTGATTCGATGTCCACGCCGAACTTGAACAGAGGGTTTGTTGTGACCATGGGTCCTTGGTGGTCTGAACCTCTGTGGCCTATCGAGGGATTGACCTTCCTCCTTACGACTGCTAAATTCTCGAAATGAGTCCTGCATTCAATAGAACGTGATATTTAGCCATCGCGAGGCCTCTGATGGGAAGCAATGCACAACGGGTGACAGTTGGGAAAGTGCACAATTTTGCTCTCTTCTCTTCTTACTTACAGCCTACCTAGTCCCTGGTGACCTCAATAAAGTCCACTTTATTTGATCTGGCTCAGATGCGGACAATGCTATTTCCTCGAGCTGAATCTCTAACGCCAGAGCATACACTGGCCTGAGCATGGGATTTCTGTGCAGCTAATTTCAGCATTTTACGAATGACTCCTAAATGGAAGTAACAAAAGGACCCTTAGACCGCAAAAAATTCCAATTACGATCTTTTGATGGAAATTCCTAGGAAAAGAAAGTTGTCACAAGCTGACTTTCATAGATTCAAATCTGGTGCAGGTGAGGGAACACCGCTGTTCAGTTGAAATTTTATGATTCATGGCCTGCTTGCACATTTCGGGAGTGATGGAGGCTGTTGTGAGATGTCAATTGGCTTTGGGTTATATTTCTAAACTGTCTTGCGTGATAAACATACACATACATAGACTGGGATTGATTTCGAGGACGGATCACCTGCATCCACCAGTGCCGTGGCCCAAGTCTCAGGAATACAATCGACTATAGAATTCGTGTCTATCACAGGTGATTTAAACGTAGTCACACCATTAAAGACGTGCAAGTGATCGAGCGCGAAAAGGCCTGCAGTCAGGCGTGTCGGTAATTTCGGAAGCTGGCCATGACAAATTATATCTAATTGATTTGCGGTAGGATCGGCTAGAGCACATGAAAGGTGCGGACAAAAAAATCAAGAAATCGGACTGCCAATATAGATCACAGATTTGCTGTTATTTGCACTCTACTGTTTGCCCTTCGTAGTACAACCATCAAAGCAACGCTGTGCTCGCATTTGGCAGCTTGGAAGCCTGGGCTCTCCAATATCATTCAGGACTACTTGACATCGAGCTACTTCCGAGCCTCACTGCAATTGGCATCTGGTGTGTACTGGCACTCAGTGAGCCGCTCTGCGGCTTCTCGGTGTTGACATCAGTGCCATTTCATGCATATTGCAACATCATGTCATTCAAACCTTACCTGATGTGCGGATGGTGTCTTGCAGGCCAGTTCATCATCTGCCTTTTCGTATTTGTTCAGGCAATCAGATTCTCTACGGCATGCCTGGCGTCTATTTTCTTCTTCATTGGCATCATCCTGCGGCAGGACCAGCATGTTGCCAGCTTCCTCAGCTCTGCCACTAAGACCGCAGGCTGTTTGCTGGCTGGCGCAACATGTGCCGGAGTTGTGGTCAGTGCCATTCATCCTCCATGTCAGGCCTCTCACTTACGTTCCTGTAGTGCCTCCCTTTGCATGCACAAATGTATTGACTGTCACATGATTTTGTGCAGCTGGAGCTTGCACATTTGCCAGGAGTCGGCTTTGCGGGCTTCTTGTGCCTATTCAGCGTCTTGGGCATGTTCCTTCTATCGACAGTGCGCGCCACGGCTGACATTGGGACAGGCCTCATCAGCTGTGTGGTGTATGGCATCACAGTCATTCAGGCTGAGTTTGCCTGGCCCTCCAGAGTCCTCTGGACAGAGGTAGTGTTGACCTTCCATACATTTGAAGAATCTGTGGGTGTTGCAAATCAACAGAGAGGCAGTTGCCTTGGCAGTCTGCTCCCAATGCATGAGTCTGAAGTGGCTGACTGGTGAAATGTGTGGCAGGGCATCGTTCCATTCTATTACGCAGGGCTGGTCACGGCCCTGGCTGAGATCTTTGCCGGATCCTTTGTGCTGCCCAGCCTTGCCCGCAAGGATGTGAGGATGACTTCATCTCTGTTGATACGGGCGAGCCCCTCTGCTCTGCTCCCATTGTGCACAAATCCCATGCATGCCACAGCACTTCTTTCATGTAAGCTGTGAGCTAATGAAGTGAAATTGTGATGGAATTCCACATTTCTGCGCAGGGCATTGGACACTCTTTGACGGCATATGCCAGCCATATTCTGAGACCAGGCGGAGAGTCCCTTGCTCAGATTGGGCAGCCGGTCCAGAATGGCTCCAACAGACCAGTCAGTAAGTACGGGGTAACAATGTATCAGAAGCAGAATGGAGATTCACTTGAGCCAGGACAAGGCGACCTTGCCAATCCCTTCAAGGTGTGCTGTTCTGACACCTGCTTGCATTCCCTGAAGCCTCGTCCTTCAGAGGTGAAGCAAAATTCTCCATAGTCTCAAAGTCAAGTTGACTGATCCTTAACTCTTGCATGGGAAGTGCTGAGGCTGTGACATTCTGTAATGCCAGGCGACGTCTAGGAAGTGCCTGAACTCCCAGATGAGGATTGACAGTGATGGGGACGACGCAACCGATGGCATCATCGAAAACTACTGGTACGGTACCAGCACAGGCCTGTGGCAGGCCAATTTGCCCTCAATAAACAGGCGTGATAATTGCACATGCTTGCGTGGATCTGGCGAGTCCATCAAGGGGCAGCATTCTGGCAGCTTATAAATGCAGCTTGCCTGCAGACCTTGCCTCTTTTGGCAGAAAAGCGTGCATCAATGATAAGAACAAACAAACATCGCTGCCTCAAGGTCCTGTGCTGGAGCTGTTGAGGCAAGGAGATGGTTAGCTCTGCTGAAGACTGTTGCCATTGCTGCCACAGGACGTATCTGGATGAGGTCTCCAAGCCTGAGGGGTCCCTGAAAGCGGCAGTCACGCCATCCCTGGCTTCCCATCGCCAGGCCATCAGCAATGCCAAGCGACTGCTGGGAGAGGTAATGTTCACTTCGCACTACATGTTCCAGTGAGACTCCTATGGGCGTATGTACAAATGTCTGTGTAAGAACCAGATCACCATTGAGGCTCAGGAGCCTTCTGCCTGCATGCAGCTGCATCTTGCCTGCACTACTTTAAGCATGTGAGATGAATGAGATGACTAATCACTTTTTGCCATGTCAGGCGGAGCTGGAGCCGCCGTGGATTGACAACTGCTCGATGGATCTTGGGAAGTGGGGCAAGGTAGTGGACAGCTTCAGGAAGCTGGCCCTCAGAAGTGCTGCCCTGGAGAGCCTGCTGGAGGTGCGCAGAAATGTTTCCAAATGGGTACATAGCATTCATGGCTTTTGGAAAATTTGCCAATGACGGGCTGCTGCTGCGTGTGATTGCTTTTTAGCATAGTAATGATGCAGCAGAACTTAAAACCACAGTCTTGCACAGTCAACGCTTGAAACAGCAGGCAAGGGAGAGTTGTGTGGTCATGCATCATGCACATGCCTCCAGTGTTTAAATCGCAGTTCTAATATATTTGCTCATCCCATGTTGGTGGTGTGCAGAGTCAAGAGCAGGTGGTGTATGCCAGCGAGCTGCGCCACCTTCTGGGAGTGGACATTGTGCCCATCTTTGCACTGCTGTTTGCCCAGATGGCGGCGTCTTGCGTCAGCATGTCCGTTGCCCTGAGGGACGCGGCTGACGGCAAGCAGGTACGCCCTCTCTCTGGACTCAACTCCTCTAATGTTTGCCTTTGCCAAGTCAAGATTGCGCACACCATGCTGAGTCTGGTCAGCATGTTTCTTGCGTAATCAATTGGATGGCAGGATAGCTCATTAAATTATATTTCAAAGGTGTTGATTTGCCAGCTTTTCTGGACTGCCGTATGGCACATCTCAGCCAATCAGAGCGCAGCATACTCGTTGCCCAATAGATAGCCAATATAAATCAATAGCGACATGATGTGTTGGGGTCCAAAAGTCATGATATGCCTGAATCAGAAACAAGCGCACATGAGGCTTCTGCTGGAGCCGTCCTATGCCAACCTGGAGTTTGAGCTGGCGTCAGCGCTCCACTGCATCATCAACGGCTACTGGAGGCGCATGCAAGCATGCACCAACATCGGTACCGCAGGCTTCCGTCCTGAAGTGCAGGTGCTGCTCATTGGAGCCTGCATTACTCATGCAGTTTCCTCCAGATGCATAATAGGTGAAAAGCATGCATGCTGCAACTGAGGGGATTTTGAGTCATCAGAGAAGTCAGACTCGTACCCATTTGAGCAGCTGCATGAGACACAAGACAGGTTGCAGATTATCTGCACTTGCAGCCATGAGAAGTAGACAAGAGACATGGCATGTCGCGAATGATGTGCTTAGGATGCGTCTTCCAAGGGAGACATGCAAGGAGCCCTCCATACACCGGCAAAATATTAGCCACCAAGCGTGTGCACTGTGCAGATCCGTGTGGTGCTTTATCTCGGGGCGCTGTGCAGCGGCATCCTGGAGACTCTGGCAGAGGCCGAGAAAGCCGCCATCACAGCAGTGGCGACCCCGCCCGCCAGCCGGAGGCGGCTGCTGTCGCTGCGCACCATGACTCAGCGGCGAAAGGAGGAGGACGAGGAGGAGAGGCACCTCAAGTCCGCCCTCAGCCACAAGAAGGCCATAGACGCCTCCCTGCGCAGGATCCTCACGGCCGTCAGCGTCAACCCCTCACGTGCGCGCTCCCCTTTCCCAAGTCACCGCACTCGGCATTTGCAGTGGGGTATAAGCTTTGTATCAGCGTAGATGCATATGGGACAGTTCTTGGGGGATCTCAATGTGCATCACCACCCTGCAGACCGGCTTGCATGGGATTTGCGCATGTGAATGCATGTGTGTGACAGACCACCATCATGTTGGGATTGCAATTTGTAGCACACGGGTTTTGGGCACAATGAGCATGCATGAAATGACATGCAGCGAAGTGCCGTTGTGGATGCATGGGTGCGGCACAGTATGATTCCTCTCAGCATTACAACTTGTGAGAGTCATCTATGATGACAGCTTGGGTGGCGGTCAAACCCGCCCATGGTCTGGTTCTAACTTTAATATCCTCCATGCATGCAGGCGAGAGTCAGGAGGTGAATGGGCTGGAGAGGGAGTCAGGAGGGGTGTCCAGCCTGTATGTCGGCACTTCCCGGCGGCCACTGCAGGTGCAGTGGTCAAACCAGCCGACACCCCACAGCACGAACGCTGCTGCCAATTCAGAGCAGCAGGAGCTACCAGCAGAGTTGGGTCCAGACACAGCCGTGATAGGCGAGCAGCCTGGAGCTGTCGGGAGCGCGCCAGCAGTGCAGACACCTGGGCAGGGCGGCAGGGGCGATAAGGAAAGCAGGGGAGCTAAGGGTTTCCCCAAGGCCAAGTCAGTGGAGGGCTTCCTGAACAGGCTCCTCCTTGCTTCTCGCCCCTCTGCCACCAGCGACTCTGCCAGGCGCTCAGCCGCCAGTGCTCAGCAGACTCCCCAGCCAAGTGAGCAGACCAGCGTCGACGGCAATGCATGCCAGTTGCAAGCTTCTTCCCCTTCAGACTCTTCTGCCTCTGCAGCATCTGAGTGCGAGGCAAATATGCAGCCAGGCTCTGTGGACGGGCCTGGCCGAAATCGCGCCCTGACAGATGGTGCTGGCCTCGCAGGTAGGCCCTGGCTGCTGGTGGGATCTTAAGAGAACATCTGTTTATTGTCAACTACATGGTTTTTGAGCTGTGTCATCCCTTCCTGCAGCTGCCTGGTGCGAATATGATCTGCTAGTCAATTGCCCAAGTGTTTAGAATGCTGGCACTGTTATGCAGGCCCAGATGCCGAGGTGGTCGAGCTGCTGCCAGGCAAAATGAAGCCGAGCAAGACATTTGTGCAGAACTGGAATCAGCACACGTCCTTCCACCGCCGGAAGCGGGTGGCAGAGGGTGAGGTGAGCGGTGACGGCGGCGGTGACTCACCCGGCAGCAGCGCAGAACCACCTGAGAGCTCGAGCCTGGACAGCAAAGCTGACCAGCGCCAGGACAGCTCAAGGGAGGCAGGAAAGCAAAAGTCCAGTCCCTTTGCAACTGTGAAGCTGCAGAATGGTGGCGGGAGGGCTGCAGGGCACAGCAGTAAGTCCCAGAAGGTCAGAACAGGTGGGTGTTTGTGAAAGGCATTGTCTGCTATCATGTCTTGCTGTGCTTAATTTGCCATGGAATAGAAGGTTGTCCATACCCAGTGAAGTGCAAAGTTTGAGCTGATGATTTCTACTGTGGGTGCCAGGCTGGACAGCAGTACAGGCGCAGTTGAAGCAGGATTGGTCATGGCTGTGGCCCCTGCTTGTCCTGTTGTCGGGCTTTCCTGTTTGGAAGGCTGCCTATGTGGCATACACACAGACTGTGCCGCAGGCGCTGCGGTCCAAGAGAGATGCGCAATGGTGCGGCCACTTGCACAGAAATCTGCTGTTTTGCAATGGGAATCACTGATTCAGCTTGAGTTTGTGGATATCTGTGCATGTAACTGTGACATGGCGTCCACTTGCACAAAATGGCTCCTTCAATCTGCTTTGGGACATAAAGATGGTCTCCTCTTCTGCTTGAAATTCAAGATGGAGTTGCATGAAAAAATCTAATGGTGCCTTGCAGGTGGAAGAAGAACAGGACGCTACAATTCTTCCTCAAGTTCTTTCTGACTGCTTCTGCCATGCTGGTCACAATCCTTGTTGCATCATGCGAGAGCAGCGGGTACCATTCATGGGTACCCCTGTATGCAATGACGACGGTGCGCTGACCCGTCTCATTTCCCTATATTTCACCATATTTTAATATTTCACCCATTTTTCATAAAATGTTCTTATACATTTTATCCTCTGCCTAGTCTTGCGCTACGGACAGCTGCATCCCATGTGAACAATGGGGAAAAGCATCAAAAGCATTTGAGCTGAGAGAGATCGCATGCATGCACAGGTGGCGGTGGTCTTGTCAGAGAAGGTTGACACCACAGTCAGCAAGGGCGTGCTGAGAATGATTGGGACTGTGATCGGAGGAACACTCGGTGCGACTTACATGCTTGTTGCATCTTGGCCTCAATCCTGCTCCTCAAAGAATCCAAAGATTGAGCTTCACTGCTGAGTCTGTCCATTGGTCTTGGTCCATCAATTGGCAACCATGCAGAACAAGCTCAATGGCAGGGGTCATCGAAATTTCTTTTCTTGGAATTGTTCATCGATATGTCACATGTCATGCTTCCGCAGGGTTCTTAGTGATGCTGGACAGCAGGCTGGCCACAAACCCATACGCGCTCATAGCCATCATATGCACAGTAACGGTTGTGGTGGCGCCCCTCACTCTGACAGAGTACAAATATGCCATCTTCCTCATGCTCATCACCTTCGACTCCCTCATCCTCTGCCAGTACAGGTGACCTCGCCCTCCTTTTTTGGAATGCATGCCACATGATCAAGACTTGCAGCACTGCATCCTAGCAAATGTGCCGTCGCATGAGCCTGTGTGCATCGCATGAAATTGGTGCTTACAATGTCGTTCGGCGGCACACTTATTAGGTTAAGCACCCACGCCGGCACTTCTGTCATTTATAAAAGGCGCAGCTCAAGCCATGGATTGCGAAGCGCTGTGACTGCATGACTCTCGTGTGCACTTTCATTGATGGGATGCTGGCGAGCCACTGAGCAGACCTGCTTGTCTTTAGGCCTCTACATGCAAAATCAGACGGCAAGGCTGAGGTTTGCTGCGCTCAAGTCCATTTATTAGGCCGGTTTGTGCTGTGTGCAGCACCGAGCCTGGCTCCAAGGGCAGCCCGTTGCTGTACTATGCGCGAGTGGTGCACATCATAGCCGGCGTCCTCATTGTGCTCGCAGTGGAGCTCATCAGGCCATGGTGCGCACTGCCACATGCATATGCTCATCTGCTATTTGTTTCTGCCCAGACAGCAAGTCCTCGTATAGATTGTGAACAGCGGCCACCACCTTTTTGTGACTACAGAATTGTGCAAAGCGGTGGGAACTTGTGCAAATCTATGCACCTCTCCGACTTGGCAAAGCGGCTTCACAAGACCTCATGAAACCAAACGCAGATGGGGTCATGTTCTTGCAGGGAAACTTTTTAGGCAATGAAATGGGATCCACATTGTTTTGTTGTGCAGGTACACGAGTGTGGCCTCTCTGGAGACGCTGGGGCAGGCATATAAGCAGGGGGCAGAGCTAGTGGGGCTCTACTACGACGCATATTACACTGAGACCAAGCTGGCGGCGAATCCCAGGGCCCTGGCTGAAGCCGAGGAGGGTATCCTGGTCCTGGAGAAGGACCTACTCATCAAGAAAGTGGCGCAGCCCCTTAGTGAGCCCCAACCCTTGCACCTGCAGACTCACCCTAGCAGGACAGCATCTAACCAGACGTGACTGAAGTTGCTCGCAGAAAAGCACCTACCCGTGTTCAGACGCGCAAACCCAGCAGCCCAGGGTGACTAATATTGGAAGGTCCATTCCGGTCGTTCAGAGAATGGTTGCCAAAACAAATTTCACAGATCCTGCAGGCCTGCTGTCAATTGATACGAGAGGATGCGATTGCCTTGATATAAAACAAATTGATGTGGGTCATGTGCTGCACAGGCGATGTGCAGTTATCGATACAGAAGGAGACGGTGCTGTGGAAGAGGGGGCTGCTGGTCATGCCGAAGATTGTGCACCACACCCTGGCTGGCTTGCAGGTACCCACAATCCCTCTGCTGCTTCTCTGCATACACTGATCTGTGTTCGTGAGTAATCTCTACCTCATCAAACTGAAGTCAGCTGAGGTAGCCGAGTAGGAAGGCTATCAGAGAAGCAATGCACCCAAGCCCAATGTGGTTTGAGCAAAGACGTGGTAAAGATCAGAAATCTTGCAAGATTGTTGACGCAATGACATGGGTGGTTTGTCATGCAGGTGATGCAGGACCGGCTGGCTGCAGTGGAGCTGATGCTGCTGCAGAAGCCCATTGTGAGCGGGCACTACACGGGCCACGCCTACAAGAACTTCCTGCTGCCCCTGGACAAGGGCTTCAGGAAAGTCTGCGCCAGGCATGTCCCTCCCGCACCACTTGCAAGTTCTCTGGCCTGTAGTAACCAGAAGACCTCCAGGTGGGGCAATCTAATACATTCCATTTAAGCAAGGGATGCTTGAAGACAGTCCTGGTTCGGTCTATGTGGCACTCAATTATTTTGAGTGCTGAGAGACAAGAGATGGCATGCCTGGTCTGCAGCGCATTCCCTCCTCTCCCAAGAATATCTGAGATCTTGGGCCCTGTTGGGCCCTTGTGACACTTTGGCCAGCCTGTTATCATATGTCACAAGTGCCCGGAAGGACCAGCCTCTGATCCAGTGTCAGTGAGTGTTTTGAAGGGCCAGTTACTCTTGGCATGGTATTACCTCCGTCTGTTTGTAAGTGAATTTGAATCTGAGTTTGAATCTGGTCAGGGCGATGGAGCTGGGCAGCATGGTGGAGGAGGTGCTTTCGGAAGAGGCAGAGCCGAGGCACCTGTCGCAGCTGCAGACCGCCATCGACAACCTGCAGAACTCCAGGTGGGCACAAGGCTCCCGTTGGCCCTTGAAGTGCACTCCCTACTGGCAGCTACCTTCCTTGAGTGAAACCTTGATCTGCTGGAGCCCTCCCTTGCCTTCCAGCTGTCTCAACCAGAAATAGATATATATATAATTCCGGTGCAATTTTCTCTAAGATTGGCCATCTTGAAGGCAGACAGTGGATCCCGTGGGTAGTTTGCCCGGGCGGCAGATCATGAACCACGCGTGGGTACATTCTTACATTGATTGATAATATACCCCTTTTTTGTGCAGTTTGAACTCGTTTCTCCCCACAGAGACGCTGCATGATAGAAGCAGCTCCCCAGAAGCCAAGCATTGCTGATGTAGTGCAACGCATGTTGCAGAAAGCCAACCGTTTGTAATGTGCTGCTAACCTTGTTGCAGGGTGCAGCTGCGGAAGCAGTATGTGAAGAAACAGCACGAGTTTGTGTTTGCGATGCGGCGCGCGACTGAGCCTCACCTGGTCAACCGCACACCCGACGACGCGCTGCGCTACCAGTCAGTCATGTTCGCCCTCATCCGCGCCCTCGACAAGGTGCGGCTGCCTCCGCATGATACACTGTTATCTGTCCTGGCTTCTGGGCTTACACTGTGCTTGCCTTCTTGTCCTCAGACAAGGCGTGCTCCTCTTGCCGACAGTGCCAGGGATGCGTGTGGCATCGAGAAATTGGAACATTCCATTGCCACACTTGCATTCTTTTTAATGCACTTTGCTGACATTGCGAGGGAGCCCTTCTCCATGATCCAGCGCTCGCACTGTCTGTCATGTGCAGTTTCTTTCATCCTTGTATTTCACAATGTGAAAAGGGAGGGGTGTGGTGGGTGCAGTGTGTGCTGGTGGCGCGCATGGTGCTGGAGGACGAGTTCATAGTGGCGCACATCACTGCCGGCCGCTGGGAGCACCGCCGCCTGTGGCTGGGCCTGCCCAGAGACAAGCCCAAGCACAACAAGAAAAGGAGCTGGCTGGCAGCGCTGTGTGGGCGGCGCGGAGCAGCCGCCGCAGTTGCCGATAGGGATGTGGAGTTGGGGAAAGTCTCAGAAGCTAAACAGTAGGATTAGATTCCCCTGTGGGAGCACCGCCGCCTGTGGCTGGGCCTGTCCAGGGACAAGCCCAAGCATGAGAGGAGGCGGCTGTGGGGGAAACGCAAAGCAGCAGCCGCCGTTACTGATAGGGATGTGGATTTGCGGAAAGTGTGAAGAGCTGAGCACGAGGTGTTTACAAAGGGCGCTCACAATGCTGTGCGTGTATCCATGTGTGATAGCAGACGGGACAATGTGCAGATGGTGATCAATTGTCTACATTGCAACTCGATTAAGGACCTTCTTCAGAGCTTGGCAGTCTTACTTGCAACACTGTAGGAGTACACAATGCTCTATGGTGACAGCCGTGATAATGGCTGGTTGCGGGTTGTGACCCGTCTGTGTGTCTTATCGTATTATTTATCAAACGGTGGTGATGGCTGACATGCATCTACCATGAAATATTTGCAAGAGCGCATTGGTGCCCAGCTATATTGAACGTCAAAGGCTACCATCGAATCTTGACAGCAGATTTGTGAGAGTCAGACATGTTTTTGGTGCTGAGGGCCAATTTTAGGGTTGCGAAACCCCTGCTTAGTAAAGACGGGGGTCGTCACACCTATAACGCACCTGATTTGAGAAACGAAGCAGCCAGACCGTCAGAAAATACTGAAAGTAAAAAGACCTAAATTTATCCCGGTTCCGAACTTGGGAAGCGCTTGAATACATTGACACTGCTGGTACCAGTAGCTTGTCACGCACTACCAGGCTATCACAGAGCGCACTTGAGCATTAAGTTGAGCTTCTAAATAACGAGCACGCTCTCACCGACTGGAAGAGCCCTGAATACAAATGCATATCTGCTTGACGGTGAGGTCTCTGCCATGACATTTGTGTCAAAGATGGTTGTTTGTCAGACCTTCCATCCAAAAAGACCTTCGTTCGTATGGCGTTGCTCTTTCCTCTTTGTCCAGCTGTGCTCTCTGTCATGTGTCAAGTCACAATCGAAAAATCACAATTAAACCCTTGGCGTATGTGATGTGCAGGAAACCTCCACTCACCTCAACTTTCGATGGTTGCGGCGAAAACAACCGGCACGATGGGCAGACTGCCTGGACGATGACAACGATGACTCGGGTCCTTCGGGATGGGTTTTAGAGGAAATAGTGGCCATAAAGTCAGAAGATGAGGCGGAAGCCGCGAAGGTTGCCGCGAAGGAGCCGGTGGAAGAAAAAAAGGTGGAGCAGGAAACAGTGCAGGACAAGACGATTGGGCACAAGACGCTGCAGGACTCCAGAAGCGCTTTCAACGAGGCGGAGAAGCAAGCAAGAGAAGAGGAAAGGATGATGGAGGATGTGGACGCCCTGCTGGAGGTGGTGGTGGGGGGAAACCTGTGGATTGAAGAAGAACCCACCAAGCCGGCCAAGCTGCCAGGGTAAGTTCCCATCAAGCCCACACACTCTTGCTTGCATTTGGAAAATCGTTGGACGAATGGCATGGTGAACAATGAGAGCATGACAGTGACAGTTGGCTCATCAATCCTGGACTCTGTGGCTGACACTTGTTTCGATGCCGCGCCAGGGACGGCTGCGATGGAGACTGTGTCAGCCCCGCGGGTGTGCTGAGCCAGCCACCCTCCACAGACAGCAGCCCGCCCTCTTCTGGAGACTGCAGCCCGCCCTCCCTGGCCACCCCATCCCCCAGTCAGATTCCTGACCTGCTGACAGCCGCCAAGGCAGCCGTGCACGCATACAGAGAGCAGCACTTTGACACATCAGCCGCTGACAGTGGCAGCTCTGCATGCCTGGAAGAAGAGCAGGCGCCAGATGTGAGTTAGCCTGCCAGTGCAAGCAGCAACGAGCACTCCTTGGCAGACACAGCTGATGCAGCGGTGCTTGAGGTTGAGGTCCAGGAGGAGAAGGGCTGAGCCCGTCGACAGAACAGCTCAGAGTGAACTGCCTAGGATTGACGGGCAGGAAATTCTGCCTGCAGAGCTGGCCAGGAAGTCAAGATCAAAGCATGCATCAGTTGGCAGCGCCGCCATGGCAGGAGACAGTGCAGTGCAAGAGGACATGGCAGCCTCCAGCAGCATGCAAGGTGTTGGACCGGATGCATGCATGCAGCCCAAGAGGAAGAGGAACCTGCTGCAGAAGGTCGTGCGTATTGCAAGGGTAGTTCTGTACAGCCTCTGCATCTATTCAAGGCAGTGGGATGCGAGCTTTGCGCATTGTAGATCTCTGCAGCTACAGCCAATGACAGCAGTTGCATTGCATCATTGATGTGCCATGCCGACAAAACTTCAGCTTTGAAACAATGCTTAGGTTGGACAGGAAACTTCAAAGGGTGTTCAGGGTTGGAGTTGAAACATAGAAGGGCTGGCTCAGTTGTTTCTGGGCTATTGGGATGATGTTCTGCCGGAGTTGTCACCCGGCATCCCCTCACATTGAGTTGTCATAAGAAGACTGTTGAGAGCAGAGCTACTGTGACAATATTGTGTACAGAGATGTTGTGATTGTGTCTGGCCGCATAAAGACAACTTTATAGAACATGTTATTTAGTGTATATAGATCATGTACCCTTGACGACCTCCTTGCTGAAGATAGTATTATACCCTCAAACTGCTGCAATCTCTGCTCAACAGCAATTCTCCTTCTCCATGGCGAACTACACGCTCTAAAATTGAACCTCAAGTCCTCTGTTGCGCCGAATACCACCACCGCACACATATGCAAGAAGATCATCATGCTGAAGCTTTTATGCAAGATGGCTGCACCACCTCATCGTTCATGATGGCTTAGTTTGCAAGTGCTCCCCATGGCGACATATTGAGGCCGCTGCGGTAGCCAGATCCTGGCCGTTCTCATGCATGATGACCGAGGTCCACAGCAGCACCGGCGGGAGACTGCCACCGGAGCTGGTTGCTCAAACATTGTGCTTTCTGATGTCAGTACTTCCTCATGATGATAGATCAGCTTGTTGGGCAAAAAAGTAAAATGCAAAAAAAAACACAAGGCCGGGGGTTTCAACCCCCGACTGGTGCTTTTCTGGATTATCGCTCACTGGGCAGGCACATATTATCGCTCACTTGCAATTTAACATTGCACAGAAGCTGACCATTCACGTTTATGTAGCGCATGCTCGTTCTCCGTGGTGCTTGTCGGACCTGTTTACATAAACCTCTTCAACGCTATACGGCCACAAGGTCTTTTTGTTGTTGGTGCGTCGTGAAGGGTAGGAATCTTGCAGAGAGGGTTCGCTTTATATCAATGTAATCAAAGACCCTAAATTTGCAGATTGATCAAGATCTCTGATCAGAAAACCTCAGAACCAAAACCCTTGAGTGAGGGTGTGCAAATGTATCGAAATCTATTCTTAGCAGCTTTCATTTGCAGCGGACATGGGCCGACAATTTGATACATATATTATATAAATCATCTAATTATGGAGAACCACGATTATAGAGTGCAGTTTGATTGGTTGTTTGTGTGAACGGAAGGGTGTCGATGCTATACATTGATGGCCCCAGATGCTCCACAGTAACGACAAGTCCGCCCGTTCAACGCATCATCGGACTGTACATGGTTTTGAGAGATAAAATTCTTTGATTCGATTGTCAATCAATCCGTGCCTTAATCTCGAAAATTTGGATTAAAGGTACCCCTGTGTCAGTGACATGCATACGATCTCGTCGAGCGCGTGAAGGCTGCGAATTCTATCAAGGTGCTTCTTTAATTAATAATAGTACTGAAAACTATATCTGATGATTTAGCCAGTCACAGCCCAGTGCCATCTGTTCTGGCCTTACCTTGAAAATGCGCAATGACGATCAGCAGCTTCGTGGTGCAGGATCATGCCCAACAAAGGCCGTGATTCCAACAAAGGCCGTGATTCCAAGAAAGGCCGTGATCAAGCGTGGAAGTGGATCGAAGTCCTCCAACGCTATTTAACCTCAGACTACCTACGACTCTCGATCCAGCTGACTGTCGGTGACACACCACTTCCTGCCTTTCTGTCGTCTACCCTGAACATGATAGAAATTCACATCCCAGGGAATGTCAGTGGAAGCCACGGGGCCTTGTCACAATAATTTAATTTGTTCTCGTTCCAGTGGCAAAAGTTCCATGTAATGTGCAGGTCATCTCGTCATCAGTCTATTTGTGTTCATACATGACCTGACCTGGTCCAAGTCATGCCTCACCGCCATCTTCTTTTACATTGGAATCATCCTGCGCAGCGACCTGCACGTGTCCAGCTATCTCCAGGCTGGCGCCTTGACAGCCGGATGCATCCTGGCTGGTTCCATAGCCGCTGGAATTGCGGTGCAGCCCCCACCTGCAGGCTATCAAATTGGCGTTTCTTGACTCCTGAAGGGGGAGAGAAATGATGTTTGTTTCGCTGGCTTCAGAAAGATGCCTTGTGGCTCTTTCCTATTAAGCTGCTGTACAGATTGGCATTGATTGCTTGTGGTGTACAATTGTGTGTCATCATGAGGATCACTGTCACAGTCGAGTCAGGATCCGCAGAAGGTCACTGCGAGCGTGGTCCTTGAGATGCGAAACAATGCTAGGCTACAGGCTTCAGTAGGCCCCACAAATGTGGCTGCAGACGCCCTGCATGCATGCCCTATGGCCTTTGGCTTTGGTTTTGCCGACCTGTAATAATGATAATGCTGAGAGCATGCATGTGTCTGCAGCTGTCGCTGGCGATTGTGCCTGATGTGTCGGACTGGGGGCGGGTGGGCTTCCTGTGCCTGTATGGCACACTGGGCATGCTGGCACTTGCCACAGTGCGCGCGGCAGGCAAGCCCGGAGTTGGCATTATTGCCAGCGTTGTGTATGTCATCGCCATTGTCAACGGCCACTTTGTGCGCCCTGCACGCGCCGTCTGGGGCCATGTAAGCCCCTCCTCCTCTGTCATAAAGTCTAGCCAATGCATGCGTTTGACCACAAAAAGCAGTGTGATCTGCAAAGATTTTGTAGTCAATGCCCGCAAATGACCAGGATCACTGTCTGTCATTTGGCCATCCACGTAGCATTGAGGCAGCTTCTGTGAAGCAATCCTTTACTGCGATCTCAAAGGCAGGAGGTGTTTGTGAATGTGCAGATTGTGGTGCCGTTCTTCTATGTTGGCTGGGTGTCATGCCTTGCCCAGCTGGTGGCTGGCTGCCTGGTGCTGCCAAGTCTGGCTCGCCAAGATCTTCGAGGCACAGCTGCAAATCTTATCCAGGTGCATATACTTCCTGAAAAGGCAGCATATTCTCCTGCACTGCCTCGATCACTGCCATGCAGGGGAGCTGCATTTGTTAGATGCTTTCCTAGCCCGACATTCCAGGCAAAAGGCTGGAATGAATGTGCTCGCAGGAGTTGGGCCACTCGTTGTCAGCTTATGCAAGCCACATTTTGGAGGATCAACCTGCAGTCAGCAGTAAGATCAGGGACCAGCAGAAGGCACCCAATGGATTGCCTGCCCGTGCAACCACTTTCCAGAACAATGCCAATGCCTCTGACAGTACATCATCTTCCTCTGGTCACTCTTTGAAATCCTCAGACCACAAGGTGCTGGCTTCCAGACAAAGTTTCCATAACATGTGATTGATATTCAAACTTTCAAACATTCTTGACAGCCGACACATTGGCTGTTGTGTGGATGAACCAATGCTTATCCTCTTCAGTAAGCCTTGGTTGTATTATTATTGATGTAAAGCAGGGTAGCATCTGGAGCAGGCATGATCTGACATGAGAGCACTGCTTTTGCAGGATGCCCCCTGCCTGTGCAACTTGTGCACCCATTTGGAAAGGGACCATGATCCTCATGCCACTGACGACGAGTACATGTGCGGCCCCTCATGCATGACAGTATGCCCACTGAATGTCCATGTGTCCCAAGCTTCAGGGCCTGCAATGCATGCATTGCTTGCTGTGGCTTTTCATATCAGCTTGCAGAGGTCATCATCATTGCCAGATCACTGCCAAGAACTTCATTTGCACGGCAGGAGCTACTTGGACGAGGCATCCAATCCAGAGAGCTTGAAGGCAATGAGCTGCCCTGTCTCTCCCTGCCTGCGCCAGCTCAGGCCTGTCCTGCTGCATGCGCAGCATCTGCTTGAAGAGGTCAGCCAGCCCTCATCACAGCCTCAGAACTAATGCTGACTGTGCGCCCTTGCTTGAAACAACTTTTTGAACCAGGACCATGCATTACATGTTCATCCTCCTGCAGGCTAAGGTTGAGCCGCCATGGGCGGACAACTGTGCAATGAGGACTGAAAGGTGGGGCATCCTGGTTTATGCTCTCAACAAGCTTGCCATCCGCAGCGCAGCTCTGGAGGGCTTACTGGAGGTGACTAGTCCCTCTCATGTCAAACTTCTGTTCAGCAGGAAAGCTTGCGCCCACAGATGCCAGAGACAAAGGTGTTAGGCGGCTGCAGGCATGCGCTGCCTTGCCCTTTCCTGCCACAACAACATAAAGGCATGCGGCTGAGTGAAGTAAAGTGTGTGTAGATCCACGCACAAGCACAGTGGCTGTAAGAACAGGCACATGCATGCAAATGCAAGCACATGCACTCTGGTGGCATCCAGGGTCCGGAGCAGGTGATGAATGAGGATGAGCTGCGCGAGCTGCTGGGCTGCGACGTGGTGCCGCTCTTTAAGGTGCTGTTTGCACAGATGGTGGCCTCCTGCAAGGAGATGACAGAGGCACTGCACCAGTCGAGCCGCGGTAGACGGGTGAAATTTTGAGCACCCAATCCATTCGTGACAAGAAAGAAAATTTGCTGGAAATTGCAGATGCGGTGACAGATGTGGCGACAGCAAACATGGGATGTGTCATACCAAGGGTGTTATTGCGAAATGTATGTAAATTCCATTAATGTAGCAAGTCCACTTCGGGAATGATTGGGACTTTACATGCCTTCTTGCTATCACACAATGTCTATCGCTACCCCACTGTCGCATCACTTGCTCGTCAGGGCCCCAATTGTCTGATGCCATGTCTAGGCATAATGAGACTAGTGCCCCTGAATGCCTTGCATCGCACTCATAATGACCGAGAAGGAGCACTTTTGATACTAAAGATAACCTTTCTGACGGGTGCTGTGTCACGCATGCAGGGTCAGGCTCACATGCGGCTGCAGCTGAATCCGTCTTATCCAGTGCTGGAGTATGAGCTGGCGTCCGCGCTGCACTGCGTCATCAATGGCTACTGGCAGCGCATGCAGCGGGACCCCAACTTCAGACCGACTGTGCAGGTCCCGCCACGTGCCCTCTTTGCACCTGTCTCCCTTGCATGCATGCTCGCGCCAAGCTTTCGATGCAGCCGCCAGAGCAGCTTCCTACCAGAATACTGAATGTGTGGCCCATGGATGTGGCTCGCCAACAAGCACACATGGCTTCTTACTGAAGCAAAAAAAGACCGCGCATGTCCTTGTCAAGGACCTCATGTATGGGCAAGAGATAAAAAGAAATTTCAGATCAACAGCTGTTGGATAGTTCGGACATTAGAGTGATTCTTAATTGGGTTGCATGGCGCAGGTTCGGGTGCTGCTCTATCTGGGCGCGCTATGCAGCGGCATTCTTGAGGCCCTCACAGACGTGGAGCGCAAGGCTGTGGCTGGATTGGCCTGCCCAGGCAAGGACAGTGACTTCTTCAGCACCATCTATCATGGTCTGCATCCCAATAAGCAAGGGCGCAGGCATGACACGGCCCTGCGGCGAGCGAATACTCACAAGCGCAAGGTCCAGAGCAGCCTGGATGGCATGTTGAACCGCACCAGCGTCCGCTCTGGGGAAGGTGCTTGACTAAATTCTGCTCATCATGATAAAAGAAGCATTAATGAACCCTCACTGCATTTGTACATACGCATGATGCACTATTGTTTGACTGTTTATTGTGACAGTCAAATTTCACAACTTCATGCATGTTGCCCCTGCATGAACCATAATGCATTGCCACTGCAAGTACCTATGTAGACGCAGTCTGCTGTGCTTGTTTCGTGTATATGCATGTGAACGAATGATCAGTGCTGACATGTGTGTATGCATGGTGGTCAGGGGGTGAGGCCCTGGACGCTGACTGGGCAGGGGATCTGTACAGCGATACGCAGCACCGGCCCCTGCAGCAGCAGTCCTCCACATTTCTGGCGGACCAGAATACAAGTACCCCAGGTGAGACGGGCAACGCCGCGCGACAGCCGCGCTTTGCTCAAAACGGTAGTCTAGTGGCTCAAGCAGAGGGCAGCCCAATACCTCCCACCGCTGCTCCACCCGCAGATTCAGCCCAGCAGAGTGCAGAGAAGCTGCCAGAAGCAGGCGAGGAGGGAACCCCGCGCAGACAGCCACCAGATGGTGTGGGGAGGCCAGAGGAGGCCAGCACGAGTGGATATGCGGCAGAGGCGAGCGATGATGCAACCCCTGCTGCCTCACAGCGGGACAGGGGATTGGTCAGGGTTGCCCACCTGGGAGAGGGAACTCTGCTGAATGACTGTCCCCTCCTTGTGCGGGTGACGCCCACTCTCTTTACCATCCCGGCCAGCGGCCAGCGCAGCGGGAAACTGCGGCAAAGGCGGCAGCAGCATCAGGAGCAGCAGTCTTCAGGGGAGGAGCAGCGACCGGTGCAGCGATTGAGGGAGATTTCAGAAGAAGCAGCGTCTCAGGGCAGGATGTCAGCAGGGAACACAGCAGGGCAGCTGCGCATGGTGTTGGCTGGTGAGCAGTACAGGTCCACCAGTGCTGTGCTGGCGGACGGAGGTGCCGGGCTTGTGCCCAGTGCCGCCTTCATGCAGCAGTGGAACCGGCACACCACGCTGCACGTCCGGAGGCTGCAGGCGCCCCAAGATGAGTCAGGCGATGACTCAGACGAAGACTCCAGCGACGACTCAGGCGATGAGTCGTCCCATCACTGCAGCGCCGGCGGTGGAGCTCCCGTGGATGGAGATGAGCATGCAGCTGCGGATATGGATGCGGCCGAAAAGGGCGTGTGCAGGCCTGGAGTGGGAAAGGGGTTCCAGCTGCATGGGAACGGGCGTGGCAGCAAAGGCAGTGGCCGCTCTTTGAAGGAGAAAGCTTCGAGCAGATGCCCAGAAAAGAGGAAGAAGTTACGCAAAGGCATGCCTCAGGTCACATTATGCGCAAAGGTTACCTTCCTTCAAAGGTGTCTCGTGACAAGTGCCATCAGGTGACTTGGGCCAGTCACTCCTTGTAGCAATATATGAAGGAATGCAACTGGCTGGTGGGTGTCACGTTATTGCATGTGCCAAATGCAGTCTACTGCCAGAGCTTTCTATAATTTAGCACTCGTCCACCAATGCACAGGTAACAGAATCAAGCTGCGATGCCCTTGGTCCTGCGCAGGGAGAGTGGCCAGGCGGCTGAGGGATGACTGGGGATGGCTGTGGCCGCTGCTGCTGCAATTCTTTGGCTACCCAGTGGGCGAGGCACTGGTCAAAGCCTATGGCTGGGCTGTCCTCAGATACCTGGGCTCCAGAAACTGGAAGTCACCTCAGCTGCTCATTGACCTCCGGTGAGCACAGATCACCATTTCCCTGTTCCTTCGCCCCGCTTCATGGTTGCATGCATTTTTTTCAATCATGCACTTTCTGGAGAGCTTCCCAAGTGACTGGGACTGTGAGAAGAGCACCTGAGACCACAAGACGGCTAATGTAGAAAGATTCAGCAAGATATATGGCTGTGTCGTATTATTGTTACTTTTAGAGAGACCTGTTAGGAGCCACCTGAGGCTTATTGGTCTTGTAGGCAGTATATCCCTGCCCATCTTCATATCACAAACCTCTCATCTGTCAACATTCTGTCATGAATTTGGCAATCCTAATACTGCTCTGGCCCAAAATTGCATGCAAACAAGGTGGTGCAGAAGCAAATATGGTGTTGCAGACAGACAGTCATGCGCAGGCGGCACCGGCGGCTGCAGTTCTTCCTCAAGTACTTCATTGCCAACTCCGGAGTCATTTGCCTGGTGTTTGTCCTTGACCAGCTCAGCGTCACCTTCCGCACAAAGTGGATCCCCTACTACTCCGGGCTCACGGTCAGTCCCCTACGCATGGCGGAAACACTATGCACACCATTCTTTCCTGCAAAGCACCTTCTGATGTGTCTGAGGTTGGCTGGATCTTGCCCTGCTATGGCCATTCCAATGAGGGTACAATTTTTGGCATCCTTCACATGCAGCAGGTCTCTTTCAGCAGAAACAGGGTGTGATGAAGATGAAAAACAATACATATCATGCTGCAGTTAGGAATGCATTCCACGAGGCATGTTTCAAATAGACAACCAAAACATTAATACAACTGTACTGTGTGCATGGCACAGATTGCGGTGGTGCTGTCTGAGAAGACAGACACGACCATCACCAAAGGAGTCCTTCGCATCATCGGCTCCGTCGTGGGCGGTGTTTTTGGTGCGCTTGCTTATCATTCCTCCATGGCCGACAAGAACACCAGCATGCTTATCATAATATGTTGACCTCAAAATTTGGTAAATTGACACCATCTATCACTTTGCAGCGAGGTGCAAAGTTACTGCAGACTTGCATGTTGATGAGCTCAGCAAACTGCCCTTGCTATAATTGGTAGCAGTTGCATTTTCCTGGACTGAGCAACGTGCTGCTTTGGAGATGGCTAGCATCCATATCATCTTGCATGAAATGCATAATGCATAATTTTGCATTAGTTGCGTGTGGATAAGCTCAGCAAAATGTCTGTGCTAAGTTTGGTAATAAACGGCATAATATACAGCGTGTTGATCTCAAGAACGTGCTGCTCTGGAGATGGCTAGCATCCCACACCATCCTGCGCATAGTGTCGCAAGAAATTTCCTAATTTATGATGGATGCATGGCAGGGTATCTGGTGATGCTGCGCAGCGGGCTGGCCACAGAGCCGGTGGCATTGGCTGCGATTGGCTGCGCGGCCACCTTCCTGGCAGCTCCCGCGACGCTGACGCGGTACAAGTATGCGGCCTACCTCATGCTCATCGCCTTCCACTCCCTCGTCCTCTGCCAGTACATGTGCGCGCCCCACCCACCCTTTAATTGCACGCCTAAACCACCCTCTGATGCCTGGTGCCAGGGGGAACTACATCTAACCCCTGCTGGCGCACCCTGATGCAAGCAGTAATCAAGTCAGCATTGTATTGGATTACCTGCTCGCCTGGTGCACTGGTGTGTAGCTGGTTTCCTCGCGGTGATCTCGCCAATGTAATTCTACAGCTTCAATGCAGGAAAAGGCAAGGAGTCATCAGGTGCATCAAAGAACTTGCCTACGAAGGATGGAATTCTCAGCTGATGACATGAATCTCATGGCCGCAGGGATGTGCCTGGCCATCATGGCAGTGTGAGGCAATTCTATGCGCGCATTGCCAACATTGCGGTGGGCGTGGTCATTGTGCTCTTGATCGACCTCACATGCCCCTGGTGCGCGTACGCACTGTCCATGTCGCCATGACGCTCGCAACTTCCTGCGCAAGCCATCCTCTGTCATGTATTGAGCCAAAGCCGGCCATGCTTCCAGACAGTGTCTCCGCTAATTAGCAATGGACACCGCACTCACCTCTGCCAATCACCTCCTGCATTGGTCATGCATGCCAGAAAGAAATAAGTGCTCACTCTCTTTTGCAGGGCTGTTCTGGTCACTCCATGCAGCATGTCTCCCCTGTTCATGAATCATTGAAATTGCATGCAGCAGATGCTTTAATCTTAAAGCATGGCTGCAGGTACACGAGTGTTGCAGCGCTGGAGACGCTGGGGAGAGCATACAGGGAGGCGACGCAGCTAATAGAGGATTACTATGTGGCGTTCCATGAGGAGACGCTGATGGCCGCACAGGGGCGTTCCCCCTGCCCAGAGGTGCAGGGCGTTGCTGTGCTGGAGAAGAACGCCATCATAGACAGGGTTCAGCAGCCCCTCAGTGCGCCCATCCTCCCCATGGACCTTGGCCTGCCAAGACCTTTGCACCACTCAATACATTTTTGCTGCCAGACTGTTCTCACCAACAATTGCTGACGGCATTCACATGTGAACAAATCTGGGCGACCATCATTTTGATGATCTACTGATTGGCTATCATAGAAAATGGCACAAGTTCCGTGCTGCACGAGCTGTCGTTTGGATTCCATAATGCCCGGCTGCGCTCTTCTCCGGTCAGCACGAGGCCTTTGTCAAACATGATGGCATGAGCATGACTCACCTTGTGAACTCTTCAAGGAGCTTCATCCGGGTTTCCATGTGCATGCAAAAAAAGTAATTTAGCTTTTCACAATTGACATTGAACTTTGCCATGTGTGCAGGTGAGGTGCAGGTGTCTGTGCAGAAGGAGTCGGTGATCTGGAAAAAGGGCCTTCTCATCATCCCAGACATCGTCCATCAGCTGCTCTATGCCATGCAGGTGCTGCAGCATGCACATGCATGCCTTCTGACATGGGACAATGCATGCCGTATTAAAGGTGGTTTGCTGTCAGACATGCATGAAATGCCTGTTCACTGCAGGGCGCGTGCATGCCACATTTCTGACTCGGAAGGATGCATAGTTGGTTGCTGTCAGATATGCATGAATATGCATGACTGACTGCCTGGGATGAATGCGCGTGCAGCTTCAGAATGCGTTGCTCTTCATGATTAGTACAGCGTTACTGAGCGTAAGTCATGTGCCGGCAGGTGCTGCAGGACCGCCTGGAGGCAGTGGAGCTGATGCTGCTGCAGCGGCCCATTGTGAGCGGCCGTTTCACCGGCTATGCGTACTGTTGCTTTGTGCAGCCGCTCGATACAGCCTTCCGCGATGTCTGCAACAGGTCTCCCTGCAGCCCCTGATGCAGGAACTCAGAAGCTCTTGCTCAGTGTGTTCACCTTACTATCCTTCATTAGAAATGTTGACTGCATTTGCAGCTTTAACTTTCCTTGCAATGTTGCTAGGTGCAGCCTCTGTCCATTCTGTGACATGCATGGGCCCCATAAGCGTGTTCCATGTGCCATCCAGTGAGAGGCAGAACACACGGGAGCAATGTCAGTCCAGGAAGATAGATTATGAGCATGCAGTGGTTTGAGCAGGGCGAAGGAGGTGGGGAAGCTGGTGGCAGCTGTCCTGAGCGAGTCCACACATGCCAGCCACCTACACGAGCTCCAGCAGGCAGTGGCCAACCTCCAGCGGGCCAGGTGCTCCCTCGATGTGCACATTCTCACGCATGCATTGCATCACCAGGCAGATGCAAAATGGGATGTCGGGCCTGACATGTGGCTCAAGAAAATATTGCTGTAAACTCTGACTGTTTCGCCAGCCACCCGGAGTGGCTCGGCCCCCAACATCATGGCTACCTACCACAGGACTGCAGCTGTCAGTTCTGCGGGGAAACCATCGCTCATTGTGCTCCTGTGATCAGCCTTGCAGGAGCACCCATACAGTGTTCATGTGTGCAGGTCGCTCTTGCGGAGGCAGATCATAAACACGGAGCAGGAGGTTGTGCAGTCGGCTGAGGAGGGCATGGATTGGACACCTGACGATGCGCTGCGATTCCAGTCATTCTGGTTCGCTGTCTCCAGGGCCCTGGACAAGGTGTGATCCCCTGTCAGCACACATGCATGAGGCTGGTGGATCTCTCATTAGTTTACAATGATTCATATGCTCATCCATAAAAAGGGTCCTAAATGCAGATCGGGAGCTGGGATGCCGTAATATCCCCAAAGAAGCAAAAGACAGGCAGATGATTAAATCAGGAAGTTTTTTTTAGCGTGTGCATGCAACATGAGGAGTTGTCAGGTCTCCTGCTGGTCCTGGGAGTGGATTGAGTGAGCTGAGTACGGATGCAGAAACGTGCTGCTAGCATTGTCAAGTGTCAAAATTACTCAAGGCATGTGGGTGATGTGTGCAGTGTGTCCTGGTGGCTCGCCTGGTGCTCCAGGATGACTGGATTGCAGAGCATGTCCGCGCGGGCCGGTGGCGGCACAGACAAGTGTGGTTGGGCAGACCTCTGAGCGGGAGGCAGGAGCGCAAGCTCAGGAGGCAGGCGGCCCAAGAGGAAAGAGACCTGGAAAAGGCCACATGAATCACATAAATCAGACCTGCATGCACTGACGTTTTTCATGCCCACGTGTGTCTGTCATTATAAGAGCTTGATTGCAGTGGCAGATAGTTGAGAAATATCTGAAGGAGAAGATTGGTAATGTAGTTCTGGACAAAGAAAATTACACCAGAGCGAACATTTCATTCTTAATCTGGATGCATGCATGGGGTTTCCTTAGACCCCTTGTGTGCGAACCCTGAGATGGGAGACGGTGTAATGAGACTTGGTCTGAATACGACAGTTTTCTTCAGTCCAGTTCCACGGTCAATACTTCCATCTGGATAGAGACGTCGGGCGCTGATGTGCGGAGATCGTGCCGGAGAGAGGTGACAGCCCGTCAGGTAGGGCCCTGAGCACCGTGCTCCTGCCATGGCACCATCTGAGAAACCGTCGTACAAGTGGGAGCGTTGCACCATCCCTGGGCTACTTGCCAGTCTCTGTCAAACATTCTGGTGCCTCTGTTGTGGCTGATTGGGGTCCAAGAAATTATTTAGAGTATCCAAGCTTTGGCATCTGAGATGGTGATCAAGAGCCTGAAGCAGACTGGATTGGCTTTCCAGGCACCGATAACGATCTCAAGCTTGTGAAGTTGGATCTGATACAGGTGCGATGTATCAGCGGGCACGGTTTGACAAGGAGCCGGAAGGCAACGCGTATCACGCAATGCCACGCCCTTCCTACGGCTATGACTTGACCAGATCGACACTTCAGGGAATGAACAACCCGAGGATGCGTGGTCTATATGACTCCGCAAGCGAAATCGGTGCGTTCAGGCCTATCTCAAAATATCAGGCTTCACCTTGAGTTGGCTGAAACGATCTCCAAGCTACTGCAGCATCAGGTGGTGAAGGCAAGACAGAGTCTGTGTCTTGAGGTGCACAGGTCGACCAAGTTGTGCCCTGCTGTGCAGACATGGCTCGCCTGAGCCTGAATCCTAGTGCAAAGGAGTTCGTGCCTCCAGGCAAAGGCTTCCAGGAGTCCTGGCAAAGCCCTTTCCACCAGAAGGTGACAGAAACAGTGCATGTACCTATGCTATAGGATTTGGATGAGCTCTGCTTGAGTTCTCAAAGGCATATATTTGACATCTCTGCTGTCTCAAAGGGCAGCTGCATCTTACATGCATGCAGTTGGAATGGTGCACCTGAATGCAGTTCTGGTTGCGCTGTGGGATGGGATTTCCTCTGAATCATCATTATGTGAGATGCGCATGGCAATGTGCAGGATGCTCCAGGTGTGCCTGCTCCGATCGCCTCCGCCTATGACATGCATGGCACTTCCAGGGATCCTGGACATGGCAGAGGTTTCCAGGATCCCAGGAAGCGCCAATCACAGCCCAGGAGGAAGGCCGCGCTGCAGAGGCAGTTTGGAGGCAATGTGCAGCGCACCATATACATCTGTGACGTCGACCACCAGGCATGCATGCCCCCTCATGTCCCCTGACTTGCACCACATGTGTGCATGTCATCATGTCAACCTTTCCAAGACATTCTGCTGTGGTGTGCAGGTGACAGAAGCCTCCCTGGCTGATGTGTTCAAGGACTCTGGGAAGATTGTGGATTGCCGCGTCTGCGGGGATCCAAACTCTGCCATGCGCTTTGCCTTCATTGAGTTCGCTGATGAGAGGGCCGTGCAGCAGGTAAGGTTCTCTGATTCTAGTCAGCTCTGCTGACATTTTGGCTGCACAAGTACTAGCATTCCTTTCATGCATGTGTGTACTTTGTCTTGGCTTAATTACTGTTGTGCTGCTTGCAGGCCATCAAGCTCAATGGTGCAAAGCTGGGCAAGTACCCCATCCGAGTCATGCCCTCCAAGACTGCCATCGTCCCTGTCAACACCAGCTTCCTGCCGCGCACACAGAAGGAGCTGGAATGCTGCGCCCGCACTGTGTACGTTGCCAACATCGACAAGAGGGTGGACCGCGAAGATGTCAGGCAGTTCTTTGAGACCCTGTGCGGTGAGATGCAACATTTTGGAAATGCTCTGCCTCCAGATTGCCTCACTGTGGTCGACATCTGTAGTGGAGCATACCTGCCTATGTCATGTTGTTACCATATCTGCATGCATGAAGAAGTGCTGCAAAGCAGCATGCAGCCCTCTCACAAATGACAGCTTGGCTGACATGGCTTGTCTGATGTGCAGGCCCTGTGAAGAAGATTCGTCTGCTCTCTGACTACAACAAGGTCAGCAGCATTGCTTTCGTGGAGTTTGCAGGATTTGACAGTGCAAGGAAGGCCCTGGACTGCAGCGGAGCGCTCCTGGGAATGCTGCCAATCAGGGTAGGTGGAAGGCCTGTTTGCTGCTCAATTCTCATGCAGACCAACCAGCGCTGATTACAGTGATTGCTGAATTTAGCTGAACCCCTGTCTGCCGCATGTAGGTGACACCCTCGAAGGCTCCTGTGCGAGACGAGTACTGAGAATTTCAGATCTGCTGGCCTGTTGTGCAGCTGACACTGCTCAAGAATTTCTTATCGCGTTCAATATATATAAAGTCCAGCACAAGTTTGGAGACGGTGTGAAGACAGACTGGAGAGTGAAGAACCCTTTGGAGATTACGCATGAACCCTTGTTTTGTGGCAGAATGAGAAGCAACGGCATAGGCTGCTGGCCAGAGATCTTTCTGAGGTGCATTTTGCATTTTCAGCAGATATTCCTGCTGATGATGAGCTGCACCCTTGTCCTGATCTGTTCTTCTGCAGAATGATGGGCACTTCATATGGCCCGCCTGCTCTTTGCTAAGATTCGGCACAACCTGATGAACTTATAATTGCTCTGAAATGCTTGCAGTGAACCAGATGGGACTTCAGTATTTGTGTAGCACACCACTGTGAATTTTATGTACAATAAGGATGAATAGGAAAGTAGAAAATTTTGGATCTGTAGAGTGCCAACAGTGTTTCATTAGTGGAGATTGCATACGGGAGTAATTTTGAGGGCCTGGAAGTGTTTCTTCCTACAACTCCTGATCCAAACATATAATAAAGTGGCTCCTGATCAGGGGCAAAGCAGAGGCTGCTCAGGGAGCAAAGCAAGGCTCAATGGCTCTGCAATTGGCTCTGCAACATTGGACTGTAACATGCCGTAATTTAACTGCTCTTGCTCATTGCTAGCCACTGTGCTACATGACATGATGGCCCATACCAGGTTTCCACTTACCATTCATGCCATCTGGATGCCTTCACAGTCAGCCCCACTTTTTTTAAATAATGTGTCTCGATTACAGCAGGATGTTTTCTACCGGGACATTGTTCTTTGGCAGTGCTGTTGATGTGGTAACATGTCACGATAGTGGCGGTGACATGAGTTCTACTGTGTAATTGCAAAAGCAGGTGCTACAATTAGTGACTGCAGCTTGTTGAGTCGCTAGCAACGCTCAAACACCTTGTACAGGGTCTTCAGTGACACCACATGCACGATGCTGCCATCCTTTACCCTCCTCGCCTGGGGGATGAGCTTGGAACGGATAGTCGGGAACAGCACCTACACCCCACAGGATCTGCTTTCAAATTTGAAATTTTGAATTCAAAAATTCACAAATTAGGACAAGTCATTCGGTAGCACAGCACCAAAACTTAGAGCAAGCTGATGTGCATTATTCAGCGGTGGACGCACATGCTCAATTCCCCAGCTTTGCAGGTCTGCGGTGTCTCTGAGCGCAATTGACTCCAGCATATCTGCACCACCGGGATTCACAGCCTGCTGGCACAGTACAGCTCAGAACGGCTGCTCAAGCTTTTCTCAACGTGTGACAAGCAAAATCAGTGCTGCCTGAGCAATTGGTATGCAGCTCGCACCGGTGTAGGTAGTTGGTGATCTCTTTTTTGCAAGCCCAAGATCTCAGGAATGGCCTGGGTTGAGTAGAACTCTGCTACCGCCTGCAGTCCATGATGTCAAGCACTTGAAATTGACGAACCATCACAGTACTTCCCAATGTAAACTGAAAGATAACTAGCTTGATCAAGGAATATTGGCATTTGGTGAAGTCACAGGAAGAAGAGTCAAGCACCTGGGCAGTCCAGCTGATGGCTTGCTCTTCATTGTCCCAGTTAGGGCACTCTGCCAATCTGTATACAAGAAGCGGCAGGCGGTTCACATCTGGCTTGCAGCCATCCAAGATGACTGGCAGCCTCCTCAAGGTGCCACTGTCTCTGTCAATGTCCACGGCTGCTCCTTGCGCCAGGAACTCAGCTTGGGCCACCAAACGCCGCTCTATTCTGAGAGCAGCCTGCCATCTGTCTCCCTACAAATGAAGGCAACTTTGCCTTGCCCTCAAGTCAGCCTTGGCCTCAAAGACCAAGAAAGCAGTGTATCACAGATGAGCAGTGCTGAAATTTGCAAGGCTAATCGCACAGCAATGCGTATTTCAGAACAAAGGGAGATTGTGCTCCAGATTACCTCTTGCAGACCTGGCTGCAGCAGCTGCAGAGCTATAAGAGCCAGGTCTGCTATGCGGACAGGGCTGCCAATCTGCAACTGTTGCCGGTTGCCCCAGCCCTGCAGAACCTGCCAAAGGCCAACACGAGTCTTCAGTACTCTGGATGGCAGCCAAGCATGCAGGCTACTGACGTGATATCAGCAGAGACAACCAGATTTGGCAATGTGCATGTATCCCCCTGATCAATGGAATTTGCTTGGCATAGCCCACATTGACAAAACCAGGATGATTGCTCGCACCAGCTGGTAGAAAAGGTCATGCCCAAGGTTCCCAATGTTTAGGAGTAAAAGATCAGTGTCATGTTGCACCAGCAGCCGGGAGGTGTCCACCATGCCCACATACACAGAGCTCTGCAGCCTCTGCTTTAAACCTGCACAGCATTGAAGTTGTAAGCTGCTGCAGCACAAGCCTGTACAGCACAGCATGAAGCATGAACATCTCCAATATATCACAATGTGAGCATGGACCTCACCCTCATCTCTGTCATTAATGATGTCTCTCTGCAGCTTGCCAAGCACGCCAGTGCTTGTAGACGCTCCTGACTGCGAGGCTGTCCTGTGCTGCTGCTCTGAATCCTGCATGTCTTCATCCTGTGTGGCAAATAGGGCAGGCTGCGTCATCATTTTGCGCTTCCTCGGTACTGAACTCAGCGCGACTGCTGCTGCTGCACTTGAGCCTGCGCCAGCTTGTGTGGCCGTCTCAAAGAAGCTCTGCAGCTTCTGAGACTGGGCATCCGTTCGGACCATCTCTGTCACTCTGATGCTTCCCTTGTCTGTTGCCCTCCTCGCTGGAGCAGGCCCGGCCACTGCTGCAGGCCCACTGTGTGCAATGCTCCGCATGCAATGACACCTGACATCCCACAAAATAATTAAATCCTTGGTGCACGCATGCTCTAAAGCACCAGTAAGCGGAGTCCATAGAAGGCACAAGGGCCTGCTCAGCCATGGATGTTATAAGTGAAAGCAAGAATTTCAGGATTGGTCACTTACTGTATTGGTCCTTGAAGCAGGCTCTCCAGTGCATCACTGATGCAGGTCAGGATCTCTTCTTGGTGAAGGAAGACCACCTCATGCTTGGTCGGGTGGACATTCACATCCACCTGATCACCTGGCAGCTTGATATCCTGCAGCATCATTGAGAGATATTGTCACTCTCAATCTCTAAAGAGTCTTGCTGCAATGAGAGAGCTTTAAAAATTATGTCAGGCTGCTGCATGTCTACCCGTCACGAGGGCTGTTATGATACAGGCGGTGGAAAAGAAGGGAGCATGCAGGGCCTCACCAGGTAGACGAAAGGCTTGTTGCGAGCGTAAGAGTAGTAGGCGGCTTCCAGGCTGTGCTCGAGTGCTTTGCACTGCACAATGTGGCCATTGATCCTGATAATGAAGATGCCCTTGCGACCGCTGTAGTGTGTGCACGACACAAAGCCCTGCAAAGAAGGCAGGCACATTTCCATCATTTCGATAAAATGAAGTCATTGAGGGAATCTGATGGGCAGTCCCACCAAAGCTAATGCGTGATTGATGATGATGAATGGACAAAGAAAAGGAGTATTACCGAGGCAGTGAAAGAGAATGTGGCTGCTGCAGTTGATGTGTCCATTTTCTCACCAGGCTCCTCCAAGTGAACTGGGAGAAGGGACTGGGCAACCGATGCCCCATAGACAACCCTGAATTCCCACATTTTGCACATTCTTTTTTGCAACACAACCAACATGCAACAGCTGAGGCTTGCATGGATTTCATGCCTGCACTGCTCACCTGATGATGTCCTGAGCTGACGTGCCTGCCACTGTGTGCAAGTCTGGACGCCGCTCCCCCTGGAGCAATATTGATAATCAAAATTTAATCCGACATCTCAGAATTATTACCAGTATTCCACTACAGCACATGTTGCCACAGGCAATTGCGAAGGGCTGCACCTGTTTCTTGCAGGAGAATCCAACATCAGGCCTGCTGATAGCATAACGCCCAAGGAGGTCCAGTATGCGCGCATACTCCTCAGCAGCACTTCCTAGCGCCTGCATGTGGCAAGCCATTAGTCACAGAACTATTATGGGAAATTAGAGTGGTCGGCAACGTAGTCAGTTGCTTCAAGAAACTTTAGGCTCCCCTCTTCATCTATCTGTGAATATGCTGGAATTTCGAGCTCCCCAGCCTCTGTCAGTGCAGCTCAATCTGGATCTGGGCAGGCCACATCGCTTTGGCCCCAAATTCTCTGGCGCTCCTCTGGATTGGGCGGACTAAGCAATTGCACAGATGCGGTCAATGAAACCATCAAATTGCATTCGTTACCTTCCTGCGCTGCTCGTTGCTGTAGAAGAGGTCATCCACAATGAAGGTGGTGCCATTCTGAGCAGCACATGGTGAGGGTCCAGGAGGTTCCAAGGCCGTGTTCCTGCTTGACATGTGTGCAGGTTAATGCGTGGGACACGATCCGCTTGTAGATGCTGAAAGTGCTTCAACAAAATTTATGGTGGTCACATTGAAGGGGAGAAGTGATCCTTACTTGTAGGGGATTTTGAGGCCAGCAACAGCTGCGGGGGGTTTTGTGATGACGGTGAGGTGTGCCACTGTTGATATGGAGGCCAGTGCTTCCCCCCGGAAGCCTAGAGTCGATAGATTGTCAAGGTCCTCAAAGGATCGAAGTTTCGAGGTGGCATGTCGCTTGCACAGAAGTGGAAGATCTTCTTTCTGCAGACCACCGTTCGCATGCACCATCAGTATCATTAAGAGGAAAAGTGAGAGGTGCACCCAGTGCCTTCTCCTTAAATAATAAAACGTTTACCTGGATGCCGTGGCCATTGTCTTGGACGCTCAACATCTTCTTTCCTCCCTCTTTTACAACAATGTTGATCTGCGAAGATCCTGAAATGAACATCCCGTTTGTTGATCATCAGCTGTAGTGGATCACTGTCATAGAAAGTAATTGTATCTTAGGATGCAATGGTCAAACCTGCGTCAAGGGCGTTGTCCAACAGCTCCTTGATTGCATTGACTGGCCTCTGTATGACTTCTCCAGCTGCGATCTGCTGGATTACATCCTCACCAAGGCTGACGATGCGCGGAATGCTTGGCTCTACATGCGACATGGTATATCTCTCTATACCGAGGATCTATTTGTTAGAATAGTTACGGTCAGACTAAGGATGAACTACCATCCATGCCAGAGGTACCCAGCCCTTTCTCTGCATCTGAAAGCATTGCTGCATATAACTAATCAAGGTAAGCCATAAAATTGTGCACAGATAAAGTTTCTTGTACTACTTCTTAATCGAGAGTGTTGATACCTAAAGGTATGTGTATGACTGCTTCATCTTCTCTTGAAATGAACATTTCTGAATCCAAGGTTTGAAGATACGCTCCATGAAATTGGTTCGAATTTTGATTGACCAGAAGTACGATCTCCCATTCAATCTAGAATTAGATCTCGCATTAAACAGGTACAACTTACTATTGCAACTATCGCTGTGCATAGAAGACCGTCTGACATTGGTCAAGCCAATCCAGTGGCTCCAGCTCACAGCATACTCATGCTGAAGCGGCTTCGAAAGGACGTGTTAACATCTTAGGGGAACTCGAATCATCAGACGAACAACTTAATGAATACCAAATCTGGAGGACGTGTGATAAATGCCGAAGCTCGGAGTGCAAGGTGCAAGTTCTTTCAGCCAGGCATTGTCCAACACAGCAGAGAGTGACACATTTGTGATGGGGATGTCGCAGTGAAAGAACACCTTGATGGTGCCGATTAATGCCGATGAATCTGTAATAAGGGATCAATTGTGTGTACCAGACACGAAGGCAAGAGCCTCAAGTAAAGAAGGCCATTTTCAGATTGTAAGCGTCTGCAGGCTCCCTGATCCACAGTGGATGCTGGATCGTGATGAGCCATTCCTGAAGCGGCGTGACCGGCTGCCAGAGCCAGCCCAGGCGCCCAAGAGCATCAGCGCCTGGGAGCTCATCAAGGAGTTTGTTGGCAAGGACCTGGCAAGGGTGCGCACTTTAGCCCCATACCTTGGTGTTATTTTAAGGAGACGCCTTGAAAGAACACCGATCACTGTTCTTTGGCAAACGGAGTGATTCATCCAAGAAACGATGTGGGGCACAGATTACGGACCTGTCGCTTCCTGTGGCGCTATGCGAGCCGGTGACAGACATGCAACGGCGGGGAGACTTCCTGGAGTATGTGGAGCTGCTCCATGAGGTCAGCTGACAGCCTGGCTGTTGCTCCAGAACCCACCATTTTGTTGCTGCATGCTCTCTGCCACTTTCCACCAGGAACTCACAAATGCCCACAGATGCTATTCTGAGGCAAACAAAGCATGCTGGCACTGCCAAGCTCCCATTCAGAATGTCAGAAGACCATATCTTGTGATGCATGAGCGCAGGCAGCAGAGCTGCCAAAGGGCAGCATGGAGCGGCTGCTCAAGGTCACAGCCTTTGCAGTCAGCATCTACTCCTGCGTGTATCGCCCCTTTGCACCCTGCCGCAGCCCCAAGGGAGAAACCTTCGAGCTTGTTGCCCCAGACAAAGGCATCAGGGCCATCGGTGAGAAGGTGAGCTCTTGCTGCAACGTGTCTCGGACCGTGTTTGCCAGCTAGGGATCCTCAGACGCTTCAAAAAAGTGTAGCACGAGGTGCAAGCACCGTGATATTTCAGTCTGTCTCCACAGTGTGGCGAGTGCCCGGGAGTCAATGCCTTCTTGTGTGAGGGGCGGGGATGGGTGCTGTCCTGCGATGAGATGAACAAGATGGAGTTTAGGGGTCAGTACGCCAACATCAGGTACAGGACAGCCTTCGCTCCTTACTGACAGAGCTCCAGTAATCATGGAAATGATATGGAGACAATAGCTTGTCTTGTTGCCTGCCATGGATCCAGTAACGATAGCTTGCATGCAGATCTTATCGGTGCATGCATGACGCTGCAGGCCAACAGGGCTGATCCGCATCGACTTTCATGATGGGGAGGAGTTCAAGTGGAACCCGCTCCTGACAATCGTGCAGCACATTATTCTGGGCACACACTACCTGGACCACAACGGCAACCTCCATATCCAGACCTCTGCCGCCCCCCACGCCAGCAGCGTCCGCTTCAAGGAGCCCTTCATTGCATTCACCAACAAGCAAGTGCACCAGGTGCCCACCTCATCTCCACATTCTGAGCCCCTAAAACCGGATTCTTGCATACTTGGCAGACGATGCATGTCTGCAGACTCGTGTAGGGGCAGCGCATGCACAGGACAAGTCAGATGGACAACTAAAATTTGATGATTGAAGCGCAGTAACTAGAGAACAGGGAACAGGGAATAGAGACCTCACTTATGACATGGTCTAGCAGAGGGCCCTCCACATGCCAGGTACTTTCAGTAAATTGTCTACTTGCATGGCTTGCCACGGTGTCTCAGCTGGCACCTATGGTCCTATGACCTGGGCTATGATTGAAGGAGGCACACAAGTTTCTAAAGAGGGGAAGGCGGCGCGGGGCACAGGTGAAAGGGCATGTTGAGGTGGGCGGGCAGAAACTGGAGCACCCTCTGCTGCATGGCAAGTGGGACGGCGCCCTCTGGGCCACTCTTGCGGACGGCAGCGAGCAGCTGCTCTGGCAGAAAAACCCTCCCCATGAGCACCCTTCCAGGTATCACATCCACACGACATGTGAAATGGTAATGGTTTATTGTATCATGCGACGTGAGTGTTGCTGTGCAAGACGCGCAGCTGGCAGGCAGCATGCTTCATGTAACCCACACCACCTCAACCTCTTGCCGCCAATCTCTCATGCTGACAGCTGCCAATCAGAGGCAATGCCATGTTCTAATTTAACCCATACATGGGAAGTCCCACTGACATCAAAGAGTGGCACCATTTGCACGACCAGACCGAATTGAGCAGAGGGACCCCGGCTTTGAAGATAGTGGTAGTGAAAATGGCGGCAAGATGCCTGCACAGAATTTGAGGACCTTCAGAAATGCGCTCACAACCCGACAAACTGCATTGCGCAGGTTTGGCTTCTCGCAGTGGGCGCTTTCGTTGAATGACATGCCGGAGGGGCTGGAACGTCTGCTGCCGCCGAGTGACATGCGCTGGCGGCGCGACCTGCGGCTGCTGGAGCAGGGGGAATACGACGCGGCGGAGGGGGAGCGAAAGCGCTTGCTCAAAAGGGTCGCCAGTGCGCGCGCTGCCGCCACCCAACCCCACGAGCCGCGCTGGTTCCAGTTCCACCCGGAGGTACGCGGCGCAGACGCGCACTGAGTGCTTGTCATACTGACTATACCCCAAGGCCTAGCTCAGTAGATCTCGATTTCCGCCCACACATCTCCCTGCTACTAGTATTACTATGACATTTTTCCTGCCAAAGGTAAGGCAGGCTGCAGTCAAAGGCTGCCATAATCATACCCCTTTTGGGACTCGCCAGATCCATGCAAGACCCAATCCCTGCTATACTTGCTGTAATATGTGCTCTCACCTAGGGATGACCTCCTTACTGATGCCCAGAGGAAAACATAATGTTGTGACGCTGAGACATGTCCCCCTGTGAGGACTCCTGCAATAACTGTTGTTCGACGACAGATGTGTCCCAAGGTAGCTAAGGGTGATATCAATATAATTATTATTACACGCTGTTCCTGCCAAGAAGCAAGGTGCGTCCTGCAGACAAGCTGGCAGTCAAAGGATGTGGGTCCGCACAGGTGAAGTTTGGGGAGGGACGGAGGTACACTTACAAGGGAGGCTACTTTGAGACTCGCAGCAGCGTGAAGAGCGGTGCAGGGCGCTGGGAAGGCTGCCCTGATTTGTTTGGGGATGGGGAGGATGGCACAGGCGTGTACCCTTGAGAACTTTCAAAAGTCTGAGTGCTCAAGCAGGCTGCGGGAAGGGCGTTTGAAACTTCTGACTGTGTTGAAAAGTTATGATGACAGATTTATCAGACTTTGTTCAAGATTTACGATGACAGATCCATCCTTCTCTCTATGGTGATGATGCTTGCAAGTATGAGAGATAATTTGTTGTGCTACATGAATTTGAGATGGCCTCGCGGTTTAAAAAACTCATGCATGCAGTATATGAAATAGTACAAACCCTCAGATCTCTAGAGCTCGAGCATAACAAAACAGGATCTGCACCTGCATTTCTTTTGCTCGACTTACATTTGTATATAATTAGCTTATACATCGCGGGAAAACCTTTCTTCCTAGGCGCTCGCATTGCCTTGCATGTCTTGCATCTCTCTTCTCTCAATTTGCTCACATTGGCCTTTAAAGGCCGTAATTAAGGCAAGCTTGGGAATGCACTCGGGTCCGTATGAAGCACTCAAATCCTACACAACAGGGGACAACAGCAAATTCGCCAAATTGTCAGATGCCATTGCAACAGCATCTGCCTGGTTTGACCTTCAACACCATCAAAATTGTCTTTATTTTTCCGCTCATACACTCTACACCAAATGTACAGTGACCCCAAAGGTTGCCAGTCAGCAAGATCAGCGCACTCAAAGCATCCACTCTGTTCCAGCCTGCCAGGCTCCAGCATTGCGCAAATTTGGACACCCGCCGCACGCTTCTCTTTCCAGACAAAAATGAGAGATAAACAGCATCAGGTGAGAGATAAACAGCATCAGAATTGGCTGCCCATTCCTTTACTTGCTGACCACCTTGCTGCGCCTGATCATCTGAGCTCGAGGGCCGCGTGAGCCCAGGCCGTTGCAGGTGGCGCACAGCAACTGCCCCTGCCCATGGCACTTGCGGCAACGATTGGACATCTGCCACTGTGTGTCATACATGGACTTGCTTTCCATGCCTACCATTGTCTTCACCCTGCAGCAAACACAGTAGCTTGTCAAGAGCACCAGACTAGGAAGTACGTAAGGACATCAGCAAAATCAGACCTTTGCTAGGCAGGTGAAGGAGCTCACCGATTCATTGTGTGGCGCAATTGGTTCATGCGGACCTTCTGCTGCATGACGCCCTTGCCCTGTGCACAGCGGAATACCCTCAGACCCGGCAGTTGATGACGATGCGAGTCGGTGCTATGTAAATGGTAGGAAGACGGTGCTTCACCTTGCAAGCAGTGCATGCAAGGGCGCCGGTCCCACGACAGCTCGCACACGTCGCATCGCCTCTCTCCAGACTTGTAGCGGCCTGCAAAACGAATACATTGACTCCCACTGAGTAATCAAACACTCCCATGATTGATGCCAGCAAGCAAGGTGCCCACAATTTACATCACCCACCCCAAAGAGCAAGTTACTGACGAGCCCAGTCCAGCTGCCCGATGACGATGCGCCCTCCGATGATTCCTGCACGTGTGAGAACAGGCTCTGTGCCAGGGTTCACGACTTGCTGCGTCACGCATGCCATCAGCGATCGCCAGCGCAGAAGCAAACGTGAGATCAGCAGCGTCCTCAAAATCCTTCCCATATACACTTGATCACACATGGGATCTCACGAGCCAGAGAGGGCCCTCACCTGCCTCTCATCCTCAGGACCTTTTGCAGAGTTCTGTACCAAAGGATTGACGAAGACTCCAGCAGGAGTATATGGCTTTCTCCTAGCGGTGATCTTCAAGCTACGATTTTTATGTGCAACCGAGCCGGAGAAGGCCTCGTGCTGCACGTGAAGTCTGGAAAAAGCCAAGAGTCCCATACTCGCTTGGTCTGACGTCAAGTGTGAGGCATGCCAGACGCGCGTAGGTGCTTGCACAGTCTGTACCAATGACTCTGAGGTACTCCGAAGCGCACGATGGACATCGAAGTGAGCAGAGCGAGGCAACCGGATGAAGATATGTTCAGCTCAATATCTCCGATACAGTAGTGTCTACGCCGGCGTGCTTTCGTAATTCACTTTTTTCTTGGTCCTTTCGGTGCTTTCCAGTGGGAATGGATGTCGCTGTGGATGCATAGGACACGCTTCTGAATGTCTCCATGTGTGGCGCCCACATCAGCAGATCTGTGAGACCCTTAGCTCAGCGAGGAGACTTGGGGAGCAGGCTCAGGTGATGCCAGATCTTGATCTGTGGCACTGTAAAATTCGCTTCCTTTGCATCATCCATCCGAAGGAAGTAATAGGTATATTTATTTCCAAATTGTGTGCGACCTCAAACAGTGTCCTGTACCACTAGGATGCGGCATTTCCCTTGGACTAGTTTACTAGGCTTGTGCATACCCGTGAGTAGCGTCGAGTAAAGCTGAAATGAGGTACAGCAAGATATGTTTTCAGTAGTTTTGATCAATGTTCAGATGAGCAGGTATACCCACAGAAGTGGTGACATGCATGCAGGGCCAGCAGCTCCACATTTGTGGAGCCACAGCGCGCAGAAGTTGCAGACACACTCCTATTGGTGCAGCTGCTGCAGGCCTACCGCAGCCATGGGCACCTCAGTGCAACCCTGGACCCATTGCAGAGGCTCCGAGGCCCTTGGTTCACAGAATGCCAGAAATGGACGTCCCCCAGGCATGCCACACACCCCCCGAATGAAGACAAGCTTTTTCTTGACAGCACTCCATTATCATTGATATGCCCAGATGCTTGCAACTCCGGACCTGGATGCCTGAAGCTGGCTGCTCTGCAGGAATGCTCTACTGGACAGGGTTGGCCAGCTGGATAGGAGGCTCTCAGCCGATGAGAAGGCTTCCTGGCTGGCTGCGCAGATCGGCATGGAGCTGCCAACGTCAAGCAGCAGGCATGCACACTACATCAAGGGTCACTGACACGACTTTTTCCTCGCTTTTTTTACGAGCCAGCTGTTCTGTCTAGGTGCAGGGCCTGCCCTTGTCATCTTCCCCCATTTACCACCTCGCTTACATGCATCATTATGACCTCATTAATCAAGATAGTGGCATGCAATCTTGCCCTCCCTGCTTGGAGAAACACACAGGGGCGTCAGGATCTGCATGCATGACTGCACAATATCTGGGCGAATACCGTGCACAGGACACTTGATTGCACAATGCGCAATAATGGCAAAATTGCTCTGGACTGCAGGCGATTCTTTCTTGGAGGAGCGCTGAGTGCGGGGGAGCCTCTCTCACTGGACACTTGGTCACTGCCGGCTGTTGTGGAGCACATGCAAGACGCATACTGCGGGACACTTACTGCAGAACTGGACCACCTCACCTCCCAGTGCGCTCCTACACCCATCACCTTGCCTGCCTATTGTGGGCTCTCACAGGGAGCCTGTGCCTGCTCACATCTGTGAGTGTCAAGGGAGTATGTCGATGGCACTGGTAGAGCATATATGCAATCCGCGTCAAGGACAGCATAAGTCATGAGAAAGATACAATGCAGGGAGGAGCAGCGGTGGCTGGCGGACAAGATCGAGCGGCGGGAGTCCATTTCGGCGCCAGAGCGCGTCAGGATCCTGAGCACCCTCGTGCACGCAGACGAATTTGAGCGCTTCCTTGCCCTGCACTTCCCCAAGTCGAAGGTGTGCTGTTTGACACTGGCTGGGCCAGACATTCTTTATTTTTTTGGAGCATGTCTGCTTCAATGGATGCTGGATCTACTCTCGAGACCCTTGTCCATCCAGGCACCCTTTTAAGAAAATGTTAGCCTTGACATGTGCAGCCAGATCATGTTAGCCTCATAGCGGGCATTCATGCTTGAAGATAGATCAATACACATCTATATTACATTAATCAAATTAGATTCTCACAAGGGATGCTGCTGCCGCAGAGGTTTGGGGTGGAGGGGTGTGAGGCGCTGCTGCCGGGGGTGGATGCACTAATTGGGCGGTGCGCGTCCGGGGGCGTGCGGCGCATCGAGGTGGGCATGGCGCACCGCGGCCGCCTGTCGCTGCTGTGCAACCTGCTGCACAAGCCGCCCGGCGCGCTGTTCGCGCAGATGGAGAACGGTCAGAGCGACTACCGCGTCGGCGATGTCAAATACCACCTCGGCGACACAGCCACGCTGGCCTTTGGCGAGGTGATCTTTCTCACTATCATGCCTGCACGCAAATAGAGGGTTTGCCACGCATTGATGCAGGCAATCCTTTCTGAGACCTTATGCCATATTGCTTGTCTGTGCAGCTTCATGCAAACCTCTCCGCTACCATGCGTCAATCCAGCACCCTTTCAGGCTGTTCTTTCCAGGCCCGTCTTGGACGCTCAGTCAGTCTAAGAAAAGGATAGTACAGCCTCTACATGATGGGCACTTCGTGGTGCACTAGCATTCATTGCAATGCCTTTCAAATTCTGTGCATGGGCCACGTAATGCTGAGGCATCAGCAGTGAATGCATAATGTACTATTGGCCAATTTACTTCAACTCAAAGAATTGCCTTTACGATCACTTGCCACCCCAGAATATCTCTATTACATTCTCTGAAATCCCGGGGTCGAAGATGATGATGTAGCAACATTCAGCCAAATTCATCAAAAAAAAGAGACGGCGAGTCTGTGTCATGAAGACTGTGTGAGATTGCGACATGGAAGACGGATATTTTGCTGAATCGATTGGCCACGCGGCCGCAGCGGACGCCACTTGTTATTATAACTCTTACTGCGCAGGGGCCGGAGAGGCAGGAGATCCGAGTGTCGATAGCGCCCAATCCCAGCCACCTGGAGGCGGTCAATCCAGTGGTCATGGGCCTCGTGCGCGCAGTGCAGACGCGGCTCGAGACCGGCGGCCGCCGCTCGGTGGCCGGCCTGCTCATCCACGGGGACGCCGCCTTTGCCGGCCTGGGCATTGTTGCCGAGTGCCTGCAGCTCTCCAACACCCCTGGTGCGCCAAATTCATGGGAGTGTTTTAACTTCAATTAGTCAGACTCCCAATTAATCATTCAGTCAAGTAGTCAATTCCCCTCCCGCACATCGCTATTGTGTCCAACACAATGCTTTGTTACAGTACCCTCATTTCAGCCAAGCCTCCTAGTCAGGTCTTAATAGGAAGTGGAAGCGGACTCAGGAAGCTGCAGGTGCCTGCAATCGTTGGCCGCTGTGAGTATGAAGGTGGCCACTGGCCAAAGAACAGGCATGGTTCTTTTCTGTTTGTCCCATGTTTTACGATTCGGGTGCCTGCGGGCGCAGGGTTCACGGTGGGGGGCATGCTGCACATAGTGGTGAACAACCAGGTGGGCTTCACGACGGCGCCGCGCGAGGGCCGCTCCTCGGCGCATGCAACGGATCTGGCCAAGGCGGTGGGCGCGCCGGTGCTGCACGCCAACGCGGATGATCCCGAGGCCGTTGTTGCCGCCTGCCGCATCGCAGCCGACTGGCGCCACCGCTTCCACAAGGACGTCGTCGTGGACCTAGTCGGCTACCGCAGGCGATTCACCTTCTACTTTTCCTTTCAAAATATATTTGAGCGAAATAATGTTCCCATCATGAGTGGTTCTGACCGTATACACAAAATTTGGCAGTGAAGCACGTTTGCTACAGCAGGATTAAAATGGTGAATGCATGGACACTTGCCCTCTACTTGGGTAGGAAGAGCTTCAAACTGACTGCATTTGAAGTGCAGGAAGAGCGCCACATGCCCCGGCAACAGGGCTCTTGTGGGTGTACAGGATCAGGGCTGCATCTCTTATGCCTAAGGGATGCAGCTTCAAGTGCTTCTGACTGCATTGTGTGATTGTCTTTTTTGTCTGCAGCATTACTATTAGGGATTGTGAGAAGTGCTGCTCTGTGGAATGAGCAGGCATGGCCACAACGAGCTGGACGATCCGCAGGCAACGCTGCCGCTGACATATGAGCGCATCCAGGCACATCCGCGAGTCCTTGACCTCTACGCTGCACGCCTCCAACAGCAGGGCCTCATCCCACCCACCCTCCTCGACTCCCTCAAGGTCTTACAATCCCTACACAACCCTGTCCGCTGGTTGCCAGTCCTTGTAAGCCCAACCATGCATGAGCAGGGCTGGGCATGCAACACCTTGTAATTACATCCCTGCCAAACCAGTGCTTTTTGTTGCTGAAATATGAACAAAAGGAAACAGTACAGTATGTGTTCTATGCAGCAAGGCTCTCAGGCGTGGCTGCTGGTTGAGGAGCAGGGGGCTGACTTGTTGCTGTGGGGGGCCAGGCCGAGGTGCAGGCCAAGTTTGAGGAGGAGTTTGCAGCGTATGAGGCCGGCCTGTACAGGGAGCAGCCGCGCGACTGGCTCGCCACCTCATGGCAGGGCGATGCGCTGCAGGTCATCCCATTTTACTGCTGTGTCATCAGCCTCCTACTCTGTCAAGGCATTCAAGGCCACCTTATTATCTTTTGATAAGTGTTTCTGCACATTTGGCCCAATTGGCCATTCTGGTGTAATTCTAATCATTGTTACCATTTTGAGGCGGCGATATTCTCAAATTGGACCATTTATTCCTTGAGCAGAGGGCAGTGGCTTATCGAAAGAATGGAAGAAAGAAAGGAAGGAAGAAAGCAATGGCTCAAAGGTTTGGGGGCTGCGCACAGGCGATGGCGTCGGAGCCGTCGATTCGGCGCGCGCCGGAGCCGAAGCAGGAGCCGACGGGGCTGCCGCTGGCGACACTGCAGTGGGTTGGCCGCTCCGTCTGCGCCGCTCCCGCCGATTTCAGCCGCCACCCAGAAGTCGACCGCCTCTGCGTGTCACGCCTGTGAGCGACCCCTGCTGCTTTAGAGACTGGTTACCAAGATGCATTGACTGCATTGGCAAGCTATTAGAGCAGAAGGCTTGCAAGCACCCAATTGCTGTGAGCAATGCCAGGGCCCCCATTTTGGGCCCCTGCGTTCCACTCGTCCTAGCAATAAAGGCTGAGATGCATGCCTGGGATTTTGTGCACAAGCTCTCAGAGCATAAAGCAACCCACCTGTGCTGCAGCAGGCGCCGTCATACAAATGTCTAGGATTCAACAATTCCTGCAGTGCTCACGGAAGTGGCAGACATCATGGTGAATGCTACCCACCAGCACACCCGCCCAATTGCTTGAAATTTCATCTGCACTTGGGAGTTTGAGTGTGAATTCTTTGTGCAGGGCCATGGTGGAGGACAAGGACAGCAGGGTGGATTTTGGGATGGCGGAGGCGTTGGCATTCGGGACGCTGGCGCTGCACCGCGGCGTGCGGCCGCCGAGCGCCGGAGCCGGAACCAGCCGCGAGCTGCAGCCCAGCACCATCGATTCGCAGCTGCAGCAGGAGGAGTTGATAGGTGCACCCCTTTCTCATGACCTGTTTCTCATGCCACGGACTCTGATATGTCACCATGCAGATGTGTCTCTTGTTGTTCCTGTGGTCTCAGGCATTCCGGTCATGTGCACCAGGCTGTACACACACATTGGGAATGAGTAAATTATGGATATCTGTGACAGATGAGTGTATCTGTGCAGGCAAGGATGCGGATGCGGCGTCTGGGCTGAACCTGGGGGCGTACGCGGTGCGGCTGAGCGGACAGGACGTGGAACGGGGCACCTTCAACCACCGCCACGCCGTGCAGTACGACTGCAGGACCGCCAAAAGGTGCGCTGATGACTACTGTGCCGCCAAGTAGCTGCCAAGTAGCGGCACCCTATCGTAGCAAGAAGGCCAGATGCAGATCATCTGCCATAAGCACCAGTTCTTTAGAATCCAAGCTTTTGGCCAGTTTTTCTCAAGGAGGGCCATGCACCAGCAGCTTCTGTTGCCCTGGTACTCAGAAGTATCGCACAATGGAAGCAAACTGCTCATTGCTGTGCATGTCGTGGCACCTTCACTTTAGCGTATTGCTGTGTTCCTGCAGGCGGGTGGCTCTGGACGAGATCCAGCCGGGCATGCAGGAGCGCGTGGAGGTTTGGAATTCGCCGCTGAGCGAGGCCGGCGTGCTGGGTTTTGAGTACGGCTACTCCCTGGGCAACGAGCGCCGCGGCCTCACTGTCTTTGAGGCCCAGTTCGGCGACTTTGTCAACAACGCGCAGTGCATCATCGACCAGTTCATCTCCGCAGGTAGCTGCACTCCCTTCCGTGTGCTTCTCATGATTCTTTATTTTATTCATTTGCATGCAGGAGGTTCTTTGATGCGGCGTGTGTATATCAACGCGCATGCTGAGAGAGAATTTGGCGGATGGCACAGCTTGCTAAGGAAAGCGCTGTGCATGTGAATCATGCAGTCATACTTTTGAAAGGGTATGCATAGTTTTTGACAAGCATGTAGACTGAATCCAGAAAATGGTGAAACAAGCATGCCTGAATGATGTCTTCTGGCATCCTGACATTTAAAAATAAAATTCGTGTTGTTGGTCTCTATAGGAGAGGAGCGGTGGGGCCAGACGAGCGGGCTGGTGCTGCAGCTGCCGCACGGGTTTGAGGGCCAGGGGCCGGACCACTCCTCGGCGCGCGTCGAGCGCTTCCTGCAGCTTGCCAACGACGACGCCGACCACCTTCCCGGCAACTCCCCCGCGCAGCTCCGCGAAATCAGCGCCACATTTGCGTGCGTCACATTCCCTGCCCTTCCTGTCATGCAGTGCAGGCAGAATGTAAAGACGATGTGAAGCAGAGGCAGGCTTGTCTTTTGCATCCCTGTCTTGGTGACGTGGTACAGATATTGGGCTCATCTGCATGCCAGGGTGCATGGGTGTTGAGGTGAGTATGTTTCATCTGCCCCTAGCTGCCACACCATCCTCCCGATCCTGCCTTGCAGCAGCAATGTTCACTGCCAGGCAATTTTTTTATTGACAGCACCGACAGGAGAGCCATGGACAGGGCGAAGGCTCAAATCAGTTGCTTGGGTTGCACCTAGGCAGGGACATAGAGTGTTGTGGGATGGTCTGCTACTGGGTGTTGAGTGATGGTACAAGGCCGTTGCGAGGGTGTTGATTGCTGGGGTGCAGGGCGCTGGCAAAGAAGTATGGTGGCCAGCTGAACCGGGCGCAGATTGTGGAGGTGCTGCATGGCGCTGGTGTGGGGGAGGGTGGCGAGCTGGCAGAGCTGCTGTGGACTGAGATGGGCCTCTCAGAAGACGCCCACATCACCCAGGTGGGCCCCCCTCTTCATCACCATGTTGCAGGAACCTTTTCAGCCTGCCTTCTCTGGCACATCACCCAGCACAATTAGCCACAGACATGAGCACCATGCTACTCATAATGTCCCTGCCTCTTGCCCTTGTTATGCAAAGGAAAGAGGGGATGGCATGCATCCAAATGCGTCTCTGAGTTTGAATCTTCACTCTGATTCTGACTCTGAAGTTGGGCAAAACTTTGCTATGAGAAAACAAGGAGCGCGCGCGCAAATGCATCTGTTACTATGACTTTGATTTTGACTGTGGCTTTGGCTTCAAATGGACCCTGATCATGGCTAATCAAGGCCCCTTGCGCGCGCAGGAGGCGTGGGAGGGCTTCATGGTGCAGTACAGCCGCCGCTTCGCGGAGCGCCAGGCCAACCTGTTTGTGGTGTGTGCCACGACGCCGGCGCAGCTGTTCCACGCACTGCGGCGGCAGATGAACCGCCCCTTTGTGAAGCCTCTGGTGCTGCTGACGCCCAAGTGGCTGCTGCACCACCGGCCTGCCACGTCTGCGCTTGCCGACTTCACTGCCGGTACCTTCTTCAACCGTGTCATCGACGACGGCAAGGTGTGCCCCGCTGGTTCTGTGAATCCCTTCTAAACAATTCTGTGCGTCCAGGGGATAACGGCGTGATGCTTGGCAGCTGGTGCCAGCAATCTGGTACTTCCACCTGGAGAAGATTGCCCGGAAAGCTTTCTGATGGCCTCCAAGTGTCCCTGGATTGTTGAGGAGTGTTCTTATGCTCTTCCATGAGGCATCCCACCCAGATGCCGATGGTTCGTGATGTTGGAAAGTAACGCGGCAACCACAGACAAGCAATCCCTTCCTCATGCAACCTCTGGAGTTTGTTTTTGACTACCAGGTGTTGAACATCAGCCTGTGGTAGACCACCCGCAAGCTAATGACAGCATGGGGCAGTGGCTGGGCAGTTGAACAACAAAAATGAGCGCAGGCGTCGGACAATACACCTGGTGGTTCAGAACTTGATGTTTCTCATCCGGGTATGAATATCTGCTGCTGTTGACCCAAAGAGCTGTCAAGCTACTAGCGTGGCAGTCAGCAAGAGATGCACAACAGCATCGACAGATGTATAACCATTTTGAGCGCAGGCGTCGGACAACACGCGGCACAAGGCGGTGAACCACGCGACCGGGGAGGCGTTCTTGCTGCCGCCGGAGCAGATCCGGCGCGTGATCCTGTGCTGCGGGCAGATCTACTACCACCTGTCGCTGGCGCGCCGCGCCCGACGCATCCGCGACACCGTGCTCGTGCGCCTGGAGCAGATCACACCCTTCCCCTCCGACCTGCTCTTCAAGGTGCTCCAGCGCTCCCTCTCTCTGTTGCGGAGTTCAGAAGACGTCCTCGATGAATGCTAGAGACGTGTTAGCTCGCTAACAGGTCACGAAACGACCTGCGTCGAAAAGGTGCATGTAATTCCTACGCTCCTCTATTTGTCCCATTTGGCACCCAGATTCCCCCAGATCTCCTGGAGAATGCAGCACCCCAGAGGGGCCGACAGAGCGCTGGGATCCCCTGGCAGTCCCTGACAGATCACCCCTGATATAACTGCGCGAAATTCTCTCAACTGTCAACACCAGGCCAGGAGATGAGTGAACCCCATGGACTTGAGGTCATTGTGAGGTAGCAATGTGCGCGCGCAGGTGATAGCGCAGTACGGCAACGCGGAGGTGGTGTGGTGCCAGGAGGAGCCCAAGAACATGGGCGCGCACTTCTACATCAAGCCGCGCCTCGCCACCGCCATGCGCGACCTCGGCCTCCCGGCCGGCATGCACCCGCGGCCCCTGCGCTACGTCGGCCGCTCCGCCTCCGCCTCTGTTGGTCAGTCCCAAACACTTACGTGCATGCGAGGCAGTTCTCTCTTCCTTCTTGGCGCTCGCACTGTCCTCTATGTCATCCATTCACTGTGGGCTTCGTCCGATGTCTCCTCAGCCCTGTTATTGGGCGCTTGCTGCCTTTTGTTAAGGTGCATCACTTTGGTGTGAAACCTGCCGCGGGGTGATCAGGCGATGATGCCCCCCTATGCTCGCCTGCATTTGTTGTGCTCCTCCTGAACATGCACCATGCAGAGTTCTGTGGCTTTGCCGGTGGCTGTCAGGGACTGCTTTTTGGTGTCTACCTTGCCGTGAGCATCAGTGAGAAGCAGACCTGTGAACAGGAGGGCTCAGGAATGATTGCAGGATCATGAGTCTGATTGCACATGTTGTGCTGCGCAGCCACCGCTTCAATCGCCATCCACCGCATTGAGACAAAGAACATCATTGACAGCGCTCTCAGCCCGGCGCCCATTGAAGCGGACGTCAAGATCTGACTGCACTGGTACTCACTGTACACACCAGCATGTACTTTCAAGCTGTCAATTTATAGAATGTTGATTCAGAATACACCGAATATCCAGGCAATTTGCCCAATAACAGGAGCGGGGTCCCTGAGACAGAGAGAGCAGATTTGAGTGTGATAGAAGTCGGATGTCTGAAAGAGGTGGTGCGAGTTCCCAGGGGTACTATCATTTCTGTGTAGGCAGATTTTTGGCACTGTGCACGTGTGTGATTCTCACTGTAGCAGCTAAAGAGCGCATTACATGTCTTCCATTGCGTGTCAGCTGACATCATCATGATCCTGGGTGCATCTTAGCTTGAAGTTCCACTGTCCAGTGTCAGGAAGCACAACTCAGCATGGGCATAGCTTCCAAATTCCTTGCAAGGTGATGTGTGACTGAGCAGAAATGTGTAAAAGGGAGACATGAAATCATATTTTCTTCGACGATCATGTGCCATTACAGCTCTGCAATGGGCAAACAGCACCCTTGTTGATTTTGCGGCTGCAGGACATTAGCAACCTATACATAAATCCAGAGCGTACGTCAGCCTTGTCTTCCAGTACTGGTGCTGCATCGTGAAGTCCCTGTACCATCTTAGGTATGCAAAATCATTGCGATTTAAGATTCCTGGACTTCACAATTTGCTGGGGACGTGCTCAGACGCCCTCAGGACTTGAGCAGCTGCTCGCTCGCCAGTCTCCAGCGCAGCTTGCATGCATGGGTTGACAGCGGGGTGTGTTGCCTCCCCAGCAAAAAACAGAGTGTCCCCCAATGATGCCGCCAAGCTTTCTCTGCAGTGCAGGAGAACTTGTCTCAGAACCAGAAATGTAACAAGTCCGGCATATGCGAGGTACCAGCTGAGCAAATCCAAATGCGGCCCTTCCTCAGATTGTTAACGTTTCTCGCTGCTTGCATAACGGTTTTAGCCCTGCACACAAAATGCCCAAGACTACTGACCATGCCCAAGACAACTAAGAGCGCCATGACTGGATTGAGGTTCACCTGTCCCCAGGCCTGGCCCCAAGTGAAGGGTAGGAATAGGCGCCCCCTATGTAGGGCGATCGAGACCAGTCCTCCACATGCGCACGCACAAACGCCGCAGTGGCAGGATGCCTCCTCTCAGGAGACCCTGCGCCATGTGCATATTTAGAATTATTATTACACGCTTCTCCTGCCAAGAGGCAAGCTACAGTTAAAAGCTGCCAAAATCCTACTACTCAATGGACTCGCCAGATCCAAGCAAGACCCATTCAACTGTGGGCACAGTGCTCAGTATTTGCATCGGCCCCCGCCAGCAGGGGCCAACCGAGGCGATCCGGGGCCTCATGTGCATATGCATGTGTCAATCACCTGCCCGCTTCACTCTTTAACAGTGCATCTCAGCATACCCATGAACATGCCAAAGTCCATGCACTTCTCAATCACACTTCCTGCTTGATGCTTGTATCGGTCCTTGCTTAGCAATGAATCTGAATATCAAGGAAACATTGCCAAAATCCCCTCTTCTACTTGCCATCAGGACCAACAGGCCCATGTTTCTGGGGTTGCCGGGGCTATTCTGAGATCTCTTACCAAAGATGTGGTCCAGCTGTGCAAGGGAACGAGTAATGACGGCTGTCTGTGACAAGTGGCTGATCTCCTCTGCTCTGGCGCCCGCAACAAAGCCAACCATGCAGCAGAGGCCGGCCGTGGCCGGGTCTGAGGAGGTGGCGGGATACTCAGTCACCCAGAATTCGGGCATGAAGCTGTCTGTGCAGACCACATCAAAGAATCCGGTCGGCCAGAAGGGCCAAGAGAATGCAAAGATGACCTGCACATGAGCAGATTTTCACAAGGAAATAGGTGAAAAGATACAGCCTGATTCATTGCAGAAACTGTGACTCAGTCAACTTTTGACCTGCTTCAATCAAAGAGGGAACTGAAAAGACAAGCAGGCGCACCTTTACTGCGTTGGACATCTTGATTCTGGAGATTGCAGCTGTTTTCTCAGCAGGCAGGGGAGGAGAGAAAATTATTCTCTCCTGCTGCAGCATCATTATGGGCACTGTGACAATCACGCGGCGACACTGCACTACACTGCCTGCATGCAAGCACAAATCCAACACATGTCAGGGGCTAATTGCCTATTGAGCTAGACACTGCAAAACAATAGACCTCAGCATTGGTTTAGAAATTCATTGTCCCTTTCTTGCAAAGGTGTGAATGCTGCTCACCAGATGGTCCGTAAAGTTTGGCACCTTCTGGGCCATATTCAATTCTTGAAACTGGCCATTGCAGCTGGATGTTATTCTCCACCCCCTTGCTGAGATGCTGCACCAGCGCTTGCAGCGGCCGATCCAGTATCAAGTATGTGTCACCTGCACCAGACACGAAACAAAACCATTAAATTATATATGTCATGCAGCCAGATGACTCCATCAGCTCCATGATACAACAGATTGCCTGCTTTGGAACAGCCAACATTACGATACCTGAATCCCAGCGCTGGTTCTCTGTGATCATCTCAGACAAGCCCAGCTGGTGCAGGGAGCAGCCAAAGTCATTTGCATAGCAGGCATCGGCCACAGCCATCATGCGCTCGCTGGCGCCCTCCTGTCGGAGCCACTCTGCAGCGCTGATGTCTGGCTCTGGCCGTACCCGCTGCCCCACTGATGCAAACAGCTCATGCAACCGCTCCAGCTCCTCATCCTGTCAAAACATTGAAACTCTTCTAATTACAATATTGCACATATCCCAGTCCTTAGGACCCATTAGGTACGTCAAGCACCACCTGTCACATATAGACAGGTGTGAATGTGAAAAATAGTGGTGAAATACAGCAGACGGCACAGCATGGTGGAAAGCAGCGATGCGCAGCGCGGATTGGGCGCACACTTACCTTGGCGTCGCCTGACACCAATTGCCGACTGTTGCCAAAGTACCAGTAATCTGGCCAGTCAAACTCCCTCAAATTGCAGTTGACTTCTTGCAGCAGGCCCTGCAGCACAGAGAGTGTGAAATAGGTGGATGCAGTGCGCCAGAGTGCAGAAACAGTGGTGCTATCATGTATGGACACTGTACCCTACCTTCAGAGAAGACTTTGCTCCATGCACAAATTCAGGACCGAGTTGTACTGGCCAGGGCACAACGCCTTCAACCTGTGGGCAGTTGCAGCAGACACGTTGCGATGCCGTGCATTTCATGTTCTTGTAAATACGTCTTAAGCATTCCATACTGCCAGGCACCTCCTATCGAATGCACAGCAAAAATTGCCTGCTGTACACGGCCGCCTAGCCTTGACGACGCTTCAACGAGGAGCAGATCTGGATATTTCTCAACAAGTTTATTAGCAGCCTGCAATCCCGACAATCCCGCTCCAATGACGACAATTGAGTGAAAACTTGCTCCAGTGCTCTCAGATCGAGGCATGTGAGAACACTCTTAGTAGAGAGAGATGCAGAAACAACGTCTCCAGTACTGTGAAGAATGCAGTATTATACCAGTCAATCCAGTTGCACTCCTGCGATCAAGTGAATGAACAGAAATGCTGCAAAACATCCCTCATCCTTCCAGCTTCCTCAACAGAGGAAGCTAGCCATGCACGTGCGACTTCCTTCCCACGCACCGTGCAAACCAATCCATGTTGACAATATCTTGCAAAATTTGAGCCCATTACGTTCAGCATCAATCTTTATGGTATACCTAGGACCAATCAGTGACTGGAGTAATGAGCATGGTCACTGTCAAATTTCCACGGCAGGGTTTGGCCATTGTGTGCCAATTACCAGAGCTTCAGTGCCTACAGCCCTCATGCATAGTGGAGAAGATGACCAGGTGAGCAGACTTTGACATCCCAGGGCGAACGTCCATGGATTGGTCTCTGTTTACAAGTCGCCACCGCTGGTTTAAAGTCACTCAGGTCCAATCTGAGTCCAACAAGAATATCAGTGAATACATGGTAGCATTATAGTACCCAAGATCTCAAGTCAAGTCCTGTTCCTTTCTGTCAGCATCACCTTCCTCATCAATATCATCATAGTCATCATTCCCAATGCCCTCTAAAAGGGCGTCAACATTCACTCCCAGCCCCTCCAGCTTATTCCTCAGCCGCTCCACCTTCTGCTCCTCCTGCAAAAGCACTTGCCCCCTTCAGCACCCATCCCAGCACGCAAACACCACATAATACCCTGTGCCATGTCAGTATGATAGACCCACGGCCGCTGTCTTCATGCAAGAAGCCGGGCCAACATGCTGATGCACACACTTCTCTGCAGCACATGTAATGTCCTATGTGAACTTCTTGCAAAGGTCTCATCTGGGATGGAGCTTTTCATACCTGGCCAAGGCAGATGAGCAGGTCATTGAGCCCGTCATCCTCCTCTTCCTCGTTTCCACCAGAGGCCTCGGCAGATGCCTCTGCCGCAGCACCACTCGCCACATCAGCGCCAGGCGAGGACTCCAGCTGGCGCACTCGCGCTTCCAGCGTGAAGGAGTGCGTCTCAAGGCTGTTGTACGCGCCGCTCAGGCCCTCCAGATCGGCCTCCAGCTTTGCCGCCGCGGCGCGCGCCTCCTCCGCTGCGCTCCGGTGCTGCGCGGTCTCCCTCTCTGCGGCCGCCAGGCGGCCTGCACACACACACAATTTCGAGACACCTCAGTGACACCCTTGGCAGGTTTGCACCGCTGCGGACACATCAAAACATGGCATTTGCATGCCCTGGGATGACTCTAAAAAGGTCCTTCACCAAGCATGATCATGAGGGCCTTTTTGGCCCTATAGTTGTCTCATTGATTAATTGACAGGGGGGGTGCCCGACGTACTTTTGAGGTTGTTGAGGTCAGCTCTAGCAGCCGCCACGTCCGCCTCGGCCTGCCTGGTCCTTGCTTCGGCTGCGCTGATGCGCTCGGCCGCCTGCCGCTCTGCTTCCTTGGTGCTGCCATTTGACACCGCGCCGTTGCTCTGGCTCAAGCGATGCTGCAAGTCCTCCAACGCCCTGTGACAGTAGTTGCTGCTCACTCAAGAAATCGCAAGGCATAATTTACAGGGCTTGACAACAATATGTGTACTATATATAACTATAATACTGTATAATATGTCAGAGCGAGCAGCGTCTGCAAAGACCATTCAAGGCACTTCCAGGAAGGTTGCAGGTAGGAGGTTCACCTCTGCTGCTCTGCAATCCGGGCCTTGGCGCTCTGTAGCTCATCTGAGTCCACTGCACCTTGGGGGTCCGGTGACTCGCCGGACGGCCGCCTGAGGCCATCCATGGACACCTTGTGCACCTCCTCAATGCAGCCCGGCAGCCACTGCGCAAACTCCTGATCAAAGGGACTCTCCCCTGCGCCTCCTGCTGCAGTCTACAGATTCTCAGCTCATACAATGAATATCTGCGTCTTTGCATTCTCAGGATCTTGTATCCTGATAGGACGCCGCCATGCTCTTGCAAGACCAACTGTCCTTGACAGGGTGTTATCACGCACCTTGCATCAAATCAGGACAACAAGGGACGTTAACAAAGCAATGCGGCAGAGCCGGCACCTTCGTCCTGGGAGGGCCCGCCGCGGGAGACAGGCCTGGGGGCTGCAGGCCCAGCGGCTGACTGCACAAGGGAGGGCTCCTGCTTCAGGGCGTCCAGCAGGCCAAAGAAAGCAGCCAGTCCGATGCGCGAGCTGATGATGTCCAGGAGCACTGCCCTCGTCACATGCTCCTGCTGAGAGCCCACCGGCTGCGTGGGGACGCTGTGTAAGAGGCACACGCCCAGCAGCACCGCTGCCAAGCCATTGCACACCACCGACCTCGCCCCAAAGCTGCATGTACAACAGCTTCAAAGACATATCTCTGCATGAGCAAGTACATAAGCACGCTGCTCCAATCACCACACAGCAACAACATCTGTGAAATAATGCCAAGGCTGGTAAAATTTCGGCACAAGACTTATACAGCAGAGCAGTGCACACTAGTGAGACTGGAGAGGTTGGTGGCTGATGTGCAACAACATGACTTTGGGTGCCTTTGAAAAAGCCAAGGGGTGCATGGGAGGAAGGAGCGCAGGGCGCACTTGTGCTGGGTGAGGTCGAGGAGCATGGGGATGCGGCCGGCAGGTGCGAGGAGGGCATCCACGGCAGGGGTGCAGTCCTGCGTCCAGGTGGTGAGCAGGCGCAGAATGGCGCAGACTGCCAGCCACTGGCCGCCCTCGCCGTGGCGGCCGTTACTAATCGCGAGGCTGAGGTAGCGGCAGCACTGCGGCAGCAGCAGCACCGGCTCCGAGGTGGTTGCCTGAGGAACCTCCAGCGGCGTCGCCAGGACCTGCTCAGCAGTGTTCTGGCTTATTCAACCTCCAGAACCCCTTCTTAACACTTTCTCGTCAGTTTTATTATAAGGAATATTTTACCCATGTCGTGCCAAAAGGCAAGGTGCGTCTGCAGCCAAGGTGCGGGGCCGGTCAATCTTGGAAGTTCTTACCATTTTTTGGGCGGTCGAGGCAGTCACAAATGGCTAGTATGAGATGAACAACGTGGAGCTCCAGCCACATGTTCTTGGGGAGGTGATGCATTCATGGAAACAGGGCCAATTCGTGATTGGAATAGTGACCTGCTGCTTGCAGATGGCGTTCCCTCGCAACAAGTGCGCCAGAACGGCCGCCGCGCGCGCCGTCGCCGGAGCGCTCGGGCCGAAAAGAGCGCCCACCAGCTCGCCGCCAAACGTGCCGACCCGGCCTGCAGAGGTACCGAAAATTCCGGGCTGAACGCAACCAACAGGGGACTTTGCAATTCGAGGGTTCTTTATTTTCAAACACCAGATTGCACAAGTAGCCAAGGTGAAGCTGCGGCACGGCCCGTGAAATGCAAATGGGCCTTATCAGTCGGCTGCGCTATTGTGACCTAAAAAAAAGCAGAGTTACAGCGTTGCTATGTGTCAGCTCAAGAGCCTGCATAGCGCACGTGAGTGGGGTGCAACAGGAAGAATTTGCAGGGCAGGAAGGCGGCACCTTCTGATTGGTCGGCATGCGTGTCTCCCACGGGTGCCAGAGTGGCTGCCAGCATGCGTTGGCCCTCGCTGTTGTCCCGGCAGAACGCCTGCAGGACATGCTCTGCAGCGGCTGCCTCCTTTGCATCCGCCGCCCTCAAGGCCGTCTGCCACATGTGCACGGATAGGATATAAAACTCTGCCCTTGTCGCAATTGCGAGACAAAGATGCGCAGTACTTTGCCGATTAAAGCACTGATTTATAGCAGGGAGGGCTGTAGGAGGACAGCGTCAAACGTACCTGAAGTGTTGCCTGCAGCGCTGGCAGCTCTGTCCCGCCAGCGCCGATGACCTTTGCGCTCATCAGGGCTTCTTTGTACTGAGGCATGCCGTTTATGAGCCGCTCCATACATACAAGTGCCTGCAGCGAAGGCAAGTCAACTAGATCAATTGTACCTTTTGCCTGTTTTGACAATAATCAGATGGTTGCTTCTCATTTGCTGTTGAAAACGCTATTCCATAATGCCCATCAGCCTATTTGGACTCGCTTCTGGGCAGACTGCAAGCCTCACATGCATGCATGCACTGACAATGTAAGGTGCAAGAGATGGGTGCGGACCTGTCCCCGGACAGGTGGAGATGCGACGCCGCCGTGCGCCAGAGCCAGAGCGAGCAGGCGATCCAGAACACCATGCTTCATCAATGTTGCCCTGTTCGCCGCCCAACTCTCCTCCTGCGCCTTGTCCTGTTCAGGGAAGAGACTCTTCAGAATTCTAAAGGGCACATGCTGTCCTCAAACAAGCGCTTAACCTGGATGGATTGAAGTCTTAAGGGGTAGGGGACTGACACAGACAGACCTTTTTGGCAGTAGGTGATGGAGGAGTGATAAGCAGCAGAAACGTGTCGAGAGAAGACAGCAGATTGGCTGCCACTTGACGCGGCATATTTCTCCTAGACCTTTCGGCTGGTAGCTGCAGCAGGGATGCAATCTTTGCCAGGTGCCCTGTTTCCCTGCGCCCAGGCAGCATGTGTCATCGACGGTCATAACTCAATTATGTCGGCAGCCAGATACATTCACAGCAGATAGATAAGGAAACACACCGGAACATGAGCTGATTGGCTGGGTTGTTGCGCAGGAGATTTTTCAGGAGCTCCGAGCAGTCCTGCACTATGATCCCGCCCTGAGACCAGCCCTCCTCCCTGCCGCATACAGAAGCATGCACATCATAACACCACACATGAACACTTAGAGGTCCCAATGCCAGGACTTCAGCACTTATTACAGCCCAAGCAGGCGCATGCTGTTGATCCGCATCAGGAAAAGTGCTTTAACATGCATGAGCAGCTGCGGCTCGGGATCCCAAGTCAAGGGACTCACTCAAGAATCTGCAGGATGCGCTCAAAGGCACCCTCAAAGGCGACGATCTTCTGGATGTCTGCAGAGGAGCGTGTCAGGCCGGCGAGCAGCAGCAGGGCCTCGTTGCGAAGGACCTCATGCGCATCCCCCAGCAGGTCCATCAGCCGCACCACCCCCATCGGCGCCGACAGAATTGCCTGGTCAACACGATTGAATGCGCATCAGTCACTCTCGATGCCGGCCCAAATTCATCCAATCATCTGACAAAGCCTAGGCAGATTTGCTCACCCCCTGGAGGCGGTAGGGGCCGCTGGCAGCGAGGGCTGTCAGAAGCTGCACAGTGTGGTAGCGCACATAGAAGTCCTTGATGCCTGCTGGCTCCTCCTCCAGAAACCCCAGTAGCAGCTGCACAGTGTCTGGGCTCTTGGCCAGCAGCTCTGCATTGATCGCGCTGGGATCAGGTCCCTGCACCCACGAACAGGCCATGATCAAGGCTTCAGTGCTCCTTTTCTACAAAATATGACTCAGGCATGCACAATCTCATGAAGTTTGGATTGCTGCCACTGCATGAGCATCAAAGTTGGCTCGAGAAGGGTGGTCCATTGCACAGACCTGGCAATGCGACCCGCGCTCTCGAGGCTGCACAGCAATGGCCAGGCATTCCAGAACGCCTCTGACAAGCTCCAAATCGTCGCGTTCCTTTCTCAGGGCGTTGATGAGCACAGGGAAGCCTCCATTTCCAAGGGCTATTTGAGCCTGCCAGGGACAGCAAATTTCAGCATGCCTAACTGGATCCTCGAATGCTGGACCTCTGCTTGCATCGACCATCGTGCTCAAGAATGTGATCTGATGATGTGTTAGTCTTCATATGATATAAGGAGTGAGGGTACCTCAATGCGTCCTTCAAGCAGGTCCCTCAGTTCGGCAACGGCGTCCTGCCTTTCCTCCGGGGATGCTCCATCAGAAATTTGCTGGAGGTATTGTTGCACTCTTTCAGCTTCAGATTTACCTGCACGGCGACAAATTGTCTTGTATCAGAGACTGATGGTTGACGCATTTTCATTGCAGTGCAAAGAGAAGCCTGACAAATCTCACCTCCATCTGGACCTGCGATGTATCCACCAACACCCCTCGCAACCTTTCCCAAGACATTCATAAGGGATGAATTATCAACAGTCCATCTTGATCTCTAACATCGACTTTGAAAGTTTAGGGATGCCAACAACGATCATTACTTACTCTTGCACAACTACCATTAGCTCATGTAGGATATGTGAACCAATTAAGGAGCATCAAACAGTCAACGATCCAATCAGCATTTTCTTACCGCTGGCATGGCACGCCCCCATATATGGCCTTGGGCTTTTGGGATCATCAATGCACCGTGCCGTGCACCCATGGATGCATTATCCAAGATCGAAATTTGTAAGTTGTCAGGATAGATTGCTTCTCATCAGCTGCAATAGATAATGGCGGCAACCGAGGCTCAATCTTCTGCAGAGCCGATGAATGTTGATGAGGGTGATGAGGTCACGCCAGCTCCCTTACTGTCTTTGAGTCTTCTGCAGACTGTTAAGACTGCGCAGGCACAGCATGGGTTGCGGCACAGCGATTACACGCGTTACAGGTGATCTCCTTGTAGCTGCTAGTATTGGATGTTCTGGCTGCTGATCCAGGACTTGCTGTAAGCAAAGCTCCTCTTGTGTACACATCAGGCAGTACTGCACCCGAAAACTTCATCGGCTTTACAAGGCGGTGAAAATGACGCATGGACGCGGCAAGTACATCCCAAGAAAGCTGGATGCCAACACTGTCACGGAGGTTGGGTGAGTACTCTGCTGACTCCCTGACAGGATGATTAGAATCTTTCTATCAGGAGCACTTTAGGTCCCTCGCACTGTGGTCATTCTCCTTAGTGTCTGTGTGCACAAGTCGGGGAGTCGCTTGGAGACACAATCCTTTTGGTGCACTCTGCAGGCACCTGCTGATCCCACTGGTGGGGGCAGAGCGGTGCTGGAGCCAGGCCATGGAGATGAGGGCGCAGCTGGAGAAGGAGCCGCTCTCGTACAAGCGCCAACACATGATCCGGCGCCTTGCCAAGGCCGCGCAGCTGGCAGGGCAGCTGTCAGACCTGGCCTCCAAGTGCTGTGTTGACGGGACAGCTTTGGAAACAGAGGCCTACGCTCTGTTCATGGCTGGCAACCTGCTTTTTGAGAAGCAGCAGTGGGAGGCTGCGCTCGCCAAGCTGGCAAGGGCAAAGTGAGTCCCCCAAACTCGTTCAACTGATATGTGTGTATGCTTCAGAGTCACTTGGATTGTTTACGCCGCTTTCTTCCAGTGCTTTGGGAAGCATCTTCCTTGCTAGATCTGGCCTCCCTTGATGTATCAGTATTCTGGTTTCAGAGAGAGAGACTGTCCTTTGTGGCAATGAAAATGTACAGAGGTTCTTCCCTGTGGGGCAACAGGTCGGTGTACCAGGAGCTGGCCAGGCTGGGCTCGCCGGAGCAGCAGGCGCTGCTGCACAAGCAGCTGGACGACCTGGCGGCGCCCATCAGCTTCTGCAAGTACAAGCTCAAGATGAGCAACGACGATGATGCGGGCGGCCTCAGTGTGCCTGACAGCCCCAGCGCCAAAGTCATCCAGGCAATCCCCTTGTACAGCGACCATTCATTATCTCACTTGCAAGAGAAGCCAAAGAGGACTCTGCTCATGTCTTCTAACTTGTCATCTTATGGCAGATCATGTGTGTGATGCGGTTTTTGGCATGATGCAGTCAAAGCTGGAGTCGCTGGCTGCGCAGCAAGGCACCCAGCAGGGCGCTTCGGCCAAGGGGGTGTCAACCATTGCTTGGAGGGGGACCACAAGTGTGGTGGCTGCAGAGCGCGTCAGGATCACCCTGGCAAATGCCCTGGATCTCAGCAAACAGGTACATTCCTATCAATTGTGCATTGTTAGTTTTGCCGTGGCGGCAATGAAGCCCATGCTATGCTGGTATTCTGGATGACAATTCCCCTTAATCTGGATGTGTATTCAGGTGGATGAGGCCAAGGCTGCCAATAAGCCGCTGGACCAGGTGCTTGAGCTTTATGATGCGCTGATTGCCGCGTTCAACGAGGCAAAGGGCTATGTCAGGCACTCTATCTCAGGAGGTGCAAGAGCTCTCCCCCTCAATTTAACATAGAGGCGCCTGGCGCCTTTAATATTCTCCATACTCTGCAGGACGCCAGTCAAGATGCTATTGTCGCTGACCACGTCTCCAAGGACGTTATTCACCTTGCCATGCCATCCAAGCAGCAGGATCAAGCGTGTGGACAGGAAGCTCCTACTGCTGGGAGTCTCCAATATCTTGCTTCTGTGGGTAAATGTGCTTTGGCCGGGTGCACGCAGGGCGCGCAAATGAGGCGTCGTCCGGGGTGGATGAGCTGAAGGCGCTGGATGTGACGGTGACTGGGCTGCAGCTGGAGCGCACCATCGAGCGCGGCCAGGCGCAGGTGGCCGACACACGCGATCGCTACGATGCCAGCGCCCAGTCCGAGCCCACCGTGCAGAAAGCTGTCAAGAAGAGAAAGGTGTGGTGCTGAAGCTGCGTGTTACTAGTACTTCTTCATGCTGATTGGCGTTGCTGGCATGGCACCCGCCCCCTCACAAGCAACAGGGTCTGAGGTGTTTGTGAGCGCAAAAAGTTATGGTGCGGGAAAACAGAACGGCTGTCGGTGATTCTACTGACGAGTGATACCCTGCAAAGCTTGCGTGCAGCATCATGGGCTCTGCGGTAGTTCTACCACCGAGTGCTAGCGGAGTCTGTCAGCCAGACATGCATGCAAGGAGGAATGACGGACATTTGGCCCGGTCTCTTGGAGTGCATCCTTTCAAATTTATACAGCGAGCAGGCTGGTGTGGTGCACAGGTGAAGGCGGAGAAGGGGGGACCGGCCAAGGCTGAGGACGTGGTGCGGCTGTACGACTCGATGATGAGCGCCGTGAAGGAGCTGAGCGAGAATGCTGCGCGGCTGGGGGGCGCCGCCGGAGAGATCCTCCTGGAAGAGTGCACCGCCAAGGCGCGCCCGGCCTGTTCTCCTCTTGAATTTATAGCGCATGTTGGCTTGACTGCATCCCTCAAGAGAGCAAATTCGGTATTCTGACATGCGGGTGTGGGAGGGACCGCACCGGCCTGTCAGGAGTTTCTAAGTTGGCTCTGTTGCAGGGAATCTGCATCAAATGACTCCCTGGCATCATTGATCATGTCTTTGGGACTGAAGAAACAGATCCTTAGTCATATGCCATATAAGTGCAATGACTCATGGAGGACTTGGTGCTGGGGATTGGGAATGTTGAGGAAGTATTATGCTGAGGTGTGGTGGATGTGGTTTGCGCGGGGCTGCAGAGGGCGACATTCCAGGCGCTGCGGTGTTTCTACGCGGCGCGCTCGTACCTGGTAGCGGGCAAGCCGCTGGAGGCGCAGGGCCTGTTCCAGCGCACAGCGCAGCGCGTGCAGCAGGCCGAGGCCGCCTGGGACGACCTGGAACGTCCCAGCACAGAGGACCTCGCCGAGCTAGAGGCCCTCAAGGCCCAGACCCAGGTGTGTGCGCCATCCCTTGCTCTTCTGCAGGACCCTGAATGTTCTGCCCGCATGTGCAACAAATGCGATCCTTCTGTCGGCATCGCTCTTGGCAAGCTGGGCAAGATTCTCTGGGCCCCACCCTATTCCGTGGCCTTTGCATGTCCCTTCTCTTATGGGCGGGGAGCATTGTTGGCACGGTGGAACATCTGGCTCGGACTTGATGCGTTCTGCATGTGCTCTGGTATGTGTGCCTGTGTTACGGTGTTCAGTGGGCGATTGATGGATGGAAGCTGCTGCATGAGAGGTGTCTCACACGGGTGGGGATGCGTGCAGGCGTGGCGATGTGCTGCGCATGCAGAGTGTGTGGCCCAGCAGATGCTGACGCAGCAGGAGGCGCAGGAGGGCATCGACCAGCTCGGCCTGGACGTCAAACCTGCAGGTGCGACACCAGGCTTCCATCCCTCCAGCCTCCCCTCAAAACCTTCAGCCTCTCGCACACAAACTTCAGCAGACCAAGAGACCCAGCAGCATTGCTGTAAAAACTCAAAGTATCTCCGTCTTTTGCAATCTTTAGCTCTTTCATCACTCTTTATGTCCGCTGAATGCACTCAATCTTGGTAGATTTGTATATGCAAGAGTCGTTCCCAAGATCACAGCACTTGCCATGCTGCATGTTGGAAGTGTCAAGCTGTGTGCTTGTGTGTCCCACAGCGGCGGCGCGCTATCTGGTGGACAATCTGGACCGGTGGGAGTCGTTTGCTGGCGGGGAGGGGCGGCCAACGCGGCTGTGCCGGGTGCCGCCGCAGCCGGCATCGGTGGCGGTGCGGCCGTTCATGCTGGACAGCGCGCTCAACTACATCCAGGCGCCCTCCCTGGAGCACCGCACTGCCAAGGAGGAGGCCAAGAGCACCTTCTCCCGCATCTTCACCTGGGGAGCCAAGAAGTGATTGGGTGGAATGTGAACCTTTAGGCCGCTGCTAATGCCCAAAGCGTCACATATCTGTTGAGAGCAATGTCAAATCCTTGGAGATATTTGATCACGCCCAGCCAATTGAAACTCCACGCAGGGGATTGTGAAGCGCTGTTCTCATCATATTCCCCTAAGAGTTGGGGGTTGTCCCGAGCATTGTAGGGCTCGTTGGACCAGCCTTTGGGCGAATTGTTGTTGATAGTGGGTTGCTGCAGAAATATACGACGGTCTGAGAAAGCTGGCGTGAAGGTTGGACATGAACGATCTGTAAATGCGAGATGAGGAGCAGTGTGTAACAACGTCAGACAATCAATCTTGTCCAGCATCCTGGTGTCTGTGCAGTGTTATAGTAATAAGCTATTACACCTCAACGTGATCAAGAGAGTGCCATGACCACTTGATCAGGCCCCAGCAAAAGGCCCTGATGCAGAAATAATATCCGTGTGCCTATATGCATCATGCATGCAATGTCATATTGAAAGCTCGACGGAGTATTCCATTACAAAGGCGTAAATCTGTAATGCTGCCGCCTCTTCATATATTTCTTCTGTTCAGGGAAATCCAACACCCAGTTGGGGCCCATCTGAGATGACAGCCTTCAAATGCCCACTGGATTTTCTGAATGCTTTGCAATGCTCGCCCGCCCATGGCGCACAACACTGCTCAATCTCTTGACATCACCATTGCAACATGATGTCATGTCAACATAATCACCAGCCAATTCCCAACACCTTCTCTGGCACTGATGTCCCTCATCAAGCAACATGCCTCAACATTCATTGTTCACAACGCTATTAAGTCCTGATTCTGTTCATGAGGCGATGCAGAACGTTTTGCTCAACACATTATCGTTCTGCTTTGTGTGGTAGTAGTGTGCACTGCCCCGGAGTAATATTCCACGCTCCCATCCCACTGCCTCGGGTAGATGCAGAGAGAGTACACAAATGCCTTGCCAATACCCCCAATCTTCTGCAGCAGGGTCTTCTTCTTCTTGGGCTGTGGGCAGGCATCCGATGGGGCCGCCCGCCTGCTGGCAAAAGCTGCCCTGCTCTGCATGGCTGCTCTGACACTTGCTCTAGCAGCGCTGCCGGCCGCAGCCTGCACTGATATTGACTGGCAGGCCGGCTCTGGAGCAACCTTCTGGCATTGAGCGCTGCGCTGCTGGGCTGCAGCTGCGACAGCAGCTGCGTTGCTGGGCATGCAGCATGTGCTGTGGCTCACTCTAGCATGGACATTGGAGTGCTGTCTGAGCTCTGCTGGCAGGCGCGCAGAGCCACTCCAGGCAGTGGCCAGCAGGGTAGCTTGAGCCCGCCGCAATGACCTGCACAGCTCTGCTGCATCTGGGCTGGCACTCTGTGGGACGCTGGGAAGGTCCCCTGACTGCCGCTGGCCGCTGGGCTGCGAGCCTGCAAGAGATACCTGGAGGCTGCGGCTTCTTGACCGGCTCCTGCTGCGAAGCTGGCAGCTGTCAGAAGCTGTGCTGTCACCGGCTGATGTGGCGCAGTGCTGCTCTCTGTGTGCGTGCACCGCTGCCTTGACGGCTGTGAGCAGGTCGAGTGTCTTCGCTGGGGATGAGCGGGCCGGGGTGGGCGGGGTGCAGTCTCCAGAAGAGGGTGGGCTGCCGTCTGTGGAGGGTGGCTGGCTCAGCACACCCGCGGGGCTGGCACAGCTTTTGTCGCTGTTGTCCCTGGCGCAACATTCCACCCAGGGTCAGCCAAATGATCCTGCTGTCATCACATGCAATTTGCATGGTGCCTAACAATGAGCGGTCATTAAATGTGCTATTCAGCACTGAGTTGCATTGACAGTGGGAGCAATAAGGGTTCTGATTCTACCCAGATCGAGTGAGGCAGGACGACTGTTCAGATCGGGAAGTACCCTCAAAATGAAATCTGGATGCCTGAGTACAGCAGAGCATGGGCTTGATGTGAGCTTACCCTGGCAGCTTGGCCGCCTTGGTGGGCACTTCTTCAATCCCCAGGGTTTCCCCCACAACCAGCTCCAGCAGGGCGTCCACATCCTCCATCATCCTTGCCTCCTCTCTTGCTTGCCTCTCCGCCTGTTCAAAGAAGATCATGATGTCCAGCACCGTTTCAGGCTCCACCTTCCTGTCCTCCACTGGCTCCTTGACAGCTTTCTTAGCGGCTTCCGCCTCTTCTTTAGACTTGATGGCCATTATTTCCTCTAAAACCCATCCCACAGGACCCAAGTCATCGTCCTCATTGTCCATGTCGGCCCATTTGTCTTTCGTGGCTGCCGCCATCTCGATATTCTCTACGGCGACTTTTCCTGCGCGGAGTCAGAACATCAGATACATTAATTCTTGATGAGGAAGGGCCATTTTGACGCTTACTGCATGCTGAACATTGAGCAGATGGCAACAGATACGAACGAAGGTAGTCAGGAGGGATGCCTCAGAGATATCACACCTGGACCACACCTGGAGAAGGTGCTGGAACACACAGATGTGTCGTGAAGCCTTTGAAAATATTTTGGTAAAGTCTAGGCTGCCGTGGCGAAGATATTCCTGCTTGCTTCAGAGCTCTGATTCTTGTTTGCAGGCCTTGTATTGCGTCACAACCTCGCGGACGGTGGATCTGTAATCTTGCAAAGACTCTGTACCTTCAAGCTTCGATGTACTTTTAACACTCTTGGAAGGCAACAAATTTTTGGCGTTGAGCTGGTGATTCTGAATGTGTGTCTTGCGGCTATCAGCACGACCCCACGACAGGGTATGGGACCCTGGGCATGAGGGTATAAATTGTTATCGCATGCAAGCCTTCAACAGGAGTTGAGTAATAGATCTTACATATAGCGTTGTCACGTGTATTGTGAGGGGCAGATAGCAAGCTATGCAACATAGGTATGCATCGACAAACTACAGAGACTGAAGAGCAACATACTGTGAAAAAGGAAGAACTGCCCAGAGGCATAGCTTGGATGTACATACAGACCAGAACCCGGCATGCTCTAATTTATCCTAAATGAGTACACATGCACTTTGTAACACCACTTACTACTCCAAAAAAGGTTGCCTTCTGCGTGCCGTACGAAGCTACACGCCACATCCTTTATAGTTGCCTCTGGGCACGCCAAATTCGCTATCTTCATGTCTGGGCAGCAAATGCACAGGCCCTTCTCTGCATTCTGTGGGAGTGACACAGGCCTTGTCCATGCTCTTCAGTCTTTTCTTGACACTGTTTTCTATTCTCTGTGTTCTGACCAACGAAATTCATAAAGGTGGTGGTCACACATGGAAAACCACAGAAGAATCAAATTTGATTTGCAAGATTCCACGCTGCTGATGCTGTCTCTCTGGTGCGCGCAGCAAAGCATTGTGACTCGGATGCAGCTGCCTCTTATCCTCTCTGCCCCTCCTTTTCAGGAGCCAGCCATTTCCCAGGAACGATCTGCTGCAACATTGCAACTGTGCAGCAGGTCTCGCCAAAGTGCTCCTTAGCGCTTCTGGTGGCTGACAAATGCCAGTGCCTGCACAAGAGAGCCACCTCAAAACACCGTCTTGTACAGCAAGGATATACAATGGAGTAAAGCAAGGCAAAAAAGAGATTGCAATAGACAGGAGATGGTGCAGGGGTCTCACCGCCCAGGCAAGGATTGTGAAGCCAATGAAGAAGAGTGACTCATAACCCAGCTGGGCCCACTTGTTCTGCTTTTCCAACCCATAGAACTCCAAGACCTGCAGACCACACAGTACTCTTAACTACTTGCCCAGGTTTTTGATGCAAGCAGCTATCAACCATCAACGATATCAACACAAGAGAACCAGCAGTGTCCATGATACAATGGTCAATGAGAGAAAGCAAGATGCGCACCGTAAGACCCTCCAGCACGCGCGTGTGGGAAGTCTCAAACTGATTGATCATCTGCGCGCTCCACGCATACTTCAAGAAGTCAATGTAGCCGTACCTGCACCACACCCAATCCCCCTTCATCACTCCATACTTGCACTCTTGTAAAAATTCTGCAAAACCAAGTAAACTTGCTGCAAAGCAACTGTGAGAGCTGGCTTCAGGACAGGACACATATGTATGGGGAGGGTGCAACTGCAGATGAGGGTGCATGCAAGAGGGGCTCACCACTTCCAGTAGGCCGGCTGATCCTGGATGCGCAGTAGCAGGCCGACGAAGAAGAGCAGACTGGTGACGTACGCAGGCAGCGCCGCGTTGGCCACGTCCATGTTGGGGGACACCGATGCAATGGCATAGGCGAGCACTGCACACCAGCACACTGTCTCGTGAGCACACGCGATGACATCATTGGCCACTTTCTTGCACCCCGCTCTCCCTTGATGTGAAGTCCTCAGCCTCTGGCGGTCACCAGGACAGCAATGGGTCTCGCTATGGATTGGTAATCTTGCAGAAGGTGCAGTCAGGATGAAAAGATGCAAAGAAAAATGGAGAGGGCCTCACCGATGCCGATGGCGGTAGTGGTCAAGAAGATGAGCCAAAAGATGATGAAGTCTCCGGTGAGCTTGAGGGGGAAGAACACGATGGCCGAAAAGACCAGGGAATTGACGAGGGTGATGCTGATCTCCTCCATCATCTTGAATATTACGTACGTGATTGGTCGATACAACCCATCATTCCGTTCCCTGCATGGCAGACTTCTCAGCTCAATTTTCCAGCAGATACCATAATCTTGGAAATGCCCGGCTGTCCACTAGCGGGCAGGCAATGGCTAATGAAGCATGCTTGGAAGTGATGGGCAGAAACTCATGTGTTGTGCAGTCAGCCACAAGCAATAGGACAAAGGTGAATGTGCGAGGAGGGCACAAGGAGGCCCGCTTGAGAATGATGGGCAGGCGCATCATAGGCTGCACTCAACCCAAGGCAAAGGGACACCATGAGATGATTGAGCGCATGGCAAAATTTGAGCAAAAGCAAACCAGTGCGGTGGATTGCTGACCTGACAAAGAGCGGCCGCTCAAGGACGATGGTCGGGATGAAGGCGGCGGCTGCGTAGCCGGGCAGGATGGTCCACAAGAACAGCACGGCGGCCAGGTTGTTGTAGTTGGACAGCTTATGGTTGTCGCCCACCTTCCAGTACAGCGTCATGATGATCAGGGCCAGAACCAGCTTGTCCACAATGCGCGGGCCCAGGAATGTCACGTCCCGGAAGTCCTTCGTCGCGCGCCACTGCGCACATCAACAGCCGAATGGTCAAAGATATGCTAAATAAACCCCATAATGCATACTGGCTGTGCAGCAACTGCACCGCTCATGCTCATGCTGCGGCGCTCTCATAACAGCTGATGTCCCCTGTGATTAATACAGCACTAGAAGGTGCTTTGAGATCCACATTGGCCGAGCTGCTGGACTGCATCAGCTCCTGCATACACGCATGCATGCTGCGCTGCGATCAAATCATGACTGCAGGGCTTGTGGCAGGCAAGCGGACCTTGATGAGGGTGCGCACGCCCCAGTACCAGGGGTTGGTGGTCTCGCGCCGCACCGCCAGCTCCTTCATCTGCTCATCCGACACCTGCACGCCCACAAGACGCGTTTCAGTCAGACCCTGGCTCTTTATTCATTGCCCATGCACACATATCAACAACCTCAGGCGCCACACAGATAGCTGACAGCTTCAGATCTGTCCCGCAGGGCAAGCGCGGCAAGATGCAATAGAGATGCTTTTGCCGGCTCATACACAAGTCCCAAAGGGGGAAGACGCACAGATTGTTCCGCCCCTTCCTCTAAATAAACATCAGCAATGACATCCCAAGGTCAATGATCAACATGATAGGGTCGTGCATGGCGCACCCGGTAGCCGCGGTCGAGCTGTAGGTCAAGCTCCTTGAGGTTGGCGGCCTTGAGGTCACTCGCGTCGTAGCGGTCGGCGTACTCAGCGTGCTTGCCCTCGCGGTCCGCGCGCGTCGTCAGGTCCACAATCCACTCCGCCTTGTTGTGGAAGGAGCCCCGGTGCCCAAAAGGCTTCACGCCTGGGAACTGCTCAAAGTACCGCACCGCGCCGGGACCTGCCCAGCCATGCAACCCATTGTCAGCACAACGCATTGTGTACAACAATCTGACTCGGCGGAGCAGCAGGATGCAGCAAGGTCAACACGCAGAATGACACTTTCTTCCAGCCATGCAATGCAATGCACTGTCAGCCGAGCACAGTGCCTCCAAGGCCCCGACCAGACATCACCGAGCAAAGGAATGCAGCAAGGTCAACACGTTTGATGCACAAAATTCCTCCCAGCCATGCAATCAGGCAACATTGACACGCCTTTCAACAGCGCAGGGAGCTGTCAAGGAGCATGGGTTAGGCTGCGCACCGTTCTCTCCAGAGTAGACGACGCGGCCGTGCAGCAGGATCATGAGGCGGTCAAAGAGGTTGAAGCAGTAGGGCGTGGGGTTGTGGATGGTTGCGCAGATGGTGATGCCCGTCTTTGTCAGGCCCTTCACCACTGTCATCACCTGCATGCATACTATCACATAAGACAAGAATTCTGCTGTGACGAGGGCTACAAGCCAAACCATCTGGCTGGGTGCTGGGTGAAGCGGCATATCAAATTCGAATTTGGAACTCGAGAGCAAGTCTCACCTCGTTGGATGTGTATGAGTCCAGGCCAGATGTGGGCTCGTCCAGGAATAGCACCCGGGGGTTGGTCACCAGCGCAATGCCAATGTTCACACGCTTGCACTGCCCACCTGGAAGACACAAACAATCAGCATTAAAATGCCGTCCAAACCAACATGGCCCCACATCCCAGGGTCACGATTTCCTGCAAAATCACATCACAGACAATCCCACAAAAGAAGACCACAAGGTCAAGCGCTGACCCGCTCCTCATGTTCACACCACAGCAGAATCCATTGCACCAAGCAGATGTTTTACAGTTGCGCAGCTTACACTGGGGCAACTATCTGCGCTGGCTGCAGGCTGAGAGCACAGAGTTGGCGGAAGGTGTTCGGTTAGTCACCTGAGATACCCCTGGCGAGAGGGTTGCCGATGCGCACACCGCGGCAGCCATTGAGGCCGAGCTGGTTGATGACCATCTCCACCTTGGCGCGCTTCTTCTCAAAGGGCTCCGACATCGGGTTCTTCAGCTCCGAGGTGTACGCCAGCATCTCGTACACCGTCAGGTTGTCCAGCAGCGTGTCTGCGCGCCAAAGCACCCACCCATCAGCTTTGTTTGTAGCAATGACACTGCTAGGGGTAGAATCGTGGCAGCTTCTCTGCAGGACGCACCTTGCCTCTTGGCAGGAAAAGCGTGTAATATTAATAAATGGCACTGCTGCGGTCAGGGAGTAGCCTAGGACTCGCTTGCATGCAAGCAGGTTAATCAGGGCATGCAAGTTCCTTGCAAGCCATTGAGGAATGCTATGAGGCACAACAGCCCGACTGCAGGCAGAGTAGGAGCTGCAGTGATGCAGAGCCCCTCACCAAACTGCTCCACATAGCCGGTGTAGCGTCTGAGGAAGGTGCGCGTGGCGTGCTGTCCAGCAAAGAGAATCTTGCCGGAAATGGTGCCCACCGTTTTCCTCCCAGCCAGGACATCTGTTGGAGCACAAGAAAATTGGTCAGCGGAGCCAAATCCAGAGCGCACTTGAGATTTTCCTGTAGCGATGATTTTTGTGTACAGTGGTGCTCGTTGGATCCAAACAAGGCAACAGCGATGGCACTTGCGCAGCAAATGGGGGATGCGTGGGTTCTCACCGAGCAGGGTGGTCTTTGAAGATCCTGATGGTCCCATCTGCACAACACAACACCAGCGAAGTCAGGAGAGACCATGCAAACCCGGGTATTGACAACATTCTGATATATGTGTGTGTGTGCCTGCCATATCCTAGCAAAATGAGCAATTAAGTAGCTGCAAGGAAAGCACATGCGAAGACAGCAGCCGGGCATGCAATAGAAGGCGTACCAGGGCGGACAAGTGGCCAGGAGGCATGAACCCAGACACGACCGTCAGCAACTTTAGTCTCTGTTTCTTGTTTGCGCTGTTCCACACCTCGTAGGAAAGATCCTGCAAGAAAGGACAAGGATTCAAGAAGCCGTGAGAGAGGTTGACACATCTGCCTGCCTGAGGTCTGACTTTACTAAAGGTTAGGAGCTAGATTTTTCTTGGTGCTGTAGAACAAATCACTACTTAGATGCTTGATCTGTGTAAAAACGAAACCACTTCTAAATATACAATGCATATGAAGTCGGAGACAAAAAGAATCAGGCGATCAACGTGCGTCAGACAGCCAAGTCGACTGCTACACTCCTGGCCGTGGATGCGCCGGCAGAAGCGATTGATTCACGAATAAGCCTTTCACGATGGGAAAATCGCGCAGGCACGAGTGCGCGCAGACAGGCAGCTCTTCCAGCCTGACGCTGGCCAAAGATCCCAAGCTAGGCCAGGGCTGCAATCACCTTGAACGCGACTGTCATTCCTCCTTCGGCATTGAGGTCTGCAGACTCTTCACTGATGTTCCCCTCCATGTCCTCACTGTTCCCGGCCTCCAGATCCTCGAAGGAGGCTTCGGACGGATGGTCGGGCACCCGAAAGCTTGCAAACCTCATATCAGACTTGGGATCAGCGGTGCGCTGCTGGACGCTCATGATTGCAGCGCCTCAGACAGGACACTCAAATCCAAGTAAGAAACTACTTGGCTAAGTGTGTCGAGAAGGTGTGGATGATTCCTTTGGTGGTGGGCAAGAACGAAGTCGCAATTGCAGCGCCAACTGGCACGTTGCCTGATTAAGGCAACTGCCCACAGCGCTCCAGAGGAGAAGGTGACTTGATACACGAGGCCCTTTTCAGGGTTTCAGGCATGTCACCCGCTTCAGCTTCTTGCAATTTCCTCAGCAGGCTGTTTAATGATACGTGAGGACCTCAATGCATATGCTGAAGGAATCTGTACTCAAAGATATACTTGAATTTGCATGAGCCTGTCACAGCACGGTGCACACTGGTGGCACTGTGGCAACTTGCTCGCCGGAAGTGAAGGGCGTCACTTCAAATAAAAGACTTGCTTGAACTTTAGCTTACTTTTAAAGTTTGTCAAGTCCCAGTGAGCACAAGCATGCCGGCGCCAGCAGACTCCAGAGACTCTCGAGAGAGACGCTCAAGCTCAGGGATATTGCCAATTGGAAGGTACTACCATGGATTGAATTGGCCAACCGTCAATGATCATCATGTTTGAAAAGATCATCATGTTAACTGCATGCTCCTGCTTTGCTGGCAGCAACAACTGCTGATTTACAGGCGTCCGCAAGTGATTAGGCCTAGGCTTAGGCCTCAAAAAAATGAGAAGAGCCTCTCTTCTTAGCGAAGGCAATCAGTGCTATCACTACATGCAAGCCGCAGTGACACTTGTAATTAGCATCAGCCAACGCCTGGCTCAGTATCTGTTGCAAAAAAATGCTTCCGTCGCTTCAAGATATACAAGAGAATTGCAGAGTGGCGATGTTCTGGATCCAACTTTGCATGCGGCACCTTCTTGATTGTGAATTGCTCCTCGAAAAGCTGCGTGAAGCGGGACTGGACAGACTCTGATCGCAACTCGTTCGCAATGATCACTGCACAGACCACACGAAGGATCACCTGTTAAGAAGTGCTGGGCTTGGTATTGGGCATCACATTGGGGACACAGACCAGCTTTACTGTGCTGCTTCAAACACAGACACCTTCTGGAATAGTGCGTGAATAGTGCGTTGGACAGACCTGTCGACTTCAGATCAGACAGGCTGATGATGGTCTGCCGCAGAGCAAGGAGGTGCTCCTCATGGTAAACACAATCAGCTGCCAGCACATACGCGAAAGGCCCGGCTGCCTGGCTGATGTGCTCTTCATTGCCCCAGTCCAACTCTTGCACGCTCACTCTGCCAGCTTGCTGGCCCCAGGGCCCCTCCCTGCCTAGGCACATGTCGCAGGATATGATTTTGGACAAGGAAAAGAATATGCATCCTTGCATGCACATGCGTGATGAACTCTTACAAATGCCCAGCAGGAGATACAGGGGGTTCGGATACAGGGGTTGCAGTTTGAAGGGACGGCACCATGCAAGGCAGCTGTTGTGAAGTTGGCGTCCACGTTTTTGCGTATCAATGGCACAATGTCAGCGAGGTCTGTCAGAAGTACTTCCGCTCCCAGCAAAGCAAAGGCCATGCCGCCCAGGCCAGGGCCGGCTCCCAGTTCAATAGCACGTTTGCCCTTGACATTCGCGCGCGAGAACTCCCCCTTCCGGGCATTCTGTTGCCACCGACAAATTATCCGAGTGACTCACCTGATGCTTATTGTATTGCCAATGAAAACCTGGCATCCCCAGGTCACCTGGCTTTAGGAAGGGCAAACAAGCAACTCACCTTCTCGAGAAATTTTGCAAGCACAATGCTAGCATCCCAAACTGTGGTACCTAGATTCAAGCTGGAAGGATTTTGTGACATGCGCACTTCTGACCTGCGTTTAAATGAAAGGGTCAGCCGTCACGACAGTGATCTGGAGCTGGAAAAAGTGCTTCTCGGTTTTCTCAATCATATAATCCGTACCCGAACAGCTCGACATTCACCGAAGTTGACAGATGCGTGTTCCATCTTTCAAACATCTCCATGCTGCTTAATTGATAAGTACAGAGCAGGTCGCCTCCCTTCCAATAGTACTATTGCAGGACTCTTATGAGTGTTTTGTGAACGCTGTGCATTTCTACAGGTATGTCCTATATCAAACACAAACACAACTACTACCAGTAGACAAGTTACTCGAATGAATTGTCGAGGAAGAAGCAAGTCTTGCCTCTGCTGCTGCTGACGACGTCAGGGTTACGGCATTCTTGGACATTGGAGGGACAAGCCCATTGGACGTCCAAGAAATTACAGCAAATCCTTATTCTCGATTCAGAACTTGTTTAAACGTTGAAAGATCATGGAGGAACCTCAGCAACGCAGACTGGGAGTCCTCCTCTCCCACGTCTCTGGATCTTTGCAACCAGCTTCAGAGCTTGGCTTGAAGGCGCACAATGTTTCTGCCTCAGCTGGGTCTCTTCTGAAGGGCAAGGTACTGAACAAGTTTTTCTGCCTACACTCATGTGTTTTGGACGCTGTGCTCTGCCTCACTCTATGAAGTCTGTATCTACATAGCTAATTCACCTTCTGATTGCTGCTATCAGTGATCCACTTCAAGATGACTTAGCGCGTGTTTTGATCTTTTGGTGCTGTAGGTGGCCATCATTACTGGATCTGGACAGGGGTTGGGAGCGGCAGCTGCCAACCTCTTTGCTGAGCATGGTGCTCGGCTGGTTGTCACAGATCTTGACGGTGCAAAGGCTGATGAGGTGCGCTGTTATCCACCCTGCAGAACAGATGAGATATGGGAGAGATACGGGGCCAATTTGTATGGTGCATGCCCCGACAAGATTTGGCTCTGACTACAGACTTGCTGCAGGTTGCTGCGGGAATCCGCTCACGAGGCGGTGAGGCCATCTCTCTGGCCGGAGATGTGACAGCAGAAGAGTTCCCAGCGTGCTGCGTCAAGGCAGCTGTGGAAGCTTTCGGCACCATTGACATCCTCATCAACAATGCTGGTAGGCTTTGCTATAGCTGCTGATTCCATCCTCACAAGAATTTCTCATTCTAAACCAACTGTCGCACAGACCAATGGCAGCACCAGTCATCCGGCGCAGTGGACCTGAACAAGAGGTGTAACTGCATGTGTGCAGGCTTCACATGGGACGGCATGATCCACAGAATCACGCCCAAGCAGTGGGATGCGATGCTGGCGGTGCACTGCACGGCGCCCTTCCGGCTGATCCAGGCGGCGGCGCCCGTGATGCGCGAAGCCGCCAAGAAGGAGCTGGATGAAAAGGGTGAGGCCACTCAGCGCTGCATCATCAACGTCTCCTCAACCTCCGGCACCCACGGAAACCCCGGCCAGGCCAACTACAGCACGGCAAGCGCCCTCACCCTCTTTGCCTAGAACACATGCAAATCACTGCATGCTGCTTGGGAAGATCCAATTTTATATCTGCTCCTGCAGCACGGCAAGCGCCCTGACAATCACCACACCTTGAAACACTCACTCTCGCTGCACCTCCTTGGCTAGATGCATTTCACTTCTGCTCCTTACCCAACAATGAGGGCTATTAGCGGTGCTGTCAAGCATGGGGGCGAGGTGCATGCATACAAGGTGGAGCTCTAAAATTTTCACTTTGTGCGGCGGCAGGCCAAGGCAGGCGTGGTGGGCTTGACAAAGACGGTGGCGCGGGAGTGGGGCTCCTTCAACATCCGCTGCAACGCCATCGCATACGGCTTCATCGCCACTCGCCTGACCGCTGACAAGGGATCTTCCACCATCAGTGTCGGCGGAGAAAAGGTCCGCCCTCATTTTTCACACCTTATGCTCTTTATGTCAAACAAAGGCTGCTGGCTATCTTTTGGTGTGTTGCGACAGCACTGCGGTTGCAACAACAAACAGTTAGTCCCCCCTTTCGAAACACTCAAGGCCTCAACAGCGTATTAAGCAAGATTCTTTGAAGAGTTTGAGCGTTGCTGAGCAGTGGGCAGAGTGTCCTGAGCAGTGTGCAGCATGATTTCTTTGGGCAATTCTTGAAGGCGGATGGTAGCTGTCCTGAGAATACAGAAAGAAGGTGATTTATGTTGCGCAGGTGAAGCTGGGCATTCCTGGAGGCGAGGCCATGGCGTCAGCTGCAGCGGAGATGCTGATTCCAATGAAGCGAGTGGGCACGCCTGAAGAGGCAGCCGGTGCCATGCTGCTGCTCGCCTCTCCCTATGCATCCTTCATTTCAGGACAGGTGAGCCCTGATCTGCTCTTTTGGTGTTACATGTCCTTTGCTTTCGCATGTCATGCTTCCATTCTTGCCTCACGAGATTGCACGAGATCATGTGTCACTCTTGAAAGGCCGATGCATTGAAAACACTTGTGTGTGCTTCGTGCTTTGGACAGACGTTGGAGGTGACTGGAGGAGCTTACATCTAAGCAGTATAATTCAGAACCTGATCAGGAACTTTTGCTGGTTTGCGGAGATCTCCGCAGACTTCTAGAAGTGCAACAATTTGCCGGCCACTTTTGCATGGGTGCACATTCTGTCAGAACAAAACTAGCTGCAGCCACCTTATCCTCTCCTAGGTGGACGTGCTTTGATGCTATATGTACACTTTTTACACATTTATTAACTGGAAGGGCCTTATACATAGGACCACTTGCAGCGTCCCAAGTTGTCATCATCTGTGGCTCAACTGCTGTATCTGTAGCATATGAGCGCAGACAAGCCTACAGCTTCTCATAGATGCGATGAAGTTGGATCACTTTATTAAATTCAGCAGAGTCACTTCGCTTCAATGCAGAACGACTGACAGCAGACTCGCTATACACAGAAGGACTCCCCTTCATAGCACTGCAGATTGCATGAGGTTCTCCAAATTATTAGAGGCACGAAAGTGCTCGTGAAGATGGACCAATATATACACATCAATCAAATAAGAAGCTTGCTCGATGCAAGATCCTCCAGATGAAGAACTCATTTTGAACAAGTCTTTCATCTATTTCCTAACAGAACCTTGTTCACCACCAAGCTCCATGGCATCACAGTCCAAAATAAAATATACATTCATGCCTTGTCACACTCTCTTTCATTCATTCCAGGCTTCACAATGTCATCAAGTAGCTTCTCCTCATCATATATTACCAGGCAGAACAGAGCTGGGAGCTCTTTCAAAAGCATTTCAGGCAAATGGGTCTCATGCCCAAGGTGCCTCAAAGTTGGCGGCATCATTTGACGAGGTGTATCCACTCTCTGACCTGCACAAGTTCAGATCTGCGCTGCGCGTGCCTGGGCCACGGTGCCTCTTGGCCTCCACGCAGCCAGCTGCACTGTCAGCAGAGCTGGACCCAGCACTCTCGGCCGTTCCCAGGGGAGAGGCAGTGCCGAGGAAGCTGCTGGACAGCAGTACTGCACCTGCCTCCGAAGCTGAGTCAGTCGTGGCCGCCTTGGCAGCAGAAGCTGGCGTACTGTGCATGGACCCGGTGTCTGCCGTGAAGCGGCTGCTCTGCGTGCACATGGGCCGGACCAGAAAGGGCACGCTGCAATGCAAAGACCCACTGCCTCAGTTCCAGGATGCTTCGAGTCCCTAAAACAGCTGCTAGATTTTCATTATGATGGTGGTGGTCAGACTGGCTCGCAGGCAGGGACGCGGCTGATGGAAGCATCCCTTCCCCCAAATTTCCCTCGATTGAGCAAAGCAACAAGCTATTCCTGTGCTTGGCATACTTTGCAAGCTTTGCATTGACAGGCACATGGTTATGGGGACCTGCGGCTGGGAAGAAATCGAGGTCTCAAACACTGCAAGGCTGGGAAGCGACAAGCAGCAGAGAGGGCGGAGAAGGCACACCTGCTGGCATCGCTGTCAAACAGTGCGTTCTCAAACTCGTGACCGGCGAGCGCCAGCTGCCCAGAACCGCAGGATGACGTGGCGCCCGAGAGTGGCTCCAGAATCTCCTTCGCGGTGGGGCCGCCTCCGTGAGCGCGGCGGTCGCGGATTTTGCTAATCGATCTGCTGGCTCCCTTGCGGCCCCTGGGGCTGGCCCTCACAGCCGGCTCTGCGCTGCCGCCCTCCCCACTGTGGAAGCCCTTCGCCAAAGGCGGCTTGCTGAGGAGTGCGTCATCCCCCTTTGGTGCGCTAGCCGCCCGAGGCACGGCCATTGCGGAGAGGATTGCCACGTCGAGGCCAGCTGTCAGGCTGTCGTGCACCTGCCGCTGCAGGAATGGCGGCAGGGGGTCGGCTCTGGCCTTCTTTGTGGGACTCTGCAGCGCGGCGTCCACAGGTCCCCGGCCTTCTTCTGACTCGGCTTTTTCCGCGCTGTTGGTTAACACGTCTGCAGCCGGGCTCACCGCACGCACTGCAGGCGGCTGCGCTGGCAGGTCTGTCGGGTCGGCGTGCTGGCTGGCTGCGGCGGCAGTTGCCTCACGCAGAGGTGCATGTGAGTCGCGCTCTGCAGTGCTGTCCATCAGCTGTGGGCCGGTGCCTGGCAGTGTTTGGGGTTCTTTTGCAGGCGGGGGGACCTCCTCAGCTTGGCTGGCGTGGCGGCTGGCGCTCGGCGAAGACCCCCGGCTGCGCTGGGCGAAGGCGGGGAAGCGCGCCGAGATGGGGCCCCTCCCTGGGGAGGTGGCACCGTCCGCATCGATGGGGGACCCGGGGGCCGCCGCAGGGAGGCCCAGCAGCGGCGGCTGCCTGCCGGCGGCTGCGCGCTTGCGCTCGGCCAGCCGGTGCGACAGCGCGTCCGCTGACATGGAGCTGGCCATGGCCGCCGCGCGCGCCACGCCCGTCTCAATCGCGTCCGCAAACTGCATCAGCAAGATCTGACATTAGCGCCCAATGTTTTCCAACATGCGAACTCACAGGTGGCTGTCCTCATGTTGCTGCAAATAGACAAAAAATGCTGATATTGCGCACAACATTGTGTTCTGACACACTGCTCAAGCCGATTCAAGATCACTTTACGTGCCACAAGTTTGTGCTTACCTGCGCGCTGGCGGCGGCGACGATGATGTCCAGCTTGGACATGGTTGCTGCGATTATGACGTCAGGCCCTGCCCACGTGGGCAGCTCCTTCACAGCATCTCCTGCCACCTTGCGCACACAAACAACAGCCTCCAATCAGTACCAGATGCGGCAGGATCCACCCACATCAATAGTACCATGATGTCAAGTCTCACATTTCAAGCAGCAACACACTAAGAATATGCTCACCTGCACTGAGGAGGAAATGGCGTCCTGTGCTGCCTTTTGGGCCGCGGCTGCGATCTCGGCCGTCAGCCCCTGCATCAGCTCACTTCTGTCCTGCGCCGAAGTACTTCTTTCTTCTCCTTCTGCCTCTGCAGCAGCCGCCTTCACTGCTTTTGTCGCATCTCCCTGTGCTTTTGGCTGCGCACTGGTCAGCCCAGAGGACATCGATGGCTGCCCTGCCTCCATGCCTTCTGGTGCAGGAGGGCCGAAGATGGAGGCATGTGCCTTGGCCAGCTCTGCCTCTGCACTGCCGCTGCCCAGGGGCCACTCATCTGTCCCCAGCAGTGCTATCAGCTCCTGCATGCCGTCGGCACTTCCTGCGCTCCCCTTCAAGCTCTCTGCCAACGCCTGCAGATTTCAGCCAGCACTTCATTCATTGCTTTGATATTTGTCAAGCAGCGCCTCGGCATGTTGCATGCAGACCTTCCTGACCAGCATGCATGATAGCATGCCATCGTCAGCAAAATCTGTATCAACTCCCCATGCCTGGTCTGAAGAAGGTCTACACCTGTGAGAGGTCATCGTGGGCCGCGAGGCCGGCCCAGTCGCCGGATGACAGTCCAGACTCAAGCAGGCGCTCTGCCGGTGGGGAGATCTCCTTGGCCTGCATAATTAGATCATCAGTGACAAGGGCCTCACACACTGCCAAGGCTTCATGATGCAAGAACACTTCATTTTGCAGACACATGATTTACCTTGCCCTCACCCAGCAGCACAATGTCATTTTGAGGAGACCATCACTCTGAGGGACTGGAAATTACCTCTACTTCTGGCATGGAGGACTGATGCCTCAGCGGTGAAGGGCGCATGGTGTCCAGACGAGGGAACGAGAGCGCCTCGCACGGCTCAGAGGTTGTGGCACGACGCCTGGCTGCAAATGCAGCCACGCTGTTGCCCCTCCCAGACACAGGCGCAAACGTGAAGCTCCCGCTCCTCCGACACTCCTACACCACCCCAAGCAACACCCCTTCAATACAACGTATCATATCTGTCTTTTTACTTCTGTCCTGCACATGCTCATGCACAAGCATTCCAGACACAAAAGGACAGTCGGAAAGTGATGGGTAAAACTCTGAACTTATGCTGCAGAGAGAGTGCCGTTGGGACCGCACCATGACACTGTCTTCTGACTGGCTTCTTGCGCCAGCACGTGCTTGCTCGCTCTCGGACAGCGCCAGACTTGGCAACCTGGAGCCGCCAGCGATTCCCAGCGGTGACCCCAGGCTCGCCTCCGACTCATCCGAGTCGCTCGCATCCTCACAGCTCTTCACTTCCACATCCGTAAAATCCGCAGCGGGCTGCTCTGCATGACTCTCCACCACCTCCTGCCTTTCTTGCTCTTTGTTGCCGTGTGCGTCGCTCTTGGCGTCGCTCTTGGGCTGCATTGCTGGAGCGGCCAGAGTTGGTGCGGCGGCGATGAACTTCTTCGCCTGGCGCCGGTGCGCGGCCGAGCTGTCGCTGTCTTCGCTCCCCGAGCCGGCGCTGGATTGCGACGAGCTGCCGGCATCCCGCGCGGCCGGCGCGTTTGTCATCGCCTCTTTGTCAGAACAGCTGTCGGACTGCGAGTCCACCAGCCCCGTCATGCTGAGGTTGTCGTCTGACACCAGCGCACCGCCGTCGGCCTCTGAGCCTGGCCTTGTCCCACCCGCGCCGCCGGCCGCTTTCTCCTTGCCCCTGACGCGGCTCCTGCCGCCCTTTTGCGCGTGCGGTGCAGCGAGCTGCTCCTTGTTGCTGGGGACCGGGGCACTCATGTCGGCACTGCAGAATCTGTCGGCAAGGACGGTCGGCTGGATGCTGCGGGCGCCGCCGGGCTGGCCGCGTTTGGACCCGGAGGAAGCTGGCACGGGGGTGGTGAAGCTGTGCTGGCCAGCTGCGGCAGCTTCCCTGGTGAGCTTGTCGGGCGTGCTGGGCGGCCCGATGGCGGGCTGCGCAGGATCTGGCTTGGGTAGCAACTTGGGCGGCCGGGCCTTTCTTGGCTTGGACGCTGCTCGGAGCTTCTTGGGGCCGGACAGCAGCTTTGTGCACTCCTCCCTGCGCAAGCAAGCACAAAGGCTCACATCACAACACAAAACGGATTTACCTGTGGACTGTAGATCTCAAGTGTATGCATTAAGCACGCGTCGGCATGGATAGACATCTCAGAGCTGTCATCACAGGTCTTAAGTAGCTTGAATAGGGGGAAGGTATTGTGCAGACCTGAGGGAGCGCAGGGCTTGGACGAGCTCCAGATCGGTGTGCACTTGGAGGTCGTGGGGGCTGCGCGCGGCAGACACGCTGTCGCCCGGCACAAGCGCCCTCAGCAGGCGCTGGTCATCCGAGTCCAGCAGGCCCCCTCCACAGTGCGGCTGGCCTGCGCATGCTCTCACCCTCTCATCACTCGCATATCCGCAACATACATGGCCTCTTTGCTAGCGTGACAAAAATGGGTCAAGGGAAGACAGACACGTGATCAAGGTCTCCAATGGCAGTGCATGCTCAAAGCGTGACATTGCGGAACAATTTGCCCGTTTCAGAACCGTTCTAGGGCTGCAGTACCTGCACATGACTGCAGATTCAGCATGCAGAAATTGATGAGCACTCCAAAAAAGGAGAGACAAGCTATGGGACGCACCGTCAAGCTGGCAGGGGGGTGGCGGCAGCAGGCCGCAGTAGGCTGCCTGCAGCGCGCGTTCGCGGTAGGCGCGCACTGTCTGCAGGCTGGCCAGCGCGCGCTCCCCCAGTGCCTGCCATGAATCATCGCAGCCCCTGCCCTCCCGCTTCTCGCACTCCACCCGCAGCGTCCCGAGCTGCGCCCACTCTCACTTTGTTGATACACTGAAGTCTGCTTTCAAAATAAATTTTGAAATTACATTCAAATCTCCTCCAGAGCGCAGCACACTGCAAGCCAAAGTTCTCCGCAAACCTCCCGCAAATTTCCTGGGTTTTAATGCACTGTATTGCGCTTGCATTTTTTGTAGCCACACATGGAGAGGGCGGTGATTTTGGGGAAGAGAGCAGTCTTTTGGGGAACTCACCCGAGCGATGGAGGAGTCGGCGTAGTCCAGGACAGTTCTGTGGGAGGCCAGGACAGCTTCTCTACCAGACTCCACTGCTTCCACAAGCTTGCCCAGCCTGACATGCAGCTCCTGCACCTCCCCGCCCTCTTCAACCTCCTGCAGAACATTAACTATGTAAAGCCATAAAGCACACCTTATCGAAAATGGGCACATTTGGTCTGCCTGATGAGGAAATCACACCACTCGATCTACCCTGAGAATGCTGCCAACTTTGTTGTAGACAGATAGAGGAGTGCTCGTGTGAAAGGCATGGGGAGGCGGCTTGCCAGCAGCTCTTGTGAGATGGCGTGGAGCTGCATTCGCGCGTGTAGCTGCGCGGCCTTCTGCCGCTCGTAGAGGTCCAGGTGCTGGTGCAGCAGGCGCGCAAACTCCAGGATGTCTGTGTGTGCGCGCTGCTGCATGACCGTCAGCGCCATGTGCAGCTCTGCCGCCTCAGACGGCTGCGCCAGGGTGATCAGCAGCTGCTGCAGGCGGCACTTGCCGTCCGCTGACGTGGCAGGCACGCAGTGACCTGCAGCAGCACATGTGCGTGAACTCTGTTGCGCCTATATTCGTTCAATTTGGTCTCCAGCAGCAGAAAAGGCAAGGTTCCCTGCTCGAAGGGGAGAAGGATTTATGTGGAGTAGTGAAGGCAGTACCAAGGATTGTGTCGGTGGCCATGAAGTTGACCTCCACGGCTGTGTTGCCCAAGACCCGAATGCTGGCGGTGTGTGGCATGCGCAACTCGCATGGCAGCGATTTGCCGGCTGCGCCCTTGCCGCTGGTTCTCCCTCTCAACAGGCCTGCAATCCATGGACTGCTGTCAGACAGACAGACAGTTGAGATTGAGGAGATGTAATTGTGTCACAGGTGTTCTTTCCAGGCAATACATTTTCTTATCTGCATGATTGTAACAAGACAGGGCTGGCATGCATGAGATCGGCAGTGCAGCATGGCCAGTTGAGATGCTCACGCTGCAAGGAGGATTCAGCTGTCTTTGATTTCCCTCCAGCAGAGCTCTGCAAGCTGAGAATGGCCAGGAGAGGTGAGAAGCTGCATTGCCCTGGCCCCTCCCACCCATCCTGCATGGACATGACACCACAAGTTGGCAGATCTTGGCTGAAGTCCAAGGAAGCATGCATGTTGCAGCAGAGTTGACGAGGATTCTAATTAGCACTCTTTGCTCGAGAATTCTGCAGATAATCCTCACCATGATGAGGTGACAAGGGCGTGGCTGCTCCAGGAAGCTACGCCATTGGACTTCTTTGTACAGCATCTGCCAGACGTCCGACTTGGGGGTCGCCATGTCCAGTGACCACTTTCCCTGGCTATTGCAAGCTAGCACGTCCGCATTGTACTCCAGTAATTCCTTTACAATAGCCCTGTAGCGCCAAATTATATTGATTTACTCGCATTCACGCCTCACCGATTGATGGATCACCCCATTGGCTTCCAACACTTCAGGCCCAAGGCAGATCACAACATCTTGATATATAATTTTGCATTCTCTTATCCTTCTGCTAAGTTCAATCTCTAGTATCAATACGATAAAATCCGATATAATTGAAATAAGTAAAAAGGAGTCAGGTCTGACAAATCAACAAGCCAGGTTCATGGCATCCTTGTTGCTTTAATGTAAACCTGGGTATGTTATTGGCGGCAAAGTAGCACGATCCCTGCCGCTCTGTTTTATTGTTTGCGAATTGCGATCTGTATCATCCGTTAAAGATTACAAGTTAGTGTGAACGCAAAAGAATTCAGCAAACGATCGCATTGGCGATCAGCTGAGAAAGATTGGCCGGTGGGGACTTGTTAGCGTAAAACACGTGAACAAACCGGGCAGATTTAAGGACAAAACTACGGTGGGAAGCAATCAATAGGCAATCAAGAAATTGAACCAAAGAATGGAGAAGATGGCGCGCGTAAGCTCTTCATGTGTAAATTGCGTCTTCCTGGGCAGGCCATGATCTGTACTACATCCACCATCTTCTTCCCCCCTATTTGTGATCTTCCATCCATAACTTTGCATCTCCCTCCCTCTCTGTCAATGTAGTAAGGTCCTTGGAAATTGAGGAGTGAGGCTCACTTGTGATTGTTGAGGACGGCAAGATGGAGGGGCCTGTTGCCCCGAAAGTCCTGCAAGTCTGAGACTGGGTTGTCCCTCATGAGCCTGCTGACGAGGTCAGAGTCGCCGAACTGAGCAGCCCAATGCAGAAGCCTCTTGCCTCCCTGCAGAGACATATTCAGCAAGGTCAAATGTGATTTAGAGCCAGCCATGCGCTCAAATCATCCTTGCTGAGTGCTGCAGAGACCTTCAAGCTAGGCTTGTGGATGAGAAATTCAGGGCAAGGTGATATAGATGGGTTTGAACTCACCGTGCTGCTGTTGTCCGGGCCCTTGTCATCCGACAGCTTGCCCAGCGCCTCGGTGATGTCATGCATGATGGCCAACTCTTCAAACTCTGCCGCATGGAGTGCTTGTAGCAAGTCCATGTGCCCACCCAGCTTGATGATCGCCGCCCTGCAGCCATGCTTGTTATTTCAGGTTCAGCATTTGATAATAACCTGCCAGACATAGGTAGTAATGGCAGCGACAAGGAGCTATCCTGACTTTCATACGGCATCTGCTCACCTGCTTGCCGTGTCCCACTCTGTAAACTCGCGCAGCACGGTGACAGCCAGATAGGCTACCCTGCAGTCCAGCGGCGCATGCTTGATGAGGTGGATGCAGGACTCCAGGCAGTGTGCTTGGCGTAGCATCGCCAGCTGGCGAGGCCCTGCCGATGCCAACTTGCGGACCACCTCCATCGCCTGACACCCACCATGACCTTTTCAGTTTTTCAGACAGCAGCCACCTGTGACATATCTACATCAGCAAGAAAAGAAGCATGCATCACTGAACTGTTGGTGCTTTCATAAGGCCAATATGGACCCCTTTATGGGAAGTGGTGCGGCACCTTGATGCTGGAGGGGCGCAGTGGCTCCCCGGTGACAATCTTGAGCAGCGGCTGGGGCGCGCCAGCCTGGCACAGCGCGAGGCAGCACGCGCACCCAACGCTGCGCTCATGTGGGCCATACTCCACCAGTGCAGCCGCCACATCCACCGCGCTACCCGCAGTCTGTGCAGCACACATCAATTAGTATTCCTTAGCCTACCATTGCATGATACAGGGCATGCATGGCAAATATCTGACTGGTGACCACAGGCACGGTGTGGCATGTCCCGATGCAGATGATATTTCAGGGTGGCTGCAGACCTTCTCATACGCCAGGAGACGTGCAATGCGAACAAGCACATCAAGCTTTGCCCCAGCAGCCTCCCTGCTCTGGCTGTCAGCAGCCACGATGACCCTCAAGGCAGCCAGGATTTGCCTCATCAGATCAACTGCCTCGTCAGTGTCAAGATCTGCGTCCTTGCTGTCTGGCAGCAGATCCGCCAAGGCAAGGATGCCATCAGCCTCCCTGCGCACAGTATTGCGGGCTCAGAATATGGTCCCTTTCAGCCTTGGAAAACCACATATTCAAGGGCGCAGATTTATTATAGTTCTGTAGCATCACATGAAGGCATCCCGAGACAGGATGGCTGACCTGAATCCATCATGCTGGCACCGGTGAAATTCCAACAGAGCTGTCAAGAAGCGAGCTGCCTGCAGCTTCACAGGCGCTGGCTGTGCACTGCTGGTCAGGAGACTGAGTGCATTGACAGCGCATTTCTTGGGTATTTGGGACAGTGTTGGCATAACACGACCATGGCCAAATGCACAGCAGTCTTCTGCACAGTCTCTGGACAACGCCTCAAGAGCTCTCAGCGCAAGGATGGAGGCCTCCACCTACACAATCGGACAAACAGGCTCTTGCGGTGTTTGACAATTGCACACATCACCCAGGAGCCTGTTGCGACTGGAAATGGAGAGTGCAAAGCTGAGACCTACCTGTAGTTTTCCTGATGCCACCCTTTCACACACAATCGTAAAAGCTTGCTGCTGCATTAGCATGTCCCGCCTGTTTTCATTACCACTGGAAGCCAATGCGTACAGCACTTCTGCTCCAAATGCCTGGGGCGCACTCCCTGCAGGCAAAACTCCTTCTGAATTTCTCTCCTGAAAAGCCCGCTGCGTGTTCTGAATGGAGTTGGCCTGCCTGTTGCGTTCGTGCATATCGCTGCTGTTACCTGCTGACTGAAGGGCAGCCAGGGCCGACTGCACCTCCCTTTCCACATCAGCGCAGAGTACAGCTGATGCGCCTTTCTGTTGCATGCTGAGAACTGTTGTTGACTTCTTCTGCAAGATTTCTGAGTCGCCCTTTCCCCCTTCTGGCCTGGCGCAGAGGGCATCTACCGTCTGCATTTCGACGTAAGGTATGCGATTGGCCCGTGCGGCACTGACCATGCCTTGGATACTGTCCCCAGCAGCCATACTGGCTTGCCAGTCTAGTAGTTCATGTTCCTTTTCTGCTGCACATACTCAGTACCTGCAAGTGTGCAACTACTTGAAGCTGGCGATCGCCTCACGAGTGAGGAACGACAGCGAAATGCACCTTTCATCAGCTATGAGTTTCTAGAGTTCATCCTCCTATTTAATCCTCGCATCTCTAATGAGCACCGATTTCTGCTGTTCCGGTACACAGATGTCCGGATAGCCGCACTAGTCCGAAAGTTCCGTAGCGATAACGCGGTCACGACAAAAAGATCCGAGCGCAAGGAAGAGGTAGTTCCTAGGCGTACTGGCCAGATGCTTTCAACGACACCAAAAGCACGATCGTCTGCCTTTCTGGCATCTCGTATCTGGCAGCTCCGGAAGCTCTCCGTTTGAACGCCCGCTGCCCGATTTGGCTCTTGCTGCCTCGTACTGGACAAGTTTGGAGACAAGGACACAAACTGCCCACAGTGGAGAAAATTCAATAGTTCTGGTATATATTCACTACTTTTGTGGGCTATAGCCAGCTTCACGAGCACTGAGCAGAAGCAAATTACCTTGGATACAACCCCAAGTGCTCTGCACCTTGTACTAGTAGGAAGGGGCTTCATTGGGAGAGCGATCCGTCAATGGTCAAGGTGAGATGAGAATCTATGGATCCAGACATTCCATTGTTGGATGAGGACGAGGGAGACGGAGGAGAAGCCCAAGGAAGCAGGAGTGATTCTGAGCAAGATAACGATGTCGACTTTGAGGTATACAATGTAAAAAATGGCAGATATTTTTAATGCTTACTAGAGACAGGTAGCCATTGTTTTCATGCAGTGCGTTGGCGACGTGCAATACATTCTCTCCACTGGTGGTGTATATCACCCTGGCTTTGTGTCTCCAGGGATTTGTCATGGATGATGATGGCCTGATAACCACAAAATACGACGTCGAACAAGGATTGGATCCCCAAAATATTCCCTGGGACAGGCTCCAGGTGTCTCGGCAGCGCTACAGGGTCAGTCACTGCCACCTTGAAGCTGAAGCTTCACCCCAGTGACATGTGGATACACAGGGCTCACATGATACTATTTGCATGTAGGAGACTCGATTGGAGCAGTATCACAATTACGTGAATCTGAGAGAGTCCGTGGACCAAAATCAGGAACGGCTCAATAAAGAGAAGACAGAGGTTGTCAAGGTGAGGCTTGCCAAAGGTGATACGAGCTTTGCCAAAAGGTGCCAACACAATACACTGCAACAGGGATGATGCCTCGAGTGTGTTCTGAAGGATGGGAACTTCTACGGATTTCACCAGAATCTTCAATCTGTGCGGTCAGACATCGCCCACTTTCAGGTGCCATTTATTCCCAGTCACCCGTGACAATTGCGCTAATCTTGCACAAGGAAGAAGGAAGGGCAACATAGTGTCAATTGTCTCATGTCAGGGAAGCACATAGTATCAATCAGGCAACGTCTCATCTGGTGGTGGGGACTGCAGTTGCGGCATTTGCTGTGGACCACTTCAAAGCACGATGTTTACACAACAAATGAGAACTGCATCAATCACTACAGCACAGTGGCCCGCCGGTCCACAAAGGTGCCCAGTCTGCCCAAGCGCCACCCTTCCTGGGTTTGTGTAGAAAAGCCTCTCCGTTGTCTTCATATTTAATGGCACGATTGATAGTATAAGTCGTCATGACAATGTAAATGTCAATGTCATGTCATCTTCAAGTCCGCCTGAGCACATGCATGTGTAGCCTTCTGGATAGACATATTGGAGTGAGAGCACTCAGAGCTCCGTGTGCTCTCAGGTGCTGGACTTGAGCGGAGCAAGCACGGACAGCAGGTCTTCAGGGTTGGGACGAGTGCAGATCAGCACATTCTGTGTGCGGCATGACCTCGTGGCAGCAGGCGGCTTTGCAGGGGAGCTGATTGTGGCAAACCTTAAGAAGAAAGGCCTGCAATGCAGGTGCCTGCCGAAACAACACCTGCACTAAACTCCCTTGCCATGAAAGGCAACGATCAGGATATGATCCCCTTGACTGGACACCTGCACTGGACAGATGATCGGGCTCTGATACCATGCAATTTGCTGCAGCAAGCGGGTGACCACAAGCGAAATGGGCATCACAAATGGCATTGACATCTTCCAGGGCCACTCTGGCGGCATCAGCATCATGACTGCCAACAATGACAATGTGGTTCGAATTTTTGACTCGGAGAAATTTGCACTGCAGAGGTGCGTGTCAACCTGTAATAGCCATGCAAGGAAGAGCCATGCTTGGTTCAGTGAAATCATCGTCAAGGAAGAAATCACCTGCTTATTTATTTGTGTGTCTTGGCATTGCAGCCAGCGCAAGTTTGAGTGGCCAGTGAATCTGGCGGTAGCAAATCCGTGCGAGGGCAGCTCTCTGGCAATCGTGGTGGGCGATGACCCGCATGCCCTTTTGTTGGACCTGCGGACCGAGGCGCCGGCCATGCGGCTGAAGGGGCACCTTGACTACTCGTTCGCAGCATCTTGGCACCCCAATGATGGCCACACTGTCGCGACTGGCAATCAGGCATGTCGCTGCCCCACACATCCCGTTTCTAGTTGCGCTGCTTGAAGCATTGTGATGCGGCTGCTCTCCAAGTCCACATGTAATTGTTGCACTGATGCAAGGGTCTGCAGATCTGGGCTGCCTCTGGCTGCTGTATACTCTGCTAAGAGCGCTGGTTGTGAGTGATGGGAAGAGTGGGCATGCTGCAGGACACGAGCACCAGGATCTGGGATCTGCGCAAGCCGAATGAGAGCAGGGCAATCTTGTGCGGCAATATGGGGGCTGTGCGCTCCCTCAGATACTCCCATGATGGCAGATTCCTGGCCGCCACTGAGCCAGCAGACTTTGTGCGGCTGTATGACGTCGAATCAGACTACACCAGGTACTCTACCCTCCAGGCACCTCAGCATTCGTCCAAGCTGCAAAAGAACTGGCAAGTTGTGTGACAAGTTCAAGGCAAGTCACAGAAGTAGCAAATGGTACCAGCATGTATGATAGAAGATGACGATGTGGAGTGCCGTTCAACTGAACAGGTGCCAGGAGATTGACCTGTTTGGGGAGATTGGCGGCTGCTCCTTCACCCCTGATGGTTACGCGTTCTTCCTGTGTGTGGCGGATGTGGTCTACAGCTCACTCATGGAGTTCACCACATCAAGTGTCAAGCGGACATCTTCCCAAAAAGTGCAGCAAGCAAGCATACGCGAGCCCACACCCTAATCCGCCGTTTGTCTGTGGCGCACATGCTGGACGTGCTGGCCCAAGGCTATGAATGGATCTGCTTCTGGAGGCTTCCTGTACTATAGAACAACAGTGTCAAAATAAGTTAAAAACATAAGTGTTTCAAGCCTGCCATTTGCAGGATGAGCGCGTGCTGTGTGCATCCATTTTGCAGTGACTAGTTTTGTATAGTGAGCATAATTTGGACAGGCATGTGCGCAGCTTGTATGACTCGTATAAAGTATGACAGAGCGTGCTTGCAGGCGCTGCCGGCATTAGTGCACAGCGCCGTGCTATAGCGCATGTCAAGAACTCAAGTATCACCGTAGTGTACATGTGCCGCCTCACATATGAATACCAAACTGCACCGTGCACCGTAAGTGACTCTAGTAATTCCTTGGGGGTGCAGTGGGAATAGAGTTGTTCTCGGACGTGTAAATATACACTGTATGTTGTTGTTGCAAACCAGAATGTTTGCCGACAAGCAATGCTTTGCAAGAAGCGTTCTTGAAGAAGGATGTGTATTGTGCCTTATAAGGCGACAGGTCACCTGTTGACCGGGAAGTATCATGTAATCGATACGTATGTATACATGCCGTTGCTTCTTATGTGATATTACAATGTCAACAGTCTGGCAATTCTCCATGCAATGCCGTGCATCTACCAGTGGTGTCAACCCCAAGATTTTAAACCAAAAAATGCATGCAATTCAACAATGACAAAAGACCTTCAATCATGCCGATACACCTTCAGGAGCGGCGATTGCTTCCGTTGTCTCCATCTAGGCACAGCAATGATGCCCAGCACAAGCAAGAAAAGCAAAGCTTGACCACGACGCGATGTGATCAGCCAGCTTCCCAGGCTCTGCCGTGAAGGCACAGACATGCCCATCTCCACCTTGTCTCCCTCTGCTTCCTGCCGTCAAGATACCTGGTATCAGCACGCAAGCGCAAGACTGGTACAGGGCATAAGGACAATATTGCAAGCACATCAAATATCTCGCACCTGCTGGGAAGCAGCACCATCAGTCTGCAGCAGGTTGGTTCTTGCTGCAGGTGCTCTCTTTGGTTGCCACTCCCTACCCTCCGCCAGAGCTTCCAAACATTTCGCCACCTGTCCATTCCACGCAAGCTCAGCAACACGACTCTGCATCCAATTGCCATCCTCTACCACAGCATCATTCATGCCCCTCATTCATGCTTGCCTTTCTTCATCCATGCTCACAAATGATGGAATCTTGCCTTTCTTGGCTTTTGCGGACGGCGCACCTCGCTCAAGGAGTAGGTGGGGTTGCCAGTGCACAGCCTGTCCATCTTCTGCAGCCGCTGCTCCTCCCGCACCTTGGCCATGTCAGCCAGGAACTTCTGATAGCCTTTCAGCGGAGCCGCCCCCTGCGCACCAGCCCTCTGTCAACACCTGCAGACCGCTCTTTCTTGATTTTTATGCTCCATCATAAGAGTCCTATATCTGAACTTGATGAGTCCAGGTCATTTGATCAGAAGAAATTCGCATGGACCTAGACAGCTGCATCATCCTGGCAGTGCAGCAGCTCCTTGTTTATTCACCTTCCCTATTCGTTTCGGAACCTGGCCGGTCCCCCCGCTGGTGACCACCGCGGGGGGCCACTCGGCAGCCTTGCCAGCGCCCTGCGTCTGCAGCTGCGCAGACTCCGCGTCGCGCGCAGCCTGCTTCACCACCTCCGCCGTCTCCGGCCGCTGCAGCTGCGCCGATTCCTCATCCACCCTCACCTGCTGCGCCGCCTCTGCCACTTGCGGCAGCTGCAGCGCAGCCGACTCGGCATCAACCTCCGTCTGCTCCACGCTCACGCCACCGCCCCCTTCAGACCCCGCCACCCCTCCTGCACCACCTGTGCCTGGATCCGCACCGCCCGTCTTGCCGCTCGGTGACTGGACAGCTGGCTTCCCAGCTGACATAGCACCTGTTTTGACTGCGGTAATAGAATCTGGCCGGGCCGGGCCTCCACTACCAAGCTGCTTTGGCATCTGCAACGCAGCATTCTCCGCTTCCGCGTCTGCTTGCTGGGTGCTGCGCGATGCCTGGCGCTCGGTTGCAGGCGCCGCCTCATCCTCTTCCTGCTTCTCCAGAGCGCCCAGTCCAACTGCTTTTCGTTCCTGCACCATGGGTAGGAAAGCAATAGAGCACATGGTATATATTGTAGGGCAGGATAAGCAGGTTGAGTATAGGAAGACAATTGTGGGGCGTTACTGACCAATGCCCCACCTTTGGGGCACCAGGGGGGCATAGGCCGCACGCTGCCTTGCATGCACGCAGCATGAAATTGGGGTTGAGGCCGCATTCGCCTTTGCTGGCCCACTCTGTGCATCTAGCCTGTAGTCGTGCAGGAATGCATCACGAAGATTGCTCTGACAAAAGTGCAGGTGTTCTGATTGCATGGCAGAATCTGGGAGAGCGACAGAGCAAATAATTACCTCCGAGTCCTGACAATCGGCTTCTGTAGCTGAATCTTTCAGCTTCTGGCGAGCTTCCAGGACAGCCTTAAACAGCTTGGTCGCCTGCAACAGCAAGCCCAAATTAGCACTCTCTAGATCAGCTGCAAGTGCATCAAAGCAGAGCATGACCAGCAGTCTGCAAACGCTTACCTTGGCACAGCTGGTTTCAAGTTCGGTAGAAGGTGGACACAGCCTTCTATAGTTGGCACACAGGGCCTCATTGAGTGTGGCAGCGACTTGCACACTGAGAAGATCCCTCAGCAGAGCCTCTCCCTGTAAAATACATTCATAATGATGCCCTGCCGAGGATAGAGAACAAATGTCCAAAGCTCTGAGGGACTTCTTGCAGCTCCTTGCAGCAAATTTGGGCGTCACCTGTGAGGTCAGGGTTGATGGGTGTGGTGGGAAGGGAAATAACCCCTTCTTAGGCAATGTGCCAGCAGCAACTTCCTCCCATGGCGGGCATTGGAGTGCATCAAAATTTGCATACCAATGCTTGTCAAACCTGTACCCTGCCTCCTTGATCTCGTACAGCAACCCATAGTGCAGTACGTTGGGCACATCTGCCGAGATGCACACATTTTACATCAACAGCAATGCAGTAGCGATGCAGCAGCGGTATCAAGTAGGTGAAAATCCTTCCTCCTGCTTGCAGAGTTCATTGATCAGAAAACTCAAAGAAGAGGGAAACTAATCACTAATGCGCACCTGCAAGAGTGTACGGCATGTAACTGGGGTACAGCATTGCTGTGTAATCAGTCTTGTGCCAGACATTGGCTGCTGCAGCGCCAAATGAGTAGCCATACATTTCCGCTATCCACGGCTTTTCCCCAGGGTGCTTGGTGTACGCATCGCCCGAGGTGTTCCACGCCTGTGCACCAGATCTTGATGTCACTTGGCAATGATAATATATTATGGCTCTGCATGTCCTGTGGATTTGCATTCCGGCAATGCTTGGTGCAATGAACTGAGCAGGTGTCGAATGTTTATTAGCATAGCCTTAATGCTTGCACTCCTGGAGCACACCTCAGGGTCTGCTCTGACATCCTCTGTGTATTTTATCCACAGTGGCAGGACCTTCCTGAGGTCCTCCGTCCTCATCATTGTGAAGCCTCCAACCTGTGAACATTGCAGAGAGCAGTGAGCTCTGTGACTGGCAAAGAGATGAGTACAGCAAGGATGACAGGAATTGGCAGAAGAATTGCACACCTGATCACCACGCCTTCCGAGAGGGCCGGCCAGAGTGTCGTTTCGAGGAAGAACATGAGGAACATGTTTCAAGGCAAGATCGTTGCTGACACCTTGGAGGTATCCATAGAATGCAGAAACAGCCCATCCTGCAATTTTCCACCACATACTTTCATATCCGCTATTGCCTTTTGAGCTCGATGGAGGGTATGCTTTGGGAAGCTGACTGATGCTGCATATTTCAGTGGGGCAGTCTTCACCTGGGGCGACGCCCATCTTGACAGGATCAAATGGCTTCAGCATTATCATGTCTGCATCCAGGATGAGGATGTAATCTTCCTGGGGGTTGGTTTTTGACATCCAGTCTTGCACAGCCACCGGCTTATTAATTCCGCTGCAGGATGACATGCAGCAGTTTGACACTTCATCGTGGCAGTTTGACACTTCATCGTGGCATAGAGCAACTTGCAATCAGCATGAACATGCCTTTTAGTGTCCCAGACAATTTTATGTCAATTCTTGCCTGTACATGTCACCGGTCCGAGGGTGCTTTGTCCAAGAAGGAGCAATATGCGTGGGCATGACCCCATCATCTTGCCAGTCCTTCAAGCTCCCTCCATCACAACTCATAAGACGTGTGACATTGCCTTTTTGGCCTGACAAACTGTAACTCGACATGAATCCTGCGCGCATCAGAGCAGGGATGCCAGTGTGATCTGGAGCATTGCATCACAAGTGTGCGCCGCATTACTCCTGAAATCACGTGTAGGAACTATGCTTACCGAGTGACTGCCATGTGAAATATGGGCCGCACTCTGTTGTGAATACAGTATGGATGTTTGCTTGAACTGGCCCGGAGACAGCAAGGACAGACAACAAAGCTACTGATATGCAGACTGAAACAGAAAAGAAGGACCACGTCTGAGACTTCAATTTAGAGCAATTCATTGCCTGGAAGTGCTTCCCTTCCGCCCAAGACTCCGTCATCAGGACTCATGACTTCACATCGAACTGCACAGCTTAATAATTTCGATTGTTATTCAGAACAACAATACAGCTTATATGTCCAGTCCTAGGATTGCTTTTGTGCACTCATCGAAGCTCCTCGATCAACACTTAATGCCTGATCATAGCGTACACACATACACCTGGCATACACCTTGATTTCTAAACCCTAGGCCTACCATGTTACACTAGGCAGGGTTGATGACTTATGCCTCGAATTCCTCTTCTTGCCAAAATACGATTAACACCAAAATTTATCTGTCTTCTTATGTAAGATTGTCGACCACTTGCATCACTTGTATCTCTATGTGCCGTCCAGAGCCTCCAAAAATTTCGTAAGCGCGGCACCTAGATTTGCTTGATTTCGTGCTCCAGGCCAGACGGTATGGCCCAACCGGGCGATGCTGCGCTGCAAAAGCAGGTTGAAAGCCTAAGGGAAGAGGTAAATGGCTCCGTCTTTCTTCCCAGACCTCTTGTGCATAAAGCATGTAGCACGTCTGCATTGAGAACTGAGATAAATCTGGAAGAACTGTACGATCCGTGCATTTACGATGGCAAATCTGTGTTGACGACAGCTCGACCAGGAACGCAGGCGAAGCACTTCTTTGACGCAGGCTCTGCAGCGCGTGAAAGAACAGCATTTTACCATGCAGCAGCAGGTACCTCTCGAAGTTCAGCCAGCCATTGGCGTCTGAAGTGCCACAATGAATAGATAGGCGCAGCATTCCTTCATGAATCTGCCTGCGTGAATGGTGACGAAAATTGACAGGATCCTGGATCAATATGCATCAGAGAAGCACAGAGATGGCACTAACACTCGTCCACTTTGATTCGAAGGTGGAACAGGAGGAGGAGTACATAGCAAACAGGCTTCTGAAGAGACTCGATTCCTTGAAGAGGGAGAAGCAGGTTTGTGTCAGACTAACAATGCAAAGACATCCAGTGGCTTTACCTTCACCTACCGTGCGACTGTCCTTCTCCAATCTCCTGTGCATCATGGAGGTTGTATCTGGTTTGTGGCTGGTCCGGCAGGTGCTTGCAACGGAGGTGGAGCAGGAGGAAGAGTACCTTGTGAACAATCTGCAGAAACGAATGGGGAAGTTGAACTTGGAGAAGACAGAGCTCGAGAAAGAGCTGGAGAAGTTGCATCGCAAGGTGCTTCGCTTCTCAGCAACTTAAAATGCCGACACTAGTGGGCAATCCTGTTCCAGATTGTTGCTCCGAGCGTCCTCATTTATAGGTCAGTCTGGCACTACTAATGTATGGCATGTGGGCAGTGTGAGGAGTTGCGGCTGGAGCAATGCAAGATGAGCCGGGAGAAGGAGATGATCGAGAACCAACTGGAGGCAGAGCAGGAGTACATCGTCAACAAGCTTCAGAAACAGGCAATGGGCCTTGCAGCCGAAAAGCAGGCGCTGCAGCTGGAAAAGACAGACCTCAAGCGCCAGGTCCTGCATCCCCTCCTCACAGCCTCAACAATGTGGCATGTTCAGAATTCACATCCCATAATAGCACCCTGCTGTCACCCCGTGTTGACAGTCCAACCACCGGCACACTTGAAGGTTAAGTACTCAGCAAAGGTGAACTAATGGTGCCCAGGTGGGCGAGCTGATGGAGGCGGTGCAGAAGCTGAACAACGAGAAGGTGCTGCTGGAGCAGAGCATGGAGATGGAGGAGGAGGGCATCGTGAACCGGCTGCAGCGCGTCATCGAGACGGTGCTCGCGCGCAACAAGGCGGTCGAGGCCTGCCTCGAGGCGCACGGCCTCAGCGTCAAGGACCTCAACCCGCCCCAAGTAGATGTCTCCACCGAGTGGGCCTACTCAAGATCTCCTACGCGCTCCGACGCCCAGGCCCGCCTCAACAGCGGTGCGCAGCAACTCCTGGCAACCGTGCCCTACTCAGGATTTGAGCTGCCTTCGCATGCAGTCGGCATAACGCCTGCTGGCCAAGCATTGTTTGTGGCGTTTGCAAGTGTAGGGGCCTTCATTGCCGAAGACACACTATTGCAACTGGTTGCAGGGGTGGATTCTTTTGTGTGGTGCAGCATACTGTCTTACCAGAACCTGAATTGTTTTGGCGCGGTGCAGGAGAGCTGTGGTCGGCAGGCAGCGGCAGATCAGACATGTCCACCAATGACATGCGCGCTGCACGTGCATAGGTGCTAGCTTACACTCTTTTTGTACAGTAGACAAAGAGAATTCCCTCGGTAATTTGCAGATAATATGCAGATGTCTGCTGATCCGCTAGAGATAGGATAGGACCCAGGCGTAAGCGTTGATTGAAATGTGCCTAAGCACATCTTGCATTGTGTAAGAAAGGAAAAATGGTCTTTTTTGTGCGTGTGTTCCTGTTGATGGCCCGAATCTGGGGCGGTACTCTGGAATTGACAGTGTGCAGGGTATCCTGTACTCATGAGCTGCATTTTGAGAGTCTTCTTCACTTTTGGGGTTGTTGTTGCCAGAGCCTCTTCCCTAAGTCGTATTAGGCTTCGAGGAAAATATCTGAATCTGGGCAGTTCGAACTGCCCAGAATTCCTTTTTGCGGTATGTCGCTCTTCAGTCGCTAGCGCTGTATTTCAAAAATTTGTCAATGCATACTTGTGTTGCATTAGCTTGCTGTCTGCCCCTCACTACATATGTGGGACAACGCTGTAAATATATTTTCTTTAGATAAATGCTGGTACCTGTCAACATCTGAGATAGATCCAAACAGATTAGTAATGCTGCAGGCAAGAAATACAGATTGCACACGCTTTTCACCCTTGCTCAGGGTCCCATACCCTGGCATAGGGTCGGTGTGATAGCCAGAGGACAAGCCGATCACCGTCAGAGCCACCAGCAGAAGGCTTTGCTGACTTCAAAGAGTGTGAAAATAAAATCGAAGCTTGACGGTACAGAGTCTTTGCAAGATTACAGATCCACCATCCGCGAGGTTGTGACGCAATACAAGGCGTGCAAACAAGAATCAGAGCTCTTCTGAAGCAAGCAGGAATATCTTCGCCACAGCAGCCGAAAGTTTATCAGCTTATTATCACAGGCTATAAACCACATCTGCGTCTGCCAGCACTTGTTGGGGTCCAGGTGTGATATCTTTGGGACATCCCTCCTGAGTATCTTCGTTCGTATGTATCGCCATCTGCTCTTTGTCCAGCATGCAGTAAGGGTCCAAACGGCTCTTTCTTATCAAGAGTTGATGTGTCTGATGTTCGACTCTGCGCAGGAGATTTTGCCATAGAGATTATCATGATGGCGGCAGCCACGAGTGGCAATTGGCCGATACAATGGACTATGACGACGATGACTTGGGTCCTGTGGGATGGGTTTAGAGGAAATGATGGCCACCAAGTCAAAAGAAGAGGCGGAAGCCGCTAAGAAAGCTGTCAAGGAGCCAGTGGAGGACAGGAAGGTGGAGCCTGAAACGGTGTTGGACATCATGATCTTCTTTGAACAGGCGGAGAGGCAAGCAAGAGAGACGGCGAGGATGAAGGAGGATGTGGACGCCCTGCTGGAGCTGGTGGTGGGGGGAAACCTGGGCATTGAAGAAGAGCCCACCAAGCCGGCCAATCTCCCAGGGTAAGCTCCCATCAAGCCCATGCTCTGCTGTACTCAGCCAAGTAATATTTTATGCTCGGGTGCAATGCAGGATCAGGCTCTTCTAGATCTGAACAATTGTCCTGCCTCACTCAATCTGGATAAAATCAGAACCCTTATTGCTCCCACTGTCAATGCAACCCAGTGCGGAATAGCACATTTAATCACCGCTCTTGGAAGCCTTCGTTAGGCACCATGCAAGTTGCATGTGATGACGGCAGGAATTCACGGTCATGTGGCTGACCCTGTGTTGAATGTTGTGGCAGGGACAAGAGCGACGAATACTGTGCCAGCCTTGTGGATGTGCTGAGCCAGCCACCCTCCACAGACAGCAGCCCACCGTCTTCTGGAGACTGCAGCCCGCCCACCCCGGCCCACTCAACCCCAGAGAAAACACTCGACCTGCTGACAGCCGTCAAGGCAGCGGTGCACGCACACAGAGAGCAGCACTGTGTCACATCAGCCGGTGACAGCACAGCTTCTGCCAGCTGCCATGGCAGCAGGAGCCGGTCAAGGGGCTGCAGCCTCCAAGTATCTCTTGCAGGCTCGCAGCCCAGCGGCCAGCGGCAGTCAGGGGACCTTCCCATTGGCCCACAGAGTGCCAGCCCAGATGCAGCAGAGCTCTGCAGGTCATTGCGGCGGGCACAAGCTGCCCTGCTGGCCACTGCCTGGAGTGGCTCTGCGCGCCTGCCAGCAGAGCTCAGACAGCACTCCAATGTCCATGCTAGAGTGAGCCACAGCACATGCTGCATGCCCAGCAACGCAGCTGCTGTCGCAGCTGCAGCCCAGCAGCGCGGCACTCAATGCCAGAAGGTTGCTCCAGAGCCGGTCTGCCAGTCAATATCAGTGCAGGCTGCGGCCGGCGGCGCTGCCAGAGCAGCCATGCAGAGCAGGGCAGCTTTTGCCAGCAGGCGGGTGGCCCCATCGGATGCCTGCCCACAGCCCATGAAGAAGAAGACCCTGCTGCAGAAGATCGGAGGCTGTTGACAAGGCATTTGTGTACTCTCTCTGCATCTACCCGAGGCAGTGGGATGGGAGCGTGGACTGCTACTCCGGGGCAGTGAATACTACTGCCACACCAAGCAGAACGATGATGTCTTGAGCAAAACGTTCTGCATCGCCTCATGAACAAAATCAGGACTAAATAGCGTTGTGAACAATGAATGTTGTGGCATGTTGCTTGATGAGGGACATCAGTGCCAGAGAAGGTGTTGGGAACTGGCTGGCAATCAAGTTGACATAACATCATGTTGGCAATGTTGCTGTCGAGAGACCGGGCAGTGTTGTGCCACATGGGCGGGCAGCCACCTTTTCACATTTCATTGGTCAGAACACAGAGAATAGAACAGTGTCACTTAAAGACAGAAGAGCATGGACAAGGTCTGTGTCACTCCCACAGAATGGGCATTTGCTGCCCAGAGATTAAGATAGCGAATTCGGCATGCCCAGAGTTTCCTGCAAAGTATGTGGCGTGTAGCTTCATTCCCCATGCAGGAGGCTGGAATATCAAGGTGTTTCAGAGTGCCTGTGTACTCATTTAGGGTACACTAGAGCATGTTGCGTTCCGGGACTATTTGTACATCCAAACCATGTCAGCCAAAATCGCAAGCAGAGCTTGAGGGTGCTATTGGAGTTGTGCTCATTCACGAAGAAGGTGGACTGCCAATCATTGAAGTGACATTGGCATGGAAATTCCATACAGGTAACACACAAATATGTTTCAAAAAGGTTGTTGTAGAAATTCAGATCTGCAGTTTTTAGAATCCTGTCAAAGAACGGACATAGCGATCATGAGAATTCAACTTGTAAGTCGCCAGCCAGGAGGTAATACAGAAAGCCTGGCGTTGCTTGGCGTGAATTCAGCAATATGCTCAACATAGTCACTGGCATGGCATGCACAGCAGCTCGACAGCTGCAAGATGTCAGCCAGATTATGATATGAGTCCAGGCTAGATAAAGTCCCCATATGGATGTCGCTATACATTCATGATAGTGCCATGTGGGCACAGGCTTGCCATGGGACTTGGCAGACTTCAAAGTGTCCCAAAACTGCTCCAGCTCACAGCCCAATTTTGATCCCTTCACAGTGATCTCTCAACAAGCACACTGACACATCATACAGACACCTCTCGTATCCGTCAATACTCCAGGTGAGCCTCAAGTGGCCTTCTTCTTCTCAGTGGTGAGACCCACTGCTTCCCCCGCTGTCTGCAGCAGACTCTTGTCCCCATTGGCTGCCTTCAGGGCGTTCTCTGCATCAATCTGTTCCTGACTATCCTCCGAGTAATCAAACACCTGCAAACATATATTTTGTCTAAGCATCAGACAAAGACCTTAGAATATAAATGCTGACACAACAAAAGTTACTGTCGGAGCTCGCCTGCTTGAACTCGCCCACGAAGAGAGCATGCAGGCTGACTGCGCCCAGCACTGCCGGAACAATGTACAGCAGGGCTGGCTGAGCAGCCTCAAACACATTCATCACGATGATGGTGGTTGCCAGACCACCCACATAGCCAGCAAATCCACTGCGCCACACAGCATGTCAGAAGGGTGGAGTCCTGTACAAAAGCCCGAAAGAATGGACTCCTGTTCAAGGGTATTTTACGACATGAAGAGTGATACTGACAGTAGGATCTGGAGCTCTAGGACACTCGCAATATTGGTGTGGGTGGAGATACCTGTAAAAGAACTTGCTCCTGAAATTCTGCTTGGCATCATATCTCAGCACGATGGCCACAAAGATGCCTGGGATCACAATGTCTCCCAGCCCCAGCATGGAGAAGGGTGCCTTGGCCTCTGCCAGATCCAATACCCTTGGGAACAGCAGTTTGATGGGTGCGTCAAAGGATTTTGCCACTGTGACCTGCAGTTAAACATGGAAACCAAGTTTTTAGCAAAAGTCAGCCACTCCTTTAATCCTGTCTCCTCCTAGATATTCAATCTCACTGATTTTAGTGATCATGCTGGAAACCCGCAGGAAACCACATTGGCCCCACCATGACAGGGGTGCAGAAGACCCAGAAGATGTCATAGAAGAACAGTCCAGACAGGAGAATGGCTCCTGTCTGAATGGACCCCAAGGACAGATGCTCAATCCCCTCCACAGAAAAACAGATCCCCAGCACATTGTTGGCCAGCCAGTGCTTCTTGGCGTAGTACCAGCAGCAAAACGCCAGACTGAGCAGCCCTCCAATCAGTTCCGGCAATGTCGCAGAGAGGTCAATTGGATCCTGCACATGGCATCACGTTGAGCTCGACGTCAACATCATTGTTGCGGAAAGATAAGCATCCAGAGATCCATGCAGATCTTCATGCGCACAGACAGGCGGCAACAGAGCAGCGCACCTTACAGAAGTAAGGTATGCTGAATTTCTTCAGTTCACAGGATTTTGTTCTAAGTTTCCGCGGCAAGATGGCCTCAACGAGCGGCAGTGTTGCTGCAGTGATGGCGAAAGTGCCCAGCAGAACGAAGTAGGCGGTGAGCACTGCGTTGACAAGGTCCTTTGGCAGGAACTTGAAAAGGCAGAAGAGCCCAACGAGCACTGCACTTCCTATGAGGGGGAATTTGAGGGCATCCTGCACAAGGACAGCAGCACACATGAATCAATTATTGCCTACAGACACTTAATTGCCCAGCCCCCCAATAGTGATACCCTCGAGGCTGCTGCAAATTGAGCATTCGGTTACTTTCTGGAATGCTCATGCCAATGTACATGTTAATCATATGCTTCATCGAAGAAGAAAGGCAATCATGCAAGGGCAAAATAGCCAGAAGAAGGACTTGCCTTCCTGGTCATACTCTCAGCAGGAGGAGTCCCCTTCACAGAACGCAAGGATCCCACCAGGACACATAGAGAAGCTGTCGCTACTATATTGAGATTCGCAGGTACAGGCACGATGAGCGGCAGAAAAGTGATGGTGAACAGTGCCAGCTGGGCGATGAGAGCTGCTGCTCCAACACCGTGTGCAGTCCTTGGGCCTGGTGGAGCTTCTTTGACAGATTCGGTGCTCGACATCTTCCAAGATTGTTCGAATACAGATCAACAGCGTCTGGTGACTTCCTTGAAGGACTCTAAACAAAGATGGAACCTGCGACAGCTACTCATACGTGGGACGGGACGGGAATCATGCTAGAAATTGACGGACTTGACATAAGCACACAAAATCCCTTCTCAGTCACAGAGTGTCTGGAAATCACGAGGCGATGATCGCGCCCAAAAAGAAGACGCCCCGGGTCTTTAGGGTTACCCCAAGTCCCTTTTGCTCAATGACCCAAGGGAGATGAATTTTCTGGAGGGCTGAGGAATGTTGCTCGATTCCAGTTTGGTAAAATTTGTTGCTTTTTATTCGTAGCAGTCATTCTGAGTGACACAGGCTCCACCACATGCAGAGAAGTGCACAGGCGTGCAAATTGGCGCAGCGTTCACTGGCACAAATTCATGCATGGCTCCATATGGTGAGGCCCTGCCAGTGCCACACACATCAGTGACTGATCAGTGACGGTCATGATCATCATCACGATGATGGTGCATGCTAAATTGAGATTATGAGTTCCAGTCCTGGAACGAGAATCTCTCAATGTTACAAAGTCTGAACATGCCACATCTGTTGCAGGTGAAGTGGCATGCCATGTGCCAACAGTGTTCACCACAGCATCATGATACCGCAGCAACAAACAAAGCCCCCAGGGCCACACTATTACAAAGTAGCAAAATCTGGCCAGCATGGCCCAAAAGGCAGATCACTGATCTTAGATCAGAGGCACATATATTGCACAATGAATCTCTGCATGGACGAAACGGGAGAGTCACAAACGGAGTCAAGCCAAGAGACACTCAAACAAATAGGACGACGTAGTTTCTCAGGGCAAAGCCCAGGCAAGCGCCGCGTGAAGCAGGATGCCCAGGATTGCCGTCATCTGACAGCACATCAGGCTGTGTTCATGTAGGTGGATGTGTCAATCTGGTCTGGCAGGGGCTTGATGTCCACATCAAAGCGCTCCTGGACCTGATTGAGCACGGCTGAGTCCTGCTCTGAGGCCACAAATGTGATGGCCAGGCCCTTGGTGCCGAAGCGACCAGCGCGCCCCACCTGCACCAGTAAATAAAGCTCAGTAATATGCACGTCTTGTTATGAGAGGCCATGAGAGGCGAGCGAAACATGCCAAGGACTAGTAGCAGCGCCATGGACAGGACATACCCTGTGCAGGTAGGTGTCGGCGCCATTGCCGTGCCGCTCATCGGTCTCGGGCATGTCATAGTTGATGACAATGTTGACGCGCTCAATGTCGATGCCACGCCCCACCAGGTCTGTGGCCACGAGGATGCGCTTCTGGCCCTCCTTGAAGGCCTTGTATACCTTCAGCCTGTCATTGGGCAACTCTTCATTCAGTGCACTGACAGGAGAGGCACTTCAGCAACCGCATGACAGAACTGAAACGATTCAAGGGCCACATGATGACTGCTTGCAATACTGACTAGATTCATTGAGTAGGTGCATACCTCTCCTCCTGCTTTTGAGCGCTGTGGATGCAGATGGAGGGGAAGTTGCACTCCACCAGCAGCTTGTTCAGCTCCTTGGCGCGCATCACCGACTTCACGAAGATGACCACCTGCGTGCACACATCTCATGAACACCTCACAACCAAGTTCACATGACATGGTCAGCAACTCGCGCAAATGTCTTCAAATGGCCTCACCTGGTTGAAGTCCAGGGCATCGAGGAGGTCGTTGAGCTTGCGGTTCTTCTCCTCCTCGTTCAGCATGATATAGTGCTGGACCAGTCCGTGCAGCGTCAGCTTGGCCTCATCGTCAACGTAAATCTCCATGGGCTGCGAAGAGAAAAGTGCCCGGCACAATTTAGACAACAGCAGCCCTGCTACACCTCATAAGTGTGCCCAATCATGCCAGAGCCAGTCAATATGCCTCTGCCACGCAAGACACAATGCAGGACAACACATGTGCTGGTCCTAGCGACAACATGGCAGGATCAGACATGTATACGGAGCAGGACAAGCGCAAACGATGCATCAGCTTGCCAAAGATGGGCAGGGGCACTTGTGGCTTGCGCCGGCAGAGCGGCCCCTTCAGCGAACAGCCTTGCAGCCTCTGCGCTATCGACCAGCCGGGGGCCGGCCACTCCACCTTTCCGGCTTCACCACCACCGCAATTCTACTGCCACTACGTCCCACCCTTGTTGCTGACATATGGATTCTACTTCCAATTGTTCATGTCTGCTCTTGAGACTGATGACAGCTGCCGAGACTGCTGGTAAGGACGATTCCATACACGGCAAGATGCTGCAAGCTGGTCTGCCACTTCTCACTCAATCAAATCTGCATCATGTGCTGATGGCTGCTGGAGTGCTGAGTCCTTCTCAATGAACTGCCACGACTGGTAGTGAGCAATGCAGGACGAGCGCCTCTGCATCGCCTGGCTGAGCGGGGAGCCGGCCAAGAGGGGGACATACGTCGGACATGAACTTCTTGATGATAGGCCGGATCTCCGCAGACAGCGTGGCCGAGAACATCATGACTTGCTTGTCGTGCGGCGTCTGCTTGAAAATGTCCTGGACGTCCCCGCGCATGTCTGCAGTGCACACAACCTCCCTTCAATGAACACTTCCCTTCATTTGTAATAAATTCCAGTCACCACCGCTGCATCCCAGTTGTGAGAGGTTTGCAAGATATCAGACCAGACTGGGAGATCAGATCTTGCGTGCCTCACCTACGTTCTCCAGCACCTTGTCACACTCGTCGATGATGAAGTGGCGGATGGTCTTCAGGTTGAGCCCTGACCGCGAGAGCTGCACAGCATGCATGAAACATGGCTCAGTGCACTGGCACTTCCAACAATTCTGCCTTGCTTCACCAGGCAACAAACACCCAATAAATCCCAAAGGAGAAAACCAACTCGAAAAAAAAGACTACAAAAATGGTTTATGCCATGAGAACGCTTGCCTGCTTGAGACGTCCTGGAGTTCCCACGACTGCGTGAGGTGTGTTTGTCTTGAGCTGCTCGATTTGCTGTTTAATCGGGAAGCCGCCAAAGAAGTTCGCCACTCTCACGTTCGGCATGTACGTGCTGAACCGCTCGAACTCGTGGCAGATCTGCACAGCGGCACCAAACCAGTTGGGGCGGGATCAGCACCATAGCCGTGGTAGCACCCGGAAGCGGAGTCGTGCCAACATACCTGGTAGGCCAGCTCGCGAGTATGGCAGATGATCAGAGCTGCAACTTCGTTCTCCACGGGCTCCAACTGCTGCAGGACTGACAGCACGAAGACAGCGGTCTTGCCCATACCAGACTTTGCCTGGCAGATGACATCCATACCCAGGATGGCCTGGGGTATGCACTCGTGTTGCACTGCATGCACGAAACTAAGTCAGATCTGTTTATGGTGGTGAAATCCACCAACCGACAGGCAAAGACGCATGTTGCAAAAAGCGAATTACAGATATTCTTTGTGATTGCACCCACCTTCTGAAGGGTGCTCGAAGCCACAGTCCACGATTGCTCGTAGTAGTTCAGGTTTCAACAGAAAATCCTTGAAACCAGTGGAGTGGATGCCCACGTAGCCCTTCTTCGCCAAAGTCTCTGTGCCCTTGGCCTGGTTGGCTTCTTCGGGCTGATCTTCCTCATAGTCAACGAGCTCGTCCTCTTCCGGAGCCGCAGCGCCATTGATTGTGTCTGTCATCTTGACTGTAACACGGGATGCGCTTGACGTCGTCGGTTTGGTGCGGTTTGTTGTCTTCTGGCTCGCTTTGGGCGGCCTTCTCGAGTCAAAGGTTACGTTAGCGTGAGGGAACGCCTCGGTACAAGATGTTCAACAATCTGGGAACATGCACGCAGATCTGCAAAGTCCGAGAACCATTTTCTGCGCATTTTTTATTTTCTAAGTGGGATGCAGCACACAGCTGGCCTATAACTCTTTGTTGTCCAGCAGATACTTCTGCAATTTCTCTGCACATACGTCGTGGTGATCTGAACGTTGCTGTACAAGTCTAATGTCATGATTGGATACCCTTCGAACGTAAAATTATGACGGAGGCTCTGGTTGCGTATGCCAGTAGCGGCGATGACACGGACAAAGCAGGTAACTACCCTTTTCACTTGCTGGAGCTGCTGTCTTATTAAGGAAATGAGCTTCTGGTTTGCAAGGCTTCATCTCCTGTGCAGGAGATACGTCAGAAGACAGCTACTTTGTGGGATCGGATGATGAAAGGTAACAAGCATGCAATTACTTTTCATCTTATCCTGGTGCAAAAGAGCTCCGGTGCAGCTGTGCTATATCTCTGATGGCTTCGCAGTATCGATAGCGCCACAGCACGGCGGTTAGAAGCGGAGAGAAGGCTCAAGGATGCTGATGAGGTCTCCACGGGTGAGGTCCATTTCCAGCACCTCTTCAGAGCGCTCATGGCACCTCAGAACACTGCTGATGAAGGTCCTCAGTCCTTTTTCCCTACCCAGGACCTGCCAAGGATCTTCCGGATCCCTTATCAGCACTGGGGCAGATCAGGCAGGCGCCGTCCTATTTGACCCCGGAGGCCACACGACCTCTGGCAGCGCCGGTGCATCGCAATAGGCCAGCGCAGGCTGTGCCACCCCGAGAGGAGGACTTGCAGAGAGATAAGGATGTCGGTCCCAGCACCTGGGACATTGCTCGGATGGCACCGCCGCTCAAAGGACAGACGGACGCCAGCAAGCGCGGCCTGCCGGCGGGCGCGGTGGTGTCTTCAGCTGCAAAGCGCTACAAGACGGAGGATGGAGCCGAGGGCGGCATGGCCACAGCAGCACAGATCGCCATGCTGGGAGGGCAGTGGCGGCCGAGTGCAGATGAAGCCGATGCTCCAGCAAGCATTGGTCCTGCCCTGCCTGGTGGGCAGGACGATGGGAAGCAGGGCAGGAAGGGGCCCACCAAGGCGATGGGCGTGTCAGACTTTATGGACAAGGGAGTCGGAGGGGCGCAGCTGCCGCGCAGGCGGCAAGACAGAAAGGACAAGGAGAAGAGCAAGAGGCAGATGGGACAGAGTGCCATTGGCAGCTGGAAGACAGAAGCAGAAATGGTCTTGCGGCAGCAGTATGATAGCTGACAAAGCTCAAGCACATGATGTGCACGTGATGGTTATGGGCATGCACATCTATGTGATATTGGAGGAACAAATGTTGTTACAGATGACTTCTAAGATGTGTTCTTAGGTACAGGAATGGTGTGGCTGAAAAGCAATCTTGAAACTCAACAACGACAAGATCTTCTAGAAACTGAATAGCTTTGAAATATATACAAGGGACTTTAAACTAACTAGAAATATACAGAGGGCATCCTTGCAACAATGGCTTTGGGATTCTGCAACTCAACTAAGTCAACTTTGCTGCCATTCATTCAATGGTTTCCTTGCAGCCCTTCAATGACAGCATCCATTGACGCCAGGTACGCGGGGATGAAATGGTCAGCAACCATGCTATTGCACAACTTTACTCGAGAGTATGCCTCCTGCGCAAGGAACACTCTGGTCAGTCGAGCGTGCTGCAGCAGGGAGGCTGCACTCCACTTGAAGGTTGCGCATCTGAGTGGCACGCAGGAGGTAAGCATTACCTGAGGAACATTCTCAAGCAGCACATATATCTCCTTCTTCTGCGGCATATCCAGCTCCTCTGCTTCGGTGGTCACGGCCTCCCCCACCATGACCAGGCTGCCATCCACACCAGCCATGGACGTGTGCAAGGTCTGCTGCTCAAAGGTGGCATGTGGAGTCTGCCACGTGTTGCCCTGACCACCATTGCAGACTCTTCCTCAGCTGGCATCAGCAAGTTGCTCTCAACTTGCAGCCTGAAAAAATCGAGTGGTTTGGATTTCAATTTCCTGACAATATGGGTACCTCGTGCTGGAAGCCTGTCCGCTGTCGCACACAAAACTTCTCGGCATCACCAGCAGCATTTCCTGTCGAGTCAGATGCTTCCACATCCCTTGGTCCTTCACTAATGCCTTGTTCTCGGAAGGCGTCGTCAGGCAAGCGATCTGCAAAACACCGCAGTTTCAAGCGTGCTCTCTGGAAGGTAAATCAAAATGCTTGCATGCAGCCCACTCACAGAAAGCCAAAAGAGCAGGAAGACATGCCAAGGGCGCAGGGCAAGCCTTGTGTTGGGATTGGCAAAAATTTGCACCTCTGACCAGTCGAGCCGGCACTAGGTGCAGGATGCGGCCTGCTGGGTAGGTCATCCGCTTCCACTGCTCCTCTGAGTGCTCTGCCTGAGCGCTATCCCAATCAGGAGCCTCCATGCCAAACGCTGTGTCCTGGCCTGCCACCCCAGTGAAGACACCTGCTGGCAGCAAACGCACATTCACACTTTCAGCAAGACGTCTGGTAAGCAGCTTAGGCACCACCCTTCAACGGCCACTGTACCTGAGTTGGCCGGCCGGTCCGGGCGGCGCAGAACAGGTGTCGGGGAGCCCAGGATGCCGTCCTCCTGCTCTGCGGCTTCCACGGCGGCCTGCACTGCCTGCATGCCCTCCAGCAGCTCCTGCTCGCTGGGAAGCTGTGAGCGCCGCGGACCGTCCTCCTCACTGAAGGAGCCCGAGCTCGCCCCCATGTCCAGCTCCTGGGTGCACACAAATCTGCTCATTCCTCAGATGCCAAAGAGCTGCGCAGACTAGGTGCATGCATGCAACACTCTATCACCTGGCAACCATGCGTGCGTATTAGAATGAGAACAACCTGTGCTGGCGGGTCCACCATGGTTGCCGCATAGTTCGCAGCATACTCCATAGGATTGGAAGGCTCTGAGGGCTGCTGGACCTCAGTCTCAGCGCTGTGAGAAACGGAATTGCCACCCCACGTCCTTGCAAGAGCATCACCTGCTCGCCTGTTCCACACAGCAATGTAAGGCATTTGAAGCCATACTGCGCTGTAAGCTTGTCAAGCATGACAGACCACAGACTCACAGGCTTGACAAGGTAAATCATGGAAATTTTTATCACGTTTGGCCAAATGTATGCACCTGTAGATGCTCCTAGAGGAAGCTCTGACCCCTGCAGCTAGCCTCTGGCTCCACGTGAGCGTTCCCTCAATGCCCCCTGGCACAGGGGCTCCAGTGATGGGCTGCACTCTGGACAGCGCTTGCGTCCAGCCATCATTGTCATTCGCCTACACAGCCGGTCTTTGTTGGTGCATGCTGCAAATGCAGGTGAAGATATAGAAATGCATGGAACACATTTCAGGAGCAGGTTGTCACACCTGGAGATCTTTAGGGATCCAATTCCTTGCGAACTCCACATCTGCCATGCTGTCTCGGGCAGAGGCCCCAGACAATGTACCGCTGCCAACCATGTCTGTATCCACACCAGCACGCTCCACGCTCTCGACCGCCTCACTGGATCTTCGCTTTGCTGGCGACCTCCTTTGGTAGCAGGACCTGCATGCATGCCACGTGCAAGCTCCTGATCATCTCAGAGAGCGTACAATAACCTGCAAACATCATTCATGGCAGAGTGCATGCAGAGCAGAAGCAAGGAGGCTTGAAAAGCGTGCATACATGAATCGCTGAGACGCGGAAGCCAGCCTTGACGTGGTCCACACAGTGGCAGAGCCGACGCCAGTGATGCTGCTCTCCACAGCGCGCACAATGAGGTTGCTGCGCATGTCAGCCCGGAACGCCTCATACCAGGCGCTCCGTACCACATCCTCCCGCAAGGCATCTGCTGCACCTGCACGCCCATCACACCCCTGTTAGTAATAGTGCCAGGGATGTTTGTCTGTAAAGCTGAACTGTGCGTATGCCGCCTTAAGGCTTGTGTGGGCACGGAGACACTATGAGGATCACCTCGTGAGATGGTGGGCACTATGTCGGTGCTGTTGATGACTGTCGTGACGTAGCCGGCGCATGAGCGCGCCAGCTCCACGGTCATGCATGCCGGGCAGGCGATGGCCAGGCAGGTGGCATCTGCAAACTCCGGCGCAGCATCTCGCAGCCTGCGTAGCGCAGACATAATCGCACATGGCGTACTTTCAACCCTCATTTGGAGCAAGTTTATCGGAAGCGCTGGGTCATACAGGAGGTGGAAAGGCGCACATCATGGTGAGCATAGCTGCGGTGCCACCGCCGAGGGAGTGGCCCACTATCTTGCAGCAGTAGCCCGGATTTTCCGCCAGAGCATCGCGCAGCGGCTGCGCGGTTTCATGCATCAGCCACCGCGCCCCCGCCAGCATCCCAAAATGCGCATATCCCAGTACCACGCCGGCGCCGTCCACGATGTGGTGTGGCTTGCTGGCGCCCGTCAAACTCGTGAACATGTCCTGCATGACACGACCTTATCGTTCTTCTTTCCATGCAATCTGTGTTTATGAGAGCTTGTCAAGAGCCTCAAACAGCATCCCATAAGACAACTCACCTTGAGAGAGTGTGTGCCCCGGACGGCTAGAACAACGGTCTTCAGCTGGCGGTCGCACACAATGGCATAGCTGGGCTTCAGCATGCGTGCCATGGGGACCTGCACCCGAATGTCCTTTGCCTCGATGCCCATTCCGCGCAGCACAGCGGCCTGCGCAGAGGCGTGTCTCTCTCGCAGGGCTCTGCAGTATCGCATGTATCTCTGCACCGTCCGCAGCTCAACCTGCACCACAAATCGCCGCATGTTGGCAGGCTGGACACCACAAATCCTGCAGGTTTGCTGTGTCATCAATGCTCTTCCTTATGCAAAATGAGAGAAATTACTTACCACGAGGCTCGAGCGTTCATCTTGCGATAGCCCGAGGCCAACTATCTCGCCATGCTCAGCAATATCAGAAGCTGGGTGTTCCTCTGTGCCCCTCTGGGCCAGGTATGCCAGACCAATCAAAAGATCGGCAGTGCGCCACTTTCCCAGGGTTTCGCCATACATAAATCTGCATCAGGTAGGCAACATGAATCACTTATGGACCATAAGTTATGGTCCAACCGAAGGAAAGCTGGGGTTTAGAAGAACAGGACGAACCAGACATCCTGCAAGTGCCTGAAACAATGTGTTTTACGCGTTTCAGGCGCACCTCAGGGCTTCTGCGAAGAAAAACAAAGCCTCCAACCAATTGTTTGGCGCTTTGTGTGCGTTCTGGAATGCACCAGAAGTTCTGACCCCTGGGATGGGGTTGCCATCGGTGGCGCCACCAAACCCGCATGCTGTGATCCTTCTGGAGAAGAAATAGACTGCAACGGATGCACCTACCGCGGCCACGCCCACACCCGCCAGCTTTCCTGGGAATGCGACGACTGGGAGATCTTCAACGCTCTACATTCACCAGTTCTCTTTCGACAATTAAATGAATAGATATCATTGCAAAATTATCGCGATGCCACAAAGGGTCATTTGCTCCACAGCTACTGAAAGATGGCAAACAAACTCAAGGTATTTGTGACGAGTGAATAGCGGCAGAAGCACCCCGTATTTGCGATCGAAGGTGATAAATTCTGACTTTTATCGTTTCTGCCACGATACTGCATGAAAGTACGGAGAGCAAGAGAGGAGCACCAGCTCCAAGGTTGATGAGTAATAAGGTATCACGTGCCATCCTCAACGACCTGGATGCATCTTCAGCAAGTGAGGACAACTCAAATTCTTCACATCCTTAATAACATGTAAACAGACTCCCGAGAAGATTCCAGGAGAAGATGGGGATCAAGGTGAAAATTCAGCAGAGCATCCATCTCACTTATGTGCTTTGGTCTTTGTCGCACGTCGTGCATCCCGATGAATGTGTGCTTGCGTGCAGAATCTGACGAAATTGCTGGGTGATCATGCTCCGGGATGCTGTAAGGAGCAGAAGGTCGAAAACTATTTTGGCCGAAAAGTAGCTGTTGATGCGTCCATGCACATCTACCAATTTCTGGTGAGATACATTGGATGAGGCTTGCCTGATGAACATCATTTACATAATATATTTTCGTCGTGACATGTACAAGCGGCTTGAACCTCTGATGGCAAGTATTGTCATGATGATGAACACTTGCAGGTTGTGGTGGGAAGGACTGGCGACCAAACCCTGACCAGCGAATCAGGCGATGTCACCAGGTACGCTTGATGATTTTGAATTCACTGCTCGAAAACATTCAGTCCTTGCATTATCTGAATCTGCTGGTCTGTGTGCAGTCACCTGCAGGGAATGTTCTTCAGGACAGCAAAAATGTTGGAAGTCGGCATGAAGCCAGTGTAAGCCTACCTACCATTTTGGTTCCTTTTATAATCTTGTACACTGTCTCTGTCCGCCTGCCTGACTTTTCTGGTCCTGTGCAGGTATGTCTTTGATGGGAAGCCACCGGCCTTGAAAAAGGAGGAGCTGTCTAGGAGGCAAGTTTGTAAATACTTAAGACTGCTACATGATTGATTTGTTCCTGTCATGCAGTATTTACATGTTGCATGAAGGTTGGCCTGTTTGCAGGGTGGAGAGGAGGGGTGATGCAACGGATTTGCTCACAGAAGCCAAGGAGGTACATCAATAACCGGCAGCAGTGTGTTGCTCTGTGCAATTTCTGTTGGCAACAAGGAATGTGCAGGAATCTGCTGAGACTTGAATTGACTAATTACCTGCTGGACTGGCAGACTGGTGCAGATGCAGACATTGAGAAATACAGCAAGAGGACAGTGAGAGTGACGCCGCAGCACAATGAGGAATGCCGCAGACTGCTGCGCCTGATGGGAGTGCCTGTCGTGGAAGTATGCCCTAAGCAGCACGTTGCCTGTTGCTCGTACCAATATTGCATAATTCACATTATGTCGTTGCTTATAATCATTACGGGTGTGCAGGCACCTTCAGAAGCAGAGGCGCAGTGCGCGCAGATGTGCAAGGAAGGGCTGGTGAGACTTCGTTTGGTCATTGTCCGTTGCATGTACCAAGCGTGGCTGCTCCATGATTAAATAGCGTGAATTGGCAGTCCCTTCCCGCAATCTGAGAGCAGGTGTACGGGATTGCATCAGAAGACATGGATTCATTGACATTTGCAACTCCCAAGCTCATACGGAATCTCATGAAGCCTCAGACGCAGAATGTGCCAATCAACGAATACGATTATGACAAGGTTCGCAAACGACATGCTTTTGCGACCACAGCTGTTTACTTCTTGGATGAAATGCTCAGTGGTCAAGGATGGTGTTGCACAGGTGCTTGAGGGCTTGAATCTGACCAGCGATCAGTTTGTGGACCTGTGCATTCTGTGTGGATGCGACTACTGTGGCACGATCAAGGGTATGGTGCCGCTTTGGCAGCTCATTCCCTGCACTGCGGATGACAGACAGGGTGTTACATTCAGCGCATGTCAATGTCTTCATTGACTGATAGTACCAATCTTGTCAGTCACTCAGCAATCATGATGCAGGCATTGGAGGCGTGACTGCTCTGAAGCTCATCCAGAAGCACAAGCGGCTGGAGGATGTGCTGGCCAGCATGGAGGGCGGCCGCTACGAGATTCCAGACCCCTTCCCCTTCGAGGAAGCACGCCGCCTGTTCAAGGGTGCCCAGTTCCCCACAAGCATTTTAACAGATACTATCACAGAGTGCTGCTGATAATGCTTAATTCTTCATGTCCTGGAAAAGTTCCCAGATGTACTGCATGTTGATTGCCAATCATGACCCCTTGTTTTGCCATGGCAGAGCCGGATGTCCTGAAGGGAGACAGCATGCCTCAACTGAAGTGGACAACGGCTGATGAGGAGGGCCTGGTGCAGTTTCTGGTTGGGGACAAGAGCTTCAACGAGGACAGAGTCAGGAAAGCGGTGCAGCGCGTGAATGCGGCAAAGTCAAAGTCCACACAAGGTTCGCCACGAGAGCAGGCTACTTTATCATCAACCCCCTTCCGCTTTTGTTGAGGAGTCTTATATCTATCTTGTTGGTGTCTTTGGCGTGACAGGTACATCAAGTGACTGGGCAACTTGTTGTGCAGGACGATTGGAGAGCTTCTTCGGCCCCGTAAGCATCAAGACTTCCGACACAGGGAAGCGCAAGGAACCAGCCACAGGAAAGGGCAAGGGTCAAGCGGCGAAGAAGGGCAAGTCAGGTGTGGGCGTCAAGAAGAAGTGACGATGCCTAGGCGCTGACTTCAACTGCATAATGTAGCGTTCTTAACTCTTACATTCTTAACTCGTCAACGGCCTCTTTTGGCCAGGACAGCACCACGTGAGCTACTATGTCATCAATAGCAGCTGCAGCATGCTTCCAATTCATGCAAAGCTCAAGTCCAGCCTGTAATTTCACACAGATTCAGACAGGCTCATCTCAATACACAATATCAGCACAGCAGTCCAGCTTCACCCCACACTTTGAGGCACACGTTGCAATGGCGGTAAGAGCATCTACCTGAAGTCTTAAAGTATCATCTCGTGAGCCTAATTCTTACCGCCATAACCCTGGCAACTATTTGCTCCAGTTCCAAGAGAGCATGCTAGCACCGCTTTGTTGCACACTATCAACTGTACTGCAAGATCATTGCAGGCGAGTGCTCATCATCTGAGCTAATTCCATCATGCAGGATCACTGCAGTTGGCTTGTGGCCATAACGCATCATCTGTCTGGATGGTCTGTCAAGTCTCAGAAGATTGGTCAGTAGTCACAGCAGGGCCTTGGCTTGGGCTGCTGCACATCAGCGAATGACTCAAACGTATTGCATACTATACGTAATGTAGCTTTGAAGCAGGATTTGGTCAAGCTTGGATCCTTAAGGATCACTTTGCACCAAATCAGCTGCTAGCATCAGTAGGTCTAATTTCTCAGATAGAGGCATAGATATTTTCGACAGTTCCAGGTCGTATACCAGCCTTGAATACTACTCACTCCCCCCTAAGGAAAAGCACACAGCAGCATCGTGTGCTTCAAGATCACACCAGGCATTGCCAACGTCGTGTTGTCGGTGCACCCATTCTCCACCAAGAGAGGGGCGATCTTTCGTCTGTCTTCCTGTTGATCTCCAATTTAATGTCCTATGGGACGTTTCTGGCGATCAGCATTGCTTTCTGTGCTGTTCGAGACAAGGTAGGTCATACCCTAGGCTCACAGCTGGGGAATTTCAATAGAGGCTGGCGCAATCTGTCGATGGCACAGTCCCGATATGCATATCCTACAGAGTTTAGGATTGATTTTACATCCTATGGGATGCAATCCACCAGGAAATAACAATCACCTGAGCGGTCTGAGACACCCAGGTGCCTCAGGCAGGCAACAATAAGTCCAAGCTGCTGCATGCCACTTTAAGAATGGCGCAGCAGGAAGATCACTACAATAACGTATGGTCCTGTTTAAAGCAAGTGCATGGATGTCCACATTTTGTTATCTGGGTGTATAAAACAAGGCCCGCCCACAACGGCTTCCATGTCTGTGCATGTCCATGTTTTGCACAGACATGGAAGCTGTTGCATGCCTTCAAGTTCCTTCCTATGCTCTTCTGCAAGCCCTATTTAGAGGCCATGGCATTAGAGGCCAGGACCGCTGTGAAATGCTCACCCTTTGAAAAGGCAAACATAATTACAAATGCCCATTGCTGTCAAGCGCCATGGATTTCAAAGCTCTGCCGAATCAGCGGAACCAGCCCCAAAGCAACACATTCATTTCATGCAAGGAGTGCACACAACAAAGCACACCTACTATGTCACTTCCACTGCAGTAGGGGAGTGGTGGATTTAAGAATCATATATATTGCAGTGCGCACAAGGCCACAAAGAAGGCATCTGCAGGGTGTTCTGAGCTGGCAGACGTCTGCGCTGACGACACAAGACTCCCTTCAGGACCCATCTGTGACTTCTCTGTCAGTGATGTCACGGTAGTAGATTCTGTCCTGGCGAGCGCGGCCCGCAGATGAGGAAGGTGCTCCCGCCACATTCAGGCACAGCTCCTTGACAGTCCGCAGGCTGAGGGCGTGGCCGAGGTTGGCCACGATGCGCCGCAGATCGTCCACCTTGATGTAGCCGCAGCCTGTAGGCATGCAACATGCATGTTAGGTTCAAAACACTGAGAGTGTGTAAGTGAGAATGATAATAAACTCAGAGGTGAGGCATTTGGAAATCCAGTGAAGGGATGCGCCGCACAGTTGCGGTCAAAGTAGCGGAAGGCAAGCAGCAGCTCCTCGTCGACTTTGTATTTCTTCTTCTTCTTCTCCTTGTCCTTATCCCCGGACGCGCCCTCCTCATGCTTTTCCACTTTTGCCGAGCCGTTCTCCACAGGTTTCTCAGCAGGAGCCTTGGCCTCCTTTGGCTGATCCTCCTTTGCAGGCTCAGCTGCTGTGTCCTGCACACCTGCTGCCTTGCCGCCACCCTGCATGATCACATGCTTTCTCATTGGCACAATTACCATAAATTCTGTGCATCTGCTGCATTGTATCTTGAGGACAACAGGGACACATTGTGAAACAGCACAGGGCATAGGATCTTGAGCATGGCCCAAATTCCACACATCACTCACCTCTTCTTTGGCAGTGCCCTCAGCCTGCACATCCACAGCAGCTGTCTTATCTGTAGGGGCTGCTTTGTCAGGCGTCTCCTGGGCTGCTTCCTCACCCTCGCTCTTCCCTCCGTTCTCCCCAGGCTCGTCCGCCTCCGCCTCTGCATTACCCCCCGCCTTTGCCTGAGCCTGCGGTTGCAGGAACAATGACCGGTTTAGTGCAGATAACACATCTGGTGGGTCACATTTCAAATCATGCGACTACATATATGTATCATGTCAGACACTCGTAAGCATCCTGGACCCAGGCAGCACTTTGTTCCGCCCACGCTGCACAGGACACCCACCTTCCTGCCACGGCCCCGAGCTGCGCGTCCGCGGCCTCTGCCACGGGTGGTCCTCCCCTTTTTGCCGCAGCCTGCTCCCTTGTCGGGTGATCCCTCGCCCTCCGCCAACTCTTCCTCCTCCTTTGCGTCTCCTTCCACTGCACCAGCCGCCTCCCCTTCTTCGCCGCCCTCGGCCTTGACAGGTGCAACCTCCTCCGCAGCTGCCTCCTTCATCTCTGTGTCTGCAGCCTGCACTCACGACACACCACCAGGACGTCAAGAATTGCTCCTGCATGGCAAACTCATGAGGCAAGCATTAGAGCAACAATGCAAGCCTTGAATATTGACATCCACATTCGGACAGCGCATTAGAGCAACAATGCAAGCCTCAAATACTGACAGCTACAACCGGACAGCGGTGTCAGATGTCACCTCCAGCACAGGTCTTCCATTCTGGCTTTCCTCCTTGACAGGTGCAGCGATCTCGTCCTCCTCCTTGACGGCAGCAGCCTCTGGTTCAGCCTGCTTTGCTTCCTCTGCGGCCTTCTCCTTGGCCTCGGCAGCTGCCTTCTCCTCCTCGCGCTTGCGCTTGCGCTCCTCGCGCCGCTTGAGAGCAGCACTCCTGCACAATAATAGCGCATGTAAGAGGACCAAGCCATGACAGATGTGTGGATTGTTGCACACATGCTTGATTGCTTGCCGCCTCTGCCTTTGCCTTTGCATCACCACGTTGCCCTCACCTTTCAGCATAGAGGGACTTGAGAATGCGCTCGCCATAGTCTCGCGCCAGCATCTCCTGGAAGCCCTCTGCAAACAGGCTGAGCTCCATCGTGGACTCGTCACGGTCCTGCGCAAAGTGCATGGCTCAGCAAACATCAACACAGCTGTAAATCAAGAAGAGCAGCATCATGTGAAGTCTGAGGCATCCTTGCGGCCAAGTACATTCCCATACTGATTATACAAGGCATCCTGACGCAATGAGTCACCTCTTCGTCATAGTCCAGGAGCCCATCAAGGCTGATGGATGCCGACCGCCACCTCTCCTTGGCAGAGCGCTTGCCACGGAAGAGCAGCCGTGGAACCTCAGGTACTTTGGCATCGGTCTCTGCTTCCTGGGGTGCCTCGGGAGCCTGCCACATGTCAGAACATATATGTCAGGAGCTGATGGTCAATTCAGTGCAGTTCCTTGGAATCAATGCACTTCCTAAAATATAAACTCCATTGATCGACATGGAATTAATCATTGACTGCCATACCTTGTTATCTGCGTCCTTTATGTCTGTGTCGACCACCTTTCCATGGTCCTTCTTCTTCTCTTCCTCCACGTCACCAGTCTTGGCTCTCTTTGCAGGCTTCTCAGCACCAGCAGGCTCATCGTCCTTGACTGCAGCACCCTCAGCCTGCAAGTTACATGCGTTTGAATTAGGCTCTGAAAAAAGGACTACAGCACTAACTGGATCGATAATGATGCTTTGCAGACAACTGTTCGCGCTAGATGGCGCAAACACAGCAACCTCATGCATGTGCGTTTGAGATACCAACCTTGGTGGCTTCTTCAGGCTTGGCCTTTTCCTCCACAGCCTTCGCCTTGCTTGCCTTCTCCTGCATGCAAGGAAATCGTCACATCCTGTGCAGCCCAATGGGTAGTATAAGCACAAGTGGATGAATGTGCACAGGTTGGCTAAAGTCTCTATTACCTCTTCTTCCTTCTTGGTGACGGCCTCCTCGCGTGCGGCCTTCCCCTTCAGCCAGGCCTCTTGCTCCTTCCAGGTGCTCTGCCAGTCCTCAGGCATGACCCTCCGTGCAATTGCCAGAAAGATCACAGTGATCTGCAGACCATCCAACCCTCAATGCCAGTGTTGATGACCACACCACAGAAAGTGGCGCACAAGCGCAGCCCAGAATTTGATATCTAGCAGATGACCTCGCAAAATTCCTACTCAAGACCTCTTATAACGCACAGAAGTGTACCTCCGTGCTCTCAGTGGCGTCTGGGGAGAGGCTGCTGGGCGGCCGCTGGTAGTGCACCTCGATCACGGGCAGCCACTCCTTGCAGGCGCTCAAATCTACACCCAAGAGCTTCTTTGCATGCCGCACGCACGTCGCAATCAGCGGCTCAGTGCTCCTGCGCACACCAGGTGATAGTCAGACTCCAGGCCTACTCACAAGTGCCTCTACTTGTGCCACTGTGGATTGGAGAGCGCAAGAGCTGCATGCTTGGGTGTGCTCACTTGGAGGCGTCTGTGATGGGGCCGTCCAAGGAGGGGTCATGCTGGCCACCAATGGCGGTGATGCCGCTGCGTTCCACGCGGCCGTCATCCTTGTCGGTCTCGGTGCGGACCGTCAGGAACTTGAGCAGCTGGTGCAGGTGCTGGCCTCCATGGTGCACGCCCTTCAGCAGCTCCTTGCGCGCATCATCGTCCAGGCCAGACAGCAGCACGACCTATGCGCCAGGAATGACAAGACTATATAAGGATAGAGGACAGTTTACCGCTGATGCTCCTGTGCAGATACACTTTGAGGCAATGAATGACTCCTTTGGATGTTAATGCATGGCACTTACCCTGGCGTTCCACTTGACTGCGCCTTCAGCAAGGCTGACAGGCTTCAAGTCCGGCATGGGCGATTCTTCATAGTCCACCTCGTGCTGGAAGTGAACAGGCTCGAACAGCCGCCAGAGCACGCTCTTCCTGCCGGTAGCAGCCACAGGCTGCGCCTGCAAGTGACAAAGGGATGTTCACGTCAGCTGTTTGGAGCCACACAGTGCAGCAAAATTGGTCCGATCACAATGCAAAGAGACACAAGGGACGCGCCGGGCGTGCCTACCTTGACCCAGGTGGAGGCCACCTTGGAGAAGTCAGCGGAAACATAGAGGCGGGTGCAGCGATGGATGACTTCGTGGTAGTCGCGCTCCAGGGTGACCAGGGGGCGCGACGACAGGCGCACAGCATAGTCGGGCTCTTTGCGCCGCACTGGGGACGGACGGCGCGGGCTACGGTGCGGAGGCGAGGTCAGCCGAGACCTGGACCGCGGGGCGTCCCGCTCTTTGGCCTCGCTGCACAGCCCCAGCATGCTTCAAGAGATGTGCCCTACAGAATGTTCATCCCAACACAGGCAGCTGCAGATGTCATGCATGGTATTATGTTTTGCATCTAATGCAGTGTCTGCATCAGGAAGTGCATGCTCATGACACTGCTGAAGCGGAGGCAAGTCACCTGTCCCGCTCGCGATCACGGCCGCGTGGGCGCTCAGCCGTGGCCGTGGCTGTGGCTGTGATGCGGGACTCGCGCGGCCGATCGCGCTCGCGCTCGCGTGCCTTGGCCTCGTCGCGCTTCTCCCTGGCGGCGTCGGCCATGCGGGCGATTTCGCGCGCGCTCTGACCCACTTGCGCAGCGGCCGCCGCACGGTTGGCCTGGGCATGTGCCGGCGCGCCACGAGCAGCTGGCGGCGCCTGCATAGCGCCGTAGGGGCCTGGGCCCCCAGAGAAACCACCACGACCTCGCCCTGTGCATGCAGTGCGACGGCGTGAGATCCAGAGAACTCATCTCCCCTGATCCACTCTCTACGCCTTGCCAAACCAGTCAACGAGAGAGTAGTGCGATGCTCTGGAGATGTGTCTGGCAAAAGCCCAGGGGGAGACCACCTGCAGCAGGAGCTGCAACGCCCCTTCCCACGTGCGGCTGCACAGCAGGGCGATGTGCTTGCACCGGCGGCCGGACGCTGCCAGGAGCCTGCACCACAGGACGCGCATACGAAGGCTGGGAGCTGGCTGCTGCCGCTGGCCGCACTGCAGCGCCGCGCCCCTGGGTGCTGGGCGCTGTGTACCCTGGAGTGCCATATTTTGGGCCGCCAGCAGCAGGCTTGTACTGGCTCTGCTGCCCTGTGGCCGCATAGGAGCCCTGCTGGGCTGCGGGCTGCTGCTGCCCATATGTCGCAGCGCCAGCAGCAGGCGTTGCCTGGGAGCCGTAGCTTGATCCGTACTGTGCAGCAGAACCACCGGTCGGCTTGCATGCGTGGTGCATGCAGGTTGAAAAACAAGAGAAACGCAACTAGGGAAGGAAAATTTCTGCTGCTGTGTTGGACCCTGATGCTGGCGACCTCTGAATCCAACACAGATCACATTGTCTTGTCAAGCATTGCCTCGGTGTTGAAGGTCAAACGTGGGCGCAGGGTGAGGAGGGTGCAGGAGCCCAAGGTCGCTGGTGAAGCAAGTACGGCAAGTCTACCTGCTGCTTTCCAGCCTGCTGAGAGAAGCCTCGTGCAGGAGCTTGGCGTGGATATGCAGCCTGCGGGGCTGGTGTTGTTTGCTGGGGCACTGTGTAGCCTGCTGGTGTTGTTTGCTGGGGCGCTGTGTAGCCGGTGCGAGCGGGCGCGGTCTGGCCATACGCGGCAGGGGCGGTGGGCTGCTGCGCGCTGTAGCCCTGGGCGGGAGCGGGTGATGCATGGGATGCATACTGACCCTGGCCTACATTGCTCTGGCCGGCATATGCAGGGGTGGTCTGCTGGGTGCCGTACCCGCCTGCAGCCGCGCCCTGTGCGGTGCCATACCCAACAGCAGGTTGCTGTTGGGGCTGCTGTGCCGAGTAGGCCGACGCCTGCTGGACGGTTCCATAGCCGGAGGCGGGCTGGGCAGTGCCGTAGGAGGCTGTTGCAGTGCCTTGCTGAGAAGCGTACGTGCCTGTGCCATAGGCCTGTTGCGTCTCCTGCAGCAGGGGATTGCAGGGCCATCAAGAGCGGTTTCATGGTGCTGTCACAGGTGGAAGGTCTTCGCAAGTCTACACCTCCTTGCCATGCATGATCAACATAGCCACATTGTATTTTGGGATTTCCTTGTGCGAGCCACAGGGAGCCCAAAACTGGGTCATAGCTTTCAAGAGAATAGTGGCGACTCACAGGCGGATACTGCTGAGCGGCATATGCTGCCGCAGGGGTTGCTTGCTGGGCGTTGTATTGTGTCTTGCTAGCTTGAGAGGGATTGTAACCAGCAGGCGACTGCTGTGCTACGGTAGATCCGTACTGGTATGAGGATGCTGGTTGCGCTGCTTGTGCCGGCTGCGGATAAGCTGGGTAGGTCTGCTGACTGGAGCTCCCACCCTGCACCTGTGCCCAAAGAACATAAGAGCACACTTGAGCATGCCCGGATTGCAGAAGCTTTTCAGCGTAAAGCTTGTGTGTCTGAAAAGAAAACTTATACTTGTGCGGGTGCAAAGAACACAGCTGTGAAGTAATACAAGAGGACTGGAGTGTACTTGCGCCACGATCTGGGACAGCTTAGCCTGCTGTTCTGGCGCCAGCCCTTGCGCAGCCTGAGCAACCGCGCCGCTGCCCGCAGCAGACTGGCCTCCAACAGAGTACCCATATGCGGCAGGTTGCTGGCTGCCATAGGCGTTCTGCATGTGCAGTGCTTGGGTTTGGCAAACTTTCCACTTTGCTTGCTTAAAGAGAGCTCTCAGAAAGGAGGAAAAGTGTCACGAATTGAAGTTGTACTTGAAAAGTGAGATGAGATCATTGTCTATGCCCCAGACCTGGGTTGTGCCATAGCTCTGTTGGCCGCCGCTGTAAGCACTCGAAGTGGTCCCATACCCCGGCGTTGCAGGAGAAGTGGTTCCATAAACAGATCCCTGTGGGGCTGAAGACTCGTTGGCTATTTGTCCAGTCTGATAGTTTCCATAGGAGATCTGTGGCGAAGTTTGCAGGCAAACATTTCGTGAGCACATCCCCAAATCGTAGTGTGATGCAATGATAGAATTTGCACCTACAATCAGAAGAATAAAAATGCTGCTACGCTAACTTTGCGCACCTGTTGCTGGGATGCGGGTGTGTAGGACGTTTGCTGAGCCTGATGGCACACATCGAAAGCACAGTCAATGACGCAGCAGGCAGAGGCGAAGGCTACTCAGAAATACCAAGCATGATGGACTTATTGGTGTTCTTTGACTGGACAGTATCAGCGAGCGACCGTCACGGTCCAGCAGTGTGGGAAGGGTATATAGCGAAGAGGCCAACTGCCCCGCTCAGGTCGAGATTTACCACCTGCTGCTGCTGCTGCTGCACTGGGGCAGTGTAGCCCTGTTGACTCTGCCCCTGCTGTTGCCCATAGCCTTGGTTGGCATAGTTCCCGTTCCAACCAGACATCCTGATGACAATACTGCCTGCAACTTAAAAGATCAATGGAACGTGGCCTTGCTTTAAAGGGCAATGGTAACGGTGATCACGGAATCCTTGGGAGGCAAGAAATCAAGCGTATACTTGTGGACCTCCCCTAAAGATGCAAGCTATGTTGGGACAGGCTGATACGCCACAACATATGTTGGTGGCTGATCATGACAATTTCCCGAAAGATCCGCAGCCAATGCCACGAAGGAATGCAAAGGAACGCCCCTGCGCCAAGGAACATTCAGGCAGCTCAGATGATCAAGTCATTCCGTCCTGCATAGCCAGCCATTTATTTAAATATATGAATATTTGAAAAATTGATTAATCTGACTAGAGCCTTCCTTGCCAGCGATCAGCCAGGCGCAGACGACCGTCTCAGACTTGAGGAACTATTGGCCCACACAATGCTCCGATGAAATCACAGGTGAGGGCCCGATCGTGTGACAAATACGACAGATAATCGCTTGAAATATCCGTGATTTTAATTTACCTCCCATCTGCAATGAGGCAGGTAGTCGGTCCTGGGGATGTTGTGGCAGTCCTTCCAGAGCAGGGGCAGGTCAAAGTCGGAGCTGGTCTATACGCAGATGGCACTAATTTGCACACTTCCAGAGCAGGGTTGTTGCGTCAGACGAAAGCCGGAAAGTTGTGGGTTGAAGGACGACAGAAAAGGTGAACCTAGTACAAAGTGTGTACTTCGGAATATTTTGCAGTCAGCTGAGGCATCTGTTCGACGATCAGAAGATGTCGATGGGCTTTGAAGCAGCCGCTGCCTGCTGTCTCAATCCCAGCTCCAATGGCTGACATACGGCCTGGCATGCAGGTACATTTCCAGCACTGGTGATGATGTGGTAGGGGTGGTGTTGGAACGGCATGCAGAGAATTTTGTGGTGGACATTGGCGCTCCTTTCCCTGCGGTGCTGAACATCCTATCTTTTGAGGGGGCCACTCGGCGCAATCGGCCAAAGCTTGCAGAGGGTGATCTCGTTTATGCAAGGGTGGTCCTGGCGCACCGGGACATTGACACAGAACTGTCATGCACCGATACTGGTGGCAAGGTACGCATCCCGTTGCAGCAAAGGCGAACACCTTGTGCCACAGGCATCTTTGTTGGAGGTTCCTCAGTTTCATGTCCTCAGAGCATGTTTTGCATGTCAGGCGTCGGGATACGGACCCTTGAAAGAAGGCCACCTGATAAGCTGCTCCACAGCCCTTGCAAGGCGACTACTGGCGTCTCCTACAGCTCCAGTCTTGGAGGCTCTGGGGAACTCCCTGCAATTTGAGATAGCCATTGGCCAGAATGGGCGGGTCTGGATTGACGCAGCCAAAGCTACCACTGTCATCCTCATAGCCAATGCCATAACAAGGAGCGAATACCTGTCCGCTGACCAGTCGAAACTCCTGGTGCAAAAACTTCTGGCGCGCATTGCAACTTGATCGTCTCGAGCTCTTCTGTTCACAATCTTCTTCTACAGGTATCTGTATATTACATTGGAGCAGCTGCAGTAGTGGCCCTGAGGCAGCTCTGTTCACTGAGCAGTGCTCAGCAGTGCACCACCGATGGTGTCCCATGGCTCGCACCATGCGGCATCTCTTGCCCAGGAGCTAGGCTCCTGAAGACAATGGGGCTGGCTGTGGTTTTTCTGGTGACAATTTATATTCATGAGCTCATCAGCCGGGGATTTGTACTTTTGCTCCATGGCAAAGACTCTGGAACTCACTAAGACTAGAATTGGACCGTGAAGGTCTCGCGACTCGCTCCTCGGAGGTATCAGACTGTGGGCTACTGAATCTAGCCGGCCAGGCAGCGCCAAAGAAGTTGTAGTAGCACACAAGTTTGCATTGCATAACTTGACATTGGATGCAACCCATACTAGTAGTGGGAGTGCTGTGGACAAGCCCTCAAATCGATTTTCTTTCAGCTTTTCAAAAATGACTTTGAGTGTATGCAACATTTGTAAGTGCCAAAACACTGGTTCATCCGGCATACGGAGTGCAAATCGCAGCCTGAATATCATCATGATAATCTCGAGACGCGGTTGCCATCATGGACTCCATCATCATGAGTGCTATTTCGATTGGCGCCAACCACTGGCGCATAATGGAGGGGCCGGCACGGTGCAGAGTTTCGAATGCCGGAACAATAGCAGACTCCTTCAGCAATTAATTCGTCACGCAGTTCTGCGGTGTTTCGCAAAAGGAGAAGAGAGAGAGGGAGAAAGAGATTGACCCGCATCCACTTCATCAACCTGTGAAAGCCATGCAATGAGTTCAAATTTAAATATCAGTTCCAGGGTGCATTACGTGAACAAATTTGGCTCTCGCATGTGCTCGCAGACATGTTGACATCACCTTCTGACAATGCAGCCGCTTGTATTTCGTCAATTTTGCTCACAATCGCATAAGAATATGTCTCGCATTGCAAAGAAAAAATCTATGAGGCGAACTAGGGGTGTTAGTGCTCTCAGAGAATGAGCGATGTCGTCCAGGATCGATGCTTGGGACCAGAAAAAACACAGAGAGTTCTCACCTGTATCTTGTGGATACCCTGCCGGCTTTGAAGAGAAGTATGATACTGGAGATGATCTTGGGAGAGGAGGATTTGGCGTGGTGCGTGTCGTGTCCAAGAAGAAGAACGGCAAGCAGTACGCAGCAAAGTCGATCAAGAAGGTGCTGGAGGTGCCCAATCTATCCATCGATCGACAGGCAGCACACCTGGCTAACATCAAACGCGAGATTTCGGTGCTTTACCGGCTGCGAGGCACACTGAACGTCGTGCACTTCAAGGAAGCCCTGGAGGACAGTGAATATGTCCACATAATAATGGAGATCTGCCGAGGAGGCGAGCTCAGCCACAGCTTGGCGCAGCGTCACTACAGTGAGAAGACGGTGAGAGGGGCTGCGAAGCACCGCTGCCTGTCCTGCACCCATGCTTGGATTGTTGAGCTGAACAGGACCTGCCGTGGGCTGCAGGTGAGCAGCTACATGCGTGCCGTGCTGCGCACACTCGCACAGTGTCACTCACATAGAATATTGCATCGCGACGTCAAGCCGGGCAACTTCATGCTCTTGAACACCAGCGAAAGGTCTCCCTTGAAGGCCATCGGTGCGGCACGGCCATACATGTGCATGCATGACTTCCTTGTCATTGTCTCCTACAATTTCTGATGCCAAGGATCCAATCTGCACTGTGAGGAATGATCCAATCTGCGCTGTGAGCAAACAAAGCATCTCCCGCAAGCACCTATATACAGTGAGTGTCATGGGGGGGTTGCAGACTTTGGCTTGGCCGTGTTCTATGATGCCAATAAGCTGCCACGCACTGACCTTGGACTGGAGGGCACCCCCTGGTTCCTGGCGCCGGAGAATCTGAGCTCAGAATTCTATCCGGCCAGTGACCTCTGGTCCGCTGGGGTCATGGCATACCAGCTCTTGTCTGGGTACCTTCCTTTTGACGACCGCCGCAACCGCAGCAACCCTGCTCTCTCCCAGGTGATAAGACGCCCCATGATGTGGCTTACTCTTACAAACATTTATGCATCCAGCAAGTCATGCGGGCTGGTCCCTTGCAGGTCTGGAAAGCGATCTTGACAGAGGAGCCCAATTTCAACATTGGCGCTTTCAATAAGGTCTCAGAAGATGCAAAGTCATTCATCAGTATGCTGCTCAACAAGTGAGTCCCTTGTGCATGCTCGATTCTATGGAAACGTCTAGCATGGATTTCTTAATTGAAGCTTTCACGGATCGCAGTCAAGTGGCTGCAGTCAAGTTTGGTGAACTGGAGAATTGCAAGTTCTGCAGGGATCACAGTCTTCGACCAAGCGCAAAAGATGCCTTGAATCATCCATGGCTTGCCGGCGGCAACTCTGCCGACAGGGCAAAAGGTGCCCCGCTGCAGCAGACGGTGGTGCAGCGCATACAGGTGTGGCCCTGGCAATGATCTTGTCTTTTTGCAAGGAGCCTTGGGTCTGCTCTTGTGGAGCATGTCATGTCAGTGATGATCCATAGCAACCGGGTTGTGTGTGCTGTGCAGCGCTTCAATCAGGGCAGTGCCCTCAAACGCACCATCTTTGAGCTCATCGCACAGGAGTTGCTGCTCACGCTGGTCCCAGACCCCTCAGCCCATGGCGCACCACTGGCAAAGATGGACATGTGCGTCTCCAACATGAACTTGCACCGGCATGCATGATGCCTAACGGTTGCCACTGGCCTGTGTGCATCACATGCATTGTGGTAATGCAATATTCATGCAGTGGTTTTGTGTGGATGTAGACCTGCGGACGAAAAGCAGGGACTGCGGGCAGGAGGACATAAGCGCCCTTTGGATGAGAAAGGAGCACATGGCAGCACGAGGCTTGCATTTCAAGGTCCCGGGGGCGGCGCCATTGAAGGGCCGCCTCTGCTGGGGAGAGTCTCAGCTGGGTCTGCGCACGGCGGCCTAGAGTACTACAGGTGCTCTTATAGTGCATGCTGCTTGTGCACCGAGCAAGAGGCAAGAAGAGTATTGCTTTGCTGCTGGGCTGCGAGTTTGCGCTGAGCTGTGGAATCTGTCCTGCACTTTCAGGGTGCGAGGGGAGTCTGTGCATGGGGCTGCGAATGCCATGTTGCATGACAGGCATGGCAAGTCCTTGCATGGCGGGGGGAATTACTGGCGCATCCTGCGCGCTGCTGCAACAGCAGCAAAGTGGCACAACAGTGCGCGATTGGCTATATGCTTTGTGACTGCATCTGTTCTCATGGCTTGCAATGTTGTGAGCTATGCTGCCTTGGTGATGTGCAGGATCAGCTGATGATATTCTTTGATGCCTTTCAGGGTCTGTGCACGGCACGCACGACTACGTGCGGTGGGTGGGCAGGACGGATGAAGAGCGCGCAGAGCAGCGCAAGGCTGCGCGCCTGTGCCTGGACACATCGGCACATGCGGGCTCAGAATACCGCCGCCTTGTGCATGTCCTCTCCAATGTACGGTTCGAACGTCACCTTGAGACTGTCACATCAACACCTGGCTGCATATCCTCGTATGATGCATTGGGCTTTTGGTGTAGCCTCTATTGTCATACAGTGCCGATACAGGTGTGCCATGCAGGCTGCGCTGAATCAACAGGACAGCGCGTCGGATGGCACAGCAGACACGTCACGGTGGATGCCCCTCCAGCACATGCGTGACTCCCTCACAGACGTCCAGCAGGACACCAGCGCAGGGTCGCAGCAGGAACAGGCTCCTGTGTCGCCATCGCCGCCACCCCTGCCGTGTATACGGGAGACCTCTGAGCCGCCAGCCACGAAGCTGCTGAGTGAGGGGGAGGAGGGCCGACGAGGACAGCGCTTCTACAAGCATTTTGTGGAGTCCACGGGCGGCAGGCTCACTCAGGTGATTGACCCTTCTGCGGTGACGGTAAACCTACCTGTGAAAACTGGTGAAGACAACTTTCTTAAAGCTATACTTCCTTTCTTGAGCTATGCTGCCATTCTTACCTACTCTGGTTTGGATGATTGAATGCTTCGCTTGCGCTTCTTTTTCATGCAGGAGGAGCAAGCCCTGCACGCTGCTGAGCAAGCCGCTGAGTCCATGCAGGACGCCAGCACGGGTCGCATCCTACCGCGCACAGCAGTTCAAGAGCAGCCGGAGTCGCCCTTCTTGGCAAGCAGCCGCAGGCTTGCCATTACTGCGACGCCGAGCACCAGCCCGCTCAAGGCAGACGGGAGCGCAGATGGCGCGCCGCGCAGATCCTCAGAGCGTCGCAAGGTGTCATTCAGGGTGGAGAGCAAGGAGGCCAGCAGCGATGCAGGTCCTGATGGCGTCAGCGCTGAGTCTCCCGGCAGAGCCATCAGTCTGCAGGAGCTCAGGGAGGTCATGAAGCAGATGCACTACACCCGGTGCGCACTCAACAAAGCTGTCACCTTGATCCGTGGCACTTTGAGTGTTTGGGTCAATTTTTTGCCTGGTCAATGTTTTGCCTGGTGAGATGCTGAACATTCGACCTCATCATACTCTGAGATCTGCCTTTCCTTTCAGGGAGGCGGAGGCTGTCACTGAGGCTGAGCTTGCGCAAGGGTTGGCATCCCTGGGATTCCGGTTGGAAGCTTCTGAGGCTCGAGCGCTGGTGGAGAAAATGGATGAACACAGAAGCGGTGCTGTCAGGAAGTCGGCTTTTGTTGCATCTCAACTGGACTGGCCAGCCATCCAGACTGATTACAGGTGAGCGGGCTCCGCTCAGTTTTGTCCTTGCGCACGGGCACCCTGCAAGCAAGAGCAGCTGTGCTGAGGTGTCTTCAATGGGGACAGGGAGCAGTGGTTGGCAGCAGCACGCAAAGTCTTTGAGGGCTTTGATGACGCAAATGGCCTGACAATTCAGCGACTCATGTCTGTGTTACGCGAGAAGCTGCCGGCAGCAGAGGTGGACTATGCCGTGGAGGATGCGCTTGTGGACGCTGGGTACAAGGGTACGACAACTTGTCATGCTCAAGATTTGTGTGTTGGGTTTGCAAAAGGCCCGGCTATCATGGCAAGGCATTGTTGATCATGCGTGATGACCATGATGAGCTGATTTGCAGATGAGGAGGAAATAGACTTTGAGGGATTCATCAGAATTCTTCGTGCGGGATCAGCAGACAGCCTTGACAACCTCGACCAATATGATGCGCGCCTGTCCACCCACCTATCACCTCGAGCGGACTCAGCGCGTGATGATTCAGAGCACAGCCAGTCATAAAAGGCATAGCATGCAGATTTCTGTAACAAAGACTGAACAAAACAAATGCGTTGCACCTTGTACTTCATGGACAGGCCTGTCAATTGGGCAATAGGCTCGGTGACAGGTGTTTGGCCCGGCTCTTGGGGGCGGTGTACGTACCGAGCACCGTGCCTACGGTTGACTGGGTCTCACTTGGATTTGTTGAGTCCCACAAGGAGGCAGCCTTGAGTGCAGCTTGTCTGCAGACGCACTGCAGGAACATGATTATTATAATTACACGTTTCCAGTCCTAAGGACCAGGTACGTCAAGCAACACCGCAGGAACATTGTGGATTATGATAGTGATGTAATAGTATTCTTTCGGAAGAGTTGGCTGTCCGGCCTCTGTGGCAAGGTCTCTCGTGGTACGTCTGCGAGAGACCTCCAGAGTCCGAGTTCAGACTGCATTCCCACAGACACCTCCTGTCATGTGCCTTCCTGTTTGTCAACACTTCACCGATGCTGGCCTTCTGAATGGTCAGGGGTCAGGTAAAGACCCCATATTTGTGCCAAAATATCAAGGGTGACGGCCTCAACCCTTTTGAGAGGTAGGCCGAGACAGATCACCAGCACCTGTCGGACTCGAGGAGCCCGCAGTGCTGCTTGGCGCTCTTCAGCTACCTGTGGGGCACTTGTGTGGGGCACTTGTGGCACGACGCTTGGCGCTCTGCAGCTGTTGGTCCAGCCCTGCAAGGCATTGTTGTTCTTCCCCCCACCCAGCGGCTGCCCTGCGGCACACCATCTACCGATTTAAGCGCTTAAACATTGCGCTGCGATGCGGACGTCGCTGATTGCGATTGGCTGACCGTCCAAGAGGTGGAGACGCAGCCGTCAAGCTGCAGGACCATAAAGTGTGCTGGCTGGCGAGGTGGGACACAGACTGACACGCTGGCAAGTGTCCTGAGCAGGCCACCACCTGACGGATGGCGCGCCGCGGGATGACTGCTGACACTGGCGTGCTGGGTCTCTGATATTCGCCAGTGATAAGCCGAGTTGCTTACAGCCCTAGGGTGGCAGAGTGAGTGAAGGCAACACCTGCTGGGGTAAAGTTCACGGCAGACATCGTAGCGCTCGCAGCGTATGCGCGTACATCCACTGCACAATCTCTGCCGGCAAGGCAGGATGCTCATCACCTGCTGCAGGCCCTCAACACGGAGGCAGCGAAGCATTTGGGTGGTGCTTGACCATCCAGCAGGGCGAGACCATTGGAACGACGTAGGTGTGGATGGCTCTGCAGAGCCGCTCCAGCAGCTCCTATGGCACTGATATGAAGGCAGCAATTGCTTGGCAACGTGCGCCCGGCCCAGCAGGCTGAGGCTGAAGCCCACCAGCGCGCGATGCGGGCCACCACCTTCGTGACGATGGCTGTATGGTGCGCTAGAGTACTGCCCAGGTGCTTGAGGCTGTCGCCCGACGCCGCAAAGGTGACTCCCATGACCGGATCAAGCCCGGTCCACAGCAACCTGGCACCCGTGGCTGCGCAGTGCAGGCCCACGCTAGAGTCCAGTGATGTCCGCGCTGGCTCCTTTGAACGAAGCGTGATGGGCTGGAAAGCTTGCTGCTGCGCGAGGAGCCTGGCATGCGCGGCCACCGGCTGCGCCGCAAGCACGAAGAGGAGCGGCGATAGCATCTGGAAGACGCCCGAGTCCACTAGGAAGGCTTCTGTGTGCCAGCCGTTAACGGCGACGCCCAGGTGCACGCAGCGCTGCGCGCCAGGCCCGAAGCCGACTGCTGCCACGCACCGCTCAATCCAGGCCCTGTCGAGACGGTCGGAGGTCTTGCAAGAATTCCAGGAATACCAGGACGCCTGGCTGCTGGTTGGCCTTCAAGTAGCTGATCTCCTCGAGGTGGGCCAGCACGTTGTCCCCAGTCCAGAGCTTGGGAAGGAAGCCTATCTGGGTGGCGTCCACAAAATGGTCGAGCATTTGGCAGATGCGGGTGACCGTCGCCCGCGCTGCCAGCTTGAACTCGATGTTGCGCAGCGTGATGGGCCTGTAGCTGGCTGACGGCTCCGCTCCCTTCCTCTTGTACAGAAGAGTAATGCGGCCCTGTAGCAGTGATAATTTAATTTGTACGGAATGCCATCCAGCCCAGGGGCCTTGCCGCACGGCAGGCTCATGATAGCGGCTCCAGCTCCGCGAGTGTTATGCTGCCATCAACTGGATCCCCTCCCCTGATGCTGATGCCTCTGGGGAAAGCCGCCTGTCCAGTGTCTCAAGCAGCTCACCCTGTGCCGCCTGCGAGACCGGCTGCACCGCGAAGACACCCTTGGTTGACTTTCCACTGGCTCGCAGCACGTCGCCGCCCTGCTCTCGCCCTGCTGGGGGGGTTGGCCCAGCACCACCCGCGGGCTTGATGATTGCCTTCTTTTTTTTTTTTAAAAAAAAAAAGGGGAAGCCCCCGCTATTACACAGGTGCCAGTCGCACGCTTCCCAGCACGCATGCAATAGGATATTTGGGGAAACCTGTCAGAGTTGGGGCACGCAGAGCACTCCCGCAGGAGGATAATGCGATACTTAAGAGAAGCGCAAGCATGAAGGCATACCACAGAAAGGCAACAGAAAGGCTCCTAGCGATGGACATGTCCCAAGCACCAGAGGGTAACCTCATCCCCAGAGGCGCACTCCAGCCCGCCGGCAACGCAACACCGCTGAGGTGACGTTGGAGGACCCACGGGGCAGGTCTAGGGCTCTTGCAGCTGGAGGCAGGGGTCACAGCAAAGCAGGCAATCATCAATCACTGGCAGGCAATTATGGATGTGCGGGCAACCAGTGGTGGAACAGACATGAAAGGCACGTTAATACGGTCGGCCGACAGGGATAGAACAGGATCGCGTTCGGACCCATTACCACTAGGGGCCGCTCGGGGCTGGCAATGTGACCCTAAACTATGCCTCAATCTGCCAACAAGGTGGGGCACAAGGAAACGGTGGCATATGGGAGATATGAAGCCGCAAATGAGGCGAAAAACAGGTAGGCTGGCGAGAACTCGACCAGATACACACACCCACCACATCGGAGGCGGGGATAGGCAGGAGGCATCATGTCCAAGGTCCTAGACACCCGCTCAGGTTCAAGGGTGGATACTGGGGTTGGAAACCCTAAACCCTTCAGATAGCCTTCAATGAACTACTGTGAATGGTGAGGAGGACAGACACTAAGGCAAAAGGCCACGGATGACATGAAGGTGGGAAGGTAGGGCGGGCATGCTGGCGCAGTTCGGGTTAGCCACGGGGATTGTTGGGGCTGCTGGTGAGACAGAAACATCGGAGGATCACTGGAAAACTATTGATAGCCTAAAGCCCTGGGCAGGGTGGTCTTCTGTAAGCTCGCGCCAACGCTCCAGCTCTCCGGCACGGTACTCCACAGGTAGCGGGGCGCACGATGGATCCGTCTGGCCGAGGGATACCCAAGGGGTGAGCCGCGCAAACACGTCCGGTGGTGGGCAAGGCCACCGGCACTGGATGGCGAGGCCAGTGCCCCAGGGGTGAAGGAGGCACCCCCGGGGCCGTGTTGGGCCGAGCTCGACAGGTCCCTCGACCAGTGGAAGCACGTGACTCGGAGCCCCATTCCGCGCTGGCAAAGGTTAAAAGTAGGAGAGGCGCAAAGCGTCTGGTAGGCAATCTGTGGTCCCAGGGCTCTAAGGCAAAAAGGGGTCTCAGACAAGGAACGACAGGCCGGGCTTTGCCGGGGTGGGATCGGGACTGGTGAAAGGTGAGTCATCCGTGCCCGACTATGGTATGACGAAGGCTCTTAGCGCCCAGGTGCCCAGAGCACCTATCGCAAAGGCCCCCCTAAGAGAGGGTGTGAGTTCAACACAAGAATCGACACGAGCGGGTGTCATGGCAGAAGGCCAAATGAGAGCATGGTCATACAGATAGCCAAGTTAGAGCCGTGGCCGGCTGGGTACAGTGAATGGTGGATCGGAAGCGTCACGCTGGAAGCGGCACGGGATGCTGGGCACTCCAGTGGATGACAGGTTGCGCGCCCGGCAGCTCCTCCAGCGCGCAGAGGACCGCGCGGTGGCACCATCGCGCCGCGAACTGCTCCCTGGTGATCATCGGGTCGCGTCCGCGAAGCGAGTCGCTGAGCACACCTGCTGTCTGCCGGACGTTGACGGTCGCGAGCCGCCAATCGGCAAGCAGGGCCTTCTTGCAGGAAGACAGGATGCGAGCCGCAACCGCTCCGGGGGTGATCGCCGCCGCATCTGGCTGGTGGCGGCCGCGCTGATATGCTGCCCACAGCTGACAGATTGTAGCGAGCCGCAGGCGATCCCAGAGCTGCCTGAGCTGCCGCGGCGGTCCCCAGATCCTGGTGTCATCGGCGAGAAGAAGGTCGGCGCTGCGCGGTGGCGCGTCGTCTCCGGTCACCGCGGCCCATGTCGCTGCGAACCAGTCCCACACCCCGGCGGCGAGAGGGCAGATGATGAAGACATGGGTGAGTGTGGCCAGCTGACCTGCACAGCTCGGATGCGGGCAAACGTGACCGGCGGGATCGGCGCGGTGGACGTGACGCGCGAAGCCGCCGACGAAGAGCTGGCCATGCAGCAGCCTCCACGCTGTCACGCGCTGCCGCCGGTCCAGATGGGAAGCGTGCACCACTTGCCACACATGAGCCCAAGGTGCTGATGGGTCTGCTGTGACAGCAGCAGGAGGATCAACAGTGACATCTGCTCCCTGTGGCACTGGTGAAGGGCCCGCTGGCGCGCCCGCAGGCCCGCCGCGGTCCCGCAGCGGAACCGGACGTGGTTGCGGCGCAGCCATCCAGATCGCCCAGGAGGAGGGATCAGGCTGCCCTCGAGGCCTCTTGCCTAAGACCTGCGACGCGGTACCAGCAGCTGCAGCCCTGGCCTCCCATCGCGCCTCGAGCGCCCGAAGGCCGCTGCGCTGATCATCTGTGGTATCAGCCCAGATGGCTGGTCGCAGCGGGCCCGCCGGGCTGGCCTCCCCCTTGCTGATCCTGTGAAGCACCTGTCGCCGCGCGGTGGCCTCCCTCACCACAAACTCATGTGCCGGCCGCGTGCCGAGCCCCCAAGCCTGAGGGTCCTGTACCTGGGATCCCCAGAGGCCAAAGAAGTATAGTGTGGGCGGCGGTGGTGGCGGTGGCTCCGGCAGCTGCTGCTCCCACTCCAACTGCTCCCCTGGCTGCTGCTCCACCTGCAGGTGCTGCTCTGGGTGCAGCTGCTCCGCGTGCTGGCGCTGCTGACGTGTGCCGCTGCGTGGATGCCAGGGCCTGGTGATGTCCCAGTGCTGAACCAATGCAGGCTGCGCGGCCGGAGGAAGGAAGGCGTGCATGGCTGCAACGCCTCCGTCCACTGGCACAAG